ATATATATGAAGTATCATATATTTATATATAATATATAAATACCAGTTTTCTAACTTTCAACAGTTTACGGAATAGGAGAAATGTTAGTCGTTGGTCTAACTGGAGGCATTGCAGCAGGTAAATCTACAGTGTCCACAACTTTACGGGAAAAATATAAGCTAACTGTCGTTGATGCTGATGTTATAGCCAAGGAGGTAGTAGATCCAGGTAGAAAAGCATATAAGCAGATAGTGGAGACGTTTGGACCCGAAATCGAAGGATTAGTGAACCCCGATGATTACAGCTTGAATAGAGCTTTACTTGGTAAAGCTGTGTTTGGAAATAAGGAGAAATTGGCTCAATTGAATAAGATTGTACATCCTGCGGTAAAGAAGGAGATTATATGGCAAGTTCTCAAGGCATACGTTACCTTCAAAAGCATTGTTGTTTTGGACGTTCCATTGTTGTATGAGAGTGGGTTGTACCGAGTCTGTGGATTAGTAGTAACTGTTAGTTGCGAGAGACAAGTAGCTCTTGAGCGCTTGGTTGATAGAAACCCTGAACTTTCAAGAGAAGATGCAGAAAAGAGAATAAGCAGTCAAATGTCTAACGAAGAACGGAACTATCGGGCAGACCTTGTCATTGATAATAACGGAGTCCAACTGATCTTAAATACCGCAATTGACTCAATCGTTAAAGAGATTCGTCCACTGCCATTCATTACATTTTTAGATTTGTTCCCATTATTTGGTTTATTATCGGCCCTATACACAGTTGCTCTTAGGAGTATCAGAGATAAATACAAGGGAACTAAGCCACCTAAAAAGACTCTTTAGGGATTTCTTTAAGGGTCTCTTTTCCCCTTTTTCATGCTCCCTTTTTCATGCTCTCCAGTATTGAGCTAAACTATGTAACCTATCAATAACGACCGGTAAGAATGCATTAACGCTATCATTTATCAATGTTTGGAAATGTATTATGGCTTCTTCTTCAGTCATTTCCAAGCAAAATTTCTCTTGTACTTTTTCAACTGCTCTTCTAGGATCCATTTGGATGTCAGGAATGTTGGCATCTAGCATAAGTTGGAACAAGTTTAATATTAAATTACTATTCTTCCTTAATGTAGTATACGTAATGAAGCAATAGCTTTTGAAAATCTTGAAGTTCTCGTGGCTCATCCCTCCCATTCCATCAATTACTTGTATAGGTAACTTCATTAAAGGAGGAAATGGTTTAGGATCCCTACCTAAAATATAACCAAAATCTGCATGCCAGAACTTCCCGTTAGGAGAAAGTAACAAGTTATCAAGATGTCTATCTCCAACACCTAACAAGTATGTGATCACACAATAACCAGCACATGACTTTACATAATTATCCATGACAACAGAAGAAACTCCAAGATCGGATGATATCGTATGTTGTGGACGTTTTATTAGTTGTTTCAGTGATTCCTGTGAGCTATTTAAAACGCTAGACCCTTCAGGTTCAGCGGACTGAATTTCTTGACTATGTAGCCTCAAGTAACATAAAATACCATTGTTTGACATTATGTTAGGCGTATTCGTGCCAGTAGCTTGTGTACCATTGTCATCGCTCCTGCTAGCAATTGCATTATTAGATGATGTACTGTCATTATACACAATTGCTGGAGGATAAGTCTCTGATAAAACAGAATCAAGGGTCTCGTTTGGCACGAATTGGATAAGACCCGCAATGGGACTAGTTGCTAGAATTTTGTATGGTGTCAACCTTAAATCAAGATTCTCATTTTTCAATAATTGGTCCATCAAGTTGATTATTTGAATGACCAATTGATCCTGTCGTAAGTCGTCCCCAATTTTAAACATTAAAGTATATTTTCCATGTTTTTGGCTCTTCTTACCAAAAATTTGAGAAGAACTAGATTGGTTAGAGTGTTCAATAGTCTTGAAAGTAATCTTTAAAGGTGCCAAACTCGATTTAAAGACAGAACTTTCCTCTGGATAACAACCACATATAGTTACGGATGGGTCTAAAGGTAATGGAAAGGGTTCAGAAATTTTTAAAAGTTCATTTGAAGAATCTGACAAGTATTCTCTCAAAAATTGAATCTTTTTGATCGTTGCTTCGTTTCTCCTAAATGTAGTTCTCAAGAGCTCGACTAAACCAGTCAATTTCTTGATGAACCAAATCTGTCTTTTGAGGTTCTTATACTGATGAGACTTCGTACTTTGTGAATGCTTTTTAAGGGCTTCAATATACTTGTTAAGTATCAACGAATAAATTTGAGTAGATTTTGGTGAAGGATTATTAATTTGGTCCTCGTTTTCAACTTTCACGTACCAGTAGAAAAAATTTCCCAAGGTTTCATTTTTAATAGATCTGTCTATCAAAAACTTAGCTAATGGGTATCGTAAGATATTATTATCACTGTTTAATTCATCAATCATTTGAAAGTTTTGGGTATTACCTACAAAAGGTACCACATTTTTATCGTATATCCAAGACTCGTATCTCAAAGCTTGAACTAGTTGTAACAAGTAAAGCAAAAGCTCGTCGCTGCTAGCTAGCTTCAACCTATCTACTGCAAACTTCCTCAAAAATGTAACATGCTGGAATATTTTGATAAATCTTTCTTCATCATTCTTTCTTTTGTTGTCTTTATTAGAATCAATGTTAGTGGATTGAGAAATTATAGTGGACGTCAAATTGTATGGGTTAAAATAATTATCCAAAAGTTCCATTGCATCACCAATTTGTATTCTTTCGACGGACCAATAATGTGGAATGATTTCATTGAATACATGATCAAGTTCATAGTCGTTATCCCAATTAATGGATTTCAAAAACTTTGGAAGAAAAGACTTGGTAGTTGCTGCCTTGTTGGCTTTATCGCTGATCGAGTTATTCTTACTGAAAAAGTATCTGAATTTCCAAATTAAATTCTTCTCTGTGTCATTGAGCTCGACATTCGAGGGTTTCAATAAAATTTTCATTAATTCATCTCTTATTTGAGGAGATGGCTTGATTTCCTTGTCTAATATGGAGTTATTGTTAATATTTCTTTCTAGTTTATGATATTTCATTTCAATTGGATTCAAAGGCAATACGGAGTTATTCTGATTGGTGCTCAAGGCCGTAAAGTCAAAATCAGGATCATAAACCTTTCCCATTGGAAGTTCCCTCTTGGAAGTGGGGATATCGATAGAATTAATTACATTTGTGTTGGAGGCATCCACGTAAGTAGTCTCAACGCTTTTTTGACTAGGTTTAAATGATTGAAAATTATACGTAATATCAGAAAAAACAATCGGTAATTCGAAATTAGGTAATTCAACATATAAGTGGTATGGTGTTGTGTCATCAACATTGCTGTATTTCATGGCCCTCTCAATTTCAGGTATTACCAACTTATCCAACCATCCAATTCTTGAAAATTCTCCATTTTCATATTTGATAAGATTCTTCTCTATCTCAGTAAGACCAGTAATATCACCATACTCAACAGACTTGATCCCAGTTGGTGTTATATATATTGGTACCTTTTGAGAGCCCTTCCTTAATGTGGCGTTATTTTTATTAAATATTGATAGATATCCCACACCAAACTCCACCGGTTTCGTGTTAACAATTTCATAAAGTGAGAGTTTTAAATACCCATCAATTGTAAGCTGGTTGTAATTGATAGCCAATTTCAAATATTGATTCCACAATCGCTTCTTTCCGCTGAAAGCAGTGTAGGATGTTTGAACAGGAATAGATACCAAAGTATTGTTACAATCGTAAACATATACTTTAACGAACAATTCTGAGTTTCTGAATATGTTAGATAGCTTTTGAAATATCAGAGGGTTTTCAAACTTGGCTGATGATGTAGCTAATTCAGAGGATCCTTTTTCTGCCTGTTGAAGATAACATACTTTTAAGATAATTGGAACATCTAAGTCCTTCGATAAACCAAATGTAACGGGATCAGACTTTGATGAGAATGAGTCTGTTGTATGCGGTAGCGTAGTCATCATTCATATCGATCTCATTCCTCTCTAATATAATTAGTAACTTATAATTTTTAATGTTTTGATAATGCTCGACTTTATCTAATACTGAAAAATAGAAGATGAACAAAGCACAAAAAATAGATTATGATGTAAAGCATGGCTAAAATTGCTATATCTATATATATATCTTAAAATCTATATATTTTTGTATATCTATAACTTTAAAGATAAATAGAAGAAGTCTCAAATCTGCTAAAAACAACAAGATCACTCATCTATTTTGACCAAACCAGATATACTGGTTATTTTTGTTGAGTGGGCGACCTTCGACTTCCATTTTATCAGACTCATCTTCAGAGGAGTCTGAACTACTTGAAGATCCGTTATGTAATTGGTAGAAAATTGGTTCGGAGTTTTCTTTGGGTCTTTCAGAAAACCTGGGGTTATTCGTTTCATTTATTGTTGGTATGAAATGTACCAGGTTGGATCCCGTTTGAGTGGTAGCAGTCCTTACAGAAACCGGTTGCTTTTTCTCCTCTCTACCATTAGAAAATGACAAGGAGAAAAATTTTTGTGGCATATTATCTTCATTGTCACTATCAAGTGTCCTATTGACTGCCCTTTGTGCAACTGCAAACGACCTACCTCGAGACCTAGTGTTAAGAGACTTGGATCGACCTATTGAATCGTTCTTCTTTGTGACGTGTGGTTTCGCTTCTGATCCAATGATAGATTTTTGACTGTCCCTTCCCATGTCAATATCTTCAGAGCGACCTTCTGAGACGCTCGATGATATTGACATCGGACTATCAGTACCTGCATCGTTTGATTTGACTTTCATTACCTGAGGAAAGTAAGAATCAGATCCATGTTTCTTTGTTCCCATATTTGGTGGGTTAGATGTCGATCTGTTTCTTGATTTCATAATAGATATGTACTTAGGTAAGTCAACTTTAGAATTTTCATTCGAAGGATTGCTGGCTAGCCTTTGACATTGGGCTAAAGAGACCTGTGAGTTAACCTTCGAATTTAGCCTGGCAATAGGTATGTTAGAAGTTGTTGCATATTTTAATTTCATCGGCTTATATATATCATCATTATCAACCAACTTTGTTAAATCTATAACAGAGTTTGATCTAGATGGCTCTGAATTCGGCAGTACTTCAGGACTTATGGGCTTTATGGGATGGTTTATGATATTGAATCTCTTTTTGAAAGAATCATCATTTATGACCTTCAACTTAAAATCCGCCTTTATTTTAAATTGCCTGCTATTTTGAGGTGTCCAATTCTTGGCCGAAGAGCAAAGGTAGTTCGTCTTAGGGAGCGATGCATTTGATCTGTTTTTGCTTTCTCTTTTGTCCTCTTCAACTTTAAACGAGGGCCTGGGCTTGTCGCTTTCAGGTACTGCCAAGGTGTTCGAAAAATGTCTCGGATCATTCTTCTTTATGAAATTTGTCTTGTAATAAATTATATCAGTTTCCAAATTGAGGTTGCTGTCTATAGCATCATTTTCAAGCATGTTTAAACAATCCTTCGTTAGCTTCCACGTGTATAAAGAAGGGTCGAATTCTTCAAGTTCAGAGGTTTCGGCATCGTCCCTTAAAATCCTGTCTGCTAAATTTATTTTGGCTTCAGGAATCTCATTGAATATCGGACGGCTTATGAAGTATGATAGAAAATTGCTCACGACGTAACCATGAGTAACAACTATGACGATATCGCGATTCTTGATATAGTTAGCTCTTTCATAAGTAGCCAACAACTTTTTGAAATAGCTTTTGCATCTAGCCTGGAAGTCCTTGTAACTTAAATCTGGCCCGTTGAATTGCCCCAACGTAATGGTGGGTCTGAAATTTGAACAAGCAGACTTATTTTTCAAAGTCTTCAAATTTGGAGTGTACATCTGGTAAGCATCATTTGAATCTATAAATGGTGGCTTATCCTTCATTTCATCGTGAATCCAGTCGCTAAGAGCAAAGTCACCCAATAGCTGAAACCTCACTTTATAATTACTATGCTGCTTCAGAAGCATCTCTTTTAAATTAGTGATGAGAAGATCCGCACTTTGACAACACCTTAAATATGGACTAAAATGAATGAAAATGTTCTTCCTAACGCTACTGTCCTCTTCCGTAAATGCTTGTGTACTGTTACATATGTCTTCTGCCGCCTGCTTCATTTGCGTCACGGCTTTAGTAGAAAGTGAAGGATCATATTTCTGATACTCGTCCAATAGTGGTTTTGCCTCTGAATCTTCCAGGAGAGCTTCATTTATTCTTTGTCCATGCCGTAAGAAATAGAGCTCTGTCATACTTGTCTCTATTCTTACCGCAGCTTGTTTGTCTAATTAAATATCCATATAGTTTATGTTTTAGTGAAAAAAAGAAAGCAAGCTAATAGTTCAAAATGTCAAGGTTTTGTGTGCCTGAGTCTCGAGTATATATAGTATCGTATCCATCATATTTTGAGAAACAATATCATAAACAAAAATACGAATTTCACATAAATGGCTGTAAATGACCTCGGATATATACCAAGGACATTTAAATGTTGCCACAGAGTATTCTAACATGAGTGTAGGTGGGCATAATGGACTACAAGATAGCCAAATTCCCTACAAAATGGGCGATAGTAGCTCCGCGAGCACTTCATACGTGTCGAGATTTATGGGGACGTTACCTGTATTGGCAGCTATGCCGAGTATTTTAATGACATATAAAGTATCTTGTGGAGGGATGGATTGGGGCGCCAAGGTGATGGCACTGGTATTATTTGCAAGTTGTTTTTTGACGGTTGTAAAGGGCTTAAACAAGGCTCAAGTGTTGTCTTCGTCACTGAATGGTACACCCGCTGGTACGATGGTGGTGGTTTTGGCGGTTTCAATGGTTTATTTCTCAATCAATATGTTGTCGATCAACAGGCTCTGTGTGCTCTACCTAGGTCTCTATATGAGCAAGTTTAACCCGTATACTGTGTGTGGATGTTTGATAGATCTCATGACGGCCACCGAAGGGTATTGGCATGTCATATTGGGTTATTTTTTGGTTTTTGTTTCATTCATCCTACTATTGAGAAGCTTTTCTGGCCGTTCTGAGCTAAATCTAGCTGTGCTTTTAATCTCTGCAATTAGCTCTGCCTCCTATTTAATATTTTCAAAGCAGACAATCAGCATTATCATGTTGGGTTGCAACGTTTTCGCTTCAGCTGTGTTATTAGTCTCACTTCAAGATAGTGACTTAATGATTTCACGGGTGAATCCATTCTTGGTATCGCTTTTATCTTCCTCATTCGAGTATGTCATTTTTTCGGTTGATTTTAATCTTGTCACTTGTGCAAATACTATACTTCCATTGATGATAACAGTGGACAAATCTGCAAACCTCGCACGTTCACTAGAACCACTGGTTAGTGGGACTACTTCTTCTGCCTCGATTTTGAGAGAGTTATTGTCCCATTCGGATACTAGGGCCATCTTCAATTTCCTTTTATTGAATTCAACATTTATGTTCGTCCAGCTCCTTTATTCGTTCAGATCTAAATCATTAGGCTTACTATCTGATTCTTTGCATATGGCATTAGACTGTACTTCGCTCGCATTGGGGCTAGTCGCAGGTATTCTTTCGAAAAATGAGGTAGACCCGAATGGTAAGTTTCCATTTGGATTAAAAAATTTTGAAATTTTGGCTGGTTTCACGAATGGAACTTTATTAACTGGAATAAGTGGGAGTATCATATTCGAGGCGATTGGGAGACTATATAATCCTGTTGCGTTGCAGAAAACTAACGAATTGTTTATTGTATCTGTATTGGGACTTTTGGTGAATCTTGTGGGAATACTTGCATTCAATCATGGCCAAGGTGGATCTCACGATCATGGCCATTCTCATTCCCACTCTCATTCGCATTCTCACTCTCACGCTCATTCCAGTCTGTCGCATGGTGAGGAAGGTATGAATGATAACATGAAAGGTATCTTTCTACACGTGTTGGCGGATACTTTGGGCTCAGTTGGGGTAGTTATTTCTACAATCTTGACAAATTGGTTTAATTGGAATGGATTTGATCCTATAGCATCAATCATAATAGCTGTTTTGATTTTTGCATCCGCAATTCCTTTGATCAAGTCAACTGCATCATCATTATTGTTGAGTTTATCTCATGGCAACGAAGAGAAAGCCAGATCCGTGCTCAAAAATATCTTACAGATCCAAGGAGTGAAGTCCTTCACAACTCCACGGTTTTGGCCAAGCTCAAAGAACTCCTTGATAGGTTACATTCACATTCAAATCTACAGAGGTGAAAGCATGGTATCTCTCAAGAGACAATGTGAGAAGCTTTTTAAGGACGAATCCATGAATATCATGATACAGATGGAGAACGATTATGAAACATGCTGGTGCAGAAGTAATGATAATCTGAACGGTATGTGATATTGCATCTAAGAATACCTATATATATATAGTCATTGACAATTTTACTGTAATAATAGTTTTAATGATATGTTAGTAATAATTGAAATTCGTGTATATTATTATTCAAGTCATCTCAGAATCTTTCACCGTTTATATTTTACTTAATACTGCCTGAACGTTAAACCACAAATTGGTAATATGTCAAGGGTCGGTGTTTTAGCTTTGGGACCTGCTGGTGCAGGCAAGTCTACATTCTGTAATAGGATTATATCGCATATGAAATCTATAGGGCGGACGGCCCATATAGTCAACTTGGACCCAGCAGCTGAACCAACAGAGTACGAGTTCACTATTGACATAAGAGATTTGATATCATTGCAAGATGTGATGGAAGAGACGGATTTGGGGCCTAATGGAGGGCTTATGTATTGTTTTGAGTTTCTTTTAAATAATCTAGATTGGTTGGACGAAGAGATCGGAGATTACAATGACGAATATTTAATATTTGATTGCCCCGGTCAAATCGAGCTATATACACATGTCCCTGTGCTACCCACCATAGTAAGGCACCTCCAAAGAAACTTGAATTTCAATTTATGTGCTACTTATCTTTTGGAATCTTCCTTTATAATTGATACTTCGAAGTTCTTTTCCGGAGCCCTAAGTGCAATGTCTGCTATGATACTATTAGAATTGCCACACATCAATATTTTATCCAAGATGGATCTAATAAAGAATGATTTCACTCGGAAACAGTTGAAGAGATACCTCAACCCTGATCCTATGATATTAACTAAAGAAGAAGATAAATATAATCCCAGATTTTCCAAACTCAACAAACTAATTGCTAACTTGGTTGACGACTTCGGTATGGTACAATTCTTGCCACTCGACTGTTCTAAAGACAGCGACTCTATTGCTACTATCCTCAGCTATATAGATGACGTTACGCAGTGGAGTGAGAGCCAGGAACCCAAGCAACCTGACGACGAGATCGAAATAGAAGAAGAATAAGGGAAATTGAAACCTTCTTTTCCGAAGGCTCTGAGCCTCTTCTTGAACATAGTATGGGGCACAAAATGAGAAACGATGATAATAGGCTTGCACCCATGGAACTACTTTATAGATTTTTGAATATTGACCTTCAAATAAGGTCATTTTCAGCTCCTTTTTTACAAAAGAGGCAAATAGTCTTTTAATATTAAGTATATCAGTGATTCATTGTAGTTTCTGCTTCGTTTTTGTGGTCTATAGCAGGTGTATACTTGATGATTTTGACCTTTTCCATTGAGACTGCATGTCAATTAGTGAAAAATTGAGTATTCATCAACAACTCTTATAAGTGCAAAGTATTGAGGATTTTGCTAATAAGATCTGAATATTAAGGATGGTGCAAATCAACGAAGTGAAAGAGACACAGCCTAAGGAAAGTAGGACTGCTGCACACACCCATATTAAGGGATTAGGGTTAGATGAGCACGGATTAGCTAAAAAAATCGAAGGTGGATTTGTTGGACAAACCGATGCGAGAGAAGCATGTGGAATCATAGTTGACTTGATCAAGGCTAAAAAAATGGCAGGAAAGGCTATTTTACTTGCTGGTGGCCCAGGAACAGGGAAGACTGCGCTTGCTTTAGCAATTTCTCAAGAGCTTGGACCAAAGGTTCCATTTTGCCCTATAGTAGGTTCAGACTTGTTTTCCGCAGAGGTCAAAAAGACGGCAGCGTTAATGGAGAACTTCAGAAGAGCAATCGGTTTAAGAATCAAAGAGACTAAAGAAGTTTACGAAGGTGAAGTTATTGAATTGACACCAGAAGAAGCAGAAAACCCGTTGGGAGGATATGGGAAAACTATCAGTCATGTTATAGTGGGTTTGAAAACGGCAAAAGGAACGAAGAGCTTAAGATTGGATCCTAGCATTTACGAAAGCATTCAGAAGGAAAGGGTGGCTGTTGGAGATGTTATGTATATCGAGGCTAATACTGGTTCAGTGAAAAGAGTGGGTAGATCTGATGCTTATGCCACAGAATTTGACCTTGAAGCTGAAGAGTATGTTCCTTTGCCTAAAGGTGAGGTCCACAAGAAGAAGGAAATTGTGCAAGATGTCACTTTACATGATTTAGATGTAGCGAACTCCAGGCCGCAGGGTGGACAAGATGTCCTTTCAATGATGGGTCAATTATTAAAATCTAAAAAGACTGAAATCACTGATAAATTGAGGACCGAAGTTAACAAAGTAGTCTCCAAGTACATTGATCAAGGCGTGGCAGAGTTGATTCCTGGTGTTTTATTCATAGATGAGGTTCACATGCTAGACATTGAAATTTTCACCTACTTAAATAGAGCGTTAGAAAGCGATATTGCCCCTATTGTTGTCTTAGCTTCAAACAGAGGCATGACAACTATCCGAGGTACTGACGATAACAAGAAGTCACCTCATGGATGTCCTCCAGATTTAATCGATAGGTTATTAATTGTTAGAACCTTACCTTACAATCAAGATGAGATCAAAACCATTATTTCAAAGAGAGCTACCTTAGAAGGCGTAGCAATCAGCCCTGAGGCGTTAGAAAAGCTATCCAGAGATGGAGCAAATATTTCACTTCGCTATGCATTGCAACTTTTAGCTCCTGCTGGTGTCTTGAGCCAAACAGCGGGTAGGAATGAAATTGCCATTGATGATGTCGATGAGTGTGAGATTTTATTTTTAGACTCGAGACGTTCAATAAAAGTTGTAGAAGAAAACAAAGATTATCTTTAGGATGGTATCCATTAAGCAAATCGTATCAATTGTATAAAATTAATAGCTTGTTTATGTATTAAATTATTTGCTAGAGAGTAACATAAAAATTGTTGAGCATTTGTTCATGCTAATATAATATAACTAGTTAAAAATAGTTTATCATGAAGACTTGGCCAATGCTGAGCATTCTGACAAAAAGTCATTGGCTGTAAGAATCTCTGTACTACCATAAATAACTTTCTTGGCAGGTTTATTCGGCTGCGTGGCCCATTCTTGTAAATTTTGATATTCTATGTAGTTCCCTCCGCCTATCACAAAGACGAGAGCCTCTTGGTAGAACTGTCTTTTTGGAGGTTTAGAATGACCACCTCTTGACTTTGGATCTAAATACAAATAATCGTCAGTGATTTGAACAGAATGACTAGAAGCATTTGTAGGATCCATTATCGCTTCTGTGATGTTAGTGACTGGTAATTGCTTTTTGTCTGGAATGAAGTTTTTTATCTTAGAAGCAAAAGATGACAAACCCTCTGATATTTTCCCTTCTGTTAATCCGTATAACTTCGAGGATAATCCACTCAAGAGCGCGGATGCATTTCCATTGGCACTAGAACTTGAAAGATGCAGGGTTCCAGAAACCTCACTCGACGATGATAAGTTAGTTAACTTAGTGAACTCTTTATATTTTAAAATAAACTTGAGCGGACTCAAATCAATACCTGGATATGTTTCCGTGAACAAGTTTTCAACTTTTTTTATGAAATCCTTGGGCAAATCAGTAATTAAGTTTAAAATAATGAAAGTCCTCAATTTATCAATTGAGTTATCTCTTTTTGAGTCAGCCTTGAAAACCTCAAGAAACTCCTGTTGAGCTTTTGGGTCATGAGCATTTTGCTCAAGCTCGAAAAATCTATCTAAATTTTTCGCTTGTAATTCACTAATCAATGAAGCTAGTATTTCCATATGCATATCCAACGTTGCCTTTCTTGCTGTTAATAATGGCAATGCCTCCACTGCTTGTTGAATATGAGCAGTATCATTATTAGAATTTGGATCTATGTCATTAAGGGACGTTATGCCAGTTTTATTTGTGAGATCTTGAGCATCTTTTTTATATGAGTTTAGTTCCGTATCTGCATTTTCAACTGCGTCCGGAAAAGGCAATTGAGAGTACTTGTTCCAAAAGAAATCCTTTGGATCAATGTCGTAGCTCTTATTCACGGGTTTTGAATCACTTTCTGAATACTTTTGGATTTGGATAGTATTCCTCTTCAACTTGAAAACATCGCCGACCATACATTGATAGATCCAAGAATGAGCAAACATGGAGGCCAAGTCCACATTACGATCAAGGAGAATTAAAACTGGTCTTTGTTGGAAGGACTGGCTGCTCGAATTTCTAGAATTACTCAAGTAGTCTCTCAACTTCATATCCAACTGAGAAGCAACAAATTCTGCTGAACCACCCAGAGGACACCGAATAATTGGAATGGATCCTGAAGTTATAATTAAAGATAATAAAACTTGAGCAATTTTATCAGCCGTTTCATGAATTTGATCTTCTGTTGTATCAGGACTATTGAACTTCGTAAAAATTTTGGGTAGGTCTAGTGAGAAAAGATTTGGCTCTGTAACAATATAGTCGAGATATTGGTCATAAACTTGTTTGATTTTAGATGCCTTACCTGAAATAGATACTTTCTTTGCAAAATCTTCAAGTAGCTCTCTGTGAATTGCAGAGGTAAAGTTGATGTAGAAGGTATCATACTTGTCATTATTTAAGTCATCTATGATAATTAATATGTTCTCGATATTTGGTTCAACAAAATAGATTGCTGGAACATCAGGTAAAGGAGATCTTCTTGCTTTGATCAAAGAATGATATGTAATTCCACACTTAATCAACCCATTGACCCTTAAGACAGATGACAATATGGCTTGTGATTTAGAGTCGAGTATTAGGACCTTCCAGATTATCTCTTCATTCTTCGTTGCTAAAGTAAGATCGGCGGACCCATCTTTATTTAAATGGAGCATGCGCTCAAGAATCGCTATCTGTCTATCTCTCAAACTTGTGTCATCCATTATAGATATCTGGTTCTATGTCTAATTAAAACAAACGTTACTGATGTTATACGTGTTTTTATGAATTAGTTGATAGTTTGGTCGCTTCATTAAAAATCCTAGACTTCCTAAACGGGAATGAACTCGAACTACCTTCGATTATAATATATAATTGACTTACAATACTTCACTTAAATATATGATGTTATTACGCTATATATTACTACATCATTCCAGGCATTCCAGGCATTCCCCCTGGTGGACCCCCAGGAGCTGGACCACCTGGACCGCCCCCACCTTCCTTTAAGGAAGACCTTCCAGCTTTCAAGAGCTCGTCACAAAGTAGTAAATTAGACGCAATACCTGTGGCAGCCGAAATGGCATTCCTAAATACTCTAAATGAGTCCCAAATACCCTCTACAGTAGGATCAATAGGCTCACCTGATCTTAAGTCGATTCCGACGACTCTGTCTTCAGCTATTTCATCTTGGCAATTAGAGATTGTCTCTAACGAGTCTAACCCAGCATTAGCTGATAAGGTCTTTGGAACTATAAGCAATGCTTCTGCAAATGCTTTAATTCCAGATTTATTCCTACCCCTGAGCGACTTGTTCTTCGAATCCAATAAATGATTATAGCAGCTCAACCAAAATGCTCCAGCACCAGGCAAAATTGAATTGTCTTTGATGACATTAGCGACTGCCCTCAAACCATCTCTGATTGCATCCTTGGACTGTTGCAAAGTATAGCTGTTAGATCCCTTGATTAAGATCGAAACCGATTTTGGATCTTTGTTTTCAGTGACGTAAGTAAACTTATCTTCGCCAATAGAATTTTCATAAACTAAGCCAGAATATCCTAAAACTTCTGGTGTTAAATCTTCAACAGAGTTCTGCGCTTCACCACCACATATTAACTGTAATCTTTCCATGTTTCTTCTTTTAGCTCTTCTGAGGGCCAAAATACCATTTTTCGCCAAGACATCTAAAGACATAGGGTCGATACCTTTTTGATTTATAATCACAAAGCCCTTATTCGAGTTCAATTCGCATACTTGATTCTTTAAATCGATTATTTTTTTCAACTTTTCATCAACAAAACGCCTTTCCGATGCAACTAATTTTTCTCTCTGTTCAGCAGACGAATAAAAGAAACCCGAGTTGACTTCTGTCTTCTCGTACTCTAATGAAACATTTAAGATCAACACATAAGCATTTTCGACTCTTTTTGGCATATCAGGATGTCTTGTTCCATGATCTAAAACTAATCCTTTAACTAATTCGGTATCTTTGGCACTTCCAAACTGCATTGTCATGATTTCAATCATATGCAAATCTAAATTTCTTTCATCTGCTTTCTTCACATTTAATACAGCATCAGTTACTATTGGTGTTAATACCTCTGTTAATTCGCTATCAACTTTAGTAGCGAGAGAGGATCTTGCCACTTGCAAGAGAAATTCTCTATCTATGTGCTCTGGTGTTTTTTTGAACGTGTTTAAAAATTCTAAAGATTCATCTCTCGCAACGTCGAAACCATCTACAACTACTCGTGGGTGAACACCCTCGCTGACAAATCTTTCAGCTTGTTTCAATAATTCACCTACCAATAAAACCACGGTAGTTGTTCCATCACCAGCAATCTCATCCTGTGCAGTTGCTGCTCTTGCAATCATAACTGCTGTTGGATGCTGGATTTGCATCTCTGTCAATAAAACCTTACCATCCTTTGTTAATTTCAAGGCACCTGACCCATCGACTAATAACTTCAATGTTCCCTTTGGCCCTAAATTGGATGCAAGCACTTGCTGTAAGCCCTGAGCAGCTGATATGTTCACTTGAAGAGCTTGTGCTCGTCTCAAGGATTCGGCCTTCGGATTTAGTAATTGAACAGCGGAGGACATAATTTGATTCACTTGATCTACCAAAGTTACCTTCACTAGTTGTCGGATTGATTCAATAGTATTCTGTTGAAGAAAAAAAATGAGAATCGCGTTTGTATGCAGTACGTATATATCCATCTCAACTAAGATATTAGGTACTAGTAAGATGCTCCAGGAGGGCCCTTGGAGGGTGAACGAAGATAAGGTAAACGAAGGTTATTGAAAGTAATAATAGGATAAGCTTTTGTTTGTAAATATATATAATTTAATCAAAGTTGTTTTGTACATACTATAGTTCATTGAAGTATATTTCTATAATATTGCAAAAAAGCGTAAAATTGCGACCACTTTTGAAGGTTCCATATACGAAGTAGTTAAGGATAATAGAGGAGAAAGTTTACTTGGAAAACCTTACTGAAAACCGAAAGAGGAATTGAAGTTTAGGCACTTATTACTTGGCTTGAAATGAGGCAAGCTACTATTTAGTTCGATGTGGTGGTTACAAGAAGATGGAATAACGTATCTTGAATAATTTTGGCTAACAAGAAAAGAACCAAAAGGAATTCATGTAAGATATCTTCGCATGCGCTTGGTGGAAGCTGAATATTCAATCTTTATTGATTCTTAAATTATTCACGTATGGGTGTTTTCAGCTGTCCCTTAGGTTAAATCGAGCTCATCTCGACATTATCATCTATCAATATAGTAATATATTTCAAAAACATTTGACATGGAGCCCTATCAGCAAATTATATTTAACCCAGCTCGAGAAGCTTTATCAAAGTACTACGATGATAGGGAAGTGCTCATACGGTTATGTAGAGATATCAATTCTATTTCTAAGAAGGTCATATTTAGTGGACATAGAATAAAACATGGATGTACTGAAAGTTCCATAAATGACTTGTTGAAGGAAAACTTCGACATGTTAAGTGGAAAGATACATAAATTGTATTTGGGTTTTAACGAGCATGCACAGCTTGATACTTTGAAATCCACCATATCCAATTCGTTGGAAGAAATGATAGAAGCATTTACATTCATATATTTTTTGATGACGGATAGTATATTGCCATTCGAAAGGTTTATGATGATTGTGAAAACGATGATAGCGGGATACGAGCCTTTGAAGCAAGATATTATAGATGGCCTGTTGAGCATGCTCTTATCCAAAAGGAGTGATGTGGATGTTGAGTTGAATTTCAATATAAACTTCATTACTTCTGGTGACTACTTTATGGGGTTATTTGATCTATCAGGAGAAGTCATGCGTTATGCAATCTCCTACTTGATGAATGGAGATAAGATAAGCGAAAAGAGCTTGTCCTGCTTGTCGTTCATGAAAGTACTTCATTCACATTTCACTGAACTTTTTGATATATACCCCGATTTAGGCACTTCCAAGGGTATATTCTCTAGGGGCGGACATTCTGCAACCTCAAAAAAACTACAAGTGATGGAACAGTCAATATCGAAAGTTGAGACATTGATATGTGATGTATGTATCAGAGAAAAAGAATTTCATCAGTTTTAAAAATAGTTCATACTAATCTCTACATCTTTTTCTAAATAGAACTTATTTATATACGCGGAACTGGTCCTCCTGGAGAGGTATCAGTTCTAGCTGTGAGAACTTCGCAACCGTCTTCAGTAACCAACATCATATGTTCAAATTGAGCCGAGTATTTTCCATCACTCGTAGCTGCAGTCCAACCGTCAGGCCACGTTACATCGCTATATGTTCCAAGGCATATCATCGGCTCTATAGTAAACACCATACCAGGCTTCGCAACACCAACTGCCTTATTCTTAGCATAATGAGGGATATCTGGCTGACAATGGAACAATTGGTTGATGCCGTGGCCACAATATGTTTTAACGACAGAACACCCATTTTTAGTAGCATGTTCTTCAATAAAGTTACCCAAAGTACGAAGGATTAAGCCTGGTTTGACCTGCTTGATTGCTAAATCCAAGCATTCTCTAGTGGTCTCAACCAACCTGACTATGTCCGGATTTGCCTTAGCTTTGTCACCCACGTAGTAAGTCTCATTAAGATCAGAATGCACGCCCAAGTAGTAGATGGAAACGTCTAAGTTAATTATGTCACCGTCTTTCAAATGAGTCTTATCTGGTATTCCATGGCAGATGACTTCATTGACAGATGTGCAGAAGGATTTGGGAAAATTAAAGTAGTTTAACGGAGAAGGATATGCATTTCTTTTGATACTCTCTTTATGAAGAATAGCGTCGAGATCATCTGTGGTAATCCCCGGCTTAATATGAGCAGCAGTCGCATCCAATATTTCTCGTCCTATTTTACCAACCTTCCTCATCTTTTCTTGATCTTTGGGCGATAAAATCTTAATCTTGCCAAACCTATCATTCTTTAATTCACTTAGAGGCTTACCATTTAGCGCATAATCTGGCAACTTAATATGCTTCGGTATAGGTCTCTTTGGTGATAACGGATAATGAGGCCTCAAATCTCCTGTAAAATGAAAATTAGGAAAAGGGTTGTACAGCTCATCGGTCCCTTCTTGATGGATCGCCTTATGAGTCTGCCAACTAGACTTAAAGCATGTCTGATCACAAAAAACACTGGTGATTCCTTGTTTAAGACAAATTGGGCACTTAAGCTGTGACTCTGTTTCTTTCCCACAGGATAGTGAAGCACACGTAGCCGTCATTTTATTAAACGTAAATATAAATCGAATTTGTCAAATTTAGCAGAAAAAATTTATTTATTGTATCTCGTGATAGTTCCTACGATAGACTGAATGAAACAGTATCTAATTGCAACTATAAAAATTGAAAAAGAAATATATGGAGGCATCAATTTCATTCTACGAACCCACGCCTAAGTTCTCTGGCCCAAAACTCAATGGCAACAAGTCCCGGAGATATACCTTTTGATATGTCGAACCATCATCACTAAACATGAAAACTGGAATGTCTTCTCCAAATTCTCGGATGAACTGTCTACAGATACCACAAGGGGATATAGGATCTTTAGAGTCGGATGATATTGCTATCGATTTGAAACGCAGGTGGCCCTCCATCTCTAGAAGTTAGTATACCGTCATGACTTGAATGTAGTTTCCTGCCTCTTACTTACTATGCTTTTTGTAATAGTCGTTCTTTCTGCACATATACATGCTCCGTATGAGGCATTTTCAACGTTTGCACCTGATACATATTCACCACTCTCTGTAATTAGCGTACAGCCAACCCTTTTATCGTTAGTAGTGAACAAAACCAAGTTATTTGAGAACACAATAAACACGTATTATTAGATCGCAATAGAATATGAAGTAAGATGCTTCTTTTTATAAGCTCTTACTAACGAAATGACGTACCTGAATTTAGAATATGGTGAATAGGATAGATTTCGTGCTGTTAAGTCAGTACATGTTCTTACGCAATTGAACGGTTTCAAACTTACCTTCCAAGCATTTTGTTTTCAATTTCGCAAATTCACTATCTGTCAACTCTTTATGGTCTTTATGGATAAAGGAAGCACCCATATTCCTGCTCTTTGATACCTGACGTAGACTTGATGTCCCTATCGATATTTGCATTAAAACCATCTCAGAAATATCTCACGTGATTATATAGATTTCTCTCTCGCCATTCTCAGTGGCAACGATAGAGCCAAGTTCAGTTTCCAAATTCATTAATCTAAACTAAAGAATACGGAACACTAGTTAGCAAACTCATCCAATTATAAGTTTAGATTGAATATTGAGTAGATCTCTTTGTCATAATAGCATAATAAAAGAGTGAGAAATGTCGACATTGGAAGAAATAGAGAATCAAGAAGACTTAATAGATCAAGAGATATTAAACTCGGCTACGAGTGATATTAGTAATAGGACCAAGCTCTTGGATAATGATATCAGGGTGATGAAGTCCGAGTCTCAGAGATTGACGCACGAGAAAACAGTCATGTTAGAAAGAATCAAAGATAACCAAGAGAAAATTAATAATAATAAGCAATTACCTTACTTGGTGGGCAATGTCGTTGAATTGTTGAATCTTGATGCCGAAAAGGAAGCTTCAGAACAAGGTGCTAATGTTGACGTAGATGCGGCTAGGTCGGGTCAGTCTGCAGTGATCAAGACATCTACGAGACAAACGATTTTTTTACCTTTAATTGGATTAGTGGATCCTAGCAGTTTGAAGCCAAATGATTTGATCGGCGTTAATAAGGACTCTTATTTAATATTGGATACCTTGCCTTCAGAATATGACTCACGAGTTAAGGCGATGGAAGTTGATGAAAAGCCAAGCGAGGATTATTCAGATATCGGTGGTTTGGATAAGCAAATCGAAGAGTTGATTGAAGCTGTAGTATTACCCATGAAACAAGCAGAAAAATTCGTGAATCTAGGAATTAAGCCTCCAAAAGGTGCTTTGATGTACGGACCTCCAGGAACTGGTAAAACATTATTGGCAAGAGCATGCGCAGCACAATCAGGCGCAACTTTTTTGAAGTTAGCAGCCCCACAACTAGTTCAAATGTTTATTGGTGATGGGGCTAAATTAGTGAGAGATGCATTTGCTTTGGCTAAAGAGAAAGCGCCCACTATCATCTTTATCGATGAATTGGACGCTATCGGTACCAGAAGATTTGACTCAGATAAGAGTGGAGATAGAGAAGTCCAAAGAACGATGTTGGAGTTGTTGAATCAATTAGATGGGTTTGGGTCTGATGACAGAGTTAAAGTATTGGCAGCTACGAACAGAGTCGATACCTTGGATCCTGCTCTTTTGAGATCAGGTAGATTGGACAGAAAAATAGAGTTCCCATTACCATCAGAAGAAGCTAGGGAATCTGTCTTGAAGATACACGCAAGGAAACTAAATTGTGACAATAATTCTGTGAATTGGAGAGAACTTGCAAGATCAACTGATGAATTCAATGGTGCACAATTGAAAGCAGTGACTGTGGAGGCGGGTATGATTGCATTGAGAAATGGCAAATCCATTATAAAACACGAGGATTTTGTTGAGGCCATTAGCGAAGTGCAAGCAAGAAAATCAAAATCTATAAATTTTTACGTCTAGGTAATAGAAATCGTTATGTATTATTGTATAAATGTACATTAAATTAGCGAATTGATGCCAGCAAGCTTAATTAAAATCGAGTAGACACAATACGCCCAATGCGGCAACTACTTTAAAAGTATTCAAGAACTCTTCTGTGCTTTCTTTAGCTCTTCACGTAGTTGCTGTGAAAATTCATCTTGGTTATCATCATCGTCCCAATCTTCTTCCCACAAGTTTGACGGAGCTGCTTGGTTTGGCTCACTACTCCATTTAGAATCCTCCGGGAAATCTTCGAACTCGTCGTCCTCCTCTAAGGTCTTAATTACTTTATTTTCTGCTGCATTATCCTCCGACGCACTAGATACTGGATTACTAGACATTATTAAGAATTAAATATTGCCCTTTTAGATTTGTTCTTAAATGATTCTTGTTATCTTAAATTATTCTTTACTGGTGGCGTAATCTTCTCTTAAATAAAAAAACGTACACAAAATCAGGCACTTATAAAAAAGATTTTTATGAGAAGAGATAATCGGTTGTAAAACATCGAATTCTGTTCATAAGTCTAACAATATACACTAAGGTTGGTTGTATAATAGTGTAAGGATCTATGAAGGAGGTACTTGTTGATGAGACACCCAAATGTATTAAAGGGTTAGAGTTTGGGGCGCTATCAGCCAAGGAGATCATTGCACAGTCAGAAGTTGAAGTGAAGACCAGAGATCTTTATGACTTGGAGCGAGGGAGAACAGCGAAGGAATATGGAGCATTAGATCCTAGAATGGGCATAAGTTCTAACAGCAATGAGTGTTCTACATGTCATGGGAATCTAGCGACCTGCCATGGTCATTTTGGTCATATCAAGCTTGCTCTCCCTGTGTTCCACGTAGGATTCTTTAAGGCTATTATTCAAGTTTTACAAAGTATCTGTAAGAACTGTGGATCCATCTTGCTTGATGAGCAAACCAAGCGTCAATTTTTGAGTGAGCTTAGAAAGCCTCATCTTGATAACGTGAGGAGAATGAGAATATTGAGGAGAATCTTAGATCAATGCAAGAAACAGAGAAGATGCTTCAAATGCAAACATATTAACGGTGTTGTTAAAAGAGCAGCAAGCGGTGCAGGTCCTGCAGCATTGAAGATCGTTCATGATACTTTTCGATGGATCGGTAAGAAACCAACTCCTGAGAAGGAATTTTGGGACAAAGAGTTCGATGAAGTTTTTTCTAGAAACCCTGAATTGGAAAAGTATATCAAAAGAATCTACGACGATCTCAACCCTCTCAAGGTTTTATATTTGTTCAAACAGATCACTCCCTCAGATTGTGAATTAGTAGGTATTGATTCCGCGAGGGGTGGCAGGCCCGAGACCTACATTTGGAGGTATTTACCAGCTCCTCCCGTTTGCATAAGACCATCTGTGATGATGGATGCGCAATCTAATGAAGATGACATTACGGTGAAGCTTACTGAGATTGTCTGGACTTCGTCTTTGATCAAAGTCGGAATAGAGAAAGGCATTTCAATTAATAACTTGATGGAGCAGTGGGATTACTTACAATTATCAGTTGCTATGTATATTAATTCAGATGCAGCAAATCCTGCACTCTTGCCTTCTTCTGGAGGTAATTCCAAGAACTCTAAACCAATTAGGGGCTTCTGTCAAAGATTGAAAGGTAAACAAGGTCGTTTCAGAGGTAATTTATCGGGTAAGAGAGTTGATTTTTCAGCTAGAACAGTTATTTCACCTGATCCTAATTTGAAGATCGACGAAGTCGCTGTCCCAGATAGAGTAGCTAAAATATTGACATACCCTGAAAAGTGTACGAGATATAACAGGAAAAAATTGCAGAAATTAATCCTCAATGGTCCAAAAGTACATCCAGGTGCAAATTATGTCATGAAGCAAAACGAATCAGCGAAAAGAAATTTAAGATTCGGTGACAGAGTTAAATTGGCCAAAAATTTGCATATTGGTGATGTTGTTGAGCGTCATATTGAAGACAATGACATCGTTTTATTTAACAGGCAGCCATCGTTACATAGGCTATCTATTTTGTCTCACTACGCGAAGATTAAACCTTGGAGAACGTTCAGGTTGAACGAATGCGTTTGTACACCTTATAATGCGGACTTCGATGGGGATGAAATGAATTTACATGTCCCTCAAACTGAAGAAGCAAGAGCAGAAGCAATAAATTTGATGGGTGTAAAAAATAATCTTTTAACTCCCAAATCTGGTGAACCTATAATTGCAGCAACACAGGATTTTTTGACAGGATCGTATTTAATCTCTCATAAGGACTCATTCTTTGACAGGGCTTCTTTGGTGCAGATGCTAAGTATGATGTCAGATGCAAATACTCATTTTGATTTGCCTCCTCCTGCGATATTCAAACCCGTTATGCTCTGGACTGGTAAGCAGGTTTTCTCATTATTAATTAGACCAAGCAAACAGTCTAATATTGTTATTAATTTGGATGCGAAAAATAAGACATTCACCCCTCCATTGACAGGATTTCCAAGTGAGATGTCTCCAAATGACGGTTATGTGATTATCAGAGGCTCAAATATCTTGAGTGGTGTTATGGATAAAGCAGTGTTAGGAGATGGTAAAAAGAATTCAATTTTCTATACGATATTGAGAGACTATGGTCCCGATGCTGCAGCAAATGCAATGAACAGAATGGCAAAATTATGCGCAAGATATTTAGGTGACAGAGGGTTCTCTATAGGTATCAATGATGTTACACCCGGTTATGACTTGAAGAGAAAGAAAGAGTTAATGGTAGAGCAGGCATATTTAAAGTGTGATGAGTTGATCGATTTATATAATAGGGGTAAACTAGAAACCCAGGCTGGTTGTAATGAAGAACAGACCTTAGAAGCAAAAATTGGAGGTTTATTGTCCAAAGTTAGAGAAGAGGTCGGAGAAGTTTGTATCAAGGAACTAGATTCATTAAATGCACCATTGATCATGGCAACCTGTGGGTCGAAGGGATCAACATTAAATGTGTCGCAGATGGTTGCTTTGGTTGGTCAACAAATTATATCAGGGAATCGTGTTCCTGATGGTTTCCAAGATAGATCATTGCCTCATTTTCCTAAGAATTCCAAGACACCGCAATCAAAAGGTTTCGTCAGGAATTCATTTTTTAGTGGTTTAACTCCAACTGAGTTTTTGTTTCATGCCATCTCTGGTAGAGAAGGTTTGGTGGATACCGCTGTTAAGACCGCAGAGACTGGTTATATGTCAAGAAGATTGATGAAATCTTTAGAGGATTTGTCATCTCAGTATGATCAAACAGTTCGTAATTCATCTAATGGAATTGTCCAGTTTACGTATGGTGGTGATGGTTTGGATCCTTATGACATGGAAGGTGATGCGAGACCTGTCAATTTTGTTCATCAATGGGACCATGCATTGAATATAACTTTCGATATCAATGAAATTGGATTATTGCCATACCAAGTGATTGAGCTAGTCGACTCTGTTTTGAAACCTCTCGAGGAAAAGTTGGTTAGATATGACAATTCAGGAAATTTGTTAACAATAGAAAAATCATCCGAAATTGAATATATAGACCAAAATGATTCAGAACGAGAGTTTTATGCTTCTATCAGAGATTTCACAACCAAAAAGGCCCAAAAGTTAGCTGAAATAAGAGAAAAGGTAAGCATGAAGGCATATTTCAGACCTCCGTACGAAGATGAAATACTTGAGGATGACGACGAAACCCGTCTTAATACTGCAAATCAATTATTAAAAATATCTAAGAAGTTGATAATTAAATTTTTGGAGCAGTGTATTTATAAGTACGCAAGGGCTAAAGTTGAACCTGGTACTGCAGTTGGGGCTATTGGCGCTCAATCAATTGGTGAGCCGGGTACTCAAATGACTTTGAAAACATTCCATTTTGCAGGAGTTGCATCTATGAACGTTACTTTAGGTGTGCCTCGTATTAAAGAAATTATCAACGCCTCCAAGACCATTTCAACACCAATCATCAACTCTGTGCTTGTGAATGACGATGATGAAATCGCAGCAAGAGTTGTTAAAGGTAGGATTGAAAAAACTTTGCTAGAGGATGTTGCATACTTCATTGATGACGTCTATAAGAATGATATGGCGTACTTGTCGGTAAAAATCGATCTTGAAACAATCGAGAAATTGCAATTGGAATTGACAGTTGACAATATAGCTCAAGCGATAGTTGATGCTCCAAAACTTAAAATTCAATCATCAGACATTTCAATTACAACCGACAACAGGATCAATATATTAGTTTCTCATATTGATTCCAAGAATGATGATTCTCTTCTTAATAAAGCTAACGATTCTTCATTGTTTTTTAAGATGCAACATTTAAAGAGGTCATTACCTGGTGTTTGTATCAAAGGACTCCCTAATATATCCCGTGCAGTAATTAATATTAATGATAAGAACAAGCGTGAGTTGTTAGTAGAGGGTTATGGTCTTAAAGATGTTATGTCAACGGATGGTGTTGTTGGCACCAAAACTTTTACCAACCACGTACTTGAAATATTTGAAGTTTTGGGAATTGAAGCTGCACGATCATCTATCATCAGAGAGATAGATTATACTATGAGTAACCATGGTATGAGTGTCGATCCTCGTCATATTCAATTGTTAGGTGACGTTATGACCTACAAAGGAGAAGTTCTCGGTATCACGAGATTTGGTTTAAGCAAGATGAGAGATTCAGTCCTCCAATTAGCATCATTTGAGAAAACAACTGATCATTTATTTGATGCTGCATTCTATATGAAGAGTGATAAGATCGAAGGTGTTTCCGAGTGTATTATCTTGGGACAGACCATGAACGTAGGGACTGGTGCGTTTAAGTTAGTCAAGTCATCGAATTTTACTGCAGATGACATCAAACCAAAACCAGTATTATTTGAAGCATTGTGTACATAAGTAGTTAATGACTATATCCATAGTACTTGAATCTCTCACGTAGCCTTGTCTCACTGTGATATATTTACATACGTATGATTATATACAGGCCATGATAAATGGTAGCAGAATTCTTCAGCTAGGGGCCCACGAACTTCATTACTAGACAATTGAATGTCTTAAGACAAGGGTATCTCCTTACTTTCGTATAATATGCTTCGTAGGAGCTAGCGAGAGGTTCTCTCTTTTATTGTTCTCTATTTTTGACGAGGAGTTTATGGAGAACTTAATGTTTTCATCTTGTCCGATTAGGTAGAACTGTGTATAACGATTTAAATGTTTCACTTGAAAGTGTTTGTTTTCTCACTCATCAGTAAAAAAACGAAGCCCATTGACATCAACTAAGAGCCAAAATAATAGCTTAATATCAAGTCTCTAAGAGAGGCAAACATGTACGATGAAAAATATCAACATGACTATCCTAATTCACATTATTTGGCAAATTTGAATAACCTTAATAGAACAAATCAAAGTATCACTTTGAATCGGTTGCCAACTTTAGGTGAAATTTTAGCAAACAGAACGAAGCTGCCAGTTGATTTGTATACATTCTATTTGTTTATGAAAGGAGTTGAGCATAAGGTGGATTACGTGGATTTCTGGTTTGATTTAATAAATCATTTAAACTTGTGTAAACACTATGTGCAAGGGTTGAGAGACAGCATCGCTAGACATTCATCGGTCAATGAAACTGGTTCCCATTATAGGAACTCAGTACCCCTTCTGGAGCGATCGAAACACAAGTCATTGAGTTCGTCTATTCTATTGGATTTAATAGCTAACGATAATATTTTAGAGGATAGCGATTCACATAGATTATCACAATTCTTGAGGGGAGACATCAATGTTGACAACCTAGAGCCGAAACTAAGAGACATGATTAACCAGTATAATGAAGAAAATGACGAGCGCAGGCATTCGGCAGGAGTACCGAAAACACCAACTAGCTTTAAAAGTAAGAATGAGACATCCTTTTCGAAACCACCGTCAATACAAGAAGCGAAGAGATTGTCATCGAATTCAAAATTGTTGGATGACATGAGTTTTGATGACAGCTCACTCATTGAGAACCAATTAGATATTGGTCAAGCGAGTAAAGCGGTCAATCCCAGGTACAAACCCCTTGATCTGTCACCTGAAATCAAAGATCAGAAAAGGGTCTCTTCTATAAACCCTTCATTATTAGAAAAATTGATTAAGCATACACCGGGGAGCTCAGAGCATCAATCATTCATTACCAGAAATAATTTAAAAGAATCATCACACAACCTCTTGTTGAAATATTTTGTAACTGATTCTGAGAAGGACCTAGATCTCCCTGAAGGTCTCAAAACTCAAATCATCAATGCGATTGAGGTGGACGGTCGAGACGATCCAGACGTATTTAATAACGTGAAACTCTACATATTCAGCAAGATTGAGCACGACCATTTACCAAGATTTTTAAACTTCATGGCCATCAGAAATGTAAACCATTCAAACAGTGTCAGAGTAATTTTGGGCTTCTTCTTCTCCCTCATCGGCTTTTGGGTTGGCTTCATATTTGTATTTTTGAACTATAGGAAGTCGTTGAGGCCAGTCATTATAATACCTTTTCTTTTGGGATTTTATTTTCTTGTGTCGTCCATTTACTTAATAGACCCAATATTGGCTTGGTTTGGCTACAGCGAGTCCTTCATCAATCATCGATCTTTAATCAGAATAAGAGAACCATTTATTTATAAATTGTTACTAAAGAGAAGTCTATGGGTGGTGTTCCTTATATTCCTCTTTACTGCCATCTTTACAATAATATTTAGCTTAGTTCCAGGTCGTCGCCTATAAATACACAATTAAATTTTGAATTATCTATCAAGCAGCGCTCTACAAGCATGAATACATTGTTGGCAGAAAATTACGTATATTAACACTAGGTAGATACTGTTGGAAATCCAAGCAGGTCTGCGGACGCTGCTTTGCTAGCTCCTATATTTTAGAACTAACTGTGTAGGACGCAGAGCGATTACTCCAAAAATGCCTCTCTCTTCTCGGCAATTCTTTGTTGTCTTCTTTCTCTGGCTGCTCTGTTTCTCAATCTTCTGGCCTCAGCTTCGTCCTTCAAAGCCTTTTCTCTTTGTGCTTCTGCCTTGGCTTGGATGACATGCTCAACCAATGCTCTCTTGTGCTTGAAAGTGTTACCCTTGGAAGCCTTGTACAAGCTGTGGTATAAGTGTCTGTCGATCTTACCAGCATCTCTGTACTTAGCTAAAAGTCTTCTCAAAACTCTCAATCTTCTCATCCACAAAACTTGAGATGGCATACGTGCTTCTTTGGTACCCTTTCTCTTACCGTAACCAGTGTGTCTACCCATTCTCTTTGATTCAGCAAGTGCTCTTGCTCTGGATCTAGAGTGAACTATAGATGGCTTCTTGACAATGGTTCCATTACGATACAATTTTCTGATGGCTTGACGGGAGTTAGCACTAGCGATTTCGCTGGTCTCATTAGGATCTAACCAGATCTTTCTCTTTCCGACACCAACAACGCTGGCTGCGAGTCTCTTCTGTGTTCTAAGATTAGCCATGGTAGTTAATATGTTTAACTTTAAGAAAAAGATTTAGCAGTGAAAAGATTTTGCTTGAAGTAGAAGGGGGCGCTTTGGGAAAATTTTTGGAAGTGCGGCGCATACTGTCGTGTGAAGACCCGGGCGCCGGCCCTTCTCTAAAGTGCGCACGAGCGTAATTGAGCGAGGTTGACGATAACGAGAAATGCCGGATAAATATCACATGTCATATCACATGCCATATCACATGCCATATCACATGATTAAGTTCCCATGATGACCTGTATATGATCTGGTATATACAGAAAGGATATTCTGCGATGAGAGCCAGAGTTTTCATTAGAGCTCGAATATAAAGATAGGGAAGTGACAAATAGATTTGATATTTAAAAAGTAATCATGGCTAAATCACTCAGATCTAAGTCGAAATTGAGATCCAAGTCTTTAAAGAGGAAAGGAGAGTTCTCAAAGGCTGTTGATGAAAGAACAAGACGACTCGCGGAGAAGTTAAAGCAGACAGATGAAACACAACAGCATCCGGAGAAGAGTAAAGTGCAAGAGATGGAGCTTGACCAACCTAAAAAGATAAGTACCTCTGGATGGAGGGATTCTAGGAAGCAGTCATTCAAAAGAAAGAAGAGCACAAAGAAGACGCTTAGGTTTTAATCAAGTTAGCCGCAAGACGGTGAATAATTTACAATTTAACGAAGCCATAGAGAGAAAAGGAATCGAATATTCATTAAACTAGGTAACTGGAGTTATGGCTTGTAGTCCTCGTAGCCAGTTTTTTCAAGCTTGTCTACTTTGGTCAATACTTCTTGTTCCATGTTATTTAAGTACAGTTTCATTTCCTTCTGCCATTTATAGTCATAAGCACCTAAAATTCTTATAGCCAACAATGCAGCATTAGTACTATTGTTTATCGCAACTGTAGCCACAGGAATTCCTCTTGGCATTTGTACTATAGAATGCAAAGAGTCCACTCCGTCTAAGGAAGAGCCCTTGATAGGAACACCAACAACAGAGAGCGGAGTCATTGCTGCAACCATACCTGGTAAGTGAGCAGCACCTCCAGCTCCCGCAATTATAACCTTCAAACCTCTATCTGCCGCGCTCCCAGCATAAACAGCCATTCTATGGGGCGTTCTATGAGCACTTACTATAGTCAATTCAAATGGAACGCCAAACTTTTTTAAGATATTAGCACCCACTGACATTACTGGTAAATCAGAATCTGATCCCATAATTATACCGACAAGAGGTTTCTCTTTAGGTGCTTCCAAAGAGGTTGGCACTTCTTTAGAAATTCCTTGTATATAATTTAATCGTGATTCACAGTCTTCCATTGATGATGACACAATATTTATGTGACCCATTTTCCTATTTGGCCTCGTAGATTTACCATAGAGATAAACAGATGAATGCGGAGTCTCTAATGCCCTTCTACATATCTCGAGCTCTTTATTTGGTTGCTTATCGCCTAGGACATTTAACATAATTGAATTTGTGTTCGAAGTTGCAAGGCAAGTGAAACCCTTTGGCATCGGTAATCCAACTACGGCCCTTACATGAGCTTCGAATTGAGAAGTTACACATGCATCAATAGTATAGTGTCCAGAGTTATGTGGCCTGGGAGCAATCTCATTAATCAATATATCTCCATCTGGTAATAAGAACATCTCAATCCCAAATATACCACATCCAGGGAAAGTCTTCACAGCATTTTGGGCTAAAATAGAAGCATTAAACTTGACCGTATCAGAAACTCTCGCAGGAGCATAAACTATATGACAAATATTATCCCTATGCACAGTTTCTACTATAGGGTACGAAAAAACTTCTCCTTCCACTGATCTGACTACCATAACAGCCAATTCTTTCGTGAAAGGACACCATTTCTCGGCATAGAGAGGTCTATCTGCCAAAAATTTCAACGCTTCGGGAATATTTTCTTTGGTCTTCACAACATAATTACCTCTTCCATCGTAAGCCATGGTCCTTGACTTCAACATAAAAGGATAGCCATATTTGTTTCCAACCTCTTCTAACTCATTTTCATCATTTGAGTTTATCGCAGTTGATTGGGTAACAGCAATTCCATGTTCAATAAGATGCTCCTTCTGGAGATATTTATCTTGAATTAGCTTTATTGTTTCTGGCAATGGATAAATCTTTATTCCTGTTTCCTTGGACACAATATTCAATGCTTCCACATCGACGTGTTCGATTTCTACCGTAAGAACATCACATTTACTTGCTAATTCTCTAATAGATTTCAAGTCTGTGAATGATCCATCTACATGATCATTGTGAGCATTAATTTGCTTTGCGGGAGAATTGGGAGCATCCAACACGATTGTCTTTATATTCAAACGATTCGCAGCCTCTACGATCATTCGGCCCAATTGACCTCCACCTAAAATGCCGACAACTTTGCTATCCATTTTGTCTTCCTTGTCAGGTTGTGAAAACTTAGACAAATGACAAAAAAAAAAAAGTCTAAAAAATCGATGTCATTTTAATTATTTTAGACCGAGTCAAAAACTGAATGCAAAAAAAAAAGTTGCTACGCAGATAAAGAATGAATTGAAGGGTCGATAAAGTAAAGAAAATGAAACATCGCAATTAAGACGGTTTAATTAAGTTAGTAGACTAAGAGTTCCATGTTAATGAAATAGAGAAATTTAATTTGATAATCATACATTGACTATGGTAGTAGAAAAATTGATGTCTAGGAAGGCAGGAAGCTGTTGGTTCAGAGGATCAAAGATCTTGAAAAAAGCTATCGTTATCAAGTAAACTTTCTTCTGTAGGAACAGACATTAAGTCCATGTTTGCTGATGGATGAAAGAATGCTGGCTGTTGAAATCGCGGAAATGGTTGTTGTTGATATGGTAAACTTGTATAGTTATTTGTAGACACATTGCTCTGAATGCATTGCTCCTGTACAGGTAACAACAGATTAGCAGGGAAGTCGACAGGGTTAGGTGCTGCCTGAATTGGTTGAGCGGGGGACGGTGATTTCGGAGCAATGAAGGGCGGCGGCGGTGGGTGTAATGCAACCCCTTGAGAAATACTGTTTTGAGATACTTCTGATGCAGAGCCGTTCCAAGAATTAGATCGTTGACTGGACTTTGCTGGTAGTGACAATTCTGTTGTTGTAGTAAAAGCTTGGCTGTATTCGCTAACCTTAGCAAACTCCCAAAGGAGCACTTGTTTAATGTTTTTCTTTGAGATCATGTTAGTAGTCTGTCTTGGGTTGACTTCATAAACAATTTGCTTGATAGTCAAACCTTTAAATGCAACAGCAATTTCAGATTGAGATTTTCCCACAATTTTATTTAAGAAATATTTCAAAAACTTCAACAAAAATGGCTGATCATAATTAACTATAGTGTCTTCGATAAATTTCAATACTTCATTGCCAAAAGAATATATACTAGTGTAAATAGCAAATTGCCTGGATGTTTCACCAGTAACTTTCAATCGGTAGTTAGATTTGAGTCCATCCTTTATTAAACACTCTAGCGGCATTTCAGGTAACTGGACCCTCGCCATGTTATGAAAAATAGGAATACTAGAATCTTGAAAATCCTCTAGTCCGGGGAATCTTAATCCGTAGTTTGCATCAGGATTTAACTTGAGAAGTTTTACTTCTTCATTAGATTGACTAGTTAAATATGTGTCTGTCAATGATACTGGATCATAAAGTGAAATAAAAAAATTATCAATGAAAACCTTTGTACCATTCATTATTGGTGATGTGGATGATAATGTATGCACTGAAGACGAGGAAGAAGACGACAGTGACTTGGAGCGTTTAGAAGATATAGGATGTGTGGCACTGGGGTCTTCTGACCGTCTCTTCGATAACTTGCTTATTCCAAGAGACTTGTTTAGGTTTATTTTTGAAAATATTGACTCGAACTGTTTCTTGTTGTGGAGCAACTCTTCCTCGCTGCTGAACTTTGGCCCTTCATTAATCAACTCAATGAGATCCGGATTTTGACCCATGTTCTTGATAACTTGAATGTGGCTCGATACTTGCTTCCTAGATCTAAACTTGCCAGTCTTCATAAATATGTAGTCAGAAATGAGCTCATTTCTGCCGCAGGTTTTTCCACTAAGTTTGATCTTATTCAAGCCATTTTTAGGAATTATTGCCAATACTTCCTGAAACGCATCTTCAACATCATCAGACCAAATTTCGTTGTCTTTCGGCTTGGTAGCAGGATATATATTCTGATCATTGGAGCAGGAAGCCGAAGGGTTTTCTAAAGAATTAAGAGGCATAGAACCAGTGAAAATATTCAAGCCAGGTATCCTTCTAGTAGCTGATTCCGGTTCTTCGGAGTCAAGATCGTCCTGCGATCGTCTTTGTTCCAATGTCTTGGGAGTCACTATACCAAGCATATTCCTAATCGGCGTCCGCTCATCATCCTCTAATTCATTATCATGATTGCTCTCGTGTTCGTTTGCAATATCGGAAAAGTTTGTAGATCTAGGCATTTCTTGTCTGACTAATAGCTCCGATTCATGAACTTGATATAATTGTTTTCCGTCACTATCGAGAGCAACATCAACAATCAAGGGTAGTTTACTTCTGCCTTCCCTAATAGGAGTTTGCACTGGGGTCTTCATAGCTGTTTAAAGTGAGAAGACTTGCAAACGATGACTTTGAAATAAAATAAGAGAGCAGACCTAATGTAGCTGCCTCTGTAAGAATGCAACGTTCTTGTTACAATCTGATGTTTAAAAAAATCAGTGTAAACGAGTTTAACTCGAAAAATATCAAAGGAGTGTAAGGTTTAGTATTTTAGATAAGTGATGGATTGATTCACAAAGTCTTCTATCTAGATGAAAACTTCTTGAATACACTAATGTTATTGACCGCTATGTGTTTGTTGTATAGTTAAAGGAAAGAATGAAGTAAGTAACGCTACTTTCTAAATTGGCGTACTTCTCTGGTATCGATGCCCGTTTAGTTGGATATAAAAGGAATGAATGTTGACAACGGGTATTGCTCTATACTACACAGTAAATGTGGTCTCGACTTTTTATCTTCTTTTAATCACTTATCTCACCTTCACTTTTTCTGACTGCTTTACTTCCTTATTCTAGTTTCAACTGCTTCTGACACGATCCTTGTGTCTTTCACAGCTCGTTACTATAGATCACCTTCTAACGTAAACCTCACTATAAAGCAACAAGTGCTCAACTTCTTTTTAATAATTTATCTTGAGTCCCTTTTGCTGAATACTTGACTGTGCCCTTGCCTCGCTGATCTCCAGTTTGTGCCTGATGCTTGCTCTCGCTGGTATACTATCGCCTGTTGACTTTTTACTCAAAGAATCGTGTTTTTGTGATAGATACGGAAATAAACGAATCTGGACCCAAAAAATTTTTTGCTGCAGGAACACGGCCCGATCAAAGGTATTGTATAATGTACATATAGTGGGGGCCAGACGATGTGATAGAACGTCAGAAAGAATATTTAAGGTAACTATAGACAGCCTATATGTAGAGGAAGGCTAATCTGGTAACAACACCGAACTAGTTGGCTGCAATAGGGAATACCGTTGACATCGTGAAAACATCAATACCGTCGATCCTGTATAGACTCAGGGGCTCAAGAAAAACGATTTGTGAGGAACAGCTGAAGTTCACGGTTGTCTTCTTCCGGATTAGGAAAGTCTTCCACTTCGCTGAGATCGTTCTCCTGCAACACCTTTCCAGGGTAATATTCCCGGAACGAGAAGCTTTCGTTGGAAGTATCTATGAAAGGCAAGTGGAGTCTCCCGTTTTGGAAATCATTATTAATGTTAGCCTGGTCTTTTATCATCTGGTGCTGTAGAGAATTAAATTCTTTAATCCATCTTTTAAAGTACTTATATATATTCACCGAAGGTTTATTTTCCTCGAATATTATTGCTTCAAGTTCCCTTATATCACCGATCCATGCTTCTATTGACGTATATTGGTAATGAGCATTTCTATTGATGATTTCCTTCATTCCAACAACGTTTTGATTTTTAGGGATATAATTTTTAATGACGTGAGTCTTATCATATCGCATATTTAATTCGGCAATGATAATATCAATATACTTTTTAAATGGAAAGTATACTGTATCTATCATGGAAAGGTCTAACTGATTTATGTCCTGTGAAATTCTTTGTCTTGATATTGTATGCTCTGACAAACCCATCACTTTTAAAAGGTCCTTGACTAGATAGCTTGCAAACTCAATTTTATCATTTATGACATCAAGGGTGTTATTGCCGTATAGAATTGAACTAGTTCCTAATAAGTTGTTGTTCTTTCTTATCAAAGGGGCTCCTTTTTTCAGTTCTCGTTTCAAACACCAGTATCGACAAATTTCGTTGCTTATCTCTCTAATCTCATCCCAGACAAGCTCCTTCGATCGGTTAGGTACATACCCCAAGTCTCTTAACATTGCCAGCTTTGATTGAACAGAGAAGCTAAATTGGTCCTCAACTTTCAAGCTTATTAAAGTAGAAAATAAGATGTCACTAAACAATTTTGGTGCAATAGGAGTATCATTTTCTGTTTTCCATTTGAATATATTAAGCTTATTTGCATTCTTTTGATTTTTGGTTAATTTTGCATTTTGATCGTTCAAAATCTTAATGTCGCGAAAGAATAGCCTTGTTTTTTCAATACCAAGTACTACTTCGCCTTGGTCCCAGTGAGCTGGGCCATGCCTGTCGCAATACGATCTCAAAGACGATTTATTAGCGACAGCGCCTTGAAGACCTCTCGTGAATTGCATATAAAGACCAGCTCTTTTTGCACACGTAACATGGTAAGCTTGAAAGCAGTTTTTGTTCGAGCATTGAATACAAGCGCCAACTCTCTGCCGACATATATAACAAGTTAACTTCCATCTGCTTTTGGGTATCAAATCGACTCCTTCTATTGGCTCCATGTAAACAGGGTTTGCAAAATATAGTTCATTTATCCATAGAGCACATACAACATGACTCCACAAACTGTTGTCTAACTGTTTAAATGCGCCTGTATGGCTTGGACAAAAGACACAATCAACTTGCCTATTTTTACTGATCATGCACTTTCTACATAGCCATTGACCTTCAGGAATAAATGCAATACCATAACATTCTTGGTGTACTGCGATATCACATCCATCGCAAAAGACTATTGCATTTGAATTATCGCAATCGCTATCGTTACATATGGCACATTTTTGCTCGTAAAAAGACCCATGGACGATGCCGTCATCATTACCGTATTTGTCATTACTTTGTTCCTCGTCTAAAGTGTATAACTTACTAGTTGATTCATCATCACCAGTATTTAAAGACTTCATTCGAAGTTCTAGCTTGTCCCATTCGTTTTCCAAAGTTGTTATCATGATTTCGAACACTTCTGGCGTCAATTTTATTATATTTTTCAGCTGTTGATTACGATGTTGTAAATACAAATGGTCTTGTTCATCCATATCATACTCGACTTGCTTCTTACTCCTTTGCAAAACTTCCTCTATGCTTTTCTCATTATTCAAAAGAGAGAAAGGTCGAATATAAGTTTCAGCTTTTGTTTTAGAGCTGATTTTACCTGGCTCTTGAAACCCGTAGTCAGTGATTACTTTACTAAACCTAACTTCATTTTGGGGGCCATCTATATTATCTATTAATTTGAATCTTGGTTTTTTCAAATCTAAATGCACTTTTGAAGTTGTGGTGCTTTCGTTGACTTCATCTTCTCCATCTTTTAAAACAAACACCTTCAATTGTTTTGTTTCGTCTAAGTCTGGATATATCTCAGCTAAATCTCGCTCTTCTCTAGGTTTCGAATTGTCAAACAGTTCAGACGAGTTACCTTGAGGATCTATCAAAGACCCTTGAATTGAAAAGCTCATATGTCTATTGTGATGATAATTGATGAAACTATCATCTTATAGTTGATTTTATTTTTTTAGAAGCATTATATGCACGTCCGGGATAGACTTTTCATTGATGTCTTTATTCTTATGATTGATAGTAGAATCACTACCAATTAGAGCTTATAAGGCAATGTCTTATTACTGAAGAGGAAAGAAGGCATTAGTTAGTGAATGGTAAGAAGTGAGTCTTTAGTATGTGAAATTTTGCCCAAAAAAATAGCCATATTTCATATATTTCGCAGCAAAGAAATGGAAAAAAAAAGGAACTGAACTTTATTCTACTCAAAATGTTTGGATCAACATAACAGATCAAAACTCATGTTTCAGGGAAATAAATTGCTGATACTTCATGCATCCGCAAGCTCATAAAAACATGAGAAAAATGTAAGATTGATTAATATATCCTGTTCTAGTTCATCAAGAAGACAAGAGTAATGTCAATGAAAGAACGATAAATTTCTTATTTGAGACAGCTTGTAAATTGCCGGTCACACTGACTCTCAATATTATTATCAAGATTGTTTCCTCGCTTGTTCCATGCTTAAATGTTTACCTTACTAGATTGTTGTATTCTTCCTTTCATGAGGCTGATCTTTCTGATAAGCAAATTCCGGAACTTTCACCGGAAATCGTGTTTCGGCAAATATTCAGACAATTTTTTTTTTAAGCGATGAGATGCTAATAACATCATACAAAGAACATTCAGGTAACTATGGATGGATCAAAGCTTAGCTTAACTTCTTTGAAAGAAAAGATAACAAGCAAGTTGAAGGGAAAGAAACCGGAGAAAGCAAAGGGACCAAGAAAGGGAGCAAACTCAAAAAATGATATCAACTCAAGCAAGACTCAACTGAATTTGAAAGAGAAAGATGATGTAAATAAGGAGACAGACCACATGAAGCTTTTACGTAAGGAAGCAATGGAGCTTGGAGCAAGTCAATCAGATTTGGCTTTGATAGAAGGAATAGAAGATAGTGAAGATAGCGAACAAGAGTTTGATAATGATAGCAAACCGGTTGACAAAGCTTTTGGATCTGAATTATCAAAATTTATGGAAAATATTGGCTTGAATAACAGCGAGCCAATAATAGTTTCTGATAATGAAGATGATATTCCTTCATTAGTGGAAGACGAAGCAGAAGTCTCAGATGAAGAAGAAGAAGAGGAAGAGGAAGAAGAAGAAGAAGAAGAAAAGGAAGAGGAAGAAGAAGAAGAAGAAGAAGAAGAAGAAGAAGAAGAAGAAGAAGAAGAGGAAGAAGAGGAAGTGAAAGTTCAAGAAAAATCTTTAAAGAACCTCAAAAAGGATCGCGATAGAGTCGATGATGTTGCTTCAGTTAGCTCTGCTAAGCTACAAATACCTTCTCGTCCAGACTGGTACAATAATGTCAAACAATTGCCGCCTCCTACCCAAAAGGTAGATAGGTTTGCAAGGGAGAGATTACTTGAAAGGGCAAAGAACGTGATTGATACTGACAATAAGACCTACTTGAAAGAATTTACTTCAAACAGTTCCCAAAAGAAATTCTTGACTCAAATTTTGTCCGACGGTACTTTGAATGATAAAATTTCTGCATTGACTTTATTGGCTCAGGAAGCGCCTTTGCATAATTTGAAAGCCTTTGACACTTTACTAGGCTATTGTGAAAAGAAATCTAGAAATGCGTCGTTGCAATCAATCAACGCCATGAAAGATATGTTATTAAATGGTATTCTTCCCGATAGAAAACTTGTATCTTTTGATAAACAACCTTTGAGCAATGAATTAACAGATATTGAATTGGCTACATACTTTTTCGAAGACTACTTAAAGAAGTTATATTTCAAATTCATTTCTATTTTAGAGCTTTCATCTCATGATCCAATTGTTTATGTGAGAATTAATGTGATTAAGCATACATTTGACTTATTGAGAGCGAAGCCAGAACAGGAGGTCAACTTGTTAAAATTAGGAGTAAATAAACTTGGTGATCAAGACAGCAAAGTGGCTTCCAAAACTTCTTATGAGATACTTCAGCTAGAACAGGCACATCCTGCTATGAAAAAGATAATCACGGATGCTGTGATTGATGCCATTTTCAAGGGCAACAGCGATTACCATACAAAATATTACGCAGTAGTTACTTTGAATCAAACAATTTTAACTAGGCGTGATAAAGAACTAGCAAACTCACTAGTGAAAACTTATTTTGCATTATTTGAAAAGATCTTAGTTGAAGGTGATCTGCACAACACTGAATCGAAGAAGGATGATACATTGGGTAAATCGGAACACGGGAGAAAGGACCATAGGAAAGGATTCAAACGAGGTAAAAAGGGTGGTAAATCCGTGAAAGTTGAGGAGAAATCTGAAAGCGAAGTCGTTCAAGAGAAGAATGCTAGACTCTTTTCGGCCTTACTAACAGGACTTAATCGTGCATTTCCCTTTTCTGAGCTTCCTAATGATGTTTTTCAAAGCCACTTAGAGACCTTATTTAAGATCACTCATTCAACAAACTTCAACACATCAGTACAAGCATTGGTGTTAATCCATCATATCATTAGCAGTCAGAATTTGAATCCTGATAGATATTTCCGTACCTTGTATGAGTCATTATTGGACTCAAGGTTAGTCAATTCTTCGAAACAAGGTATCTATTTGAATCTATTATATAAATCATTGAAAAATGAAATGGCACAACCAAAGAGAGTTCTAGCTTTTGTTAAGAGAATACTACAAATATCTTCTCATTGGCTCAACATTGGAGCAATAACTGGTATGCTATTCTTATTAATCGAGTTGCTGAAGCTTTATCCTCAAATCCATGAATTAATGGTTGAGATATCATCCCGTCCTGATTTGTCTGAAGACGAAGACGAGACAAATAATGAGAATAAACCTGTTTCAAATGAATACGATAGCCGTAAAAGAGATCCCTTATATGCTCATGCGGAAAGATCATCGATGTGGGACTTGGAAATGTTTTTTACTCATTATCATCCTACAGTAGCCATTTTTGCTAAATCTTTATTAGATGGAACAGAACAACAGAAGCCAGATTTAGGATTATTCACATTAGCTCACTTCTTGGACAGATTTGTTTATAAGAATGCAAATTCAAAACCTATGACGAGAGGAAGCTCAATAATGCAGCCTTTAGGAGGTGCTCATACAGGATCCTTGTTAGTCAGAGCTACCAATATCAGTAATCAAGAAGTCCCCGTGAATGCAGATAACTGGCTTGATAAGAGAGCTATTGATATACAACCTAATGAGCAATTTTTCCATCAATACTTCACGAGCAAGGTTAACAAGATTAAATCTGGAAACAAATTGAAAGAGAAGAATGACGATTTCGAGGAGGAAGCTGGAGACGATCAAGAGGTTTGGGAGGCATTGGTCAAGTCAAAGCCGGAAGTCGAAAATGATAGCGATGAAGAAGATTTTGTCAGTGAGTCAGATTTCAGTGAATTTGACTACAGCATGAGCGAGGAGGAGCCTGCTTTGGGAGATAACAAAGATCAAGAGAAAGAAAATGAAGAACAAGCTAGTTTTCTGGAAAGCGAAGCACAAGTCGATGATGCAGAGATATCAGATGCATCGGATGATGATGAAGAAGGTCATGGCATGTTTGGAATAAACTCCGAAGATGAGTTGAGTGATTCAGAGCTTCAAATTGACATGCTTGACGAATCAAATGCTTTGGAAGAAGACAACGAAACTTCAAAGAAACGTTCAAAGTCAGGCAAGACTCAAAGCTCCAAGAGAGCAAAACTCAAATCTCTTCCAGTTTTTGCTTCTGCTGACGATTACGCACAATACATGAGTTCAGACGATGATTAGGTGTGATGACATCCTTTGAAGATCATCATTACATAGAAAGCTTAAACATTAAACTTGTATTAGATATCTAATTAGACATTTATATAGTGTCATATATGACTCTTTGTCAAAGCCCAGTAACATGAAAATTAAAAAATAACAGATCGTATCATTAGCTGTATTAAAGGAATAGGTTTATATAGCTGCGTCTCCAGCTATATGTGAAAATCCACGGAACTGCTCTTGCATCTCCGAAGTAAGTATGGTCTCAACAGGTGTCAATCTCGGTGTTTCAGAAGTAAATTCTTGATCGAAGTTGGAATAATCATGTTCAGATGACACCTCTGGTAAGTATGGAGCTTGAACGCGGCAATGATACACATCATCGAAATTCACGTCCAGAAAGTACAGGTGTTCCATTACTTCATCTGCATCCCTCTCGCCGCTACCTAAACGTTGCGCTGGGTCCTTCGTCAATAACGCTTGAAGTACTAAAACAGTTTGTCGTGGCATACTAATGGGGTATTTCACATCGTCATGCTCAATTGCATTAAAGATTTCGTCTTCATCATCTCCCTTGAACGGTGACTGGCAAAGCAACATTTGAAATAACAAGACACCAAATGCCCACCAGTCTACACTCCTGTCATAAGGCTTACCAGCTATGATTTCAGGAGCCATGAATTCTGGGGTACCACAAAAAGTGCTCGTAGTATTCTTGTACCACATTTTCTCCTTGCAAAGACCGTAGTCAGCGATCTTAATGTGTCCCTTGGTGGTCAAGAGTATATTATCCAATTTTAAGTCTCGATACACAATACCGTTTTCATGGAAATATTTAAGAGCCAACACAACTTCACAAGCGTAAAACTTGGCCCTTTTAGCAGAAAATCTAGACTTTTGAATGTGCCACATCAAATCACCTCCTGAAATGTATTCCATTACAAAATAAATCCTGTTTTCAGTTTGAAAACAGCAATGTAAATTAAGTAAGAACGGGTGCATTTCTTTATTGGCAGTCAAAAATACCCTTTTCTCTGATTTTACGCTATCAGCTTCATCATTTTCAACAATGAAGTCTTTCTTTAACACCTTAATCGCGCAAAGATTTTGAGTGTGTCTTGATTCAGCTAACATGACTTTTCCAAAATTTCCTTTACCAAGGACTGCCAAAAACTGGAAATCATCAAGGCCCACCTTTCTGCGACGACGCTTTGACTTAGTAGACGGTTTCGTCATCGATTGATCAACACCACCGTCTTTTTTCTCGGGAGATATATTTGGCAGCACGAGAGTATTTTGATGCATGGCATCATCTTGAATGATATACTGTTGAGTCTTCTTGTTTCCATAATCGAAATTATCAAGTTCCATTTTATTGGAATTCGGTATATTTGACTTAATTTGAGAACTGTCATTGACACCTTCCATTCTGTCGTTAAATGGGTTGTCCTCTTCTTGATATTGGAGAGGAATTCCTGTGGCATCTCGTGTATCATCTCCATAGCTGAGATCAGGCGGTGGCCTCCTTGCAGAAGCTTTAGCATATTGAGAATCAATTGGAGGTTCTTGGACATTATTTGCATTGACCGTGGGCAATTTTGAAGCATATTCTCTGTCTTGAACATCCTCATCTCGAAGAGTATCTGACCTATCCAGTGTCGAATCAGTCTTAATGGGTGAAACATCCTGTGGTAAAGGAGGGAGATCGCTTTGAGAGTGTGTAACTATACCCTTACTAGGAAGTTGCTTGTGCATAAATTTCTTCCCCGGAGTTGGCAACGGTTTAGGAGCTGGCGCCTTAGTGGACTCTATAGTCCTTAAAATTTCATTAGCCATTTCCATGGACATACCACAGAAGTCAGGAACTAGATGAGTACACGAGGCATGGCACATAACGCCACATTCAGTACATTTTCTAACATTCTTACGACCCCACGGTAAGATATAACCGCAATGACAGCACCATTTTGTACCACGATTAAGGATTGGCTCAAACCGATGCGGAATACGATGATTCAACTTGGTTGCATCATCATCTACTCCCGAACTAGAGTTGGCTAAGCATTTAGTAACAACTTTTGGATAACATTTCTTGTGACACAAAAATTTACAATCTTGACATTGAAAGCCAGTGTACCGCAAGAATTCTCCACAAAGAGCACAGCACATGATATTATACATAGGTTTCAAAACAAAATGATGTCCATGCTGTTCATAAACCTCTTCCTTCTTTTGTCTTATAGCTCCATGACGACCGAGAGCTCCCATGAATTGTTTTCTTCCCTTTTGATTAGATTTTTCAAATGATAAACTTAACAAAATTTGACCCACAGGTTCTAAACTTAGCCATGTAGTAATTTGAATAGAAGCGCCTTCTGTAGATGCCAGACTGACAGAATTCGATGAATAGGGATCATTTGCATTACTGGCACCAGTACCAGCACCAAGTCCAGCACCAGCTCCTCCAGCCATCGGTCTACCAAAATTGCTAGTTAAGTCATTATTTGGTTGCTTTCCAGTTAAAGTAGTTCCCGATAAATTCGAAGCTGAGATCCATCCACCGCTTCCTAACTCATTAGCTACTTTTTTCTTACGAAGCTCTTCAGTAATGTCTGACAAAGAAGCCCAATTAATGGCGACTGGAATAGAACTATTACCGGATTTATCATAAACAGAAAACTCGATTTCATTGCCTTTATCCACATCAATGGTAAATTCTTCATTCCATTTTCCAGATCTCGAAGGACGAGTTCTAGCTTTTTCCACATCATCGATTTTAATGCATACGATGGATTCTGGTCTTTTAGAAAATACAGGCGAAGCAATATGATCAATATCCCTAATACAAGAAATAGTAGCAGTCAACTTACCACTTAATGGCTTTCTGGCATATTTCGGAGTGTTCATAATTTCCATGTCGCGAGTTACTTCTTCAATATTAACATGCATATCTTGGTACCTCTTCAACGATTTGTTCAATAATTGAATCCTCTGGTCACTTTCCATCTTTCCACCTTCTGCAGCACTGCTACTAGACTTATCACCATCCATTAGATACAAGTGAGAAATTTTTTCGTTTGCTTCTTTGTACTGATTTTCAACCTGTCTTTTAAACTGTAATTGCTGAAGCATGTACTGAATTTTATGCCCAAGAGACGGACAATCATATTTTATTAAATCAAATCTTGAATAAAGAGGACGCGAATCTGAGCTTCTTACAGGCGAATCAGACCCTTCGTCATGATGTTCATTTTGAGTGCACTGCTGTAAAGTTACTTTAGAGAGAGCCTCTTGGAGGTAGTCAATATTTGATTGCGCCTCCCTGATTTGCGTGTTACATCTCTGAATTACTTCAGAGTTGTTTGTATTTCGCTTCAAGGATTGAAATCCCTGTATGAGTTTCCTCTCTCTGTCAATCTTTCCACGAATATCGTTTAACACTTGTTCATTTCCTGACATCCCAAATAGTCCTTTGATTTTAATTCTTTAACGCGGATTATATAACGAATTTCAGTTTCCCAATCCCCCTATAGACCTTAGATCAAACTGGTACCAACTAGATCTAAATCACCAATAAATTAGAGATCAAATGATGAGTAAATGTATTGCTTACTCGAATGCTCAACGATCGAAGAATGTAATGAATCAGAAAAAAAAAAAAAAAACCAGATTTAAGAAGAAAGTTTGCTCCAAATGAAATGTCCCTTCGTTCTTTCACTATGGATCTGTCTCAATTAGATATATTATGATCTTGGCGTAAGAAGTTTTTGATCTATATTAAAATTTGGAAAGACTACTCGATTTGTGTTGTTGACTATTTACCTTAAACACTACAGCACGTGACAGAATTTTAGATCCAAAATGAACCCTTTTATTATATGCAGATAACGCAGGCAAAGAGGAACACTATGAAATGAAAGATGGAGAGGGACGATACTGTAGCAAAGATCTACTTCTCGGCTGGACAATTGAGTTTAATGTATAATTAACATGCGGTTTATAGTACATATGTAACAGTAGAGAGAAGACAAAGCGTGAGGTTCTTCCCGTAAGCTTTCCAACTCGAAAAGCTATTATCGACTGTTACAACGGCAGTTACAATCTGGGACCGGGCACACATAGTGCTTAGAGAACCATTCTTCAGCGTGGATTGCATGCGAGCCGTGGTTACAACTAAGGCAGAAACTAAACCATTCTCTGAAACTGTTTTCTATCCGATCACTCAAGTCTAACTCTTGCAAATTACTCGAGGAATCATTTGGGACTGGAGTTCCCATGCTCAAAAGGCAAATGGAGCACCTGGGGAACGCAGCACCACAATGGGGGCATGCTTTAATATCCAGATCTCTACTGTTCGTGGTTAGTTTGTTGAATTGCTTCATCATTATTGTTGGATTAGTAGAATTACCTTTTGGGTTTGAAGCGGATTTAGGCTTTGATAGGTTTTTATTACATCTAATGCACTGCAAGTAGACTTGTTTGGGGATCGCTTTTAATGTCAAATGACCTGAGCCGTTTTTTGATAATTTTACTCGAGCCACATCGAATTTAGCTCTTACGCTAAACATTCCCCAGCTATTCAATAGTCTTCTGTAACAATCAACCCAATGATTCACCCTTTGATCATGAAAATACCTCGGGCAACCAAAAGCACCTATTAATGATGCCGTCTGGACGTCACTTGTTCTATCAACGTAGCATTGTAAGAGATCCATCCCTCTTGGTGTCAAACCTGTTAAAATCAAGCCATCGAGCTCACCGTTATGAACAACAGTATCAACTAGTCTATTGAGATAAATAGTTAGATCCTTATCAGATAAAAACCGAAGAGCTACTCCTAGACGTTCCTTGAGCGGAAGTGAATGTTCATCAAGAACGTCCCACCAGTCGTTATCGGCTATGAAGGCAAATATAGCTCTGAGATATGGATCAGAAAGCTCGCTAGCCATCCTCCGGCATTGGTCTTTCCAAGGACTGTTGGCAGTTGTATTATTATAAGCTAAATAACCAGCAACAGCGGTCGATATTAATCTCAACCGTTCCTTGTTGGAATTTGCAAGTATATCAATTGCCTTAGGGACATCTCCATAAAATACAGCCCATCCAGCTGCCTTCTCATAGTACCCCATAGAGATTAATATTTTTAGCTTGCTTTCGAATTCATCGTCGTTGAAGAGCCAACCAGACACGATCAAAGCAAGTTTTCTCTGTGCTTTTCTATCGCTATTGCTGGAAATGGTAATTCCATTAGTTCTTTTTCCTTTCGATGAGACAATGGATTTTACTGCTTGTGAAAAGACACTGTCCGTGATTGAAGTTTCTTTTGTTATTCGATTTTGATTCCCAATTTCTTCCAATCCTTTCCATATACCAAGGACCCCTTGGTATCCTAAGTCTATAGACTGAGTTATCATGGTCCCCTTCTCAAGCGATTTTTTAGCTAGCAATATCCATTTCCATGTATTGATTAAACCTTGTTGATTCTCAATTCCACTCATCGTGTCTAGAAGGGCTATGTTTTTTTCACAATCTACAGAATAGCCTAACTCAGCCCTTCTTCTGATTACAGAACCGATGTCATTATTGATTATATCTCCGAGATCAAGAAAGTTATCCAAGGGGATGAAATCATCATCTTCGTTGTATTTTATGCTATCAGCAGCATTGTGGTACACTGCAGTCGAACTTTCATCGTCATCAATTGTGGTAGCTATCTCTTCTGAAATCTGAGTGTCATTCAGTGTAGCTATAGTATCCTTAGAAATACCATTCCCTCTTACTGATAGATCGTCATTCGAAAAGTCGTCCTGATTTGTGAATTGAGTCATTGTGCCTTCTGGACCAGCAAAGGTAAATTCATTGTACGAATTAAAATCAAGGGACTCGATGGATTCTACAACCGGCATTCTGAATACCGATCCTGACTGTCTCATGCAAACGAAGTTTGTTGATGAGTTGGATAATAGATCTGGTGAATAATCAAAAGATACAACTCTTTCGTAATCCGTTTTCACGTCCAAAACCAAAGCAACGAACAAAGATTCTTCAGACTGCTTATACAATTGTGAAGACTGATTTTTTAAGCTCTGTAATATATTAGAACTCCTCGTCGTTTTGTTCTTTGCATCATTTGCTGCCGGGGTGGAAACCGAAACCGAACCTGTGTTCCATCTTCTTATCAAATTTCCATTAAACACAGATGAGAATTCACCCTTTCTTATTGTTGAATATCTAATGCACGGTGTTATATGTTTGCGTGATGAAGGGTCACTTAATAATTTATTAAATTGAAGGATAGGAGTCTCTGTTATAACGTTAGAATTGCTTAAAGATTTATACTTGGAGCTATTCGAGGTTAGTTTTCTCCTATCCCACACCGCAAACGAGCCATCCTCCGTAAATGATGAAAATAAGTGAGATTGAAAAGGATCATTAGTGACTCCTAGTGTATATTTTGTGGCCATTTGAAAAACAGGAACTTCAAGCCTAAGATCAATTTCACGTAAGAACTTATATGATCCACATAGCAAGCTGTTGTCCCTTTCTGGATAGAATGTAGTCGATAAAACAGCTTCATTTGTAAGATACGAATGAAGTGGTCTTTTAATATGGTCATTATTACTATTTCTCGAGTAATGCTCAATATTCCAGATTTGAAGGGAGCTATCCTGCCTACCTTTATCAAAGCCAGCAGCCACCAAGTTCTTGTTGTTGAAAGATATTGAATTGCACGGTCGATTTTGTTTCGGTCTTAGTTTCAATATGGATGATGTATCTGAATTTATATCAAATATTGAAACAGTGCCATTCATACCCCCAACTCCTGTGATTCCTTTATTATTGGGCGAATAGGAAGAGCACTGGATATTGTCAAACCCCCCTCTGCAATTGAGTTTAATCAAATCATTGGATTCTATATTAGGATCGTCATGTTGAGTTTCATACAATATAACCTCATCTCCTATAGGGTTTACAGCTAAAAATTGTTGCTCGAGACCAACATTCCAATCGAGCACCCTTACTATGGATCCACTCATGATCCAAAGTGGTAAGTTATATCAGTATGAAGAAAACAAGTCTTGGTAGTATACAAAGGTTTGTTCGCACTATTTATTACGAACTATCTCTCGAACTCTACACGGACTAATGTACAGAATTTATATAATCTATGAAGAAATTAATTTAAAGAGATACTGTGAAAAATATGAACAAAAACATGAAATAGGCAGTTTATGACTATTTCACTGAGGTATGTTAATCTATAGGTAGCACTATCCTATGAAATGTAAAATTTCATGGATCATCTATATTTTGTGCTTCATCGATAAGTGGAATATCTGGACGTTCTATTTGCAGCTTCCTCTTGCTTAGTTACTAGTTTCACTATGTTGACCAAATTTCGGAATCCTCTATCGCTCCCCCTGAGTTTGGTGATATATAACGAAGAGCTATCTTGCAAGTCGATTATCTCTATTTTGAATCTCAATTTTCTGCCATAGGAAAACCTTGAAGGAATAGCTCCATTGATTAAACCAAACTCTTCGTCTATGTCAACTTCGCTTATGGATCCTTCAATTTTTTTCAACTCCAATTGATTTTTAATCACTCTTGATAAATCAATGGCATTTAAACTGGAATCTATAATGCAAATATTAGCATTGATTTCACTTGGATGAGAATCTAATTTGGGAGACATGGACAACGAATGCAAAAACTTCTTGAACCAGTTTTCCTTCTTTCTAGTCTTAGGACCTTCTTCTTTTTGTCTAGGAGCTGGAATTTTAGAAAACTTATCGTATCCTTTAGAGAGTCGCTGTTGAGGAGGCTTGGGAGCGTGCCTCTTGGGAATCAAACTTAGTCTTTTTAAAAGGGAATTACCATGAGTGTCCTCTATTATCGACATGGGGTGACCGGCTGTAGAGGGACTGGTCGGACTGAGTTCTGCTGCATTTGGACTACCCTCAGCGTCATTCTTAATATCAATCTCAGGACTGTGATCTGCTGACACAATTGAACCAAATATGCGAGAAGAAGTTGCCTTCTTTATTCTAGCCTCATTGAGCTGTTTGTCGTCTTCTTGATCGACCATTTTTTCTGACTGTTTTGATGGAGACACATTATCAGAGGGATGAGATACGATATCTCCGTCTAGAGTAGCTGCATCTGATCCTTCTAGAGTAGCGGATTCCTTGAAGGAAAACGGACCTTCACTATGAGCAGATGACTGACTGTCAGGACTTTTAGCTTCTTTTCCTTTCAGAGGCTTTGTTAATCCATATTTCATTTGAGGTTCCTCATAGAAATTGCCATAATTCTTATATAAAACCTCAATAGACTCGTCGGATTTAGATTCACTCGAAAATGCTCTAGATGATTCATTATGCTCAACTAAGCTAGGCCTGGTTTTATTGGAATGTCCTACTTCTGCAGTAGTTGAGCTTATAATATCGATATTGGAAATATCACTTTCCATATATCCTGTTTGCAAATTCTGGTTCTCTTTATCTTGAAGAACAGTGGAAATTGAGTCATCAGAATCATCCATGCCATCAAATTTACCTTCTCCGTGGTTGTCAATAGCATCTCTCTGTAAATTGGATATATGTACTGACGTGACATCTTTGGAATCTGACAATGCGACTGAATAAAAATCACTTTTAGCCCAGGTTTCATTGTACTCTGAGACATCATTATGATCTAAGGAACTTTCTTTTTTAGTTTCAGGGACATTGATACCCAATCCTGATAAAGAGACAACTGACTTGCGATTGGTTGTGTGAGAAGCATCCGGTTTTTCAACAGTTTTCCTTACAACGGTCCCAGCAGAAGTCCCTAAATTATTCATGATTGTTATATCACCAATGTCATATTTCGAGGTATTTAATAAACCACCAAAAGACATTTTGGAGAACCTTGGATTAGGGATCAAATCATTATTTGATGTTCGCTTTCTATTGAATGTATTCGACATGATAGACGTATCATCGAAAGAATTTGCATTATTTTCATTGATATCACTCAATAGGGATCTATAAGTTGTATTGTGATCTTTTTTTACTGTGTCAGGCAACGGTTTGAGAATCGTCGACGACGAACCCTCCTTTCTATTGAACTCATCTAAGCTAAAATTTTCTTTTTCAACCTCGATCTTCTCTAAAGAGGAATCATTTGTAGCATCCGCATGTAAATATTTAGATAAATTTCTTGAGCTCGAAGTTTTGATAGGAGGTTGATGTGAGCTACTCATTGGGGGTTTTACATCAATTCCCAATTGTCTTAAAACATTCGAGGTGTTTTGATTCAACCGTGGATTATGGGACGCAGCCAAAGATTTGGCCCTAAGAAGTGAATTGGAACCTGCTTTTGGATCTAACGAGGAGCTAATAGGCTCGGTAACATGACGTCGCGATGTCCTGACTGATTGTTCATTTAAGTCCTGCTGCGATTTCAACTTCGATAACGCTTCAGCCTGCAACAGGCGTAACTTTTCATTTTGCAATTCTTGTTCTTTCTTCCTCTTTAATTCATTTTCTTTTCGCAACTTTTCCGTTTTTTCTTTTTCCTGTTTGAACTTTATGTCCCTTTCTTCGTTTATTCGTCTCACTTTAGCAGCCAATTCTCGTTCGTGCTTAATGAATTCCGATAAGCCACCTTTATTTTCCGTTGACAAACGTGGGACTTCCTTAGACAGTTTATTCGGCTCGTTCGACAAAGTCTTTAAGGTTTTGGTCTCTCCGAAGACTTCCAGGCAAATCAACTCAAAGTTTAAAAGAGATTTGTTTCCAAAAGAACCAGCTAATTTCAGAGCTCTTAATTGATGCTCAACCTTCTGTTGTTGTGTTTCTTTTGACATACTGTCTCCCGCCGTACTTCTCTCTTCAACATCAGTGGTGTTAAAAGCAACATCATCTAAGCCAGAAAGCCCAGTTGGCCTCCGCTTTATTTTTGGCGGCACATCGGGCTGTTGTTGCTTTGGCGGACTATTTGATTTTGTCTTCTTCTGAGCAGATTTAGCTGAAGGCGTCGATATCACTTGATTATGAAGTAAAGTCTTTTTCTTGTTGAAAGAATTCGAAGCCTTGAAATTTCGAAGAGAACCATTAGGGGCATTGGTTATATTAGATAGCACTCTTTCACCTTTCAGATTCTTAGATGATTTATTAGAGTTCCCAGATGTACTTCTAGGTATCTTTTTTATTGTTGTATGCTTATCGCCAGTCTTCGGGTCAATCACAGTTGTTTTCACAATTGAGGTAGATCTTGGTATAGTAACTTTAGAGTCCGTGAATGAAAAATCCGTATCATTTTCATCGTAGTTCATATGTGCACTCGAATGCTCATTTCTATACTTTAGAAGCATGAAGTAGAACATTTTCTCGGGGCACTTATCCTTCGATAGTAATTTTGAAACAATGGATTGCTCACTACAATTATGAAAGAGTACCGACAAATTCTTCAATATTTCTTTATCAATCTTTTCAATGGCTTCGCCTGGAATTACCTTAGGGCTCTGAAGATTTTTAGCTTTTGAAGAAGTTGATGCTATCGGAGGTTCAGGATATTTAACCATCAAAGGATGAACTAAAATTTCTTTGATTGTTATCCTATCTTCCGGATTCACTTTTAACATTTTTGAAATCAAGTCCTTGGCCTCCCAGCTTAAATCTGGAGGCAAGATATACTTGCCATTCTGTACCTTTAATAATAGCATTCTTATGTTTTCATCATCAAAAGGCAAATGCCCCGTTAATAAGGCAAATAAAATAATACCACAAGACCAAATGTCTGAAGGAGCTCCGTGGTAAGTTTTTCCAGCGACTATTTCTGGCGAAGCATAGTGAGGAGAACCGCAAGACGTTTCCAATAGTTTCTCACCGACCTCTAAAGCCGCCATTCCAAAATCTGCTATTTTGATACTCTTATTAAAATCAAGCAACAAGTTCTCGGGCTTTAGATCTCTATGGCAGATATTAAACTGATGAAGATAACCTATCCCATTGATGATCTGTTTAAAATAGCTCACGGCTTCAAATTCTTGAAGCCTTCCTTTCTTAATAAGATAATCAAATAATTCACCACCCTCAATATATTCTAGAATCAAATATAAGTCATTCTTGTTTTCCCAGACATCATATAAGCCCATAATATTTGGGTGAGAGATTAATTTCATTATGATAATCTCTCTTTCAATCCCATAAGGTAAGCCTTTATTATTGAGGGAATCCCTTTTGTACTTTGGGTTCTCTAACTTCTTGAACTTAGACTTGGGTACAATTTTAATAGCTGCCAATTTCCCGGTGTCGACATTTTTCGCCAATCTAACCCTACCAGTGGATCCTCTGCCTAAAGTTCTTCCAAGCTTCCACGGTCCTATACGACTGTGGGTTCGCTTTTGGTTGGAGCTATTTGTATTTGTAGAAATCTGTGATAACCGCTTCGTGGCGTTCGTAACTGATTGTACAACCTTGTCAACATTAACAGACGACCCACACGATCCATTATCGTAGGACTGTCCACTTCTTTGAGGAGCTAAGGTCGTCATCTGATGGTATTAGTATACTTAACTTGGCGCGTATAATTATTAATGGACGTACCCTTCAGCCTGATTAACAGTTTCCGTGTAACAAACAACTAATGTACTGAAAGCGAATGAATGAATTAATGAATGAATGAATTCTAGTTGGTTGTGTTTCTGTTTGACACCTTATGGGCCGCCTTATAGATATAGCGGCGAGTGCTTTCGTTGTTTTATCGCCCGTACGAATAACGCCTATGTTCTGTCGAAGCCGAACAAAATCAAGTAAAACTATCACTCAAGAAGAAATATAGCTACACGCTCAACTCGCCTAGCCACCTGAACGTCAAAGTTACACAATAAAATTAAAGACACTATTATAAAAACCATAGCAGAGTGTATGTAAACAAAGAAAAATAAACAATTCCGGGCAAATAGATCAAAACACCAAAAAAAAAAACGCGTTTGAAGGGGGATCTCCCATGTCAAGTGACTTTGAGGACTTTGAGTAAAAAGAATTCGTGAATCTGACGCCGTGTGGAGACGTGTTGACAGCTCGTGGATCAAGAATGCTCTCTTAATAGGGCTGAAATAATGCTGCGGTTAGTAGAGACCCCGATAAATAAAATACGTACACGATAGCGAAAGCAATGACAAATTTGCCAATTTTATAAAGCAATATCGACCATAGGGTAAATGATCGAATAATTGAAATGAAAATCAATATACCTAAATATGTATTTAGCTATATGTATCTAGCCCTATTGGATGAGGTACCCACAAGCTAGGTCTCAAAATTTGATCCTTAATTGAGGTGTCAAGGATGGGGAGAGAGCTGCAAATTCAAGTCCTGGTGATTGTTACTACATTTGGTGCTGACAAGGATATCGCTAAATTAGCGACGATATTTCAGAGAACAGGGGAAAGATTCCCGAAATGAAATTCACAGTTGCGGCGTTCACAGCAAGTGGGACATTTATGGTATGTGCAGTACAACCCATACAAACCGAGACCAATTCATGTTCGGGTATAATCAAGATGATAATCAACACTTTTTTTTTTTAGCACTAAGCTTGTATGGTTAAAACATAATTTTTTTTTAGCAAAATTCTCATATCAAGGCTTATTACTATATCTCCAATATAGTGAGGTCGTATGTTGAAATTCAAGAACAAATTCAAGTTCGGCTCATCGCATGGAGGCGATAAGCCCCAAGCTTCTGACGATTACGATAGTTCAAGGAACTCTACTGAGTCGGGGCGTACGATATCAATGAATCATGTATCAGAGGATTTAAGTGGACTTTCTTTGAAAGAAATGGAAGCTCAAAGCGCTGACGGAGCTAGTGGCCGCTCAATCCAATCAAAAGCAAAGAGTCCGGACACTGGCGATTCGGCAGTTCCCACATCAATGGGTATAGCGAATTCCAATAAAGCTGCCAGCTCACCTGCATCCTCCTCATCTCCTAGTATATCTTCATCTTCCTCAGTGACATCAAATCCCGGGCTTTTGACAGTGAAAATGTACGGATCTTCCAAGGTTTTGTTACCCATCAAAATCAATAATAATAAGCAGATTTTGCACGCATTAGCGAGCAATTCGAATAATGAAAGTGTGTCATTTCAATTGATGAAGGATTTGAACAATATCGAAGATACTGAATTCTTGTCAGGTTCTAGCGCAGCTAAATTACTTCCTTCAATTATTTCTATTCCAAATGGCGAGAACCTAGTCAAATCCCTCTTGTATTTGACAGTCGAATTTGATAATAACGTTTTGGTTATCGAACCACAGAGCGGAACAGTAGAGCACTCAACTTGGAACCAAGTTGTCTCATTTGATGTCACCAAGAAATCTGCAAACAACTCAACAGATTCGATTTTTTTGAATTTGAACTTATTTATACGTCTACCAAATGTATTGATTCCAGAATCCGAAAAAAGTGAACACAAGCATTTATTCACAAATAACCAAGTCACTTCGGGTAACAACATTGGCGATTTGCTAATTGGAACTATAAAGCTTCCATTGAATCTCAGATGTCATAGCCTGCCCATAAGATTGATGAACCATCAGTATTTAAAATTTTCGAAGCATGATACGGTAGAAGAATCATCGAAAAAAGATACTGGTGATATAATGCTCACCATAGATTTCAAGCCAGTATTCAAGACTCATCTTTCCATCGACGATTTCAATCTTTTGAAGGTTATTGGCAAGGGCTCATTTGGGAAGGTTATGCAAGTCGTCAAGAAGGATACAAAACAGATATATGCTTTGAAGACGATAAGAAAACAACACATAGTCTCTAGAATGGAAGTTACTCACACATTAGCTGAAAGAACTGTTCTTGCAAGAATAAACAACCCGTTCATCGTCCCTTTAAAATTCTCATTCCAAAGTCCAGAAAAATTGTATTTGGTTTTGAGTTTTATAAATGGCGGAGAGCTTTTTTGGCATTTGCAAAAGGAAGGTAAATTTTCGATGGACCGATCAAGGTTTTATATAGCCGAATTACTTACTGCATTGGAAAGTCTACATGAGTTGAACGTAATCTACAGAGATTTAAAACCCGAAAATATATTGTTAGATTACCAGGGCCATATTGCGTTGTGTGATTTTGGCCTTTGCAAACTAAACATGACAAATGAGGATAAAACGAATACGTTCTGTGGTACCCCCGAGTACCTCGCTCCAGAACTATTACTAAATCAAGGCTACACAAGAAGTGTCGATTGGTGGACGCTTGGAACTCTCTTATATGAGATGGTTACGGGATTGCCACCATTTTATGACGAAGACGTTCCAACTATGTATAGAAAGATTCTTCAAAATCCTTTGAAGTTCCCCCCTTTCTTAGACAATACTGACGCTCAAGATCTTTTAATCAAGTTACTTCAAAAAGATCCAAAGAATAGATTAAGTGACGCTGCACAAATAAAAAATCATAAGTTTTTTAAAGATATAGACTGGAATAAGCTCCTTAACAAGAGCTATTTACCTCCATTCAAGCCGAATGTCGAGAGTCTTTTGGATACCTCAAATTTTGATCAAGATTTCACTAATGAAAAACCTCAAGATTCAGTTGCCGATGACTTTTTAACTGAGAGCGTACAAAAACAATTCGGTGGTTGGACCTATAATGGAGATAATGTCTTTAATAATTAGGAGTGAATCAGGAGAGAATTAAACGATGATCTTAACACAGTAGGAAAAAAGATGAAGAAAATAGTGAAATAGCAGACTAGGAAAGGAAAACAAGCATTTTAAATGAAAATATTGTCGTACATAAATTTATGGAAATCGTTCAATTGTTATTAGCTGCATTCTTGTAAGTGACGCCACTTCTACCAGGAAAGCTCTTCCCAGTAGAATTTGTAGGATCCTTTTTACTTGGGGCTAATGGAGCACCATGCTTAAAGGATGATCTTGGATTAGGAAAATCACCTTGTGCAAATCTCTGCCTGTCTCTTTCCTGGTATCGTATGTAATCTGGATTCAAATGTTCAGGGTTTGCCCTTGTAATATCGACCATCTGGGGAGCGACTTTATATACATTGGGATCATTCATAGGATCGTAAGGTTTACCCTGATTCACATATTGAGTCTGGTTGTTATAATTTGGACCTCCACTTGGTCCCCAAGAACCTGAACTAGGTGGCCCATAGTCCTGTCTTGGCTGCACACCTTCCAGCTCCGAATATGGGGGAGGAGGCAGCTCACGCCGCCCATCGACTGTAGTACCTTGAGCATCTGCTTCTGATTGCTTTGTTTTGAAATTCAGCTTTTCAGATCCTGACATGTTCTAAGTGTTCATGTTCTTTGAAGGTCAATTGCACTTTGATAACTAATAGAGCAACTACTATAACTATGCAATCGGCTTTGTGTCATAAGTCTGCGATGGCACTTTTGTGTAGCTTATTGGGATATCGTATTTTAATTTTTTTTTCATGGTGCTTTCCGAAACGTTAAAGTACAGTCGATATTGGTCACAAAGAAGTTCCTTTAAAGACTTTTTAGCTTCAAAGAGTCAGATGTTCCGTGGTCCCAAATTTACTTCAAATGCTCCTATAATAAAGCAGTTTGTGCGTACCAAGAAGAAGTCGGCACTTACACCATCCACTCAGAAAGTTGTGAATCAACTCTCTGCATTGTCGGCGTCAAGGAAGCAACCGAAATTGATTAGTCTTTGCAATGAGGATTTAATAAAACATAGAACTATTGATAATGCATGGAAATTATATAAGAGAAAAAAACAGCAAAGACAAGATGAAGACCTAAAGAAGCAATATGAGAGTATTGTTAACGCAATGAACGATTTAAAAGAGACCAGTCCTGAGTTATTTGAACATGCCAATAAACCAGAGAGCGATAAAAGGTTCTCGTTAGAAATGAGGATTCCAACCGAATATCCATCTAATAAGCCATGGTTCTACGACTATGTAGCTGAAAAGTAAACACATTATTTGAACATCTTGTAAATATTTAAATATCATTAATTGAATTAGACGTAACATATATGAATAATTTTTTACATTTTACCATCATGACTTTGACAGTTGTACTGGACATCATTAATCATCGAAAGTTCTTGCCTTTCTCTTTCTTCCTGGGGTGGATGAATTTGGGGTGTTCGCAGAATTGCTCGGGGAAGTAGCAGAAGTACCATTTGCCGGAGGCTGTTGAATTGGCTCCACTGTGTCCTCATAGTCATCAAAGTCTTCTTTCGAGCTTGAACCCAATCCCTGCCTTTTCATCATCGCACGAACAAAGGTAGATGAACTAAGACTAAACACATGATCATCATCTGTGTACTGCAATCTCTTTTTGTTAGAGCTTCCACTACTGTTTTTCGCAAAGTTGTCAAATCCTTTGACTATATTTCCGTACATGCTCTCATTAAAGTATTCTGTCTCTTTATCATAGATAGTGTCTTCTAACTTAGCCAATCGAGCGTCAAGCTCCTGCTTTTGCACGATCTGTCGAGTAAGCTGGTCTTTAGCCGCCGTATATTTGTCCATATCTTTATCAAGGTCTACTGTGTAGAAAATAGCACTACCAGCGCTTTATATATAAGTTGTTACGTTATAGAGCCTTATTTTGAAATTGAAAATAAATCGGACATTTCGATGATAAAAAAGTCGATATAATCATGTTTCAGCCAAATTGACACTTTTACATAAAATACAGGTCCAAGCTCAATGAGAGTCGGCACACTCTAGCTACGTCAAGCAACATACTCCACATCTCTAAGAAGCCTTTCCCGGGAGTATTCATCAGTTCTAACAATTACATACCCTATTGATTCCCGGTGTGTTTCGGCAGACTTAAAGTTCAATTTCCGGTTGCTACCGGGAAATCTGCACCCTGCTAGCCTTACGATGCTGCTGCGAGGATTGGTCCTATTATCGAAGCACAACCGACGAGGACCCTGATCTACTTAGTATTAAGAAGCCAAGCCTTACGTGTTAGAGTTCTATACTAATCAATATCTCCTTGGAGACAACTTTGAAGCATCAAGACGGTTACGGTCCTTTTTGCAATAAGGTTCTTTCTGCTAGTTTGTGTCTCAATGCCGCAGCCAGGGAAAGTATGTCTTCGAACACATGTCTCTGATACTGGACCCCTTGATTCCTAAATCTCTACTAGATGCCTTGTAGTCTGTCGCTAAGAGACTAACCCTTGACCATTGAGTCACTGTCGTCATTAGGTGATCAATCACGAGCGTGCTCGGCTGGTCGGGAAAGTGTGATCCACAGAAAGTTGTTGAGACTTGGACACTATAAATACAGCGAACAATCTACGAGTTTTTCGAACCACTCAAGTATATATAATTGTATCAGGTTTTTAGATAAGAATATAGTACAATGGCAGTTACAAAAGTTTTAGGACGTACAGTTTACGATTCTCGTGGTAATCCAACTGTTGAAGTCGACGTCACAACAGAAAAAGGTGTTTTCAGAGCTACAGTTCCATCTGGTGCTTCGACCGGTATTCATGAAGCAATTGAGTTAAGAGACGGTGACAAAAGCAAATGGCTTGGTAAGGGTGTTACCAAGGCAGTCGGCAATGTCAACAACATTCTTGGCCCGGCCTTGATCAAGGAGAACATAGACATTAAGGATCAAGTGAAAGTTGATAACTTCTTGAACTCATTAGATGGTACTCCTAACAAGTCTAAATTGGGTGCTAATGCTATCTTGGGTGTTTCGTTAGCTGTTGCAAAGGCAGCAGCTGCTGAAAAGGGTATTCCATTATATAAGCATGTTGCTGATCTTAGTGGAGCAAGCCAAGATAAATATGTCTTGCCAGTTCCATTCCAAAACGTTTTGAACGGTGGATCTCATGCTGGTGGTGACTTGGCCTTCCAAGAATTTATGATTGTTCCAAGTGGTGCCCCTACCTTTTCTGAAGCTATGAGAATTGGTTCCGAAGTTTACCATCACTTAAAGACCTTGACTGTTAAGAAATACGGCCCTAGTAGTGGTAATGTTGGTGATGAAGGTGGTGTTGCACCTGATATCTCTACTCCAGAAGAGGCATTGGACTTGATTGTGGCTGCAATTGAAAAGGCTGGCTACACTGGCTTAGTTCACATTGCTTTGGATTCAGCTTCTTCTGAATTCTACAAGGATGGTAAGTACGATTTGGATTTCAAAAATCCAAATTCTGACAAATCTAAGTGGTTGTCAGGTCCACAATTGGCAGATTTATATGTCAGTTTGATTGAAAAATATCCAATTGTTTCTGTTGAAGATCCATTTGCTGAGGATGACTGGGAAGCATGGTCACACTTCTTTACTAAGGCTAGTTCCAAGGCACAGATTGTCGGTGATGATTTGACCGTCACTAATATCACAAGAATCAAGACTGCAATTGAAAAGAAGGCCGCAAATGCCTTATTGTTAAAGGTTAATCAAATAGGTACCTTAACTGAATCAATTTTGGCTGCTAACATGTCCTTTGGTGCTGATTGGGGTGTTATGGTTTCTCATAGATCTGGTGAAACTGAAGATACCACTATTGCTGACTTGGCAGTTGGTTTAAGATGTGGTCAAATTAAGAGTGGTGCTCCTGCTAGATCTGAAAGATTAGCCAAATTGAACCAAATCTTGAGAATTGAAGAAGAATTAGGTGACAATGCAATTTATGCTGGAAAGAATTTCCACGTCGCATCTACTTTATAAGTATTTGATGAAAGTTTATCTATATAGCTAAATTGCTACATGATGTAAATGTAACTTTGTTTCTATGACTTCTTTGAAATGTGGTCTAAAGCTTCAAAGAGTCTCTGTGTAGCATAGAAAGTCTCTTCAAATGTATTATATAATGGCGTTGGGCTAATTCTAATGACGTCTGGCTTTCTTTCGTCACAAATAATTGCATGGTCATGCAAGTCTTGAAACACTCTTGACATTGTATCTTGTAATGGATCGTCACTATGTGGCTGAAATAATAGCGAGAGTTGACAACCTCTTTCATTCTGGTTGTGTGAAGTTAAAATCTTGAAGCCAAGTCTTTTTTTATCAGCCAGATTATTCAAGCAATATTTTGAGTTTACTAGTAAGTTCTCAAGAAACAGAGTCAATGCAATGCTTCTCTCTCTTAAGGGAACGATACCACCGGCTCTTTTGAATATCTCTAAGGAAGCTTTTAAGGCGACGCAGTCTATGACTGAAGGATTTGACTGCCTATAAGATAACGCTGAGTTCATTGGATCAAAATTTTCACACATTTTGAAGCGATTTTTCAAGTCGGTGCCCCACCAACCAGCTAATCGGGGCTCGAAGTGATCTCTGGAATTATCTTTGGTATGCTTTTCATGAACAAAGATTCCTCCAATCCCCCCAGGACCAGCATTGAGATATTTGTATGAGCACCAAGCTGCAAAATCAATATCCCAATCATGTAGTTTTAGATCTACATTCCCCACAGCATGTGCCAAGTCCCAACCAACCACAACTCCGTATTTTTTGGCATGTTCAGTGATCGTCCTTATATCAAAATATTGTCCAGTATAAAATTGAATTCCAGGCAAGCAAATGACAGCCAAATTTTCATGGTTTCTGCTAATTGAATCCAAGATATCTTCTGTCCTTAATAAATCCTCTCCTTCTCTTGGAGAAAGCTGTATTAAATGAGACTCATCATATCCATGCAACTTCACTACATTTGAGAATGCATGAAAGTCGGAAGGAAATGCTTGCTTTTCGAACATTATTTTAGTTCTTCTGTTGGAAGGCTTGTAAAAACTCATTAGCAAAGCATTCAAATTACTTGTTAAAGAACCCATGACCGCAACTTCGCTTTCTTTAGCTCCAACAATAGGAGCTAGCAAGGGCAATAAGGGCAAGTCAATATCTACCCAAGAAGTTAATCCGTTCGCATCACCAGGATGGTCAAAATGAGATTCCACTCCTCGTTGACCCCAAGCATCTAATTCATCATTAATTGCTTTTCTCGTATCGTTTGGTAATAATCCCAAAGAATTTCCACACAAGTATATCGACTCAGTTTCTTCAGGAAATTTTTCATTAGTGATGTTTAATGACTTGAAGGTCGGAATCACGAAATCCTTCCTATGTATTTCATACTGCGAATCTAATTTCTTTGCCTCTTTTAAACTCATTTCAGTAGGTCTATTTGCCTCTAGCTTCGTAGGTGCTTTTAGGTGAAGTTTAGCTGACAAATGAACTCAGTTGAGGTTCTTAACACAAAGATGGGATTGATATAGCTATGCGAGAACAGCTGAGTTCAACCATATTTAAATGGATCCCATTGCCTCGACGGGGGCTTCAATCGACCTTGCCAGGGCCACCAAAACGCGAATGAAGAACTTCTTTTCATATGGTTATTAATTGGATGCTAATGCGCTCATATTTTAGGTACAACTGCATCATTTTACTACAAAATTTCCCCTTTTTTGACAGAATAACCCGAATTCTTTCCCAAACCAAAGCTATAATAATTTATATAATATACAATAAGATGATATCCATAAATAATGCATTTAATTGATAGGTATTGGATCAAGTTGCAACTCTTGTGCTTTTGTGTCTATAATAGTGCTACCACTTTATCTGATATATGAGTGCGAAGATCAACTGTCACAACTCACGCCATATTGATGAATATTGTTTTAAATAGTAATAAATATGATTCATTCAGTCTTAATATGTATGTATGAATGATTATTGTGCTTAGAGGACGATTCACTAACCTTTTTAGTCAATAATGATGGTTTACCACGGTTGATGAAATTTTATACACCAGTTGACATATCTACACAAAGACTACTATTACAACAAGTATACCAGTTAGTATCCGTTAGAACGTCTCAAGAATGTTCCTTTTTGACCTCACCTTCACTTTTGGAGGACTTAGATGATATCAAGGTGATATATAGACATTATGCCACATTATACTTTGTATTTGTTGTTGATGATCAGGAATCAGAACTAGGCATATTAGACTTAATACAGGTATTTGTCGAGTGTCTAGATAAATGCTTCACGAATGTATGTGAGTTGGATTTAGTATTTGGTTGGCAAGTATTACAAACAGTGTTGGAAGAAATAATACAAGGAGGCATGGTTATTGATACAAATATCAATAGGATCGTATCCGCTGTCGACGAAGCAAATAGCCAAAAAAGCTATGCTTCAAATGGTTCCGGAGGAGGTATTGGAGCAAGTATATTGCTGGCAATGTCAAAAGAGGGCAGCTTTTGGAGCAGAAATTAAGTCATATAATAAATTAACTAATTACTGTAACTAACACTTCTTACTATTTACTATTTCCATGACCACCAACTACGCTTCTTGGAGGATAACTTCTCCGTCTCTGCGAGATCTTCTTGGGCACGCTTTATTTGTTCTTGTTTAAAATCATCATTCTTCAGTTTTCGAAACAATTCGTAGTCCACCAATTGAGGGTCCATGCCTCTGGTATCCTTATCAAACGGCGACTTAATCTTACCTGCCATCCAAATAGGATTATCACTAGCTGCGGTTTCTCTTGCATTGTCCATTACCGCTTGTTGTTCTTTTTGCCTGAACTCTCTGTCTCTCTCGTACTCTGCTCTGATCTCTGGAGAAAACGATGCAATGAGTTGGTCATCAGTGGGGACAGTATATTTATAAAGGACGACGCCTGTTCCGATAATACCAGCACCTGTAAGAAATACCCGAGCCCAACTGACCCACAAGGGTCTCTGAACACTCATATTTGCCGTCAAATAGTTCTTCTCTTCTACCCTATTACATGCTTTTTTAATGAGCTTACATTTTGAGACTATAAGTCACGTGAGTCGACTGTTGCTATAACGATCTTAAGTGTTTGCCTTAAGCAATGTAAGCAATGTAAGTAAAAGGCAATGAATATGCGTATTCGTAATACTAATCATCTATTCAGCCAAATAGGGAGACTAGCATTATACGGTGTTTCCCCAATCTTAGCATAGCCTTAAAATCTGTCTTATCGTACAGTCTGACTTTTCGCAGACATCATCCATTATACAAAACGATCAGGAGAAAAAAAATTGGTAAACGAGCTATACGACAAAACCTTCTATAATAGAGTCTTAGTATTCAACTACTAAAAATAAGAGCATAGGTGCTTGGTTTTAGGCTTACAGACCCAAAATTATCATTTGAAGTATATTCTGAGGTTCTAAAGGGTTTATCATAAGAGTGACCCCATAACTCAAAAAGTTGTTCGGTATACGCATTACAAGATGTCTGGCACAAAACGAAGCAACACAGGCGCCTTGGATGAAGGTACTGAAGACGATTCTAAAAGATCAAAAGCATCTACAGGAAAGAGAAAGTATCATCAGAAATCTAGGAATGGATGCTCAACCTGTAAGAAAAGAAGAGTAAAATGTGATGAGACCAAACCAGTTTGTAACAAATGCAAACATATGAATTTAACGTGTGGTTATGTGCTTAACGAAGATGATAGGAAGAAAGAAGATGAAGAGGGAAATTTTGTTAAGAAAAGAAAGGTTTCGGACGCGTCTTCGCCAGGTTCGTCGTCTCTGGAAAAATCAGTGCCAACGACACAACAGGCGACACCTTCAATAACCCCAAGTCCGAATGAATTGGGCGATAAACTGAACCTGGGATTCAGTAGTATTCCATCGACTTTACTTCAGGCAGGTAACTTAAATAATTTGAATTTGAGTCATCTTGTAAACAATTTAAGTGGATTAGGGGGCAACCTTAATAATCTAGGGAATTTAGCGAGTTTAACTAATTTGGCCACATTGGCACAATTGCCCATTGATTTGAGTAATTTAGGTCTGATAATAGATTCTCAGATCCATAAATCGGTATCCAGTAATCTTAATGGGGCTTATAGTGGAAGTGCTAACTCAACAAGTAATAAGAGCAGCCACAATAACCATAACAACATAAATAATCAAGAACATGAAAACATTGAAGGGGTTCGTAATGTGCCTCCCTACCCAGATGCTAAACACAGAGAAGATGTTCGAAACGGCAGAGTTAAAATTAATGATTCAATTTCTTCTGCATCCTCTCAATTGAATAATCAGTCACAATTCAATAATGTGCTAAAAGATAAGTCTAATGATTCGGTAAACAATCGTCGTGATACTGACGCAAAACAGCATGGAGATACACCTACACCAAATAATTCGTTGCCCACCATTTCCCCTAATATAAATACCCTGGCAGCAGGTCTAACAAATAATCCCCTCAACAATCCAATGGCTGGTATGGAGTCTACTAATTTGAATATGCTCGATTTGAGATTAATGTTCCATTACACAACTCAAGTTTCGAAGACCATCACAGCAGCAGGAATATCTGATACTCATGTATGGAGCCATGACATACCCATGTTGGCATTCGATTATCCTTTCTTAATGCATTCCATACTCGCATTCAGTGCGACTCATTTGTCACGTACAGAGAAGGGTTTAGATCAGTGCGTGACTTGTCACAGAGGAGATTCTTTGAGGCTATTACGAGAAGCAGTTTTGGATATTAACTCAGACAACACCGATGCGTTGGTGGCGAGCGCTATAATTTTAATCATGGATTCCTTGGCTAATGCTTCGTTTCCTCTGTCGACTTCTCCGAAGTCTCTACCTGCATCTGCGTGGATATTTCATGTCAAAGGAGCTGCTACAATATTAACGGCTGTTTGGCCGTTGACAGAAACCTCACGGTTCTACAAGTTTATATCTGTCGACCTAGGGGACTTGGGCGACATCATGGGCAGAAGAGTTAATTTTTCGAAGAGTACTGGGGATGAGAAAGAAAGATATTATACCGATCTCGAATGCCACGACTCTGATATAGCGGATCTTTTTCCTGTTCCGATTGACTCACCGTATTTAATTACCCTAGCATATTTGAGTAAACTTCACAAGGAAAGGTATAAATCGGACTTTCTCTTACGAGTGTTTTCATTCCCAGCATTACTTGATAAAGAGTTTCTTTCATTACTTATGACAGGCGATGTCAAATCCATGAGAATCATGCGATCCTATTATAAATTATTACGATCCTTTACTACTGAAATGAAGGACAAAGTATGGTTCCTTGAAGGTGTATCTCAAGTTCTCCCGGTAGATGTTGAGGAGTATGCTGGTGGTGCAGGTGGAATGCATATGATGTTGGACTTCCTTGGTGGTGGTCCAGCGATCGTGGAGAATGACCTCGACGAAGAAATATCGAAGTTTGATCCTACAGGTTCTTTGACTAAGGGGCTTGTCGATACAAATAATCTACCTAGCGATATTACTAGTAATCTCGACGTAATGCAAGGAGACAGTGGCTTTATGAACATTAAATAGAATATATACATATACAAATATCCGTTTTGTCTTCGAGATCCTCTGGAGAGAATTATTTTTTAGTCGTGTAGGACGCGATTAGTTACCCGCACAACCTAAAAATTTAATTATTTGCTGAAACAGCGTATTAGGGATAAAACGCCTATCTAAACATTGTTTTTTTCTTTTTTTCAATTACACATAGTTTAATAACGGCTATCAATTTCCAGTGAATACCATAGATTGGAAATCGCTCTATTTAATAGCTGGTAGCAATAAGCTGGATTGAGACAAAAAAGCATAAGATCAACTTTTTTCGAAGTTCGGTACAAATCGCAGTCAGTAAATAACAAGTGGTTGACCAGTAGATTGCATTTGAAAGAAAACGCGTACGAGAACTAATTCAAGGCATTAAGAAAAAGTTAAGAGACTTCTGGCTTATAGGATCCAAGATAGCCCCAAGTAAATAGAAGAAGAATCAAGGGTTTGTTTAAGTAAGATTCTTGAGACAGAAATAAGATTATTTGAATTTTAAGAGATTTGATCACACATATCTAACAAACAAAATCAGAAATGCAAACTATAAAGTGTGTCGTAGTTGGAGACGGTGCTGTCGGAAAGACATGCCTATTGATCTCATACACTACAAGTAAATTCCCAGCTGATTACGTACCAACAGTATTTGACAACTATGCCGTAACGGTCATGATTGGTGACGAACCATTTACGTTGGGATTATTCGATACTGCTGGACAAGAAGATTATGATAGATTGAGACCATTATCATACCCTTCAACAGATGTTTTCTTAGTATGTTTCTCAGTTATTGCCCCTGCATCATTTGAGAATGTCAAAGAAAAATGGTTTCCAGAAGTGCACCATCATTGCCCAGGTGTGCCTTGCTTAATTGTCGGTACCCAGACAGATTTAAGAAACGACGAAGTAATTTTACAGAGATTGCAAAGACAAAAATTGTCACCCATTACTAGCGATATGGGTGAAAGACTAGCTAAAGAATTAAGAGCAGTAAAGTATGTCGAGTGTTCTGCATTGACACAAAGGGGTTTGAAAACTGTCTTTGATGAAGCCATTGTGGCTGCTCTTGAACCTCCAGTCATCAAAAAGTCGAAGAAGTGTATTATTTTGTGATCATTCATGTGTCACTTAAACTGTCAAGGAGATAGAAGAAAAAGAGAAAAGACGTGCGAAAAGCAAAATGCATAGGTAACTATTCTTGTCGCTAACTTTCATGAAAAGCGCTAATCAACATGTTCGTGCCATAATCGCAGGACAATACCTTCATCTACGTTAATATTTCACCATTTTAATGCCACCGGTCTTCCACTATCTAGACTTCTATTGGACACGAATCATAGCTGTCTTGAGTTTAGACCCTTCAGTTTATTTCTGCTGTACCTCTCCCTTTATCACTATATCTTTGTAAAGCAATTTTCATAAATTCCATATCTCAGGTGACTAAAACCTCTTCGGTACTTTTTTCTATTCGTACATACCTACCGGTTTTGGTGGTATAAATGCAAGCACATTCTACCTGACAAACAATAAACACTTGCCCTCACATTATTATGTGCCCTCGGTATTTAATCTTTCAAGGGATACCGATCATAGCACGGACTTGCTCCGTTCTGATGCCTTTCTACAGATCGGAGAATTTCCGAGCCTGAACACTTAAAATGTCTGAGACATGCATCAAAGTTTGTCAACAGTTGAAGTCTGAGGAGATTGGTCCTAAATTCAATACCTAAATAGATAGACAAAGATAGATAAAAGGATTGTGTGGCCATGAGTTCAATAGATTCAAGTCCTCAGCTACAGGCTCGTAAGGCTTCGATTGCTAGCGACGATAATATACGTTCTGGGGGCAGCAAGACTAGTGGCAACGTGTCTGAGGATACAGCTTCAACAGTTTCAAACATATCGCCAGCTCGCACTGGAGAATCAAATGAAAAGGATGATGGAAGCAATAGTACATGGCATAAGCTTCAGCATGGCTTATCTGGATTCAGATCTTTTTTGGGAAACTTGAACTATATTTCAGACAACATAGACTATTTAAATGAAAGGGTAGGGCCCTCATCGCCTGAAAGTGATCCTGACAGACTAGAAGAGTATTTACAAATAGGAACCGAATCTATAAATGGGTTTACACTTTTGCTGCAAATGGCATCTCTCTTTGAGCTGTCCATTCAGATATATCACGCAATAGAAAACAAGACTGAACGTACGGTCTTAGTCAGACTTTCTCCAAATATGAACGGATCCTTATCATTTTCTGGGATTCTAAATGAGTGGTATATACTTTCTGGGTTAAACCCTCCAAACAAACACAGATTATGGACTAATGAGCACCTCGATAACGACTACCTACCAAAAGAAGATTCCATCGACTTTGACTGTAACAGGCCTGATTTTCTTGCTCCTGTAACTTTGCCTAGAGGAATAAAAGGTATATTATATCCCAGTAAGATAGCTTACTGTGATGAAGAAGTGGAGGATGAAACTTCACAGAAACGTTTTGCATTGATCTATGATGACTTCCATTACAAGTCTTTGAAAGACATTCATTCAAACCTTAGCATTCAAGGCAATACTGAAATGAGAGGAGGCAGTAGTGTTGCTTCTAGCGTCAGCTCAGATAGCATAGTTGTCGGAAACAACAATTTGAGTGGCTCGTACCTGTTAGGAGTGTCTAATCAAACCCTGAATGGCACAAATCTTACCAACCGCTTATTTGAAGACATAGCTAGGAAAGCAAAACAGTCTCCGAAGTCACCACTTAAAGTAATTGAAATTATTAGTGATATGATACAGCTATTAAAACCCCTAGCTACCGTCCATGAATTTGGCATTGTTCATAATGGTATTACAAGTTCCAACATCTTGAAGTCAACTGAAAAAGCTTCAAATGTTGTTTTGACTGGATGGGATTTTTGCTTCTCTTTACAGCCCGAGGATTCGTCAAACGGATATCGGAAGAGGCATTTGGCTCAAGTGCCTGATCTCTTGCCCTATATTTCTCCAGAAGCCACTGGAGAAATCAATAAATCTGTTGATTATAGGTCAGACTTTTACGGAATTGGAATAGTTTTGTATGAACTTTTGGTAGGATGTCTTCCGTTTGTTACTGATTCTGATCCTTCCAGGTTGATTAGGATGCATATATTACAAAAACCCATAGCTCCCCACTTAATCTGCGAAAGTTGGATATCAGAGACTTTAAGTAACATCATAATGAAGCTTTTAGAGAAGAATGCATCAGACAGGTATTCTGATTGTAACAGTCTAATAAATGACTTGGTTAAGGTAAAAAACTCATATATTGATAACATTTTGCAAATGAGTCACAGTGTCTCGCAATACTGGTCAAACGATGAAAAAACTAAGGAATATCTTCTTAAGGAGCCATATTTTCATCCCGAGAAAAATCATATTCCTCCTTCTCAATTGCTTCCTCGAAAGTTGGTAGGGCGTGAACAGGACTACAAAAACCTCATTAACTTCTATTACACGTTTGGATCTTATGCTTCATTCATATTCATCAAAGGGCCATCAGGTGTTGGAAAATCGGCCTTGATGAATGATTTAACAGTTGAAGCCATATCAAGCCGTGACTACTATTGCCACTGGAAATTTGAAAGACTGGAGTCTGGAAACGTCTATAACTTTTTTCTTCATTCAATGAAGACAATTATCAATCAAATTTTAAATTCTTCGAATCATCAAATTCAGAAAATGAATGATTTAATTATTTCTAATATACCCCTAGATCTTGGAATATTATTTCGTCTAATTCCCGAGCTTAAGACTTTGCTAGGTCCAAAGTATAGTGGGATATATGAACGCACCTCATCCAGCGTTGACACAGATAATAATAAATCTGAAGATCATACGTTTAACCTAGACTTGAAGTTCAGGTACATTTTGAAAGCTTTTTTTTGCGTAATTGGACTGCAAGGATTAACGATATTTTTAGATGACCTTCATTATTGCAGCATGGCAGAATGGTCAATGATATCTGAGTTTTTGGATTATGCTCGAACCAAGAATTCGAAAGGAAATATGTCAATTCGAATAGTTACTACATATGACGATCTGCACAAGAACTCGGATAACTCACTAAACATCAGGTCAATTTATACCTTTTTGAAAACTAGAGATGCTCAACATCATGTTTTAAACTTGAAATATCTCGAAAGAAGCAAATTTGGAGAATATATAAATGCTGTGAGTACTGTAAACCCCAGACATCAAGCTGGTCCAAGTAGCTATGACGATACAACAAGCTCATCTTCGATGTTGAATAAACTGAAACAAAATGGATCTAGCGAACAAGTGCAAACTCTCAGCTCTAAGCTATTTGCGATGACAAAAGGGAATATATTAATCACGAATTATTTGCTTCGTATAGCAGGTTTAACTGGCAACATAAAGTTAGATGCAAGTGCAATTCCTAGCGACATGAAATGGCTGTTTACATTTAGCGATAAAATCTTGAAATTGAAGCAAAGTGAAATATTGAAGACTTATCTCACCTTAGCTGTACCCAACGAAGCAATATCTCTTCTAAAGTTTGCTGCGCTTTCAAGTCCTGAGTATTATTTCTATTTATCTGATTTGATAATTGTTTCAGACTTATCGATGGATGACGTGTTCAAATTGCTCAACTTATGTGTGGAAACAAAAATCATTGTTCCAACAAGAACCTATTATAAACTTCCCTTTCATCTAATGATGTCCTCGAAATTTCCTATAGATATAAGCGATTCCGGCGTCTGGATGCTTGCCACACAAACAAGATATAGATTTAGTCACGATGACATACGAGCTGAACTTCTTGAACAGTTAAATAGCAGTGGTGATTTAGAGCAGTATCACAGACTCTGCGGATTGAGGCATTACAAAAGGATCAAGAACTTACCAGATTTTAGCATAAGATATTATCTCAAAATGGCAGCACATTTCAGTGGCTCGTGGAAAGTAGCCAAAGATGATGAAGAACATATTTATTTAGAGGTCTTACTTGCGGCAGGTCGTTACGCATCATCAACTTATAGCGTAAAGGACTCTTTGAAATTCTTCGAAATAGCAGACAAGTTTATCAAACCACGTGATAAGAAGAGAAAAGTAAAGAGTGCTTTCACTCTATGTCAATGTAATTATTACTTGAAAGACTACAGAGCTTGCCTTAAGATAATCGATAGCACTAACAAACTTTACAGTTTTAGTGAAACTTTGTTCTTGACGTGGAAAGTGCGATCTCTTTTCAGACTTGGAGAAACCGAAAAGGGTATACTAGTTGCAGTCGAGGGTTTGCAAAAAGTTGGGTTTGATGCTAGTCTTGATGAGTCAATTAATGTAAAGGCTGGAAAAGAAGCTTTGAAGTCTATTCCATTATCAGTTGCTGAAATCAGAAACTTGAGACTGCTACCTTTAGCAACGGATCCAGATACTAGGTTGGCATATGAATTAATATGTGATATGATAGCCCCAACTTACATTCTTAATAAAAGGAACTTAAGGACATCGCTTGTTCGACAGTTGATAACAGCTATGAATACGAGGGGTGTCTCATCATATTGTGCTATTCCATTATTGGAATTTGCCAATAATTTGGCGAAAGAAAATGATAAGGCTAGCTTTAGCAGATGCATTCAGTTTTGTGAATTTGCTTTGGAATTAGTCAGTCAAGATGAGAAGGTTTCCTTTGCTTTCGTTAAAAGTGTTTATGAAATATATATCAGTCTGTTGGCAATATTCATTGAACCTATTGGTGATGTTTTCAAATATTACGACACGTTTATCAGCTCCACAAAAGCATTGGGCTATCAGTCTTCGAGTTTGGATATCGTCAAGAAGTCAGCTAAGCTCTATTTATTATACTACACAGGACATCCATTGGACCAAATACTTGCATCCTGTGACAATTCCTCCCTTGTGTCGAATTACCATCTGTCAAATGAAAATGATTTTCTTTTAGCAGTTTTGCATTTACTTCAAAGTCAATTAAATGTTGATGATTTAGAAAAGATATATGAAAACTTGGACCAAAAATCGAGCGCTGCTACATTCAGCTATTACAACCTCAAAACACTCTATTTCACAATCACAGGGCGTCTTGAAGAGGCAGAGGAACTCTTGATCAATCATGCGTACCACTTGCTGCAAGATCTCTCGTTGTCAATAATGCACATAGACTTTTATTGTCTTGCAGCATTCGTCTTGTGTCAAAGCAAGCATCGTAATGAGAGTACTAGGCAAGCCATATTTGATAAAGCCTATAAACTGTTTGAAGTATGGAATGAAATGTGCCCATCTACATTCGCACCGAAGTTCTTACTTGTCAAAGCCCTAAAAGATATTTATGAAAATTGCAACTCTTCATTATCAATACTAGATACGTTTGAGGAGTCGATCGAACTTGCGAAAGAGAGCGGAAGTTGGTACGATGTGGCATGGGGTAGCTTACAATGTGCAATATGGCTTAAGAGGACAGAAGGTAGTCGTCGCAGAATTTCATCTCATGCCAAAGTAGCCTTGGAGACCTTTAGAAGTTTGAAGGCCACGTTGCTAGTTGAAGCAGTTGAGCGATCTTTTAGTAATTATCTTAACGAGTCCTATAACTGGGCTGGTTTAACTAATAAGTCTTTAAGCAGCGGTGATTTGACTAAATCTTTAGACAAGGGGCGGGGAATGCCATTGAATAATTCTTTAAATTCTTTCTTCACCTCTTCTGACTACACTAAGAGGAATAAAATTAAAATAGGTGAAGAAGTGTCTCAAAAAATGAGAGTAAGAAGGCTGATGAATAATGAAAGAGATAGCAATGAATCGTTAAACAGAGCTGTTCAGGCATGTTTAGCAATTTCGGAGTCGTACGATAATGATCTGATAGTTTTGAATTTGCTAGAGAGCACAATTATCCTTTCGGATGTGGACTATGGCGCGGTTGTGGTTAAAAGTGAAAATGAGCCTTTCATTAAGGCGGTAGGATCACCAAATAATGTTTATGGAATCAAACACCAGCCATTAAGTTCAAGGAATGACTTATGTCCATTTTCACTACTTACGTATGTGATGCTCACTGGGGAATTCGTTAATAAAGATGAAGATCATATACTTTTTGAAAAAAGGTTCGGCAAAGACGAGTATTTCCTGCAAAATACATGTGCTGCTATGATATGTATTCCTTTAAAAAACCAAGCTGGAGTTTATGGTGCACTTTACTTGGAGAAGAATGGTGGATCTAAAGTGCGTTTACCTTATTTTGGAGCGAAGAAGCGAGACCTCTTAAACTTGTTGTGTTCGCAGACTGCTATCTCTTTAGGCAAAGCTATTCTTTATTCACAAATGGAGGTAGCCAAAAAGGCAGCAGAGGAGGCAACTGCTGAAAAAGCCAGCTTCTTGGCCAATATGTCTCATGAGATTCGGACTCCTTTCAATTCCTTATTGTCTTGCTCTATGTTTCTTCTTGATACTCCGCTCAACATGGCACAAAGAGAGTATGTTGAAACAATTAAAAGTTCTGCTCTTGTAACTTTGAACATCATTGATGGTATCTTGGCATTTTCAAAAATAGAGCATGGATCATTCACTTTAGAGAATGCACCATTTTCTCTAAATGATTGTATAGAAAGTGCATTGCAACTAGCATGTGAGCAAGCTGCAGCGAATGATTTAGAATTGGTCTTTTTCAACAGGTGTCAGAACATAAAAAACATTTTTGGTGATCTTACAAGATTCAGACAAATTATTATCAACTTAGTAGGGAATTCGGTGAAATTTACTCAGGATGGTCATATATTAGTCGAAGTAAATGCAACGAAAATTACTTCAGATAGATATAGAATTCATGTCTCAGTTGAAGATACCGGTATTGGTATTCCCGATGAATCAAAAAGTAAAGTTTTTGGTGCATTCTCACAAGCTGATGGCTCCTCAAGAAGAGAATTTGGAGGTTCAGGCTTGGGATTGACCATATCTAAAAAATTGGCGGACTTAATGGGCGGCTCTTTGACATTCGAAACGTGTCAGAATGAGGGCAGTGTGTTTCATTTGGTTTTAAATACACAGGTTGAGTTGTTAAAGGAACCAGAAATTACACTCTCAGGCAAAGAGGGCATGTTTGGATTCAATAACGCAGCCTTGATCTTGGATAGACGTGTGCTTAGTAGAGAAGCACTTAGAGAGATGTTGACATATTTTGGAATGAGTGTGACTGTTTCAACGACAGATAAGGCTGACAAGGATGATCTAAAAAATTTTTCACTAGTAATAGCTCATCAGGAAGGTTTCAGTTTCTTAAAGGATAACATGAGGCAATTGCATAAGGATTGTAAGATAATAGTGGTTGCACAATTTGGAAATTTATTGTCGAAAGAAATCGAATCTTATCCTGTACTTTTATATCCGTTCCAAAAGCAGAAGATTATAAATATGATCAATGGTCTCAAAGAATCCTCTGAAAATCTTAGCCTGAATCTGAGCACATTTACAGAAGCACTAAAGTCTGATTCACTTCTTTCCGAGCGCTATCCCTTAAGAATCTTACTTGCGGAGGATAACTTGGTCAATATAAAGGTTGCGCTTCAGCATCTAAAAAAACTAGGTTATGATGCCGATCATGCTAAGGATGGAGTTGAGGTTATAGTGAAATGTGAAAGCTTGTTGGAGAAGGACGAGAAGTATGATGTTATTTTAATGGATATTCAAATGCCTAGAAAGGATGGTTTATCGGCTACTATTGAACTCAGAGAATTGTTTGATAAGAAGAATAAATCAGAATATGTGCCAATGATTGTTGCATTAACTGCTAATGTTGCTGGCGAAGACAGAGAAAAATCTCTTGGCTGTGGTATGGTAGATTTTATATCAAAGCCGATTCTTCCAAGCGAGTTGAAAAGAGTCTTGTCAGCAGTCGGTGAGAATTTGAAGTAGGTACATTTAAAACACTATAGATTTAGAAAATATCGACTATTAATCGCATATCAACAGTTCAAACTTTATAGACTTCTAAAAATTGACTGAATTTAGGCAGCGGCCTTTTGTTTCGACTCTCTGTAGAGCTGTAACCTTTTGTCAGTCCAAGCTTTCAATTTATCAGCATACGCCTTTTTCTCAGATTCGGGAACCGTATATTTTGCTTTTTCCTCATTGCTAAGAGATTTCCATTCAGAGGCCAATTCCTTGTTGATGTCAGCGAAACTACGACCATCGTTTTCATAATTCTCTTTAACAAATGCAGCGTAACCGCTTGCAGGGGCCTTTGGTTTAGGAGTATAGATCTGCAGCTTTTGCTCGTTGTAGTCGTCGGCTAGTTCCTTATAATAGTCTTTTTCGTTATCACTTAAAACATTCCAAGCATTTGTGGCCTCTTTCAACGACTTCGTAGAAGTATTTTCCTTAATAAACAAATTGTAAGGTGATAACTTTCTAAATGTCTTAGTAGCCGCGCTCAACTCTTTCTTGGACTTATCCTTTGCTTTAATGGCAAGAAGCTTTGCTTTCTCTTTCTGTGATCTTTCCTTCTCTTTCGATTTCAACTTTTTTGCTTCTTCCTTATATTTTTTTTGCAACTTAGAGAGGACACCCTTTTCTTTCGAGAGCTTGGTTTTTAAAGTATTTAATTGTTTCCTTTCTCCGGATAGGGTCTTTTTCTTCGTTGATAACGCCCTTTTCTGGTCAATCTCTTTGCTGTTACAGTTTAAAAAACCGGTCGCTGAGAGCGATGGCACATAAAATTTCAATCCAATTGCAGTCGAAACTGAACTATTTTCACGTAATACGCCTTTACCAAAACGGCTAAATTGAGACCTTAACATTACAGTAACACGATAAGTTGTCTCCTATTCTTTTAAGTATAAATTAGATAGATTATATGCTGTTTTGTTTTGTTTATTTATGACCAGTATCATTATCCGCGTTGATTACATAAGCGATATAGAGTTGCAACCCGTCATACGATTATAATCAAAACTGAAGCCTCAAATGGACGTGAAGAAAAACAATTCAAGAATATGACGCTAGTCAAACTTGATATACGATCCATTTTACTATACTTTAAACTTGGATAAGCTGGTCTAGGTTATTCTTTAACTCAGAAAAAAAACCTCATTTTTTTGGGAGAACGAGAAGATAGAATGAACAGCAAAAGGAATATGAACGTTTCAATATAATTCCTCGACAGATCATAAAAGACGGCTTTCAAAATCAAAAGAACTTCACCGTTATTTTGCCTGATAGAGAGACTGTCTTATATAAAAAAATTAAGAGATGAAAAAAATAAAGTCGTTCCTAAACCGGAATCCTCATCAACGAACATTCAAGGCAAATGCCACTATTGTGAATTATAAATCTGTTGCTAATAAGCTAGAATCAAAGAATATTGGAGCAAATGTTTTCAGCAGCTCGTTCAGATACCTTATTCTTAGGTGGCGAAAAGATCAGTGGTGATGATATTCGTAACCAAAATGTATTAGCTGCACAGTCCGTGGCCAACGTTGTAAAGTCGTCCTTGGGGCCAGTTGGATTGGATAAAATGTTGGTCGATGATATTGGAGATGTTACGGTAACAAATGACGGTGCTACGATCTTATCGCTCTTGGATGTTCAACATCCAGCAGGTAAAATCTTAGTGGAGTTGGCACAGCAACAAGATCGAGAAGTTGGAGATGGTACCACTTCAGTTGTAATTATTGCTAGTGAATTGTTGAAAAGAGCCAATGAATTAGTTAAAAATAAAGTCCATCCCACCACGATTATTAGTGGCTATAGACTCGCTTTAAGGGAGGCCATTCCTTATATCAATGAAGTTTTGTCACAGTCAGTCGATTCTTTAGGGAAGGAAACGCTCATCAACATAGCGAAAACTTCGATGTCTTCTAAAATCATTGGATCCGATTCGGATTTTTTTGCTAGAATTGTTGTCGATGCAATGCTTGCTGTTAAAACTCAAAACTCTAAAGGTGAATTAAAATATCCAGTCAAGGCGGTTAATGTCTTAAAAGCGCACGGTAAGTCCTCTACAGAGTCGATGCTCATTAATGGATATGCTCTCAACTGTACCATCGCCTCCCAAGCGATGGTCAAGTCAGTTAAAAATGCCAAGATCGCTTGTTTGGACATTAACTTACAGAAAGCTAAAATGGCAATGGGCGTTCAAATTAACATTGATGATCCTGATCAGTTGGAAGAAATTAGAAAAAGAGAATATGGAATTGTTATCGAAAGAATCAAAAAGATTTTAAGTGCAGGTGCCAACGTCATCTTGACCACAAAGGGTATAGATGATTTATGCTTGAAGGAATTTGTAGAGACTAATACAATGGCAGTGAGACGTTGCAAAAAAGAAGATCTCAGAAGAATTGCAAGGGCTACTGGTGCTACCTTAATTAGTAACTTGTCGAACTTGGAAGGTGAAGAGTCGTTTGAGGCATCTTCTTTGGGCCAGGCTGAGGAGGTTGTTCAAACAAGAATTAGCGATGACGAGTGCATTTTGATTAAAGGCACCAAACAACATTCGTCTTCCTCCATAATATTGAGAGGTCCTAATGATTATTCTTTGGATGAGATGGAAAGATCTTTACACGATTCCTTGTCGGTGGTTAAAAGAACTCTTGAGAGTGGTCATGTTGTCCCTGGTGGAGGTGCCGTCGAAGTCGCACTTAATATTTATTTAGAAAATTTTGCTACGACTGTTGGATCTAGGGAACAATTAGCTATTGCAGAGTTTGCTAATGCTTTATTGATAATCCCGAAAACATTAGCGGCAAATGCAGCTAAGGATGCATCTGATTTGGTTTCGAGATTAAGGACATATCATGCTGCTTGTCAAACCGCTTTACCTTCAGACACTAAAAGAAAGAAGTATAAGAACTACGGGCTTGATTTGATTGAAGGAAAGATTGTTAACGAAAGTATCAATGGTGTTTTGGAGCCAACAGTTTCTAAAATTAAATCATTAAAATCTGCATTAGAAGCTTGCATTGCCATCTTACGAATTGATACCATGATCACAGTTGCGCCGGATCCGCCCAAAGAGGACCCACATCAACACTAAGAGCTAGTGTCACGCTCTTCTTTTCTATCTTCATGATACAGTCAATAAAATAATTACTTTGATACTACGCTGTAAGCCTAAATGAGTCAATATTACTATTGTCTTTAATGTTACCTGAAATATGTGTGGCCTGAAATTAATTATATAGAAGTGAAAAAAAATAAATGCACATACTTAGTCCAAATTCTAAGCCAAAATCCTACCAGAATGTCTTGTATTAATATTGTTTTCAGCAGTCAGATCTGCCCTTACGTTAAATAATTTTGTAGTTTGACGGTCAGGACGAGCAATATTCAAATATGTTGAAGACTTTGCCATCAAAGGCTCTCTTGGTTCGTGGTCGCTGCAAAGACTATGCAAACTCGATGTAGACTTCTCTTGGTAACGAAGCGAGTATGCAGAATCCGAACCATGCAAATGGGACGTTGAATTGACGGATGAGATTGATGATGATGACGATGATCTCGAAGTAGCCGATACTGATAAAAGTGATCTATTGCTATGGCTTGAAAGCTTATAGTAGCTTGTCTTTTTGACACTGTCATCTTCGATTCTTTTGGCCAAGGTCGATCTGATAGATGTGAGGAACGGTTGCAACGCAACAACTAGTTCATCTTCCCGTATTGAAATGTCCCATTTCAACAAGGCAATCAATTCACGCTCGGCCATATTGACCTCTTGATTTGTTAACAATCCGTCGGTGTATCTCGTCCAATGCTTGTTTAAAGGAGATGAATCATTCAACGTCTTGGCGGCCAAAATTAATGACGCCAAGAAGATACGATGCTTGGTGGTTTCCATTCCCACAGCATTTGCAGGAAGTAGGTTTCTCAACCTGTTGAGATAAATCAAGCTAGCCATCAAGGTTGGGGTTTGGACATTAGAGTATTTGATTAAGTTTTTAATGAATATTTTCAAAGATGTGATCTTTTTTTCCACAGGGAAGAACTCTGAAGATGTGCCTTCCAATGGTCTAAATTCTGGCTTCTTCTGCTTTACTTGAATTATGGATTCCGTAGTCGCTGCTAGGAAGTCCACCATTTCTTGACTCACTCTTTGGCGAGCAAAAACCTTTAAAGCATCTATGTCAGACATGTTGATTTGCCAGTATGATCTAACTTAATTACCAGAGCTTACTTTAAGTCCTTCAATTCTGGTCTTATGCCGCAGATCAGATGTTGAAAAAACAGACTCAATGAACACTATTACCTCCTTCTCGCTTGGCAGCTAGCTGTCCTAGCGATTACTGACTTAGTGCTAACCCACCACAACTCAATTGACCTGTAGTTCAGTACGTACTACAACTATCAGGTTAATTAATGAATATTATATTATTGAATAGCGCTCAGGATATTTCATTTTTATATATCGCTCGTTGACTATGTCCTTACGATTGCCTTTATTACTGCAACTAGTGATGCTCCCTTTATTTTTCAAATAAATTTCCCCATGTGGTAACACCGCTGATATCTTGAGTAAAATTTTTGTCGGTCGCGTTGATGTTTCTGCTGACGCGTTCGCGCAATCTGCAAGGTTGACTGAGCGACGTGTTTCCAGTGAAATTGGCGTCAGATACTGCGCAAGGGGTGTCTCGACATAGAAAATTCAGTCCAGACAATACAATCTGGGCAGCCTTGAACTTTCCTTGGGAAGGAGTCATATAACGTGAATTAATGCAGACACGGCTACCCCAGTGCAACTATTACAAACGTGCATCAGCCTGGCAGCTGAAAACGTAAGCGAGCTTCAGTAGGGTCTTTGCTACCCCTAAGGTTCCTAGTATTACATGGCCACCCCGTGACGATCAAAGATGAAGGAGGAAGAAGCTTAGGCAAATGTAAATGGTGCTGATGTTCTAGAAGCTTACAGTGATGTAGATTAATTTATTGAGATAAGTGACCGCCAAGCACTTGATTTCTGCAGGGGCTGAAAGTGTTCACCCAGGTCGTCACCGAATACAGATGTGGTTGCATGAATAGCTTGTCGTTAAGAAATGAATCAAATATTAAATAAGACCTTGTTACCTTGTGACCTTCTGACCTTATAATGTATATCTGGTGGTATATTTAAAGTTAACCAGAGGTCGATACGATTACTTCCAAACTTGGAATGAGGATCCGGATAAAGATTTTAAGAGCCACAGAATGGTCGAGTAAGTAGTTGTATATTGATACCTTACGTAAATGGTGACTAGAATACATACATGGGCCGCAATGACCGTGAGGATCTCTATTCAAGTGCAGAGTCTGGATAATAAAAAAAAGCTAAGGCAATTATTAAATAACTGCTCAAGAGCATAGCTCCCTCCAACCAATTTGACTCCCCATCAAGAATCACTAAATTTGTAATAAATACAGAAACAAACAAAACTAACGTCTCGAACGTAGAAAAATACAAGGACATTGGGACGCCTATAGCCCAACCCACGAGAACCATAAAGGGAGTCACGAAAATGGCAATTTGAAGCGAAGAGCCAACGGCTACTCCAATTGCTAAATCCATCTTGTCTTTCATAGCAACAATTACAGCTGTGACATGTTCAGCAGCATTACCCACAATAGGGATGATCACTAACCCAATGAAAGTCTTTGACAACCCTGAGGATTTAACTATGTTATCAATGGATCCAACCAATGAGTCTGCACAAAATGAAACGAGAATAGTAGCAAACACTAAAACCGAAACAGCGCTTATTATAGATAAATGATCATTCTCTTGCTTTCCTCCATCATCGGGAGGCAATGATGTGGTAATAATTCCATCATCATCTGGTACCTGCTCTTCGAATAATGATTTGTGTGTTTTCAATTGAAAGAGGAGGTACAAAACGTAAAGTAGCAAAAGTATAATTGAAACGCCTCTTGAAAGCGAAAGAATCAAATCGTCGGAATCAGGAGTCCCAATTGGTTTGTGCTTGGAACTCGGTAAGGTGGCATGAAATGCAGCAGGAAGCATCAAGCCAATTGTAGCCAATGCCATTAAAGAAGACATTGTTTGCGCAACCGTTTGGTTAAAAGTCTGTTGCACTCGTGTAACTCCACCAGCAATAAAACAACAGCCCAAGACTAATAATAAATTAGACAATATTGATCCCAACATACTGGCTTGAACAATTCTAACCTGATTATTGCGCAATGCGATAATAGATACAATCAATTCGACAGCATTCCCAAATGTAGCATTAAGAAGCCCACCAATAGTTTCACCTACCTTTTCTGCTATCTCTTCAGTAGCGAAAGCTAAAAGAGATGCTAAAGGCACAATAGCGAGAAAGTTGAGCCAAAAGATTGCATTATGTGACCAGCCTAATCCACTAGCTATTAATCCTAGCGGAACAAACACCAACAAGTAATTGACTGGAGAAGATTTCAAGGTTAAGATCGTTGTTTTGTAAACAGTCCTCTTGAAGGATTCAGATTGGCTGCTGGCTCCATCTCTACCGATTAACGGTAAATTCTCTAATGATGACATTTAAATGCTCAACTGTTGTAATCTACAAGGTTTTAGCAGTTGAAGAGATGGCTTAGCCTTTTTGTACCCGAGATAAAATAACGCGCACGTGACTATTGAAACAATACGCTGCAATTGCTATTGGGACAGGATACTTATTAAAGAACGATTAGATTGAAATTCATTCCTAGCTATCTCTACTCTATTAAACTAGCTCTTTCCATAAATATGGAGTGAATACAAAAATGGCAGCGATTATTGTTTCAATAGCTTCATAAAGTGCTATGGGAAAGCCGACAATCCCTCTCTCTAAAAAGTTGCAATATGTAGCATAAAATGCAACACTGAAAAAGTGATTGAACAATATCAAAGGGAAGGGGAGCATACCTGATAATAGACCTATAGGTCCTGAAACACAATCACCACCACGTTGGAAATATTTGAAACAACCTTTTTGTAGAATCTTTAGAGGTCTTTTATCTGCTGCAAACAAGGTATAAAGAGCGATTGAAAGGGTATTGACAACAGCATCAAGATTTTTACGCTTAGTTTGGAATTGTGATAACCTCTGTGACATGACTTCATAATTATTGAGATCGGGAATAAATTTTGGGTTTAAAAGCCTAGCTAAAATCGCGACATCATTTAAGCCGACTGTCATTCCGCCTCCAGTCAAAGGATGCCTCATATTGAGGGCATCTCCTAAAAGAATAAAACCGTGCAATTTTTTTCCTTGTTTCCTTGCAGCTAAGTATTGATTCGGCATAGACTTAAACTTACCTAACTCAAGGGCTGCCTTAAAAGAGGGCCTCATCTCTGCTGGTAAAGCTGGGTACACTTGATTACTCAAATAATTTTGAAGTTCATTGTTTGACTGCGACGGTGGTTTCGATGACCTGTATGCGCATAAGATTCTGGTTTCTGTCTTTGAGATTTGATAGACCAAGACCGGAGCATGGTCCCCTAAGATTACATGGCCATGGTGCTTCGCTGGCAAGTCACAGTTTATTAGTTTCAATCCAACGAAATAAGATCCGACACTAGGAGTATTATCGACAGACAATGCCTTTCTGAATTTCGAGTATATTCCGTCACATGCAATTGTTAATTTTGCAAAGTAATCTTGAGTTTGCTTTTCACTTTTGACTTTTATTCCTAAGACTGTATTAAGATCATTTTTGGAGTATATTATTTCAGTTGCCGTACCTTCAATCCATGTAACGTTCGGCTCTGATTTGACTATTCGTCTCAAATTCTGCAAAAACTCACCATTACGAAAAGCTACACCTCTCACTCTGTCATCCGCTTCCCAATCTGATCTTTTTATTGTATCGTCATCATTTATCATATCATTTGAATTGAATACGCATCCTGGAACTGGATTTAATGCATTCGTTTTCTGAGCTTCAGCTTTCTCAGGATATTGAATCGTTATTACCTCGTCATGAAATTTGATATAGTATCCAGTGACGTCGATAGCATCGATATTGTTGACTGCCTCAACAAGTCCTAAATCTCGCAAGGCCTTGACACCTCCTGGCTGCATAAGCTCCCCGACGATTCTCTCAGGTTTCGACCAGTCTCTCTCTACGATTAAAACTTTTCGACCTTGTCTCGCTAGTGCTGTAGCTATTGCGGGTCCTACGACTCCCGCTCCAATAACGATTACATCATACTCTTCTGAACTCATATTGACTACTTCGTCTTCAGACAACAGAAAAGCTACTGGAAGAGAAAATTATTGAGTTTCTCTTAGTCAGTAAACCGTGGATGTAACGTGTACGATATACAACCATCGTACAGTCTTTACGAGCTGCGATTCATCTTCACGGCTACATGCAGGCCTAAACGAAATTAAAATTTAACTTCTATGTTGAAACTATAAAAGATAGGCGAGTATACACATTCAATCGCTCTCTTCCTCACTTTCTTCTTCAGCATCTCTCAACCATTCTATAAATTGACCCGATAATTTTCTCACTTGGATTAAATCATCATTGGCCGTAGAAGCCACTGAGTCCCACCAAGCGTATATGTTTTCTTCTTCCAAAATATCCTGCTCGTATAGTATTCTTATGGCAATGAATAATAATACTTGATTGTAGGATTTATCTAATTTAGAAGTCTGGCTCTGGAGTTCCTGACATAAATCAACTTGTTCCTCCGCATTAAAGACTTGTCTTTTATAAAGTAATCCCCAACTCCTAAAAATTTTCTCAGCTGCCTCCTTTGGTTGTAGCGTTCCAGTTGTTATAAAGTCTACGACTTTAGAAAACAAAGCACGAGTCGTTGCAACTCTAACCTCATGATAGGTGACATTCATCGACATCCTTAAAGTGTTCAATTCAAGCAACGCTGTGTCAAGATCATGGTTATTCTCTAAGGATCTCTGAATAGTAGCAATTGCCTCCTTCTCGAAATCTTCTTCCTCTTCTGAGAAAACTCCAGCTTCATAGTCTGACATCATAGAAGTGGTTGACAAGCGTCTGTTCCTTGATTGACGACGATGCTTCTTTCTGCTGGTAGAGATAGATGATATAGAAGCATCTGACGTATTCAATGCTCTTTGGTTGTATATAATTCCAGAATATAGCCCAGAAGACACAACTTCTGAATCTGAATCATTCTCATTCTCATTGTCGGAGTTATAGACAAACCCTTTTATACCACGACTCAAACCCCTAATATCATCATCCTCTTCGCCTGAGGTACCAATCTTTGTAGAAGCTTCTTCGTCACTAAATGAATCAAGAGTATTAAATCCATGCTTCTTGTATGGAACTTCTATTAATCTAGTATTATTAGGAAGAACTTCATCGTCTCCAATTTTTACATTATGACCAATGACACAGCCGGAACTTAAGATAGCGTTCGTGCCAATAAAACAATGTTCAGCAACAATTGTATACGATATTTCACAATCATCATCTATCGTAACATTATCCCAAATGTATGAATTATTAATTCTCACATTCTTACCGATTTTGCAATTTCTCCCGATAACTGACTTGTTTATCAACGTTCCATCGCCGACACTGGTATGTGATCCAATCGATGTACAACTTCCGATTTTGCAGGACTGTGCCAATACCACTTTTTCTTCCTTGTATATGTGATTAAACTCGTAAGTATAAGTGTTAAACTCTAACAAATTTGAATCGGGCACTATTGGATAACACCACCTGCCTAAGATATCTTGACTTATAGCATCGTATGTGGCCCAACTTTCAACCCTCGCTGAGTAGCAGGAACCGTCGGTTATATAGGCGTATATCGACTTTTTTAATAAATCTGAAGTCAAAACTCCCTTTAAAAAGTCACTTCTCAAAGATTGATAATCAAAGTTCTCTTGAAATATCTGAGGCACATGAGGCGAGCATATATCAATCTGACAATCAATTAAATCATTTCTAATAACCAAATCGTCTTCAATGTCCTCCAAGAGCTCTGGATCAATATCTATACTGGTTTTCTTTCCATCAACGGGGGGTATATCTTGATAATATATGCATCTGTCAGTCTCCTTATTGATCATAAAAACAGAGGGATCTACAGGGGATCTCGTCCTGTGAAATGGACTACCAGGAGTGAGAACCATAGTAGCTATATGATCTTTGTCAATCAGTCTCTTTTGTTTATGGAAATTCATTGCCTTTTCAAAATCAATATTGGTAACCACATCTCCTGAAACTAACAAAAAATCCCCACTTATTAACCCACGGTTATCAAGATCCCTCATAGCATCGCCCACCGATCTGGACTCGAGTGACATAATAGTCTTGATTGTAAATGGCGAATTTTTTGACACCCATTTGGAACGCTCTATATATTGCTGAATTTGGTCAGCATGAGAAGAGCAGAACACATAGACTTCATTAACTTGTGCTCTTGCCAAAAATTCAAGAGTATATTCTATCAAAGGAACGTTCACTAACGGTAAAAGACATCTAGGCTTTACAGATGTAAGTGGCATAAATCTCGTTTGAAACGAATCAGTCAATACAATTGCTTGAAATCTCTCATCTTTCACCACTTCTTTCAGTTTTTTACCTTTTACAGCCATTCTTATCTTCAATTAGATGTATTATGATAAAATAAGTGTAATTTATCAACTCTATCGTTATAAATCTTTTTTTTTTTAGTGTGCACTTTGCTTGAAGCTTGTACGAAGTACAGACTGAAAATAAAAGTAGAGGAACACTAATTAATATGAATGAAAAATATGCAGAATACGGTGAAGTTATATAGAATCCATTCATTATGTATTTGATATCGATGTATTTGATATTAGGACGCTCAACTATCAATAGTGTTAATATCTTCAAAAAGGAATATTTACAAAATTAGTTTTAGAATATGGAGTAAAGCAAACAAAAAAAAGCAATTGGGAGGCTAGCTTCATGTGTTTCTTACTATTTTTTCTCTTCCTCCGCTGCTTCCTTAGTCTTTTTGCTCTTTAGTAGAACGTCAGTTTCAGCAAACTCACTAGTCCCATTTGTCGCATACGTATCTTTATTGTTCTCATTTGATACTTTACTGTTCAGGGCTTCGCTGGTCCTTGAAACTAATATAGCGGCCATCAAAACGGACGCTGTGCTTCCTATAGCATACTTTTTGATCTTGGATATTCTTTGAGCAGCATTCAAAGTCTTGTCTTTGCGGATTAGGATCCAAGAACCGTAAATGGATCCTATCCAAGACGTAACTAGGAAATGGGACTTGTATTTCAGAAGCGAGTGTGCTACCTTATCCAAAAGTGTCATATTATTCCATTGACGGTATTCCTCCATTACCGTACTATTATTTGAAGAATGCATTTTTCTATCAAACTCGACTGAACCTTGATCCGCCCAAAAAGCACCTATTCCGATTGTTGGTATTATCAAAATGCATGTCTTTATACTGGCGCTGAATGTTCTAAACCTACCTGGTTGTCTTGTTTTTATGTATTCATAGAGCCCGAAAGATATAAGAGAACCGTAGATCAATCCTTTGAATCCTTCTGTTGAAAAGTACGCAATATGAGCGGCTTTCTCTTCACTATTAATCAATTTCATGACTGGAATATTATAAGCACAGTCCTTCTGCTATGGTACCGGTGTTAGACTAAAAAAAAGGATATAAAGATATCAATCATAAAAGTATTGATAACTGTTCCGATTATCCATTCCGATCATCGAAGTCGATTTAAATTCCTTTCTATTTTGCTGATTATATTGAAAATGGAACACTTTGGAGGTGATAGTACTTCCAGGACATCCTCTCAACCCTCGATGAATCACTCAATGCCAGATATGGACCATGGCGATATGGATCACGGTAACATGTGTTCAATGAATGTATGTACTACTCAGAAGTATTTAAGAAGTTCTAATACTAACAATTACAGATGGTATTTACTTGGAATTGGAGAAATACATGCGTCGTCTTTAAGTGGTGGAGAGTCAGTACGGTAGCTGGCTTTATCTTTTCCTTGCTTGCAATCGTTGCAATTTCAGCAAGTTACGAATTCTTGAAGTATTGGGGAAACAAGTGGGAACAGTCTTATGTTAATACTATGTCCGGAGCTGCTGCCAATACAAGTGCTGCTTTGGTTCGCCGATTTAAAACCAAAAAAGCTCTTTTCTATGGTTTACAGGTTGGATATTCGTTTATGCTCATGTTGGTATTCATGACATATTCGGGCTGGTTTATGCTTGCCGTCGTTGTAGGTGCTGTCTTGGGAAATTACGTTTGGGGATTGACCTCTGACATTGCAGCCTCGAGGCCCATGGCATGTCATTAGTATGCTTTGTCTTACAATTAGATCTTTATGAAGTAATAAAGTTCAAGGCTGTAACGAATATCTTATTTATGAAAATTTACATAATATTACCATTTTCATCGTAGTAATATGTGGGTATACCTGGCGAATACTCAAAGATAAGTTCAAGTTCAAAGTTGTATCTTAAGACTGCCTTTTAAAAGGAGATGGTCAATAATACTTCTGAAACCCTTAAACTTCTCACTAGCATGAGGTATGCGTCGGGTATATCAATGTGATTGATTAGTTTGGGCAATGCAGCATTAAATAGGCAGCTTTCTGGTGTATGTGCTCTGTATGTAACTATTGGTCGCCACAAAAGTTCCTTATCGAAGATCGGCCATCTTAGCCTAAGAGGGAGACATTTATGTGTCTTTGTTTGGTGGGGGGTTCGAATCTTCGGCGAGAAAGATGTGCGCTCCAGTGGCGCAGAGGTTAGCGCTTCGTGCTTATAGCCGGATTACGACAATGTGGTTATACCATAAGTCACGGTCGTGTGAGGAACGCGACGGTCGTGGGTTCAAACCCCTCCTGGAGCATATCTTCTTGTCTTTTTTTATTTTTTAATAGTTTTGATATTACTGACCAAAGAGCGGGAGGTTGAAGTATATTTAAGAATAATCAGTAGAGTACTTATAGAGAAAAGACTTACTGTCAGCTTTCCTTTTTCTTTTTGCTTGATGATCTCGTAATATTTGTTATTCCAACCTTGTTGAGCCGCACGATCAATAATTTTTCATAACTTTATCTCATCTCATCAAGTCTTCTATTCTATATTACTTCTCTTTTGTTACGATAAAATAGCTAAGGACCATGGCAGAGAAAGTGAGATACTACTTAGAGCAGTCAGTTCCTGAGTTAGAGGATCTCAAGAAAAAGGGATTGTTCGACAAAAGCGAAATCACGATGATAATGAGAAGAAGAACAGACTTCGAGCATAGAATACTGGGAAGAGGTTCAAAGCCAAAAGACTTTCTCAAGTACAGTGCATTTGAAATGAACCTTGAAAAGTTGAGAAAGAAAAGATACACTAGACTTTCGAAGGCAGGAGCAATTGATACAAAGCCCAGTATTTCTGATTGGGCTGGTGTAAGAAGAGTGCTTTTTATTTTCGATAGAGCGACGAGAAAGTTTCCAGGTAACTTAGAATTATGGGCTCAGTACTTGCTGTTTGCTAAATCAAAGGGAGCAGTGAAAGTGATCTATAAAGTTTATTCGAGATTATTGCAGTTGCAACCTAGGAACGTAGATGCATGGTTGTCTGCTGCCAACTACGAATTTGAAACTAATTCAAATGCTAAAGGGGCAAGGTCCTTGTTTCAAAGAGGTTTGCGTTTTAATTCTGATTCCGATAATTTGTGGATTTCTTATGCGCAATTTGAACTAGTATATGTATCAAAGCTTTTAGCCAGAAGAAGAGTTCTTGGCCTAATTACTGACAAACAACAACAGGATGATGGTAAAGAGGAAGAAAGTCAAAAACCAACCGATAATACGACGATTGATGACAACGAGTTGAATAATGACAAAATCGAAGTCCCTGAGACTGATGACTTCAATGAAAAATTAAAGCATTTACCTGAAGCAGACATGAACATGTTGGGTAATCCAGATACGAATCCCGCTTTAAGAGGTGATATCGCTTTAACAATATTTGATGTCTGTATCTCATCAATATTTTCGAAACCTTTTGAAGACAAAGCTCAACATGATAAGAAATACTTCCACTTAGTCAATAGGTTTTTGACTTTGTTTGATCGTTTTGACTCTTTAGACAGAGATCATTTATACTTACATGTTTTGAGACACTTACAGGAAGTTTATCCTAATGACTCGAGGACCTTAGTGATTGATATTACATTACCCATTAGGAGTGTTACTATTTCAAGTTCCAATTTGTCAGAAAATTTGCATTTATCAGTCAACAAATTCATGGCCTACAAAGCAAAGTCGATCGGAGATAGTAAAGATGTATTAACAAAATTGTTTGTTGACTATGTGACAGAAAAATTTCTTAATGAGGCACCAAATAACGAAAAGATCGAAATGTTGTTGAAAAATATTATCCAAAAGTGTCGTAGCCTTTAGAAACATTCGAAATAAAATGCATTTAATTTATTCATCATTTGTCTATCAATAGACGATCTTATAGGCTTTTTCTCCTAATCATTTTTATTGTAGCCCGTTTCGCTATCAAAAGATCCGAACCTATTATTCCTAAATGACTTCTTGATGATAAAATAAAAAAATAGTAAACCTCCTAAGGTCAAGGCAAAAACTGTGAAATAGACGACCAACATAACTAGCTGCAGTGGAAAGTATAACAACCAGCGAAGCAAAAAAGCATTCCTTGGGTTTGGGAGCTTATAAAATCCATCAGCATATGGCAATTGAATATTTTTCATTCCTTGTGTCAAAGAACCTTCGTTGTCGAGCTGATCAAACCATCGAATGGCAAATTTAAGAGGCAATTCATCTCCAATTTTGATTCTAGTCAAGTTAGTACCCGATGACCAACCGACTGCACTTATAAATGTGTTTTGCTCCGATTTATGGGTGGAAGGAGTGACTATTATGACATTGATATTGTTATCAATTCTCAAATGGGACTCACGCACCTCCCCTCTTAAATTGAATGTCAAAGGAACGTAGGCACCACCTTGCTCTAAATAGTTTGTGCTACTACTTGTTGGTAAGCGACAACTGAATGGAGCGTCCTCATGTATATATAGCTGGAAAAGATGATATATTTCATCAGTGAACTCAATCGTACACTGCAAGTCTTCATTTATGCCATACTTGAATTCCAATGGCTTACCACTTTCCTTGCAAGTTGGAAAAGCAGTGTATATTACCCTCAGTTTATCATCAAATTTATGTTCACCATTATTATCTATATTCCTTGCACTGCAATCAATTGTAATCTGTTCTCCCTTTACGAACGGTGAGAAGTCGACAGGAATGCTTCCTTTAAAATCAACAGGAAACCAGCTTCCTTGAATCAACTCAGCTCTAACATGGTGCACCAAGCTGAGAACTGCGAGCCCTAAAATTGACTTGGAGAGTTTCATTTCAACTGTATATGATAATTGAATATATTATTAGATTGTTGTTCGTTTTAGTTACGTACAGCGAAGTCGCGTTCCTTTTCTGTACCTTATGTGTCTCGATCTGGCCAACACCATCTAAAAAATGAATCAATAAATTACATAAGCAAGGTTCAATTCACATGAAATCATCTAAATGTACATTATATTAGTATATAGTCTTCTATAAAATTATGCCTGAGAACACCAACCCATTTGAACAAAAAACTCGTAAATCTTTGAAGCTTTATTAACATCAATTTTTAATGCTTGTCTAGCATCTTTTTTCTTCAAGATACCATTGTTTTTGACCGCTTCTTTCATGAGCTGATTTTTGATAGCTAGGTATGGCTTTGGCAAGATCCTCAAAGTAGCACACAATTGTTTTTCTTCGTTTGAAAGTAACTCAAAGTCTGCAGCGTGCGATATGTCCAACGGAACTCTTGAACTTGCCGACTTGGGCTTAAATTCTGGTTGAGGAGAAGTCGCAAAAGACTTACCGCGTGCCACAGGTGGGATTGGTGTATTAGCTCCAGAACCGAAATTGGAGTGCCGACCGTTTGTGCTTCCGTTACCCATTCTTTGATAATGAGCAGCCCTTATAAGAATATCTTTCTCAAACTTATTTCCATCTTCTAAAGTGGTTATTCCGTTTCTTCTCCAACTTTGGAGCTGTTGAATCCTCATTCTACATTTCAACTCTGTGAGAATATCTTTGCTAAAAGACTCAAAGTCACTGGGAGTCAAAATCCTAATGAAGGCATTGATTTTCCTTTGTAGCTCCTTTTCCTCTTTGGATTTTCTCTTGTCTAAACTGATGTTCTTTCTATAATTCAATAAATTATTGAGTAATAAAATTCTTTTCCTTTCCGCTCTCGATGTCAACCTCGAGTTATATATATCCAAAACTGTCAATTTCAACTCAATATCACCTGCTTGGTCATCAGGATCGAAAATCAAATCCTTCACTGAAGTTTCTGCCTCATTTTCTGCTTCATGATCAAATTCCAATCTTCCTGGCATATAACCTTGAATTTCATGACATAGAGGTACGGAGGATGCTGGTTTAGTTTTCGGAGGTGGCAATGGCATATTCCTCCTCTCCTCGAGCCTTTTCTTTCTTCTTTCTAAAAATTCTTGGGGTGTAACATCAGAGAAGTCTTTATTCATCTCAGGTAGTGGATATTCTCTCGAATTCAAATAAATGTCAGTGTAATGTTGTGTCACTTCTTCTTTGGATCTGTTGCCGATGTGGTCAGCAATATCTTGCCAGTTACCTAAACCAAATGTTTCGCACCCTTTGATAAGCAACATCTCTTCATCAGCACCCCAGTCTTTGTCAAAAATTGGATACGTGCTTTGTTCAATTACCTGGTAATCATGCCATGGCTTATGGTCTCCAGTTGTTGATCCAGCAGCAAAGCAAGGTACACATAAGTCATAGTCATTGCATATGGCACATTTTATCCTTGTTCTATGGGTACAATCTGATGAACAAACGTCACAGTGATATAACCTTGTTTTAGAATCCATAATAATATGGTAGAGCCCACTTTTCCTTATATGCACGCGAAGGCTCCCTCCACTATCAATCTTATTTGCCGATTTAAAAGGCAATCAATCGAAAGAAAGTGTAAATCGTGAGCACTTGAGTCTATTACTCCTGAAGATCTATCAGGCGTCTTCTAATGTATTATTTATTATGGTTAAAACGACTAGAACTTGTTAGAACTCTTGTCGCTATTCATGTTTAGACATCAAAGTAAATTGCACAATCGCATTGCGACATAATTCTGTAATGTCGTGTATTGGACTTTTTTTTTCTTTAAAACGAACAGCTCTAGTTGATGATTGCAAAATGTCTTAATGCTATTTCTTGCCACATATCACTCTGACAACAAAAGGTTGCTGACCGCTTTTGGCTAAATTATATTCATGTCTTTGTTTTCCTTCAAGCAAGTCCCAACTCTCAACCAAGTCAATTGGCAGTTTGCATATTTGATAGCTCCAACGCAGATTTCCACTTGCGTATAACAACAACTGCTCTCCTTAAGAAAGATAATATATACAAAAGCGCTTGCTTATAGTTTCAATTACGTATTCATTCGATCTTTCGTGTTTTCTAAAGGGCGTCCTTCCTACTGTCTAGGGCTCATCCCCCACAGTCACCCTCATCACATGATATTGTTTTGTGTAATATCCTGCACATTTTGGTAGATTTTTTTTTTCACTCTCACTCTTGCCAGTTCCTTAGCCTCATACTTTGAACAAGACTTTTACTAGTAAACTAGAAATCTTTAAAGGATCTTCCTAATATCACTTATTGAATATAGTTAAAGAAATCGAAGATGGTAAGTTTGAAATAATGATCCAGCAGCAATCAGATTATAGATTAAGAATAATGCAACATCGGTGGTGGAATGTTGTGAGAAATACGTAGTGAAAAGTTTTGAAGAATCGAAGGAAGAAAGCATAGGAATGGTGTTGAACACTAAAGTGGTTGGGATGACAAGAATAGGAAGGAATGATGAATATGTTGTGAGCTTATTCATAGAACTACTGGAACAGAAATCAAGAAAGAGATGATCCACAGCATCTGGAATATTACATTGAGTATTATTCAGTCATAGTTAATCCCTGTTTTTATCATCTATCGTCTTTTACTGTTGGATTGAAGAAATTTTAAAACTGAAATACTAACGTAATATCTAGGGTCGCGTTAGAACTAAAACCGTTAAGAGAGCTTCCAAGGTCATGATTGAACGTTTCTATCCAAAGTTGACCTTGGACTTTGAAACTAACAAGAGATTGACATCCGAAATCGCCGTTATCCAATCTAAGAGATTGAGAAACAAGATTGCCGGTTACACCACTCATTTGATGAAGCGTATTCAAAAGGGTCCAGTTAGAGGTATTTCATTCAAGTTGCAAGAAGAAGAAAGAGAAAGAAAAGATCAATATGTTCCAGAAGTTTCTGCTTTGGACTTGAGCCACACCAATGGTCAATTAGAAGTTGATTCTGAAACATCTGACTTGGTCAGATCTCTTGGCTTGAAAATCCCAATCCAAACCGTTGCTATTTCTGCTCAAAGAGGTCCAAGACGTTTCGCAAAGAGAAGCTAATTAACTTTTTGTATAGTTAAACTGTTCATTTATATATAATTAATAAAAACACCTTCACGTTTTACGCCAATGCTTCAGTAAGATTTAATCAACTATGAGATGCTACTATATTTACTTTTCAGCATCGAAATATAAGGCAGGTGAGAGTTTCTTTATAGAAGATGACTCGGCCCTTCCCCTTAAAAGAATTTCACTCATAAGCTTACCAGTAGCTGGAGCATTATTAATGCCCCAACATGAATGACCTGCTGCTACGAAGAGATTTGACACATTCGTTTCGCCAATTATTGGACCAGAAATTTGAGGAACATTAAGAATCGGTAAATAACAAGCTTGTTTTCTAGTTAAACGGCCCTTCCTCAAATTAGGTGATATTTTCCCAACGGTTTTGAAAATGTTATCACATTTAGACTCCACGACTTCCACATCATCTGATGTCTCCGGAAGTTCTTTACTATTATCTCCTTCGCCGGAAACATATACCTCATCTGGTCTAGCATAAATCTCAGGTGAACTAAAAGAACGAGGACCAGTCTGAAGTTCAGTGAACACAGCATAGCCTGATACTTGCTTATCTTCGTATGGATCGATAGTGATAGAATGTGCTCTCATACCTCCAATAGGGCATGAAGGCAATATTCTAGATGTCCATGGTCCTGCTGTCATGATAATTTGATCTCCTGTCAATTCTATCTCTTCAGATTTACCTTTAGGTGTGTAAAAAATTCCATTTGCGCTTGAAACATCCAGATATGACACACGTTCAACCTTACCAAGAATTAATTCAAGTGACCCTTTGCTATCTTCTAACGCTTTTTTCAAAAGAAATTTAGTAAACTTATAAGGGTGAACTTGAGCTGTAACCTCTTTTTTGCCTAGAGTTGTTATATCCTGAATAAGAGACCTGTTGAGCCAATCCAAATCTGACGGTATCTTTTGGTTCAAGTAATCTTGAACCGAACTCTTTTTGGGTTCACTATTGCTATCTTTCTTGTCTTCATAACCTTCCGGAGAATTGCTTACATCTGCTTCAATAGAAATAGCTGGTAAATGTCTAAATCCCCAATTGGCCTCACCATCATATGACTCTGCTAGTTCATTGTGTAATTGGAATGATAGAGGAGCAACTTCTTTAGGAAAAGCCCAACGTGCCAACATTCCACCAGCCTTACCACTGGCTCCACCCGCAACCCTTGCGCTTTCTAATAAGGTGATATGATACTGTGAAGGGTCATAATCTGGATCTTGTATTAAGTAAAAAGCGGTACAAACTCCAATTATACCAGCTCCAACAATAACGATATGGGTTTTACCTTGGTGCCTACCGCTAGGCGTCGAATTAAACTTGAAATCGTCCGACATCTCCCAAGTATTAATCTTGATATATATCAAATAAGTGAGATTCAACTAAGTAATAGCAATGAAAAAGAGATAAGATATTTAGTTCAGCAAATAGCGATTAATGTTATACAATTTTCTGTTCTTTGAGACTGTATGTTGGTTTGAGGGCAGAGAAGAATTAGAGCCTAGATCGTCCTACATACAAGAGCTCGAATTTATAGCAGGGTCCAGGGTCTAATGTGTTCATTGTATACTAAAGGAATGCAAATAGTGTTCGACTAAGTTTATAAAAAGTATATAAATTTTACTAGGAATCGCTTCGTTTAGTCTCTTTTTTTGTTGCTCAAAGAAGATGCACTTTTCGGTAACTGAGGTTCTTCGTTAGATTTTGAAAAACATTGAAAGATATTGATGAGAAAGACCGAAAGTGCCATGAATAATACAGTTAATACAAGCTTGTTATGCTTAGTCCATAATTCATTCTTACGAAGATGGATTTCATCCTTTTTTCTGTTTTTTAGATAACGCTCAACTGTATGTTTTTCGGGGATCCAATCTGGAGTTCCCTTTCTAAACCGATCATTTTTTTCGAATTCTGTCTCCCTTGAAGGGTGATTGATAATATCATCAAAAGGCTCGATGAGCTTTGGGTCCCTTTCTAGAATAAAGTCTGGAATTGGATGAATGTTCAGAGACAAAGAAGAAGTTAATATAATGGTATAGTGGGGTGAAGGCAACTTTCTTATAATCTTTCGAGCCAAAGCATCGTGCTGTCTTATCTCTTCTTCTCTTTCTGGAGACGACAATGGCAACTCTCCCAAGCTTATCTTGATCACTTTTTTCCTTGTGTCAATATAATTACTGACCTCGTCCTCATTCTCATGTACAACTTCAATTGTTTCTGCCTCGCAGTTCTTTATGATATACTTTTCCACGAAATCCATATCAAGTGGTTTTTCCACCCAAGGCAAGCCAACTAAAGTCGATGAAAGTTCGAAGTATTTCCTTAAAAACGGCCAATTTCCACTTTTATCGACAGTCATATCCGTATACGTCAAACCAGGCTGATCTATTAAAATATACTCATCTGAAGAACACTCCGTAATTAGTTTCTTAACCATATTATTTGCTGAGCTTATGTTGTGTATTTTCAAGTTTGACAGATCAACCTCTTCTCTCAATCCTTTTACTAATGTGTGAGAAGCCACCACTAAAGGGACGGCTTGAAATCCCAAGCATCTCACAGCCATTAAAACCAATAATACTATCTGTTTCGATAACATCATGACTTCAATCTTTGTTCATTCTAAGTATTTAAATTTTTAGAATCAAATCTAGCTTCTTCGGTTACTCGCGCATTTATATGATGTTTCAGTTTTGTCAGATTACGAGATTCGCCCTATTATGGGTTTTATACTAGTTTTATAGTAGGAGAATATAAAGATATATATAACGAATCGTAGTAAGCTATTTCATAACTGAGGCTTTTATATATCTTTCAGCTTGTTCCCATTTTCGAAAAAAGTTGTTATGAATAAATATGAATATATTTGCATAGCATTTGTATTTTTTGCAATCATTCAGGCTCAAGTAATAGCAGAAGTTGAAGTTGTTAAAATTTTTGTGGCACCTAAGCAAGAAGATACTACAACAAGTCATGTAGTTGACAAAGGCTCAAAGATGGTTGTTACAAAGACCGTCGTAGAAACTGTAGAAGCCACTGGTTCTTCTGCCAGGCTGGTAACTGCGGATACTAGCATTACTATAGGTACAACTCAAACAGCTAGTGCTGAAATGTGCTCTGGAACTTATCTGAATGAGTGCAATAATACTTTTGCATTAGAGATATTAGAAGTTCACAATGAAAAGAGAGCTTTGCATGGAGCACAGAAGCTTTCATGGAATGACACTGTGTATGAATACGCTGCTCAGTATGCATCCAAATATGATTGCAGTGGGAAGCTTGTTCATTCTGGTGGCTCATATGGTGAGAACCTCGCTATTGGTTATACGGTTGTGGGAGGTGCAAATGCATGGTACGACGAAGGGGACACTTATGTCTATGGATCAGAGAGTACGTACAATCACTTTACCGCTATGATATGGAATAGCACCTATGCAGTTGGGTGCGCCTATAAATACTGCAATGCAGTATGGGGAACCTATATAATATGCTCATACTATCCTGCTGGAAATGTTATTGGTCAATGTTCAAAAAATGTATTTCCTTTGTTATAGTTACACTATTTTCTGTAAATATAAATATAATTTCACGATCACGGAGTCAGCTAAACATTATCACAAAGAATTATCTCGTCTAATTCAAAGTAATGTTCAAAATAGGATGCGAATAGATCGCACAAGTATGCCACGTCAAGACTGCCACCCGTTTCTCTGATCGAATGCATAGATAATTGAGGATTACCCAAATCCAATGTTCGAATTCCTAACTTGGCAGATAAGATGGGACCTATAGTTGATCCACAAGGAAAGTCATTTCTCGTTACAAACAACTGCAATGGAACCTTTGCATAGTCGGCAACTTTTTTCAAAAGTACGATTCCTGGAGAGTTAGTAGCATACCTTTGGTTTGCATTGATCTTGATTACAGGTCCCTTATTTAACTGCGGTCTATTCTTGGTCTCATATGCTTCACCATAATTAGGATGGACACCGTGTGCCATATCAGATGATAAAAGAAACGATTTAGACATTGTTTCATAAAAATAATCCACTGCTTCATTTCCTGAAAAGTTAACTTTAGTAAGCCTTTGAATTGTGTCAGGTAAAAAAGTGGAATCAGCTCCTTGAGCAGAAACAGATCCTATTTCTTCATGATCAAATAAAGATATTAATTGAATTCCTTTCTGGGTCTCAATCATTTTGGTTGCTTTGATAAGGCCATCAGCCGCACAAAAACATGAAGTAAGGTTATCCAACCTTGGTGAAAATATAAACTCGTCATTTAAACCACCAATGGTAGACTTTTGATGATCATACAAGACTAACTCAAAATCTTCAACCTGGTTCAGGTTCACACCAAGCTCTTTAGCAATTAATTCTATTAACGATTGATTATGCCTCTCAATGACTGATTGAACAGAAACGAACTCTTCAGGAGAGAGTTTTAAAGCAGGATCATCTTTACAGCTTTTTTTCTCGTCCTTACTTTCGTATTTATCAAGGCAAACCTGACCTGCAATTGGAACGAACTTGGTTTCGGAATTAAATTCAAACTTCTTGTTCACTTCTCTATTCAAATGAATTGCCAAAGTAGGTATTCTCAATAGGGGCTTATTGATCTTCAATAGTTTCGGAACAAATTTGCCGTCTTCATTTATATAGACCCTCCCTGCTACTGACAAATCACGGTCAAACCATGAATGAGCAATGAGACCTCCATACTGCTCGACACCTATTTGTATGAATCCTTCAGAAGTTCTTTTTGAAATAGGTTTTATTCTTAAGCAAGGGGAATCAGTATGTGCTCCAACTATAGAAACACCTGAACCATTTTCGAACTTTTGACCAACAGTGAAACCAATCAAAGAAGAAGAGTTTCTTGTAACAAAGTACTTGCCGCCTCTTTTAAGCTTTGAATTCCAATTGGATCTTTCTGATAATTCCATGAAACCTGCGTCAAATAGCATCTCTTTTACTGATTTCACAGCGTGATATGGCGTTGGAGAAGCATTAACGAAGTTAACAAACTCTTGAGCATATTGGAGGGATCTTGATGAGTCTTCCATTTTATAAATGAGCCTTATGGAATATCGTACAACCGTCTAAAGGCCTTTTATCAATGTTTTAAAGGATTTGAACATTTATATCTCCAACTTTCTCGAAAGACTTGCAGTCGAAGTAATACGCAGGAAGTAAATGGATCAATTTTGCAATCTTGGGCCACTAATACCGATTATAGTACAATGTATAAAAGCTACGTAGAATTGAGTTTGATTTATGCAATAATATACAGCTTGCACTATATGAATATCTGAACTTCAAAGTCTTCTTCAAGCTCAGTTTCTCCCACAGTAGAATCCAAATCCAAATCTTCGTCATCAAATACTACCTTCGCCGATCTGAAGTTAGCATCTTTAATCCCTTTGACCTTGATATAATAGTCCAAGAGCTTCTGAATCCTCGTCGACTGAGAAACTTGGACTTCAATTCTTTTGTTGTCCTTCCCTTTAAGACCAATAAGGAAGTATTCACCAGCAGGTTCTTCATCCTTTTTCTCGCCTTTTTGCTTTCTCATAAATTCCTCTGGGTCGCTATACTCTACTAGGCTCTCCCCGGAATCTGAATATGAATCTATATCTACCACTTCGACATCAAAAGTTTTGGTTTGTTCCCCAAATTCTGGATAAAGCTTTAAAAAGTTGGAAGCATTGTGTTTCGGTATAAGCAAGCATGTCAATGGTGTAGACGGAATCTGTTCAGAAGGTGCCTCTAACGGCTGTGGTGGAGGAACTATTCTCAAAGTGCTAGGCTTGAAAAATGGCTTGATTTCCCTTTTCCCTTCGACCCAAATTAATGCGATATTATCTTTATCGTAAGCCGTCTTATAGTCTGGAAATTTCTCGAAAAGTGACCCAAAGTATTCAAGAATGGCATCAATTATTCTGGTGAAAGACTTAGTGCCTTTGGTACCAAAATCTGCCTTCACGACGTTTCGATATTCAGGTGGACGAGGCATTTTACTCACTACTCGAATGACGTATTTCCGTTGTCGCTCGTTTTCATCGATGAACTTATAAGCATTCTCTTGATTGTCTCGTAATGGTTCCATTCCCACTCGAAGTATATCTGTCTCATCATCAGAATCATCAGATTCATATTCCGGAATAAAGTCTTTGAGATCGTCGCTGAGCTGCTTTTTTGAAAGCATCCCTCGGGTTCTTATTCTTGAATTATTTGCTGAGGCATCCTCGACATCTATACTATTAGGAGATTCCCAACCTTTCGGATTGCAAGGATCTTCAGTGGAATGGTTAAAAGATGACGAAATATTCGCCTCTTCCTTGTTCATGTTTTTATCGAGGCCCACATTATCATGATCATGAAACTTGTGAGACTTCTTGTTTTTCTTTTTCTTCTTACTCTGCAGCGTACTCAAAGAAAAGAAATCTTCTTCGATTGTTGATTTACGTTTTGCATCTCTTTTATCATGGTCATGCTCCATATCTGTCATAACTTCTTAACTCTTTCTCTTAGACTTAACACCTCATCACATAAATCACCATTAATTTCTTTAGCAGATCTGATTACGATACCAAAGCAAAATTTAGAATACTTAAAGAACTCCAATTAAGTTGAGGTCAGTTATTACTGAATTTAAAATTTCTTGATATCGCGCTTATATATGTTTACGCATTATATATACACTTTGTTTATCTTAGACATCTTAAACTTCCAAAGTGTACCATAAAATAGATCATAAAGTAAAGATCTATTATGAAAAAAGGACTGGATGGAAATGTATCCACAAAACTGCTGCGGGATCTATCATTTAAACCAAGGTTTCGTCAAAGTTATGGCAGTAATGATTACTACTATAATTTCATATTGAAATACAAAGAAGCTTGGGAGAGTAAGCTATTTTATGTTGACGAGTCTACAGTCTCAAATATGTTAGAAACATACCCGAAGCTCCAAAAAGTAATTCCCGAGGTTCGTGATGTTGATGAGAAGCTCCCCGATACGAAGATATCCCCCCTACTTAGCGAGGATGAAGTTACCGGTTTCGGAGTCAAGGATCTGTCATTGAGGATATTTCTAGAACATGGTGATAGAAGGGAACCTATAGATATAGGATTTGGCCACGCAATAGATTTGAAAAACCATGTTAACAGAAAAGGATTAATATTAAATGCGGGGGGCCATATAACGTCTATGAAATGGTTGATTTCAAGACACTCTCAAAAATACCAATATCTTGCTGTTTCCGTAATAAGTAATAAAGGTGGGATCCTGAACAATATCAACAATACTCAATTGAGTTTATTTCATAAGGGAGTCGAAAAGGATGCACTAAAATCGGGTATACAGATATGGAAATATGATTTAGAAGGAAATGCATTAGTACTTGATCAGTTTTATTTAACGGATACGATAGGAGCAACCTCAAATTTAGAGTGGGTGCCAATAGAAATAGGTGGCGATACTGATACTATTGGGGTGTTAGGTGGAAGTTTTACTGATGGACAATTTCATTTAGTGAAAATCAAAAAAACGCAACATAATACTACTTTTTATGGGCGAATAAAAGAGCCTTCTTTGACTTATAAAATCCAAGGTTTTTCTTCCAAAAATTCTACTGATTTAGTTGCTATAACTTGTTACGATTATCTAAACAAAGATAGATTTATCGTTGGTTTGACTAATGGATCCATAGCAGAATTTCCGTTGCCTTTTGCTGAAGACCTTAACGATAGTGACAGCAGTGAAGAAGACTATGAAAAGCCCAGTTTTATCCAAAAAGTTGCAGATACAGCAATTGTGTCTGTGTCGATAAGTGAGCTCGAGGCATCGAGGTATACTTTGATTATCAATACTTCAGGTATTCAGTGTTTTGCATTGGAATATAATAATTTCCGCCAAGGCTATCTTATTTCAGCTCCTACAAATTCTTTCTTGAAACCTTCGAAAAACCATTTACTAAATGCAACGCTAGGCTCTTATTCTTCGGACACTGTCAGTTTGAGTTTCTTGAGAAATCCTCAAGACACCCTTAGCGTGGTTTTAAAAGTGGATGGAATTGTTTCTTCAGTTCTGCTGTCTGAAATCTTAGGACATCCTTTAGGTCTCGTTGGAAGTACTCAAGGTGATATTTATATTCTTAATTACGCAAGGAAATTCTTGAATGGAGCAAAAACAACTAACAAAAGTTTAGTACCATTAAAGCTATGGAAATGTTCTATGGATAATAATGATATTGTTGTATCAAGCAATTTAGTACCTGTTACCGTTGATAAATCGAATCAAATCAATATAGCACCTCCCCAGATACTGATATCTGCTATAGCATGGAATGAAAATATAGCTGGAAGTTCGATCTATACGGCTGGTTCAATAAGTGGTCTCTTGTTATTAGAGAGACTTGATCCAAAGGTTTGAGCAGTGGAGTCTATGTAATGATTAATAAATAATAGTAATTCTAGTATTTAGGAAATTTTGGATCGACCTCTTCACTCCACTTGTTTAATCCTCCTTTAATATCCTTAACATTGGAATAACCCATTTCAGCAAGGAGCTTTTTGGCTGCTAACTGAGAGTCGTTTCCATAACGGCACACAACGTAAATCGGATCATCCTTCTTCACGCCGGGAAGATCAACTTGTAAGGTGTCAAGCTTTTTAAAAGTAGAATCCCAGGGTATATTAACAAACCCATTAAGCTTCGTGATAGCAAACTGGGTATCTGGCCTTACATCAATTAGAGTTGACCTCGACTTATCTAGGCTATAAAAGTCCTTTGCACTTATTCTAAACTGATCATCTAAGACATTCGTATTATACGATCCGCAAAAAGCAGCATAATCTATTTCACGAGATAAGATGGCTTTCTTAGATATCGCCGAGGAAGCCCCACAAACGAGACAATCCTTCTTTCGTGATCTCATTTTGAAAACACGCAACTGTTGTTGTGGATAACCAGAATAAGATGAAAGAAACGGCGAAAAAGTCTCGTCTGTGTAATATTTAGTGGCAACTTTAATTGCTTCTAAAGCCATCAGAACACCTATCAATCCAATAGCCGGCCCGATGACACCACCATCAGAACATTTCGTGACGGATTCGGGAGAAGGTGGAGATGGGTAAAAGCACCTATAACAGGGACCTTTGTTGTTAAAATTCAATATGGTGAGTTGTCCATCTGATCTGAGGCCCGAACCACTAATGATAGTCTTCCCTGATATAACAGAAACGTCATTGATAAGATATCGAGTCGCAGGCGTATCTGTGCAATCCAATATAATATCATATTCTTCTATTAAACTAAATGCATTCTCATTTGAGAGTCTGATAGGATACGATTCAATAGTGACATGCGGATTTAACTTGGATAGGTACATCTTAGCAGAATCGCATTTAAACATTCCAACATTATCTGTATTATGTAAAACTTGCCTGTGTAAATTGCTTATATCAACGACATCATTATCAACTATACCAATTCTCCCTGCTCCTGCTGCAACTAAGTATAGCAATAAAGGACATCCTAATCCACCTGCACCAATTACTAGGAAGCTAGATTTTTTGAGCTCGATTTGGCCGTCTCTTGAGCCAAATTCTTTAACTATCATTTGACGTCCATATCTTTCATATTCATTTAATGAGAGATGATCTTCAACTTCAGAATTTGCTTTTGATTCAAAAACTTGTTGATTGCGATCTTCTTCATAGTCTCGTATTTTCGATTTGAGTTGGATGTTTTCAAGTTCTAGCTCTTTGATTCGTCTAGCAATTTCGTCCCCAGAATCACTCATGGCTCATCGTTTCTGTTCTACAAGTTTTCAGTATTACAAATGCGCATCACTTAAATATGGAACATATTTAATTTATACCTTAATGGAAATATCTACCCCAATAGAGAAAATGATAGATGCTATCGTCTATTCACATTATGAATCTGGGACCTTCATGACTTTCCAAGTAATTCATACAATCTTTTGCTTAACAAAGAAGCTCTTCAAATGACGTAATTGGTAGACGCAAGTACCTATCAAGACAATTAATTGAATAATAGTCCATTTAACAACTCTTGAATTTGTGGATTCTGACTGGTCCCTGAATATGGCTTCCCTTTCCCTCATACTCTCTTGTTCATAATGGATTCCTGCCAATTTCTTGTTCAAAACTTGCACCTGAGCAGTCAAGGCGTCGACCTTGTGCGTGGACTTGGAGTCGACGTAATCATGAGCTGTTCCTGTGATGATATCGATAAAAATCCTATGTTGTTTGTCCTTGGTTCCATCAATATATGTCGGGGTTAAGCAAAACTTGTGCTCACCGGCATCCAAAGATGTGAAAACAAATTCATTATCAGCATCCATTTCCTGCTTGGAAACCCTGTGGTCATTGTCAAAAGTCTCCTATAACATAACGTTAGTATTACAGTTCTCTGAGCATGCTGCAATAAACGCTAAAAAAAATTGAAAAAACCTTTAGATGGTCTCTTGAATCTATTATATCCCTCTTTTAATACTTACGTCAACAGTGATCAACAATCTCAAATTGCTGTTTCTAATGTACTCATTCAGATGTTCCTGAAGTTCATATGCCTCAATCTTGCTTACTAGCAAAGTGTCTTTGGACATATCTTCAAAGAAGCATTTGGTTTCTCCTGTCTTCAAATAGAAATGTAAACCATTGGCAAGATTAATCAAGCTGATAAGTCCGAGAATGACTTTCAAAGCAGACGATGGTAGCATCTTTGAATCTTCACTTCTGTTAAAGTCTTTCTTCTATATGAAATATAACCAGAATCAAATCAAACGCGTGTTCACAAAATTTGTCGCCCAATTTTGTGACAATCACGTGCCGAGCTTGGGTGCAAATGGTTAGATCATTATAACAGATATATTTACGGACTATAAAACAAAAGCATTTTAATACATTTATACAAATAAACTATTTCTTGTGATGCTTCAGCTTGAACTTATTTACTAAGACATTAAGATCACTTGAGGGGCCCTTTTTATGGGAATTTTTTTGCCTCTTATACGATCTATCGCGCGGCGATTCAGCATGCCTCTTTGAACGTTCATTCAAAATTTGATTCATAGTATGGGTTTTCTTGAATTCAGAGCTAGTTGGATCAATGGCATAATCACGATTTTCGAAAACTTCCTTGAATCTAGGATCACTGAGGTCTGGTTTAAAATTGTCCTGAAGCATTTCAGTGTCAATATTCTTTTTCGATTTCTTCTTCCTCTTCTTTTGTTTCTCTTGTTTGATGATATCTTTCATATTGAAGTGCTCATGATTATCATTCTCCTCATCCATCATAAGAAGTTCAAGTTGAGCCTTATTAGTCGCATCCGCTTCTTTGCTTGAATCATCGTATTTTTGGACTCTTTTATCACCTTCACTTGCTTTTGGATCTTCTTGTGCTTTCTTAGCTTTTTCCATTCTACGTTTCCGACGTTCCTTTTCTTTTCGTCTGTATGCATCCACAGTTGTTTCCTCCAACAACTCTTCTTCATCTTTTCTGGCTCTCTCTTCATCAAGACCAGGGTTGAACGTGATTTCCATATCCACATCGTCTTCGTCTTTTTCGTTTCCATTGAAGTTAAAGGAGGTGCCCAAGAGACTTTTGTACTTATCTTTTAAATCTTTCTCATCTTCACTGCCATCGCTATCAGACGCTAAGTATGCCTTAAAATCCATATCATCTAGTTCTCTTTGAGAAAAGTTTCTGGATGCCAAGTCTAACCTCTCCTTAGGTGTTTCATCCCAGGTTAACTTGACTTTTGAATGCTGTAAAGCATCAGTAACAAATGTTGAATTTGGTTTATAACTTGCTGGAACACCAGTACAGATATCTTTGACTCTCTCTTCATCAAATGTCATATCTTCTGGAACATACCTTAAGTCGAATACGTTTGCTGTTGACTCATACTCAGTTCCATCACAATTATCGTATATGCTTTTAGCAGTTTTCACTGAATCACAATTGACAACTGCGTAGTAATATCTCAATTTCTGCAACTGGTATCTACGCAAAGCTTTGCTGTCGTAATCTGTTCCTCCATCTTCTTCTTCGTATAACTTTCGAGTGGCTCTAGCTAAATCATCTTTATTCTGTAAATCCAAATTAGAATCAGAGTCGGAATCTGAATCTTCTGACTCACTTTCATGCTTTTTCTGTTTCTTACTCTTAAATAGCTCTCTTGGTGGCCCCTCAACCTCTTCCTTGGCTAATTGCTGAAGCCCATATTCTGATGGATAAATCTTGATAGAGGCTATAGACCCGCCAACAGGAACAAAGGAGATAAATGTTGCCATAAGATCAACGGCACGAAGATTATCCCAATCCATGTTTACAACAGCAAAAGAGCTAGAGGGATCTCCCTCCTCTGGCTTTTCATCTTCAAGCTCAATTTCTGATTCTTCTTCCTCCTCTTCTGATTCCTCATCAGAATCAGAATCAGAAGGAGATGATATATCACTTTCTGAGGACGATTCAAGACCTTCTCCTCTAGCCCTGTCTACTACCGCAGAAGTTTCTACTGCATTAGCATCAGTATCATCGTCACTTTCATTGTTACTTTCACTATTCAGGCTACTTTCATCATCGCTTCCTATTGATACTTTTGGAGCATTCTCCTCTTGCTGATAATAACGATCAAAGTCTTTATCACTGTGACGATTTTTAATCTTTCTTCCATATCTATCTATCTTTGTTTCTTTTCCCAGCGATCCATTATTCAACTTTTTCAATTCTTCTTTGCTAAAACGTTCGTCAACTTTTACTTTAAAATTTTTCAAATTGGGTAATTTAAACCTTGGATCAAAATGAACGGAGGAAAATCGACCATCATTAGTTATGGGCTTATTTTCCTTCCTCTTATCTTGACTCTCTTTGTTCTTTCTGGCCATGATTATTAGAGCTAAAAAATTAACTATATGAGCCAGATATGACTTGAAATATTCCTGAATGTTTATGCAGTCCGCGATGCATCCGATGAGCTTTACAACTATATATCCATTAATTACGTATATTACCTATTAAGTGTGACATTATTAGATTGATGAGAAATCAAATCGAGCCTCCACTAGAATTATGATTACCAACTAAGCCCACCATTTCCAAAAATGCCCTTTCTTCTCCCAAATTTTTAAGATTGATTCCTCTTCGTGCTTCTGCCTGTTTTTCCTCCCATTCCCATTGCTTCTTTTGCTCATCTAACTCCTTTGTTGAACCTACTCCCCATACCTCTAAGTCGGTGATCATGAATCTGTCTTCATAATCTTCATGAATGATTTGATGCTGTTGAGTTTTCTGAAAATATGAAGTTGTTCGAGATGTCAAAGTTGATAAATGCCTAAAGATAGCAAATTCTAAATTGGCTTCTATAGTTAAAGAGACATCCCCTGGGACGTATTTCCGTACAGTGTTTTTATTAATAGGTTGATTATTACCAAAGCCAACACCACAACCTAGATTGTTAAAATATATCAGTTCCCCTTTAAGGACTGGATTATGAACGCTCTTATAGAAATCCAATCTAGGCAGAAGTTGAATTATCACTGTGCCTTCATCTCCAAAGTTTCTTTTGTTAGAATTTCTCCACGGTTGAGTTACCAACACCGCATATGTTATTCTTTCATTATCATGTTGCCAATCTTTCCTTGAATTTTCCAGAGATAAGAAGAAACGTGGATATTCAGAATCAAACTTTTGATACCTTTTATTTGAATGGATCGTTTTATTTTTTAGTCTTTTACCTGAGACGAAAAAGATAGTGGGTGCTTGCCATTTGAAGATCTTCAGCTCTAGCGATCTTATAGAAAATCCAGAATAAGAATCAATATATAATTGAATCATATTCTGATCAGATACTACGACGTTTGATTTCAAGGTATTTAATACGAGTGAAATATAGCTTATAGTTGCCTCATTCACTAGCTTTGTCTCTTTTAACGTTACCCTTTTTGAACCTTTTGGTAAATCTGGCATACCTTGCAGCTGACCTGAATGAAGCGATTTCGGCATGGGTGAAAAGATGCCTTGTTTAAATAACATCATCAAGCCTCTATTAAATAGATTTGGAAAGCCCTTCGTCACACCCTCTTTGAACTCTTCAAAGTTGATTTCAAAGGTATGTATAGTTTTGCTGGTAATATTAATATTGATGTATCTTATTAAGCTGAGGCTAAGCACCTCAAATTCTTCCCATTTATTACTGAAATCTAGAATTGAAACATTTTGGATTGCAAAATCTCTACCTGAAATCGAAGTGATTATCAAAAACAACGTTATTAGACAGTGTAAATCAGCCGCATTCAAGTTTAAAAGCTCAACATCAATGTTATCAAAACTGCGGATTCTATCAAAAGTGTCCCATTTGACGAACTTTGCTCTCTTATCCATATTATCTTCATTCTCTAATGACCTAGAGACTTTTATGGTGTATGGATCATCATCTTTCGAAACAATTTCTTCACTAAGATACAAATTCTTTGACTTTGGATCAGATGTCACTCCTTTCTCATTCCCTGCCTCTGACTTTGCTATCCCCGGAAGAGCGAATGCAATAAATAACAACTCAAGATAGTCAAAGTGCGAAATGAGTCTCGTATAACGACCGCTATGGAATGCAGAACACACAACGAGATCAGGGATTGTCAATCCCAGTGTTTCATTTCGAAAATAATCTTGGAGAAATGGGAATTGACCCACAACCCTGAATGACTGAAAAAGTAAATCAAGTGCTCTGGACAACGAGTGATTACTAGAATGGGTACTCTGTAGAGCGTCGTTTGATAATCCGAAAAGATATGACACATCTCCATTAGTCAATATGACTTTTTCTCTCAAGCTTGTGGTATTCAATTTAGTTGCCATTGAGTTCAACTCTAAGGGCCGAAGCAACGAATAACACCTCGATTGAAACATTTCAATGATCTCATCCTTAGAGAACAGCTCAACATAGTTATTCTTTACATCATCCGATACTTCATTTGTTCCCAAACTTAATCCTTGACCCATATTAAAAAGCTTACAAATGGATGTGTTTCTTTGAATTCTTATCCGTATTTATGTTTCGCGGCAATTTTATACCCTTTATTCTATGGAAAGAGATACAAGCGGATATATGTGATAGAAAAGGAAAATTTCAAATAGGCATTGTCACTTCAATAAGCCATAGCTATTATGAATATTAAAGCATGGCTGGATTTGTTTTAATATTTAGGCTCCATGGAAAAAGTCTTGTAAAATTGAGACTGATTTGACTTCCATCCTATTTACTAGCTCCCACAACTTATGCAACCGTCCCTCCTCATTTTGAAGTGACGATAAATTATTCAGACGATCTTCAGACATTGAATCATTATCATATCTTCTCGAAATCGAATCTTGCTTCAAAAGGGCCCTTTCAAATGAGAGAATCACTAAGGTCAGATAGATTCGTATTGTAGTGACTACCAAAACAGTACTAAGAGTGACAAAAAGCTCCCTCGCAGGAGATGCCGAGCCAGAAGAGAGTTCTCCAGGTTTCAGCTTGCTCTCTTCAATTCGATTCTCACCATAGTCTACCTGTTCTCTCCTATTCACACCTTGGGATGTCGAATCATTGAAAACAGCTTTGTCTTCGTGACTGAACCAAAAGTAAATGAAATAGATGGTATAAAAAGATCCAACGATAGTATCTATGATATAAATCATGCACGTAAGTGAGGTTGTTTTAACATTCTTAGATCTATTTCTCAAATTTGACAAACCGTATATATAGAACGGCAACACCAACAATGCCAACAAATTGTATAGCCATTGTAAAAAGTTGATAGGATGTCCAGTAATAATTGATAGCACACCGTAGGCCCCACCTGCCTTATTAAGAATAGCCACTCCCAAAATTAATTCCACACCAATATAAAGTGGAATAACACCCAAAAATTTCTAAGAAAACTGTTAGTAAAATTCACACTACAGAATCGTATTTACTTACTTGAGGTAACACATAAATTAGTTTCAAAGCCATCGTTAGGTGCCCTACTGAACTTGAATATCCGATTTCTCCTTAATCGGTCTTTCGCTGGAGAATCGAAAATGGTCTTGGATCAATATCAATATAATTTTACTCAAATGCAGTAGAGAAAAGAGGGCATCAAGAAATTTGCGTTTTCTGTGAAGAAACTTGCAAAAAGAACATTTCTGTAAAAATATGTCCGAGAAAGAGCACGAAAGGTTGAGAGAAGATGAAGTGCCAACAAGAAGCACTGATAGCACAGAAAGCACCGATAGTGATACTGATGTTGAATCTGAAACTGAAGGTTTGGCAGATAATGCTCAAAAAATGAAGATATCAGGATCAGAGAATGGTGATATAATAGCAAAATACTCTGATAAAATCAAGCTTGATGACTTTAAGAAGGGACCTAAAATAACTAAAGATAGATCTAACAGAGCGACTGTGGAGCAGGTGTTAGATCCAAGGACGATGAGGTTCTTGGGAAAAATTATAAATAAGGGCATTCTCTCAGGTATAAATGGCTGCATAAGTACAGGTAAAGAGGCCAATGTCTACCTTGGTGTTTTAGAAGGGGAATCTGAGAAGTCTTATGCTGTAAAAATTTACAAAACTTCGATTTTGGTATTTAAGGATCGTGAGAGGTATGTAGATGGAGAGTTCCGATTCAGGAATACGAAAAATCAGAGTAATCCTAGAAAAATGGTCAAATTATGGGCTGAAAAAGAATTCAGGAACTTAAAGAGGTTGGCGTCTAAGGGAATACCATGCCCGGAACCGGTGGAGTTGAGATCGCACGTTCTAGTGATGGAGTATTTGACTAAAGGTAACGATCAACCCTCACCTAAGCTAAGAGATCATCCGTTCAAGAACGCTGATGAAATCGGCCACTACTATCAACAGATGCTAATATATATGAGACGCATGTATCAAGATTGTCGCTTGGTACATGCTGACTTGAGTGAGTACAATTCAATTGTGCACGATGAAAAGCTTTATATAATCGACGTTTCGCAGTCCGTTGAACCAGATCACCCTATGGCCATGGACTTCTTAAGAATGGATATTAAGAATGTGAATGATTTTTTCGCCAGAAAAGGAATTAATGTGTACCCCGAACGATTGATCTTTAAGTATATAACAGAAAGCGAACATAGCTTAGGTTTACATGGCTCCAGTGATCCAGATCTAATCGCTTACTTGGAGTCCCTACCGTTCAAGGATGACAATGAGGATGAAGTTCAAGATGAAGTCTTTAGGTCGGTGCATTTGGTGCGATCATTGAATCATCTAGATGAAAGGGACTTTCAAGAGTTCACGGAGGGAAACTTTGAAACATTAAACCAGTTGGTAGAAGCACAAGGATCTGACTCTGAAAGCGAAGACGATGATACTGAGCTGGACTATACAGACGAATATACAGATGAGGACCTCAGTAGTGACGTTGATGGGCAAGAGAAGGAATGGGTTGAAAAGACGTCAATACCAAAAGGAAAGAAATTTGAAGATAAGGAAGAAAAGAAATCCAGAAAAGAAGCCGCAAAGGTAGCCAAGCAAGAGAAAAGGAAGAATAAAATGAAAAAGCATGTAAAGAAGAAAATAATAAATAAAAGGAAGAACAAGTAGTCTTCGATATTTATAAATTGGGCATAGATAGATATTAATAAACTTTTAAACATTTCGTCTATCCTATCATCTCTACAAGTAAGGTAAATGTGTTTCCCTCTACTATATTAAACGGTTAAAGGCACTTCTATATATATCACAAACTGCACAACGTAGATTGCATATTGTCCTTTACTGCTATAGAGCCTTATTGTGTCGTCTGGGCTTTCTCTTGGCAAACTTGTAGAAGATAGTTACTCAAAGAGAATGGTTCCTTTTGAGCAAGAGTCAGAAGTCTTATAACACGATCTCTATAGTCAGTGTTAGTTTTTCTTTCATAATCGTGTAAAGTCTATTTGGTGTCCCATTTGGCTCTAGCCGTGTTCGTATCATAGTGTCCCAAAGTTTATTTTGCGGGTAAACAATAAACGTCTCAACTCCTAGAAAAATACATTAGCTAAGCACAAGGAAAACAGTTAAAGTATTATTGAGTTGAGCTATAATCTAATCACATTGATAAATCATAGTTATTTGTACAGACTACTAAAATTGAACAAGAGAACACGTATCAAAAGACGTAGTCTAGCAGACAATGGAAGAGTTTTTGAAGGATAGTCCGTCTGATTTTAATGCTACAATTGGCACTAATAACAACGGTAACAAAAACACAAATAATAACCGGCTCGGTATTAACTATGGCAACGTTGGGGAGCAGCAGTTGGACATCGGAGAAAATGACAACAATTTCCCAATTGATGATGCCTACTTGAGTTCAAATTATAATGGTAATAATGTGGATGTTAATGCAAACAATACCGTCAATCCCAATTACTTTACAAGCGATCCATTTTTAGAAGACCTAGAATCAATTAACTTTCCAAATCAGCAACCTCAAGCTCCTCAATTCATCAACCCATCGAATACCTCTAACTTAGAAGAGGTCATTTCTCCTCACAATAATTATGAAAATGGTAACAGTTTTATAAACCCCCAATACTTTTCGCCTCCGAACAAAGGTCCAGCAAACTTCAATAATCTTGACTCAATTGCTGAAAACAGCTTGTCTAGCTCCTTTAATACAAACACATTCAGCCCGACAATGTCACGACACGATAGTATTAGTGGTCCCGCCAACATTGCATATAACTCAAATAATCCAGATATTAATTCGGGTTCTTATTTATCACCGCAAGCAAATCCCCAATTCTTATCGCCAAAACAAAATGCCTTTGATAGGTCTCTTGACACATTGAAGATGTCTCCTTATAATGCAAACACTTACCTAAACTCACCTCCAGCGTTTCCGCTAGCTGGTGTACTTCAAGAGAATCAACATAGCACGAGCATCCCAAATAATACTATGTTATCTTCCCCTAGGGCCACCCCAAGCTTGAGTACGTCTGTCCCAAATTCCCAGCTGTCTCAACCTAGGGACCTATCGACCAGGCAGTTGAGTAAGGAAGAAAAATTGAAGAGAAGGCGGGAGTTTCATAATGCAGTAGAGCGAAGAAGAAGAGATCTTATCAAAGAAAGAATTAAAGAATTGGGTCTTCTAGTCCCACCCTCATTACTAAATCCACAGCTTTGTGCTGTTCAGTCGTTGCAGCGGAACTCACAGAATTCTAGAGAAATAATGTACCTACTTTCGTCTGTCAAGGTAAAGGAAACAAAGCCTAATAAGAGTACAATATTGAATAAATCTGTTGATTATCTCCATCATCTAAAATATGTTCTTGAAGAACAAGAAAAAACGAGGAGTGATCTAGAGCAGAAACTAAAGGAATGCGAGGATGAGCTCGATAATTCACTCTCGGATAACATACCAAAACCTAATGACCAAATTCAATTCGAGCAAGATGATGTCTTTAACCCTGATGAATTTTTTCTGGATGTGATAGGTCGTTAGGATGAATTAATAGATAATAGTTCGCTGGATGAAACTTTCTCTCTAAGATCTATTTTAATATGACCCTTGATTGATATCCATTATTAAGATTATTGCTTTTGATGATTAATGACACAAATGCTTCATCCAGAGTATTATAGTTATAACTTGGTATAGATTTTAATTCGGATATATGCCCTTGACATTTAGACTATTGTACTATGTAATCACGTGCTGATTGTATCATAATATCGGGAGATACAACTTATAGAAGGCAAATTGCTTACAATCTTCAAGACATTTTACCAATTCGCTGGTTTGCTGTTTATTGTTCCATGTATTATGTCTGAACCAGAAAATGTATTTAAGCAGCAATTTACGAGCTGGAGGAATAAGTTTGAAAACTCTAATGCAAGCGCTAGAGTAGGTCCCGTTCTTTCAGACTGGAGTGACTACGTGAAATCAAATGCGAATACCTTATACACATCGTTGCCAACTTCAAGTCGCGGTAATCAAGCGGTTGAAGAGCCTTCATGGTTTCAACTTTCGAGGTTCGAAAAGCTAATTGGCTTCCTCTGTTGCTTTGGTGCATCTATCTTTTGTTTCATTATTTGTTTTCTCATGTTCCCAGTATTAGCATTAAAGCCTAGAAAAGTGGGATTGTTGTGGTCCATGGGGTCCTTACTCTTTATAATATCATTTGGAATACTACAAGGGCCAAACAACTACATAAGGCATTTATTTTCGAGGGAAAGATTCGTGTTCACTACTGTCTTTTTTGGATCTGTGTTAACAACTTTATATTGCGCAATAGTCTTAAAGAGCACTTTGCTAACGATACTTGCAAGTATTGTTGAACTCTTTGCTATTTTGTATTATGCTGTCAGCTATTTCCCTTTTGGAGCTCAGTCGTTAACATGGTTTTCAAGTTACATAGTTGGTTATTTAGGAGGATTTATTGGAGGTATTTTGTAATCATAATTCATGTCATTTAGACCTAACAAGAGAGACTTATAAACAGAAAGAAATGTAGCCTTAGATCAATTCACAACTTTTGGTCCAATTTTTGAATTTCTTCTAACAATTGTTTATGAAGCTTGCCCAATTTATCGAAGTCAGTTTCCTGAGCAGGCCAACCAACAACTAGACCTGATTCGCTATCTTTCTTTGGAATGAGATGAAAGTGTACATGGTCAACGACTTGATGTGCTATTCTGCCGTTGTTCTGCAAGACATTGTAACCTTCTCCATCAGGTGTATTGTTTTCATCTAACTTTAAGACCTTGGTGAGTTTCTTGACAACGGGCAAAATATCAGACAAATAATCATCCGGAATATTATGCAATTTGGCTCCATGGTACTTAGGAATAATCAAACAGTGAGCTTCCGCTGTAGGCTGAATATCCAAGAAGGAGTAAGATTTATTTGTTTCAATTAACTTTAATGATGGAATTTCTCCCTTTATGATCTTGCAGAAGATACAAGAAGCGTTACTACTCATTTTGATTACCTTTTTTTTTAGCTCTGTTACTGATTTGTCTCTTTAATACTGTAGATTGCAAAGGAATGTCATCGAAGGGAATATAATCGCACAAAGTACTGCACCTCCATTTCGGGAGTGTAGTGGACGGTGGCAATTATCGAAATTGATTTAAGCCAAGTTAAATAATTGATATTAAAAAGATTAGCATATCACAGACTTAAAGGTATATTTGAGTTCAACAATCAGTGAATTAAGATCATTGTTTAGAGAAACAAGTATATATAACAGTTTTCCCTTTTAATTAAAGTTGCTTCAAACACCACGATAGAAATGGCAGCAGATAAGAAACCATTGATGGATGCATCTGGTGCTCAATCGGCCGAGGATAAGACAGCAACCGCCATTTTAAGAAGAAAGAAGAAGGATAATGCTTTGATCGTAGATGATGCGGTTAATGATGACAATTCTGTGATCACTATGTCTTCTAACACTATGGAATTATTACAGTTATTCCGCGGTGACACTGTGTTAGTTAAGGGTAAGAAGAGAAAAGACACTGTTTTAATCGTATTAGCAGACGATGACATGGAAGATGGTGTTGCTAGAATCAATAGATGTGTCCGTAATAACTTGAGAGTTAGGTTGGGAGACATTGTAACCGTACACCCTTGTCCAGATATCAAATATGCTAACAGAATTTCTGTTTTACCAATTGCTGATACAGTTGAGGGTATAACTGGTTCTTTGTTTGATGTTTATTTAAAGCCATATTTTGTGGAGGCCTACAGACCTGTTAGGAAAGGAGACTTATTCACTGTCAGAGGTGGTATGAGGCAAGTTGAGTTTAAGGTCGTTGAGGTAGATCCAGAGGATATAGCAATTGTTGCCCAAGACACAATTATTCACTGTGAGGGTGAACCAATTAATCGTGAAGATGAAGAAAATAATTTAAACGAAGTAGGTTATGATGACATCGGTGGCTGTAAGAAGCAAATGGCACAAATTAGAGAATTAGTTGAGTTGCCACTCAGGCACCCCCAATTATTCAAATCTATCGGTATTAAGCCTCCAAAGGGTATATTGATGTATGGTCCACCTGGTACAGGTAAGACCGTTATGGCAAGAGCTGTCGCTAACGAAACTGGGGCCTTTTTCTTTTTGATCAATGGTCCGGAAATCATGTCTAAGATGGCGGGTGAATCTGAATCTAATTTAAGGAAGGCATTTGAGGAAGCTGAGAAAAATGCACCTTCCATTATTTTTATTGACGAAATTGATTCAATCGCTCCTAAGAGAGACAAGACGAATGGTGAGGTGGAAAGAAGAGTTGTTTCTCAGTTGTTGACTTTAATGGATGGAATGAAGGCTAGATCAAATACAGTTGTTATCGCTGCTACAAATAGACCAAATTCCATTGATCCAGCTTTGAGAAGGTTCGGAAGATTTGATAGAGAAGTCGATATTGGCGTTCCAGATGCAGCCGGTCGTTTAGAAATCTTAAGAATCCACACTAAGAATATGAAGTTAGCTGATGACGTCGATTTAGAGGCAATTGCTTCCGAAACCCATGGGTTCGTTGGTGCTGATATTGCTTCTTTGTGTTCTGAAGCAGCAATGCAACAGATCAGGGAGAAGATGGATCTCATCGATCTTGAAGAAGAAACTATTGATGCAGAAGTTTTGGACTCGTTAGGTGTCACCATGGATAACTTTAGATTTGCATTAGGTAATTCTAATCCATCCGCATTACGTGAGACAGTCGTTGAAAATGTCAATGTCACCTGGGATGATATTGGAGGCTTAGACACCATTAAGAACGAATTGAAAGAGACTGTCGAGTATCCTGTATTACACCCGGATCAATACCAAAAGTTTGGATTGGCTCCTTCCAAAGGTGTTTTATTCTTTGGTCCACCAGGTACTGGTAAGACATTACTAGCAAAGGCTGTCGCAACGGAAGTGTCTGCAAATTTCATCTCAGTTAAGGGTCCTGAATTGTTAAGTATGTGGTATGGTGAGTCCGAATCCAACATCCGTGATATATTTGACAAGGCTAGAGCAGCTGCGCCAACGGTCGTCTTTTTAGATGAGTTGGACTCTATCGCCAAGGCTAGAGGTGGCTCTCATGGTGACGCTGGTGGTGCATCTGATAGAGTCGTAAATCAATTATTGACTGAAATGGATGGTATGAACGCTAAGAAGAACGTATTTGTTATTGGTGCCACTAACAGACCTGACCAGATAGATCCAGCCTTGCTTAGACCCGGCCGTTTGGATCAATTAATATACGTTCCATTGCCAGATGAAACTGCAAGATTGTCAATCTTACAAGCTCAATTAAGGAGCACACCGTTGGAGCCTGGCTTGGACTTATTGGAAATCGCTAAGATCACTAACGGCTTCTCTGGTGCAGATTTGTCTTACATCGTACAAAGATCAGCCAAATTTGCTATCAAAGATTCTATTGAGGCACAAGTGAGATCTCAAAAGGAGAAGGAAGCGAAGACAGAAGATGTTGACATGGTTAAGAATGAAGGTGGAGAAGAAGAAGAGGAAGAAGACCCAGTTCCATATATCACCAGAGCTCACTTTGAAGAAGCCATGAAAACGGCGAAGCGCTCTGTTTCAGATGCAGAATTACGTCGTTACGAGGCTTACGCTCAGCAATTACTAGCTTCTAGAGGTCAATTTTCTAACTTCAGATTCTCTGAAAATCCAAGTGATGGTTCTGCACCTGCTGGATCTAACAACGAATCATCTGGAGCTGCATTTGGAAACGATGAAGAGGATGACGATCTATACAGTTAAAGCTATTTAATATGAATTTCATTTGGCTACTTCTTTATATTTGCTCCATACTTTTCTCTATATAATCAGAATACATAAGAATTGTTTTACATTTTATAGTGAGTCCCAAGATCAGATCTCTAGTTGCTCTCTTTATGTGCAGGGAGTTCATCGCGCATGGTTACAATGGGGTAGCAAAATTTCTTTGTCAAGGGTTGATGAAGTACAATACCAATCTGCTAAGCTATATCTGGGTTTTGATTGTCCAGTAAAGAAGGTTTCATAGAAAAGGCTTGTTCTTATATGACTAATTTGCATACATAAACTTTGTTGTTAAATAAAGCTATTATAAAACAGACAAAGAAAAACAGAAAAACAGAAAAATTAATAATTAACAAACATGAAGCAATTTCCTGGAAGTGGAGGCATACTCTGCTTAGCTCCCTTCTTCTTGTTGGCTAGTGAATTTGTTATGAGCAGATTTTCTCAGTCTGGACCGAAAGCTGCTCTAACGTCCAAGAAATCCTCCTTACTTTTCCCATCAAATAATCACGATAAATACAGCAATATCGGTCCTTATCGAATTGTTGACTCCAGGTCTAAATGATTATTTATCCATGGTGTTCAGTAACTTATAAAGAGCAACTTAAAGTTTTACCTCCTTACCCACTCATTACTTGCTCATTTTGAATCATTAATAAAATTTAGTTGCATTATCTCATGAAATGTCTTACTAAGATCATAGATTGATCTTATTTTACTTATTATCCATTTACAGTTACAGTTCGTCTTTCAATGCCGAAATAACTGTTTCCTAGCTCACGACTAAAAATTACTGACACAATTTCACATTCGTTTTTATGCTGGCATATCATGAACTGAACTGATAAAAATATCTTGTACACTATCATTAAAATTTATATATACTAGCTCTCTTATAAAAGTTAGTTTGAAATTATGTTCATCTGTGATTTCTATTGTAACAATGTACTCTTATTGGCGATTCAACTAGAGCAGCTCTTTTGAGACAATTATAAACTGACCTCATAAATGGTGCTTTTGTTGGTGCCTTAGCAGGCATTTTAATAACGTGAATTTCAAAAGGCTAGGCGATGGAGAATCAGAGATTACTTCAAAGCATATTACCTATTGAAAGGAAGCTGAAAACTTGATGAACGCTTATCTTCATACAATGCTTGAGATGACATAGAAGCATCCGCTTCAAAAGATATATGTTATAGTAAATGCCATGATTTTGAGGATGTCAATACATTTATAATCATTTAATTTATCTAGCAATCTACTTAAACTATGAAAGACCGATTGCAATTGTAATTCATTAAAATTTGTTCACACCATCCATCTTTTTAGGTAACCTAACTGCAACACCAAGTGGATAAGCAATCACGCTATTGATGTCCCAGATTCCTTCTTTATAATACACATCTTGCTTTAAAAACTCGATGATTTCTTCCTTTGAGTCAGCAATTATGTGGAAAGCACTACCTGCAAATTTAGACTTCGAAGCGTCCGTATAGATTGCTCCAGCAGAGTTGACAATTCCCTTATTAACAGCCTCTGGAATAGCAGCAACATGTGCAGGCCTAACCAGTGATCTGTCAGTACCTTCCTTATCGAAGACAATTACTTCCCACTCTGTTGACATAATGAATGACTCAATGGTAACTCTTATTGTATTATAACTTATTTTTTGGCCAGCCTAATATTTCAGTATTCTTATTTACACTACCCTCATTAACTAGTTAAAACATAGTCAGTAATAATGAGGAAAAGTATTGAAAGGAAGTACGATCGTCTATACGAGTAGTGAATTTTAATCTAAGTAGTCCGTTTTTTATTCTCTATTTAACCGTTAAAAAGAGATATGAATGACCTATGAACTACACAATGTATTGTAGTTCAAACACAAATTGAGGGTAGATTAACTGAATTTTCTCGTTATTAGACTCAGTAAATGGTGTGAAAATGCAAAAAAAAGAAGGTTAAAAAGGACTTACATAAATGCTTTCTCAGTTCTTTTAAAGAGTTGATAAGTCCCAAAACTTTCTCGTAATTTTTTGTACTCTTTGCCTAAGAGATCAAAGTGAATATATGAAACTTCAATTGATTCCAAGCCGTAGGCAGTCGAAGAAATTATTCTGATTTCAGTAACGGGGCATAAAGTCTAATTCTTTCCCTTCTAGGACCCAACTGATCTGTTTTGATACCAGCTCCAAACTGGTCACCCTCCGGTGAGTGACTAGGAATTACAGTCGTTGGGACTATGCTTTCACTAATTCTTCTGTATTGTCTTTGACCAATTCCACCTCTATCTTTCATATAGGCACTTAAAAAGGAAGTTTTGTAGCGCTTCAAATAGTTCTCGCTTCTTGCAGTTGGGCGCTCTTCTTCCTCGTTGTATAACTTAGTCTTATATAATGGTTTGTCTCTATTCTCGTGATTTTTGTATACCAATAAACCACCTGCTAACGCTGCAACTCCAAAAATTTTGGTTACGCTGATTTCTATGTTTTTAGGAGGTTCAGTTGAGCCATGGCTGCTAGATGAATTAAACCTTCTAAGGACCTTCGCACTTCTGATTATTGATTGGGATGATCTACTAAACATTTCGGATAGGCAATAATCCTAATTAATTTTACCACTTGATTCAACAATTGACTAAATCTTATGAACTTGTACTTATTATATTGAGCCAATAAAATGAAGTTGATTTTGAAAGAGAACAGGTCGTCGGTTGCACAATTTTATATACAGTCGTTGGGTGGTTTTTGTGTGATGAAATGTGAGGGTCTCATACCAATATTAAACCGTGCAAGTCACTAAGTCGCTTCAGAGATATGTGTTGGATATAGCACTAGGCGGCTCAATTGTATATTCAACTATATCTTCAATTCATATATCTTCTTTTTTGGAGTCCTAGAATGTTTTTTTTTTTTTCATTGCAAAAGTACAGATAGCGGATTATCTTCTTTCGGCTAACCTGGCGTGATGAGACTAAGAAGGAGTAGTCAAATATAGCATTTTCATTACGATTCAGAAAGCCAGTTTATGTTATCAATTTTGGTATAAATAGCTACAGCTTGATGTTCAAAAGATTTGTCAAAGTGTGCAATTTAGACATTCATATATAAAACGTAGTTTGGCGGGATCTCTTAACATAATAAACTTGAAGAATGCGTAAAAAGTTAGATAATTACAAACTATAATACTTTCAGTTCAATTGTTCATTCGTTTATATGCCACTTTAAGCTACCCCAGAAAAACTAGAGATCTCGTCAAGCTAAATTGAATTTTCGGCTCGCTCTTTTCTAGAAACTACCGGACTCATACTTTCAGTATGAACTAATAGTTGACACTAATGAGATAGTCAGCCAATTTTTCAACGATAGTCGTAGCTTCTCCGGGCACAACATTTGCTGGGTAATGTGCTATGAGAATTGCTTGTTTAGTTCGAACTGCAATCACCCCTTCTGCATCATGTTTACCGTAGAGAGACCTTTCGTCAGCTCTTAATAAAAAATATTTCTGGCCCTGAACATGCAATCCATGTGCTTGTAAACTAGAAGGGTCATCGTACCCTTTAGCAATTTCACTGATCTCTTTAGGATCCAATTGAAAGTTGCCACTTTGAGCCCACAAGGAATCGCCAGCCTTCGAGTATAAGGCAGATTTATCAAGTTTACCTGTTGCAATTAAGTTATCTGTATATGCTTGCCAAGACATTATTCAATTGATTTATCTAGTTGATTGATCACAATTAAGAGCCTATTTACGTCGCAATATAAATCCATAGCAGAATAAATAGTGGCTTCTTTTCCATTAACTTATGTAACAGATTATGTCATGTATGATCGGTTAGTTATATACAGAATAGAGAATCACGACAACGGTTAATTAAGTTTCCGTTTCTTCAGAGATGGCTCTTCTAACTCTATCAAGCCATCTTCATTGTTATCACTGTCAACGACAATGGTGTCTGATCCCACGAAGGTATTGTTGTCGTAATCAGGCGAGGTGGAACGTTCTGACAAAACTCCGGTTTTCGGCCTGATTTTAACATCTGGTAAATAGTCTTTCACCTGGGATTTCGCTTCTGTAATATAGAGCTCTAAACTTTCAAGATCATCATTTTCATCCTGGATCAAAAGAATTTCTCCATCCTGAAATCCTTTTATTTCGTTAAGATGTCGATCTAAATTATCTTCAAAGTCAGGATCGTATATCAAATTAGATTTACCTAACACTATCGATAGCTCTTCGTAATCATATTTCTTGACAATATTATCAACCAAGTCTTGCAAAGTATTCAGTTTCAACTGGTGGCTTGTGATTTCGAGAAAACCACGAGATAACAAGGAGCACGTTGCACAAGTCGGACTAGGCCCAACGACAGAAGCCGAAGTAATATATTTATTTGGGCGAATACTAATGAAGACTGTAGAAGAGTGCCTCATAACTTCAGAGAAGTCTTTAGGAGCTGGGTGAGGACGATCAAAATAAGTGAGACTACCCAAGCTAGAAAACCCTGAGATAATCGCATTTGTTGTTGCGATGGCAGGAATAATGTTGCCAGCGATCTGCTTGATGTCAAATTTTGTCTTCGCCTCAATGCTAAAGGAATAAGATCTTAAATTTGATGCCGCAGAAAGAAAATTTAACGTGTCTTCATCATCCTTATCAAAAGTGATAAATCCCTCCTTTCCAGACAAGAGCCTCTTTTGCATGGCAACAGCAGAAGCCAGTAACACGTATAAGTTCTCCAATACAGACCACACCTTAGTTTCATTAGATAAAATGGACTTATAATTCAGATCCTCTAACATCGAATGCAATTCTTCTTTGTACTTGCCATAGTCTAAAGGTATTGGTTTCACTCTTGACTTCCACAATGAGTCAATTAATAACAATCTTTCGATATCAACTTCGAATATTTTTGTTATTAAGCTATCCACAAAGCTCAATGAGTTAGACTCACGGATAGATTTTCGCAAATCACCCAACTCATTGGACTCCTTGAGCATATTCTCTATTTCCTTTTTATCGTCCGTTTCGTTTTCCAAATCTTTCAGATCAAACTCAGACACTGACTCATCAAATAACTGATGAATTAGAAATTCTTTTGCCCATGTAATGCAATGTATAGGTTTCGATGGAGTAGAACGGATGGTGCAGACTGGAAATGTTTTAGGTGTTGCTTTGGCTTGACACTCAAAGCATTCGCTGGCATAGGGCAAAATAGGTTGAACCTGGCCATCGTATCCAGTAGTACCACTTTCCATAAGAGGCAACTTCAGAAAGAGGCACATCTTATTAACATATCTTCTAGCCTCAAGATTATCTAACGCATTAAATACATAATCGAACTGTCTCCACCATGTCACAGGGAATTGTTCAGTATTCATTATATTACCATGGTGAGGAACAAGTTTAGCGTTAAAGTAATTAAACGACTGTACTGCCTTCACGACTGTTCCCGACTTAGATTTATCAATATCTTTTTGACGGAATAGAAACTGTCTATTTAAATTTGATAATGTGATAGTATCTAAGTCAACAATATGAATTTCACCATATCCAGTAAGAATTATATCTTTGATAAGCTCGCACCCTATTCCACCAGCGCCAACCATCAAAACTCTAGTGTCCCTTAATCGCTCGTAGCGATCCTCTCCGAGGACTTTCTTCAAGTATGTGTCCTTCGCCATTCGTACTATGTTTTGTCTTAATTATATGAAAAAGCTCGCAAACATTTTAAAAGTTTATTGAATACGCTATATCGAGACCTACACTAGCAAGTATATTTAAAGCACGAGGAGTCTAGCTCCTTTAATATGAAATCGCTCCGTAGTTTATTACCACGTCATATTACCAAGACAAAAAATATCAAAAGAACAGCAAGCTAAACAACAATCATGCTTTGATATCTCAGTTTTAAGGCTCAGAGGGTTGTGAACAAAGACCAGACTCCTTTAAGATAGCCAACTATTTCATCTCCTCCAAGTTTAGAATCTCCGTACAATCTGTCAACGAAACTTATAGGAACTTCTCCCACGCTGTAACCGAGAACTTTTGCTCTCACGATCATTTCCATTTGAAAGACATATCCCTTGGACTTAGTTTCACTGATAATCTTATCCAAAACAGGCTTTCTATATAATCTGAAAGAACCAGTTACGTCAGACACGTTTGGTCTCAAAACAATAGAGGACAAAAAGTTAGCACCTCTTGAGACTAGCTTTCTCTTCAAATCCCATCCATATACACCACCATCACCAGCATACCTTGTACCAGTGACTATGTCATAATCACCTTCCTTTTGTTTAGCAATAAACTGAGGAATTGCTTCAGGGTGATGTGAAAAATCTGCATCCATAATTATAACGAAATTTCCAGTTGCATATTTTAACCCATGAACATAAGCTGTTCCCAATCCTAATTTTCCAGCTCTTGGTCTTAATTGAATGTGATCTTCTCCAAAAACTCCAACTAGCTTTTTTGCTACTTCTTGTGTTCCATCTGGAGAGTTATCATCAACAATAACCACCTCCCAGTCAATCTTATTTTCATTGAAAGTTTTTGCTAACAAATAAATTAGAATGGGTAAGTTCTTTCTTTCATTGTAAGTTGGAAGTATGACTGTGTACTTGTTTGATCCCATTGTAATCGACGCCAAAAACTATGAAGCAAACTTTCGGTAATATTTGTTATTCTTAAATTCTTAAAAAAGGTCGGATTAATTTCGAGTAACGCTGTTCGAAATTCATGATACAAGCCGAAGATAAAGAAATTCATTTTACATTTCACTAAATAAAGTTATAAATGAATCTAACTAAAGTATGACTCAACGATTTAACCTTCTCAAACCAGACAATACATATGACAAAAAAATAAAAGCAAATTAAAAGTACGAACCAATACTTGTTTAACTTTTCCTAACAGTTTTAACATTTTAGCCTCACCCTATAACAAAATACGAGTTCCAAATGACTTAAAAGCAAGCAAAGACACTAATGTCAACAAAATAAAAGCAGTAATAATAACAATGTAACAGTAATAATAACATTATAAAGATCAAAATCAAAATCAAATTAAAATATCAACTTGTTAGTATCAAATCAACCAAGAACATAAAACATTTTGCAACGACAGAAAGTGAATCATATCAATACAAATAAAATAAAGACAATTGTGAGTCTCTATCATTAGTGACTATTCAAGTTCAACGAATCAATTGAGTTGGTGAGTATACCTAGAGAGGGTGAAAAAGTTTGTAATGTGGCTCCCGTAGAGTTGGCATCACCGTGCGCAACTACTGGTGCTGAATGTGGAGGATCTGGAACAGTTTTCATAGAATAATTCTGATTATGTTGCAGATGACCAAATCCCGAATACAATGCTGGTGAATTACTCATGGATTGAGAATATTTTTGATGCTGGTTAGAACCTGTGACTTGCAGGTGACGCTGTTGTTGCTGCTGCTGCTGCTGTTGTTGTTGTTGTTGTTGTTGTTGTTGTTGTTGTTGTTGTTGTTGTTGTTGTTGTTGTTGTTGTTGCATCATCATCAACTGTTGAGGTAACAACTGTATCTGAGGCTGCGGCGTTCCATTCCTGCTCCCCCTTGATCCATTAACTTGTTGAGAGTAGGAAGTCAAATTTCCAGACTTGTTATTTGCAAAGGTATTTCCAATGGTATTAGCATGATGGCGATTCAGCTGCTGCTGTCCGGTCTGTGAATAATGCTGTGCATGATGAGGTTGCGGCTGCTGCAATCCCATGAATCCGTTACTCAAATTTAAGGGTTGTCCACTAGCGGTGGCAGCTGCAATTGCAGCTGCTGTTGAATTAACAGAATGGAGCGAATTCATTCCTTGGTTATTGAGCGTCGTTGCTGGCTTACTATTACCACATTTTAAGCAACACAAGTTTTTAGCAAAATTGTGATATCGACATGATTCATTACTACACTTCCAATCACCAGCTCTAAATGGAACGCTAGTTCCATAATTGGATCGCCCATTATTGTTATTGTGACCATGATTATTATTATGATTTTGAAGTTGTTGATGATGGCCCATAGTGCGCTGAGAGTGGCCATTATTAAGTTGATTACCGTAAGATTGAAAGTCTTGTAAATTATTATAATTTTGGTTTGTATTCATTGTCGCAGCTGCAGCATTAACTATTGCAGCATTCAATGTAACCTTGTCTGCAGCATGGTTTTGCATCTGGGATTGATTTCCTCCATTTCGGCGATTATTGATCATACCGGGTGGGTAAATCGATTCTTGAATAGCGACAGCACTAGTTGCAGGAAACGAACACCTGAAGCATGCCGTTCTTCTTTGAAAATTCGAGAAGCCACAAGACGGACATGTCCAATCTCCAGGTCTTGGGCGATTTTTGGAAGAAGCAAACGGTGTCAATACATCACTGGCCTTATCTAGGACTCTGGTTGAAGAAGGCTGGACTTCAATCGCGCGATCATTTAAAACTCTTCCATTCATAGACAAAGATTCTGCCGCTTCTTCATGAGTCGCAAATACAACAAAACCTGCAATGCTTCTAGTCGCAAAACTAGATCCGTAGCCATTACCATTATTATATTTTTCATTGGGCAAAGAATCCAAATTTTTTAAAGTCCAAAATGCAATTGGTTTACCACCGTATTGAGTAAACCACGATTCCAATTCTGATTGAATTACATCATGTGGTAAATTCGAAAGAAAGAGGATTTTTGATCTTTCCTCCAAGAATGACTTTACATCTCGATAAGAATCATAAGGTCTTGTCAACACTTCGGGGTGTTCACTAAGAGGCAATGACTTTTTCACTAACTGCAGAAGCAATCTCGTGTAAAGTGCTACTGTTGACATCGTTTTAGTCTCACAAAACGCGCCAGGCTCCGATGAATTCAAATTTGTAGAAGTATTCGAGCTGAAACTTGTAGTCGAAGACGCCAAAGAAATAGGAGTTGGTGTAGATGGCGAAGATACATCTTCATTGCTTCCATTCTTTTCGCTAACAAAATCGACCTCTAGCGCAGCCATAATGCTTGATAATGACGAGGCAGAATATGAGAGAGCCTCAGGATGTGATAACTGCCACTTAGCATATTCATTCTGTAAATTAAAAACCCGAGGATGTTGTAAATACGAAGGAAGTATCACCGACTTGTCTCTTGCCTCTCTTGGCAACTGTACTCTTAACTTGCTAACATCGAAAGTGACAAATGTAAAATCTAATTCCTTTTGCACTATGTTTTCTTGAACGTAAGTATCAAATTTGCTAACAGCGTCCTTGAATGTTCCAGCATTTCTAACGTGTTCCCAAGTCACTTTATGAAGTTGCGAGCAGTAGGATGTTATTGGTGTATTTACGGGTCTTACTAACACTGATTCTTCATGAAGAACTTCAAGGGTCCTGGCATCAGCAGCCGACCAGCCAAATTCGATTAGTTCTGTTGAATCCTTGGAAACATACGAGGTTGATTCATCGCATGTGGTAGCTATGTGAACAACCAAGTATATATCACTCATTCTATTGTGCCTGGCCAGTCACTACTGGTTGTTCTTCGAATCGTGAAAATTCTGAAAAAGAGCCTATCTTCGGATAGTGTGCCATTTGATCAAATGCTTACCGACGTATAGAAAAAAATAAAAAAAAAAAAAAAATACAACATGGTCACGTGTGCTGTTTTATTGTGTTGTTCCTAAGCTAAAGTTCCTAGACGAACCCTGAAGAAAGTTCTGAATGGATCTAGCGAGAGACGAAAATACTTAATGGCAGTGTACTGCAAGCATATGCAGCTACCCGAAGCTCCTTCAGGGTCCAGTGGTAAACTGATCTCAAAAGCCGCCCCTTGATCTCTGAAGCAGACGACGCTGTGCAATTCATGCTGCTGTCTTTCTTTATTGACGAGTTACTCTGTAAGGGCTCAGTAGAGCCTTAAGTTCTGTATCAAGTAGCTCGAGCAAGAAAAGCACAATAAGTGTTTAGCATACGTATTAGATCTACATCGAGAGAGAGTAGAACCAGTAATAAGTAAAACCTTTCTAAATAGCTCAATGGTGTCAGACTATAAAAGTGACAATTGGCCTTGTTTTTCAGGTTTTTTTAACATCTATCAAGCTCCTTTCACCGTTGTTCAATATATTCCTAGGGCCCCCTAAGGAATGTTAGTAGCACAATTTCGCGTCCTTTTTTTTTTGTACCGTCTATGAAATGGCAACATGACGTGACCTAGCTCATAAGCTCATATAAGAAAATATCGGGAAGAGATTGACGAATTAGACTTACTTGCTTAGAATGTCTAGTGACCAGCATAATGATCCACTTGTGTTCAAAACTCAGTTGGTTCTTTGTCTTTGGGCGGGTATCTCAACGTTTATCTTATTTTGTATTTTGCGGTTTAAATGGCCACACATTTATGCATTAAGGACATTAAGACGAAATACATTAAAGCAGCTTCCTAATGGGGTATTTAGATGGGTTAAGGTGGTTTATTCAATAACAGAAGATGAGGTTTTGGAATACTCTGGCTTGGATGCATATGTATTTTTAACTTTCTTCAAAATGGGTATCAAGATTTTCTCATTACTTGCATTATTTGCCGTGTTTATCTTGAGTCCAATAAGGTACTACTTTACCGGAAACTATGACAAGGATGACCTTGTACTGTCAGTATATAAGGCATTCTTCACAACCATGCAACCTCCCGATTTTAGTGACGACTTCCCCAAGTTTTTGTGGGTATACCCTATCTTTACGTATATTTTCTCAATCATCGTTTACACAATCTTGCTCAATGTCACCAAGAAGGTATTGAAGATAAGGCAAAAGTACTTGGCGGCACAGGACTCGATTACTGACAGGACTATCAGGCTAGATGGGATACCAAAAAAGCTTTTGAAAAAGAACAGTCCAGATGTTTTGAAACGCTTCATTGAAGATTTGGGAATCGGTAAAGTTCAAGATATCAAATTGATTTATGACTGGACTCCTTTAGAGAAGCTTTTTAAGCAAAGAAAATTAGTAATTGGTAGGCTTGAAGAACTCTATTCTTCCCTATATCAATTGAAGATTGATATATTCGGTCTAGATAAAGTGCCAGCAGTTACCTTGCTCCATTCTGATTTCGATCAGCATGAATCTACCAAAAGACAAAAGAAACAGAAAGAAGAGATCGTGAATCTTGCAAAAAAATTAATTGAGCTCGATAACAGTATTAAAGTTATTCAGCTGAAATATGATCCTGAACCTTCGACCATTGATATAGAAGAAGATCCTGAATTCAAGCTTTTGGCGAGTGCATTTATAACTATGGATTCTGTTGCGTCTGCCCAAATGGCAGCTCAAACTGTGCTTGACCCGAGAGTATACAAATTGATCGTGAGCTTGGCGCCAGCTCCAAAAGACATTAAATGGGAGAACTTCAAATTGACGTATTATCAGAAATTGATCAAAGCTTACCTAATAACGTTTGTTGTTATATTAAGTTATACATTTAACTCTGTCTTGGTTACTCCTTTGACAACATTGCTTGATTTGAAGACATTGACAAAACTTTGGCCAGCTTTGGGCAATTTTATAAGTCAATCCACATGGTTAACAACTTTCGTAACAGGAATTTTGCCACCGTTATTATTTTCCATGTTAAATATATCATTACCATATTTTTACAAGTTTCTTTCCCAATATCAAGGTTATTCATCAAATAGCGACGTTGAGCTAGCGACATTACTGAAAAACTTTTTTTTTGTTTTCTTTAACTTGTTTTTGGTTTTTATTGTAACTGGAACATTCTGGGACTATATTTCCTATATTAGTGATACGACTAAAATTGCATATCAACTTGCCAGGTCTCTTAGAAAGCAATCTTTATTCTACGTTGATTTAATTTTATTACAAGGATTAGCGATGTTTCCAATTAAGCTCTTGCAAATAGGAGACTTTTTGATTGCAAACATAATAGGGAAGTTATTTTTTTTGAGGAGATTCATATTAAAGACGCCAAGGGACTACAGATTTTATTACTACACTCCACCTATCTTCGATTTCGGCATCCAATTGCCTCAGCATATGTTAATTTTTATTATTATCTTGATATACTCTGTGGTTTCAACAAAAATTGTCACTAGTGGATTGGTATATTTTATCTTGGGACACTTTGTGTATAAATATCAACTAGTATATAATTTTGTTCACCCACCTCATTCTACAGGTAAAGTATGGCCAATGGTTTTTAGACGTGTGATGCTAGGTTTGTTGATATTTCAGTTATTCATGTGTGGATCAATGGCTTTGGAAGGTGCTATCTTACTTTCGGCTCTTTGCACGCCACTTGTAGTAGTCACATTAGTATTTGAGTGGAACTTTGAGAGAAATTATCTTCCTTTGAATACATTTATTGCTTTGCGGGCCATTCAAAACCCATACGATTTCGATAAAGAATTTGATGATGACAGTCTGCTGGTTTCAACGAGAACTGAAGGAGTCCAAGAAGATGAATCTAGTTCTGATCTAGATCAAACTCTTGATGAAACTTCGCATTTGATGACTGCGCACTCAAGAGCTAGCCTGCAAGGACAATTGAGTAGACGACGGTCAACGATTGACGAGGAAAGAGAGCAATTTACCGACTACACATACCCTTTGGTGATTGATTCTTTAGATGGGCCCTGCATTGGATTTGATGGTGACTATATCTCAGTTGTTGAGTACGATAAATCGCCAAGTGTTATCAGTAACGAAATTCTTGAGAGTGGAGAATATTCAATTGTTCCTTCTAGTCTGAGAGAAATCGTACTCAGAAAGCGTTACACAGTCTCTGAATGGGAATAAGAGGTAAATAAATTTCTTGATCTTTAATAAAACTTATCTTTAGAAACTGTGAGAATCTTCTTATTCATAAAAATCTAATAATACTTGACATAACAATATTAATAATGATAACAATTATAGACAATGGCGGATGTAGCTAGTATGCTTTGGCATAAGATATTTTCAATTGAAAAATAAGAATTGAATTAACGTTCTGGAGAAAAAAAAATAAAAAACAAAGTAAAATAAAAAATGGGCAAACAGTTTTTGCAATCTTCCCTTTGAAAAGATTGATTAAGGTTAATTAATGGCCATAAAATACAAAAAAAAAGCTCATTTATTCAAACCTTAGTCTTTAGAAGGGCCCAATCGTGTCTTTTTGACTTTTTCGCCTCTTGTTGTCGTTTGGTTTTGTCTAATTTGATTTGAGATTTCCACAAGCTTGATATTTCTCAATTCTTTATTCGTAACGTATTCAGGCTTTACAGAGGAATAATCGCAATCAATATTGAACTTCGTACAGCTTGAACACACAGGTCTCGCTTCATCACATTTCAAATGTTTGATTCTACAAATCCAGCATCCGTTCTTTGACCTTGGTAATAGTCTACGTCTTGTGTGCTTTTTTGGCTTTGACAAATCAATGTTTGACGATTCATGGCTGGTTAAAGCTGGAGTTATTCTGCCTTCTGTGAACAGTAGCGGTTTCTTTCTTGCTACTTGAATTGTGGGACTTTCAAACGATTCTTCATACGGCAGATTATTAACCGAAGTCGATTTCATTTCAGGAGTTGGGTACGTCTTTCTCCTATAAGTCTCTTCATAATTCAAATTTTCGGTAAATGCATCTTGTCTTCTATGACTGTAACCGAAAGGAGCTTCTTTCATTATCATGGGACTGATTTCTTCGTCCTGATCGTCACCTCTATAATTGCTTGAGGAGGGAGAAACGTTGAAAGATGAATATGCAACCCCAACTGGAGTGATTGAGCTCAAGTTCTTCAAACTTTTCTTGTTTTTAAGTGTCATACTATTCATGTGTCTTAACGACTGTTTTTTAGTAATCTTATTATTAGATGATTGCGGCGTTGGAGAGTAATGATACTGTAGCTGGGTCTGTGCATGAGTCTGATAGGTATGTTGTAGTGGATGTTGATGCTGGTTAAGGGATTTTGAAGCCGAGCCCTTTGTTGGTTCTTCAAAAAAAGTGGAGCATGGTGTAAAACTTGAAGCATCTGAATGAACAGGCGTATATAGATCGCTTAGTGATAAGTTATTAACGCTCTGGTTAAAAAGTTTCCCAGCCTCGTTTGGATCGCTTGCATCTACGACTCGATTCTCGAAGGAGGTTTCTGGGATTGAGTCGAATGAAGACGTATTTGCGAGATCAAAGTCATTGTAGACTAAGCTAGCAGCCAGCGATGGAGGTGCTGGAAAATCTTGCAAGGTATTGAACTCTGGATCCATATGAACATTTGGAGATCTTTTTTGAGTAGGGTCTATGTTGTTGGCATCATTATGAAAACTGTAAGGTAAACTTACAAAATTGGAATTATAAGTCGTATTGTTACTAGGAGGGACAATGTCTTCTCTCATAAGTGATGCATGTTGTAATGGAATTGAATTATAATGCTGATGATGGTTCGGATATAGTTCCATTGTATTGGAAGGTTCTGTATCAATAGACAAGGTAGGCTTGTCAGCTTTAAATAAATGGTAATGCTTTCTTAAATCTGTGCTGATCGACCCTGAAGACATGTTATCATGCAATTTATCTGAATTGCTGCTGCTTTCGGGGGAAGATTTTGGATGATGGGTTTGAAAAGTTGGCCTGCTGAACGAATTTTGGTCCATCTTAATCTGCAGTTGCGGATGCAATAATTGTAACAAACAATTGCAAAATAAGGTTGGTTATACTAAGGAATGAACTATAGTTGGTGGATGCTTGGTGGTTGGAGGGAATGGAATGGCAGTCTCTGATGCAAAAAGTTAGGACGACGCTTTTAGTGAACTGTATCGGAACGTCCTATCCTTATTTAAATGCTATAACAAACAATCTAGCTTCCGTAGATTTTAATTAAATCTTATAGTCTTCTTTGAATTAGAAGTTCCTAGTGAAGATTTTTGGTAAGAGCTGACTTTTAATTTGTCACCTGTATTGCCTTGACAGAGTAAGCGCAACCTAACTCAATTAGATAGCCCTGCTTTATGCTCTTGTTACCAGATAGGATTTTTTATTCCTCGCTACTTCTTTACTGTAAACAGTACTTCCACTTCTTGAGCCCTACGCAAGCACACACACTCTCTCTCTTTCTTTTCACGCTATAATACCTCTGAAACGCTCTCTCGCTGCCGCTATGGCCTTTTTCTCTTCTTGTGGTCTCTCTTGCCTTGGAGGGACACCCTCTATGCTTCAATTCCTTAGAATGAATAGGTAGTTCTTCAATTGTGTATTAGCGAACTAAAAATCTATATAGAAATTGAAAAATAGAGAGGCTGGTAACGGTAATTTAAGCATTCAATCGCTACGCACCAACAAAGAAAAAAAAAAAAATTATTTAAAAACGGCTATCATGTTAATTTACACAGCTATTCCGGTCGATCTAGGGTGCCATAAGTACGCATAGAAAGCAATTCTTTCATAGAATTCTCTTCTCTTACTTTGTTTAGGGTCTTGAATAATACAAGATATTTCTAGTTCCCCAAGCACGGGGTTATTCGATACTCTTGCGGGGCCAGTCGGCAAGGGTCCCTTTAGCAGGTCACCATTTCGTTCGAGATCCTCAATGCCGTTTCTCCAGCCTGCTTGCTAGTCACAGTGCCGTACAGATAAGCTTGTCGACGCTAGATATCGTTCTTTTGATTTTGAAGGGCAAATTGGCTAACCGAGCAATAGGTCGCAGGCTGTCGAAATCAGCAGGAACATCGTAGAACCCACAACTGTCGTTAAAATACGTAGCAGGGCGCATACGATCGGCAATGCAGACGCTCTGCCTGTATATCTTAACAATGCATATCTGGCTTTTCCTAAGTTGGTGGGCGGCACACTGTAAACGTTCGTCTCTATTCTTTTGGGTTTCGGCGCGCGTACTCCTATCTTATCTGTGCGCCTAGCACATGCTATCCATGAGCTGCATTCTTTTGATACAGAACAACTACAGTTTTACAAGATACTGCATTTCGAATTGTTTTGTTGTAACAATTGCATTCAGCTAAGTATTGGTAACTAGTAATGAAAACATGGATCGTAGAGTAGTTACTGACTACGGGCGTGCAAAGCGAATTTGCATACTATTGTAGCTGCATACACACATCGCATTTACAGTAATTAAGGGAAGACTTTGAGGATCCCATGGAACCAAAAAACAACGTATGATAAATAAAATTAGGGGAGTTCCACGGAAAAAGACAGATGAAAATTTTATGCATTCCGTTTCGGCGAGTCGTCACAGTTGGCCGGAATGATCAGGTACGATATTCTCCAACTGCAATGATAACGGTCACTTTAAGGAAAAAAAGTTTATTGCAGCTGGATGCACCCCAATCTCCTCTTCTGCTATATATGCTATTTTGAATTGACTTGCTAGGTTAATGCATAATTGCTCACTTAATAAATCCATACAATAGCCATACTGAAATCAAGCATTGATTTGCACCCACAACACCCCTCTAGATCTCGTCACCGAGCTCACATCCATATTAGCATGAAGTTATGGGCGTTTGAAACCAACGGTGCTTGCAGAAATGCAGGCAAGTACATATTAATATAAACTGATTTCTCCGCGGATCCACGCAGGAGTGTGCATGGCTGTGTGTGAAGGGTAATTCTTTTTGGCACGTGCATAGTGCCAATACCATACAATCTTTAGTTTTGCGAAGAGTAAAAATGATTTCTATATACTTTTCTTCTTCTTTAACATATTTTACCCTTCCGGATTACCAGCGAGACCAAGATACTTCTATTTGGTTGAGCAAAAATGGCTGGAAGTAGATTATCTACCCTTCATTATAAAATCCAAACTAGTAATGTTCTGTAATTAGCGTGGTTCGCGTGATGGGTACATCTACAGTAAATCAATGATATCTAGATACTGTTCAGTAGCGAAACTTGGATTTCGGTGGCTCTCTATTGTGATTACAAGTCAAGATTCTGATTTTGAATAGGAGAATTACAATAAAAACCTTTGAATAGGACGTGTTTTCATCTCCGAAAATTTTTCAACGCATCGGTCTGCCTATTGTACGAAAAAAAATTTTTTTTTTTTATGCCCTTGTGCACGTAATGGTTACGTACAAAACGGTAAAATAATTAATGAGTAACTCTTGAAAACTACTAATGTAACTTATAGCGAAGCGAAAATGCTCTCGTCCCTTTGTTTTCAGACAATGCTCTTTCTTTTCTTTTCTTTTCTTCTTCCTGTCGCTCGTCGCTCCTAATTTGATTATTGGCGTCTTTATTCCAGTTAGTCTAAGCAACTTTGCTATAATCTTCGCACTAATACTAGCAACCTTTAGTAATGTTGCTTGTGTCTTTCGGAGGCCCTTCTTGTTTTCCAATTTGATGGTTTGCAAGCAAAATCTCTTCGTCTGATAACCTAAATGTTCAACGTGTATACATTCCAAAACGCGGTCTGGTGAAATGTTTGTCGTCAATTTTTTTGTTTTGGTATCCTCGCGAACTGAAGGGCTGAACCTATTTTTCTCTGAGATCTTCTTAAAACTTTTGGCCGTCGCTCGTAAGACTGTTTTTGTTTGTTTTAGTTGTTTCCTTTTTGTAAATTGTTTGATTACGGCTTTAGCTATTTTAGACATCAATAACAAGGGGCTTTGTAACAAGATTCAAGGTCTACTTTGCTAACCACCCTTAATTTTTAGATACTTAATACACTTCAAAAGAAAAACACTACAAGGTGATTTGAGCAGAGGATCAGCCGATAAGATAAGAGCATGTTTCGAACAGCAAAACCGGCCAAGACATTGGTGATTTCTGAGCCAAAGAATGAGGAAGGAGTGACTTGCAATCTACTTTCGAACATCATACTAGTTTCTAAGTATACATTCGATGGGGAGGGCAAAAACGAACTTTCTGTCAAGAAGGGAGACATTTTGAAGTTGTTAGACAGGCCAGGCAATGGATGGGTTCTCGTGAAATTCATTGACAAAATGATACCTCCTGGATTGGTGCCAGCTTCTTACGTGGATATTGCAATCAATGACTCAACCAATCCGATTACCCTTAATTGGTTGTATGAAAACAATAATTCAATAGAGTTGACTGACTTCGACCATACGAACTATCTAGAACTACAAATTAAAAACTTAATGAAGTTGAACGCCCCAATTACTATAAATAATCGTCCATACCCTGTCTCCGCGTTGATTTCAAACGTATTATCATATAAAGAGAGGTACTGGTACCGTGTTGATGTCTCTTTATCAAACCAAACAAAGGTGTATTTGTGCCGCTACTATCAAGATTTTTATAACTTACATCTTTCTTTATTGGAAACATTGTCTAAACTTAAGGATAAGGGAACCGACCTTAGATTACCTAAATTACCAGAACCTATTCCTAGTAACAAGCCTGATTCTTTGAATACCATTTTATCGAGAAGATGCTATGATTTGAACGTTTACATTAATAATCTAATTTCGAGTGAACATTATCAGTATTCGAAAATATTAATTGACTGGTTAGAACCAGATTATAAAGACTTGCCAGGTTTTAGGATAAATAAATCAGATGATATTAATTTGAAGAATGAAGAGATCAGTGATAGGGTATTGCCAGGTTCTGAGGGAATCGAAGAAGAGACGGAAACGGACCCTGAAGTACTGAAAGATGACAGTGCCGATTTAAGTGAAGATATATTTGAGCGAGGTGCTGAAGAAGATGATGAAGATGATGATGATGATACTGATAAATCTCAAATTAATAAAGATTTGCCTCAACGTAGTAAATCTAAGAATATTTATAATCATTATCAACAAATTAATAATTTTGGAAGTTTTAAGAAGCTGGCAAAGCAACCGACCTTGAAAAGAAAGCTGCCTTCCTCATTAAACCTGAGCCCTAGAATGTCGAGCCCCGTTAGACAGGATCAGACTCCTGCAATACCCACTCCGATCGCCTCCATGGCTAGCTTTCCTCTGAAGCATCAAGCGAGATATACTTCGGGGTCTTCAACGAACTCCGCAACTTTAAAAAGAAATCCCTTGATGGGAGAGACCTACACATATCAAGGAATGAAATCTCCACACTGTAGTTCTGGTGATGAATTCAGTCTTTCAAAGAATAACTCATTTAGGAGCATGAACTTGGTTGAATGCAAAATCGCTTCGATGCCCAATAAAGAGATAATCACTGTGAGTTTGAACAAAGCACATATTACTTCAGCTGAAGTTTTCAAGAGACTTTTGGCTACTAAAGTGCTGTTCGATAAACTTTACGTCAGACTACCGCATCAGAAGAATTTCGAGGATATTGATCACTTTACCTCTGATCTCGTGGAGTTCTTGAGATACAATAACAAGATACTCTTGAAAACCTCGTAAAACCTAAGCTTGGTTTACATGCGCCAATTTCAAAGATTATGCAACAAGAATGACTTTTACTTCTACTATTATATTATTAAAGATTATTGCTATTCATTTTAGTCCTTCATTATCTCAAGTATATATGAACTTTCACTTGAAGGAGTAATTCTACGTCACATTATCCTTGAACAATAAACTACTTCATAATACAGTTACGTCAAAGTAACACCTTCGGGGACCCGTAATGCTCTACAATTTCCACAGCAGCTGTGCCCAGAATTGCATTTCTAGTATATGCCTTAACCTATTTCTCAGTTGATATGTTGTCTAATTTTCTTGTTCTCTGGTTAAGTCTATTGTGCGATCTATGCACTGGCTTTTCTTACAAATGGAATTTCATGTTTTATTTCTATCTTGTTTTTAACAATCAACTATATTGGACAATATAATATTTAGACAATACCTGCCATAATCTACGGTTTACTATCATGGTTGTCCCCTAAACCAATGCAAGATCTGTGATGATTCGGTGATATTTATTTTATCACCGTGGCGACCAAGATTGGTCAAATCCATAAATCACATCTGAACAGAAAAATAGTTCCTGTCCATAACCACCCTTGTTTACTATTGAGGCTCTTTTCTATTGCTCTTCTACATGTTTTTGTTTATTTCCTTGTTCTGTGCCAGTGCTTCTTCTACGTTCGACCAACCAGCGTGCGCCGTCTAATCAACAAAGACGCGTTGACATACGGCTATTTTTCACAACTTTCTCTCGCTACACTGCCACCGTTCAAATAACGTTGTCGTCTAGCTCTAAACAGCTTTTCTACTCCAGTTACTTTCCTCCCTCGGTTTCCTACTTCAGCTGCAGTTTTTTTGTTTGAAATAATGATGTCGCTGCTTAGTGTACCCATGCACCATGTTGCTGGAGGCCTCCTGCTGCCGCGCTTCTGACTTGGTTCCGTCTCTCCTTTTCCCTGTTATCCTTCACACGATAAGATTTTTTCCAAATCTGATAGACGTACCAGGTAATATTTGCCGTATTTGTTCCGCTTTGAAATCAGTAAATGAAAGGACATAGGAGCGGCTCATGTAACCCACAATTATTCACAATAGGATGCGGGATGTATCATAATTGTTGCATTTTTCACCTGAAAAAGGAAAGGAGGACAGGAGAAACAGCAGTAACGACGGTTGAAAATCGACGCGCCCTGGGGAGACGACAGAATCAAATACATAAGTGGTCTGACTGCTGCCAGTACACAGCGGTATCGTCGTCGTCGTGGAAGCTCTGTTAGGTGCTTTTTCAATTGAGTCTAGGATTAAAGGCTAGGGCATTTTGCTTGGAAAAGGTAGTGATAACGGGTTATCAAGAACTTTAGTATAGATATCAGTGCTATGCAAGAAACGAAGACACCATCGGGGCTTTTCAGGGCGAAACAGAACAGGTCTAAGAAAAATTTGCACAAATTATCCATTTCGACACCCGTTTTGAATGCTAGTACTTCTACATTATCATCGCCGCTGACACCAGGATCAGACAAACCAACAGTGATTGTCTTGGTCTTGAAGTACGTATTCAAAGGAGAGCACAGCCAGGAGCTCAGTGTTAGTAAAGGAGATCATGTTATATTGATAGAGAGACCAGGAAACGGATGGCTCAAAGTGCAAAGCATAGACAAAGCAAACACATACGGACTTGTTCCAGCTTCCTACGTTGACATTGCTTTGAATGACAGCGTAAACCCAATAAGTTTACAATGGTTGAATGCCATTAATTACGATGTGGGACAAGGTGCTGACGTAGTTCGACCATACCCTAAGAGCCTGAGTGTTACAAATATTTTTCAAACGGTATCTTCAAGGTTTTGGTACAGGATAGAGTTTAAAATGTCAAGTAAAGAATCTGTCTACGTCGGCAAGTTTTACCAAGACTTTTATAAATTACACATGAGCATACTTAATTTGGTAGACCCTTCACAGCTACCAAAGTTACCGCAGCCATTGGGACCACAAAGCTCCTTCAGCTGCGTCTCTATAAGCAGTACGAATATTGATAAGAAATTTTTGGATGACTTAATGGTAAGTGGTAAGCAGATGAACACTTACTTTGACTCACTTTTGAAAGTGAAAAAAATATCTACCTCACAGGAGATTTACGACTTTATGAACAGTTCTAGAAAGTATGTAACAGGTGAGAATGAAACACTACCAGACCTCGAGATCAATAATAGATTGTTTCCTGGTTCCATAAGCGTCATTGAATTGATGCAGACATCGACTTTTTATTCACCAACAGCTCCCCTATCACCTATAAAAAAGACGGCATTCGATAGGGTGACCGATAGTGTACGTCCTTTGAACATAGTTAAAATTTCAAATAAAAATCAAGCTGAGCACGAGCCAGAATCCAGTGCTAATAATCTTCAGCATAGCACAAGCTCGAATACTTTGATGAGCTATACATCCTTGATTGACAGATATGATAATGACGACGAATCAAGTGAGGAAGCTGATCTCGACGTAGATCATTCCACAAATGATCTGATGAAGAACTCCCCTACAATATCGTCTACATCTGTGGGTTGTGATAGCAAAACTGACCACTGCCATCGTTCTAACGAATCGCAGTCCAGTGATGAGTGCAATTCTTCATTGTCGCGTCCTTTTACTCCTAATCCAAATAATTTTCGTATGAGCGACGAGTTGAATCCCCATTCACCAGTCACTCCATCAACGCCAATATTCGAAGATGATGAGCCTCAAGTAAAGATGGCTGTTTCTCCCTTAGCTTTTCGCTATCGCTCAGCTTCTACAGGTCTAGGTCAATCTGAAGGAACAACACAAGCTTCTCATATCAAGATCAAATTAACCTTACAAAACACGGATGACATGATCGCACTTAAAATCAAGCGCACAAATCTCATGTCGATCGTCTATTTAAAGAAACTACTTTCGTATAAGATCTACAAAGATTACAATTTGATCAACCACTACGGCTTGCGGGTCAAGGACAGTTCCCAGGAGCTTGATGATGATCAACTCTTGGCATATATAAAATCTCAGGACAAGGTCAGTTTGGTCTTGGTACGAACACGGAGATCCCATCCTGCTGCATGATTTCCATTCGAAATGGCGCTTGTATGCATGTGAAAAGTCTAGTATAATTATGTAATTAGAGTAAATGAAGATTTCATGAGACGAACAGTTGCAGCCATGTAATGTGCCTAGTCCTTAATCCAGCTTAGGAACAAGTAAATCTGTGATTATTCGAGAAAACTAGGGACGATAGATACTGCAGAATTAGCTCGTTTCAGTTACTTCTGCACCCCCTTTCGATATTTACGTGTTTTACATCGCATAGCGCATGACTTTCTACTAGCTTCACACCTATTACAATTTCAGCACTGCTAGTAAGACATCGTAAACGAATGCGAAAGAACAATCATTGGCTAATCATACGTGGTACCTTGCAAGGATTGCCCGCCGATCATGTTACGGCTGCAGGTGCTTCTTGCAGGGAATCTGTCTTAAAGAGCAGTGAAGATTCACTCAAGCAGCAAGATTTTTCTAAGCACTGCTCGCGAGGACTGACTAGCAGCCTCTTAAATTATTATTGAGACTTATCTCACATATCGACTTACAGATTCGAATAAATGTACTATGCGAGACCCTGATGCTACTTAGCTTCACGCGTACGGTATTTCCCGTGCCGGAAAATTTTGATGCTAATATGCAGTAGTGGAATTCTTTATCCATCTCAATTTAATTGAAATTAACGGAACCTTGACATTTGCAAGAGAAAAGTTATCATTTGGTTAAACAAATTTAGACTGACATATACCTACTCAACAGTACAGTTGGTCTAATAGATAAGAGGATCCTAAGAGTTCTCAAAAAAAAAAAAGTAACCGTAGAGGTCTGGAGATAGGCGCACACGCACAAGGCTACAATCATCGGGGGTGTTATCATTACGGACTGCTACATAAGGAGAAATGCCCTTCAGAAGCAAGTTCTGGAAGCGTCTGCGGAAAGTTTCGAGCGGCATGTCAATAGACGATAGCGCTACTGATAGTAACTCTACTGATCAGTCGTCTGTATTTGACTCAGCTCCTAATTCTCCAGCTGTGGCAAGGTTTGATGAATCAGAATACGGCACCAGAAAAAGGACCCTGGCCAATACAGTCAGTCCGGCACCGCGTCCCACAAGCTGCTATGTTACTCCACCGCTTCCTTCTATGGATGTGGACATTGATAGCGAAAGGGCAAATAATGTATCGGGGAAATTGCGAAATCCTATCTTAAAAAGAAGACTGAATTATGGCTTGCTGCCTTCTGACAGTGACTCCAACAATAAGATCTTTGGCAGGAGTCTCTCTTTGAGATCTCCAGCAAGACCTTCTTCCGTATCAAGGCAAAAGAAAAATGACTCCAAACTCTTTCGTAGTCCTTCTATGAACTTGTCCAGAGGCAAGGTTAGTCGATTTGACAACAAGAAAAATGATGGAGAGGTTTCAGGGTTAGGTATTCACTATCCGGCGCAGAATTCTAGTCCCCGGGTATCAACCTCGAAGATAAAATCAAATTCAACGCCCGATGTAACCCGAGGACTTTCTACGTTGAGTGTAGATTCTCAATCAAGGCAACCTTTAATTACTAAGAATTTGGTTGGAAATAACAGCTTAATTACGAAAGCGGAAGACCAGGGATCTTCTGTTCCTAAAGAAAGGAATTTGCATCCATCTATTTTGAGAAATGGGTCTCTTTCTCTGAGCACGTCTAGTCTCGTCAGCAATACAAAGAGCCTTAGATCGAAAGCGAATACCATCAAGCTGGTATCTAGTCGTAATGTGGATGTGACAAATATGAGTACGCTCTGTGGTTCCCATACCATGCTAGAAAGTGGTTCACTTTCCTTGAAACATGATTCTGTCTATTCTGTACTGAGGGTCACGCTGTCAATTTTGGACGAGTCATTAGGTATTGGAATTGTCGAGAAGGATCGAAATGATATGCCTACAGAAAATAGCTGTGGACTTGAGACGTCCTCCAAAAATGTAGTGAAGCAAATCTTGAAGGTCAAAGTTTACGTTGGGAACGATGAAGATGAAGTGATTGCTTTGAAAGTTCCTAAGGACAGGTTAAAATCACCTTCGGACTTGAGTGCTCTTGTGAGATACAAATTGCTGACTGCCCAAAGTACATATATTGCAAGAGAATTGAACCTAAGCATCATATTCAAAGATACCAATTTAAATCCTGTTGACCTCAACAATGAAGATATGTCAGATCTTATAATGAATTTTGCCATGATAAAAGATAAGCTCTATCTAAGAGCAAGCTCTAAACAGCCGGTCTGATTAAGCCTTTTAATAAATATTTCTACCTCTATATAAATGAATTTTTATCGCCAAAAAAATTTGTAGAAACGTGCCTTGATAATAAGCATCAAAAAATAATAGCACTTTAGAAAAAACATCACTAAAATCTAAATGCTTAGGGAAGGGTGGTGTCATCATTGTTGAAATAGAGCGAGATGACTGAAGTATTCAATATGGATGATGATGACATTATCTTATCTGATAGAATAAGTCAGGTGAACTTAGGTCCCTCTGAACTCAACTATAAACTACTTGAAGATGCGGAAGGTTCCCCCGAAAATGAAAAGAATGAAAATGATGAAAATAACTTGGTCGAGGAGTACTCAAACTCTGTATCTGAGCTACCCATCCCTATAGAGAAGAAGCCTCGAAGACAATCCGCGATATCTGGATCCTATGAAATTGATATTAGCGAGGCATTTATATCATCATCAGCAAAGTCTAAAATATACAAGCCTAAAATTACTGATTTCGAACCTATCAAAGTATTGGGAAGGGGTGCCTATGGCAAAGTGCTTTTGGTAAGAGAAATATCTACAGGGAAATTGTTTGCTCAGAAACAGTTTAAAAAAGCGTCTTTAATTATCAATGAAAATACTAACGAAATCAATAATGTGAATTATAAACGGGCTTTGAACGAAAAGAATCTTTTGGAAATGGTCAACCATCCAAATATTGTAAAGCTTTTTTACGCGTTTCAAGATAATAATAAGGTTTATTTAATATTGGAATATTTAGATGGAGGGGAATTGTTTCATCATTTAGCTCAAGAGAGATTTCTTTCCGAGAAAAATGCAAGTTTTTATATTGCTCAAATGATTCTTGCTCTTCGATATTTACATTTGAAGTTGAAGGTCATTTATAGAGATTTGAAGCCAGAGAACTGTATGCTTAATTCAAATGGAAATTTGGTCTTGACTGACTTTGGTCTTTCGAAAGTATCAAGTGAAACTGATAGAGTTCACTCCATTACAGGCACGGTCCAATATATGGCCCCTGAGATTATCAGGGGAGAGCCTTATGACTACAGAGTCGATTGGTGGTCTCTAGGTTGCGTCGCATTCGATTTACTCACAGGATCGCCACCTTTTACAGGGAATAATAATACCAAGATAATTCAAAAAATTCTTTCAATGAAAAAGACTTTAAAATATCCCTATTACTTAAGTAATGATGCTAAAGACTTTTTGAGGAAGCTTTTGCAGTCTAATCCAGAAAAAAGATTGAACATAGATGAAAATTTTGATAAAGCCAAGCAGCACAGGTTTTTCAGGAACGTGAATTGGGATGACTTGGAGCATTCGAATCAAGATGACTGCCTCTTGCCTCCTATCCTCCCAATCATCACGGATTCAATATTGGCTGAAAATTTTGATACTGAATTCACTAACATGCCTTTTACACCGCCTTCTTCAAATTTACATACGGAGGATATTTTGCATATCGATGGTTTTTCGTTCACAAATGATCACTTCATGAACTCCAGGTTTTAATACGTGCTCACCTGTTCTCGTTTGTTTCACATTATTAAACTTAAGGTATTTATTAATGTATTTATTATGGTATTTATTATGGTATTTATTATGGTATTTATTAAGGTACTCAAGGTGTTTGCTAAAATGTATAAATATGTGTTTTTAATCATTAAATCTAATTAAATATAAACTCTAGAAGCTATTTATCCTATTGTATAGTAAGGGTCTGGTTCAGTTTGTGTAATTATTATAATTTCGGACAATTTTTGTATGAAAGTTGCAAAAATCAAAAAAAATATGATGATAAATAATAAATAATGACATTTAATCTAAAAAGGAATACACAATGATATAAAAATATCCACAAGTAGGTTTAATTCGTTAAGACAAGAAAAGAACACTCAAATATGTGGTTGATGCAAATATTATATTGAGGATAAGTTGCAAAATTAAATTGACTTTAAACGCCCTGATGCATCTATTCAAATAATACAACTCCGTAATCTGTAAGAACGTTAAGGCAACAAAAATCATTATAAAGCAACTTTTATGCGTGGTGAAAAAAGCGACAATCATCACAAAACTCATCCAATTCCATATCATATTATTGAATAATGCAATGAAAGCGTAAATCGAAGACACTTCTATCGTTAAAAAACTGAATCTCTTGAAAAAAGGATCAATGTTTAATTGAATATTTTGGTCTTGGTCCAAGTGAGAACATATGAAATCTTTAAACTTGCTGAACCTGTCCGAGGTGGTCAGGGGTCGACCTTGTGACTCCAAATCACCACCCAAGGATATTATATCAGTCTGCTTAGAAGAACTTAGGGTGTAGCTAGATAGTTTTTGAGTGAGTAAATGCGAGGACTCTGTGGGTTTCTTATAAGCTTTCCTGCGGAATTCACCGTGCAATATTAAGTTAGGTAAAAGCCAGCGATAACCTCTTTCAGCAAATTCCTCTTCTGAATCAGAGACTTCATCTCCTGAGCAATCTGAATGCTGATAGTCAAATCCACCACCGCCACCGAGTTTTAAAGTTGAACCGTTCGGCATCTTGTATTTGAAACCACCACCACCGCCACCACCAAATCTAGTTTTCAGAGATATCAGAATTTCGTATTGTGAATTAGAGCTATGTTCCAGCTCATCGCATAAAGAATTGCAATTGATACCTTCAACTGAATCATTAGAACTTCGATCAGTTGAATTATCGGCATCATTCACTATGACACAAGCAGCTTTATGATCTAAATGATAGGTATTTTTGGGACTCACTGAATATAACCTCTCTACTAGATTGTGACACAAATGATCATGATTACTCGCAATTAGTAAAGGGGAACTTGGTGAGGTGTCTTCGTTAGTAGCACAATCATCCTTGAGGTTGAAGGTAGAGGGAAGCTCTCTGAACGAGACCTTTGAGACAAGGGTTTCTTCAGAGTTGAAAGAGCCAACGGAGTCTCTCTTTGAATCATCAAAGTCACAAATAGCGTTCTCAAATATTCTCTTATAGTCGCTGCGACAAGAATGAGATATTTCATCTAGTGCCTCATATCTCTTAAACATGTTGTAGTAATTCAAAAACCTACGATATCTTCTTTGATACCCCAAAGGGCACGTCTGATACAGCTTGATTATTATCTCAATTAGCCCATAATTGAAAAAGAAAATTAACAAAGGTTCCCACTTCAATATGCCATCACTCGAAATATAAACCACACACAACATCCTGACTACTTGTTCTGCCAATGGAACAAAAATCCTCTTGTAATTTCCACCATCCTCACCTAATCGCTTTAGGGCACGAATTAGAAGAGGCAGAAGTAAACCTGAGAGACCAGCCGCATAATAATCTGATACATCAGGCTTGAATGGGCTCCAGTGATACAACTCAAATAAGGGTACACATGATAAAACATGTACAAGAGTTACCACCGGAATAAAACCCAAGAAGAAAATAGATGCGTTCATCGCCATCAGAAATGAAGCATCAAATTCTCGTCAACTATATAGGAAGATGATCTCTTAAAAAATTTTGTTACTGTCTTTTACTGCCAATACTCCTTATATCCTCGCACTGTTTGTAACCCGCAGACCTAAAATTTTTTGGTTATCAATGATCATCACATGACTCAAAGATCTGCGACCATCACTACATTCGATTAGCTAAATTGGGGTGATATGAAAACAACTTAAGAATAACAATTGAAAGAGCACTATGGCAAGATACATTCTGTACTCGATATAGCTATATTACCAATCGTTGCTGTAGATATATGGTGAATAGCTTGAAATGCTAAACCAGAGCACAAATTTTCAAGGACCGGGCTTTTGCGTAGGGCTTGTGGGCATGCCCGAAAATTTCAAAATATATGTCTTACGTAATGCTTTACTGAATCTGGATGAGAAATTGGTTCTCTGGAAATGACTAATGACTAATGAAAGGGCCATAGAAGGAAACTTAGACATAAATATATTGAGGTATCGAAATTTTATTCTGTAACGGAATGTCTGAAAGAGCAGTGATACCATTGGAATCGAATCCAAATATTTTCAATGAACTTGGAGAAAAGTTGGGGCTCTCTCCTGTCTTGCAGTTCTGCGATATCTACTCTTTGACTGACCCTGATCTTTTAGGATTTTTGCCGGAGCCAGTGTATGGTGTGATGCTTCTCTTTCCTTTAACTGGTGATTATGAAAGCCATAGAAAACAAGAAGACAGTAGTCGTCCAAAGTATAACAATGAACTTTTTAGTGAGATTAAGTGGGTTCCCCAGACAATACGTAATGGGTGCGGTCTATACGCATTGCTACATATATTATTGAATATTCCAAAAGACCTTATTGTGGAAAACCTGATATTAGCTAATTTTAGTGGCCAATTGAGTAAAGCAATACCACAGGAAGATATAGCCAAGCTAGTAGAAGGACTAGAGCATAGGATTCAATTAGATGAGAACTATGGAGTTATGGGTCAGACAGAAGCACCAGAGGCTGGAGCTCATGTTGATTTCCACTTCATTTCATTTATCAAAGGAAAAAATGGTCATTTATATGAGTTGGATGGAAGAAGAGCTGGACCTATAGATTTGGGTCCATGCGATGGTGAAAGTGTAATTAAGGATCCTAAATTAGTTCAAAAGATCCAATCATATATGGACATGGCCGATGAAAAAAATAAGCTCAAGTTTGCCTTAATGGGAATAGCACCTTCATTGAGTTAGATGGTTTAACGTTTATGGGAGCCTAAAATTTCTATACTTGTCCCTTAATATCAATTTTGTTGAAGGTGAATTGGCCTATTATTTTAGCAATGCTATGCCTCGAACTTACGCAATCAAATTCAGCCGTACTATTCAATAGAAACTCTTCTAGTTTGTTTTTTTTCAAAAAATCTTCTAAATCTTGAACATCTCGAAGTCTAAAGAGAGAGACTAAGAAGCTTGTTGGGACTTTTTTATAGCTCTTTGATATCTTGAATAATGATTTGATGACTTCCTTATTAAAAAGAGACTCTTTTATTAATTTGTAGCCTAAAGCTAATGCTTTATTTCGTCTAAATTCATCAATTATTTCAAAAACTTTATAAAAGTTTCCTATTAGCCTATTTTCATTTAACTCGAAGAGTTTTTCAACAACCTTGAGAAGATCCTTTTCTGTTTTAGTTTTCTTGAACTCCTCGAACTCTTTCATTTTTAATTTAATCTTGTATATCTCACTGTAGTTATTCATTACGATCATATATATCATTCGATATATCAAAAATTCTAGCTCGTTTCCATAAAATCTCTTTGAGTATTTGTGGTCTTGCTTTCTTTTTAAATAGTATAAGTATTTTAATTGAGATTGGCATTGGTTAAATTCACCCAAGTCATCATTCTGCAAAGATATTTTGGCATTAGTCTCGTAAATGTATATAGTAAAGTCATTTTTTATATGTTGGACTGTCAAGTCTTGTCTTATGGATTTTAGTTGGTCTATGATGTAAGAATACCGTTTATTTTCCTCGTACTTGTTTAGCACAAATTTGATACTTTTTGTGAGTGTGTTTTGGGGTCTCACGTTCTGAGGATTAGGTTCAGAAGTTAATCTTAAGTATCTCTTCTCCAAATCCGTTGACTTACCCACAATTACATTGCCAGACGTATTGCCATTATTAGGCGTTGATGGTGAATGCCCAGGCAGATTAGCAAATCTTTCCATTCTTTGTCGTTTGCGCTCATTAGAGTCATAATTCATATCCTGAACATCTCTCTTAGAATTTGCTGTGCTTTTAGACCTCCGATTATTCGAAACTTCGACACTTGGTGCTTTGTTGCAATATAACTCAACAGACTGAACCCCATCCAAGATTGGAATCTTCTGTAAATCCCAATTATTCTCCCAAAGTTTTTCCCTATTAAATGCCTCTTCTATAAGCTTTTGTAGCTGATCATTGAAAACAACCTTCTCTTTTTCATTAAGGCTTTCATTGGCTCTTCGGAAACTCTTTTTTGCAAAATCTTGCAATGACTTCGGCCATTCAACGGTCCCCAAGGGAGCTTTCGGCTCCTCTTCTGATTTATCTGAGTTCTTCCTTTCTCCTAGTTTAAGAGAAGTATTGACTTCATTGTAAGACATCTTCAAGCTAACCTGCTATAATATGATCCATTTAACGAAATATTACGTAAAAAAGGTCTTTACTAGATTAGACACAATTAAAATGATAAAAATGCCTATCTCGAAAATATATTTGAAATTTCTATATTGAGGCTACCACATTTGGGTTCAAGCGATTGCAAGGCTTGACAGTGATGAGATCTTCTATATTCGAGGGAGACACATCTAAGAAGCCCAATAGAGATCCTTTTAAGAAGGCTAGATCATCAAGTCCATTTATAGGCACGTTAAATAGTCCCAGAAGATCAGCTTGGCAACTAGACGATTTAATCCAATCATACGAGAACTCAGGACTACTTCCTCCCATTCTATCTCCTACGATCCCAGAAAAGGATGAGCTAGAGGTCAAACCTGGAGCCCAAAAGGCTCTGGTATTAGCGAACAAGAACGAGGATGAAGATAATATACCATTATCGGAACTCGCTAACTCACAGAGAGGAGAAAAAAGAGAGTCAGAGATTAAGATTCACCAACCAGTCCCTAAACGTGCATCAGTTCCCAGTCAGAATTCTTCCAACAAGAATACTTCAAAACCTCAAAATATGACGTTGGAGAAGCCCTCAGGCGATGGTGGACACCACAGCTCGAAAGTTCACTTAGATGATAGACACTTCAAAGAACAAGTCCCACTGCCTTTAAAAGGACTAGGTATTAACCTAGACAAAGCAAGCAAGCTGAAATATGACATAGAAAGGTCTCCTGCTGTGGTTCTGAAAGCAAAAAACGAGGACTCGTCAACTAGTTCAACCCTTGCACCTAATTCAGTAGATAAGAAAACCGTATCCAAAAGACAAACAATGTTAAAGTTAGCTAACAGTGCTAAGAAGATGTCGACTCAAATGGAGAATAGCATTACCTCACTCATAATAGGTATTGACTCTTTACTTTTATACTTTATGTCTTACGACTATGATGATAGGTTGAAGAGTAATCAAAGCGTCCCACCTTCATCAAAGATATGGAAAGATTTAAATAAAGATATTCTGACCTTGATCGAATGCATTAATGACTTGATGACTTTTGAAGAACGCAAATATAGTTTGGATTTTCTTAAAATTATGCGATGCCTTTTGTTTCAAACAAGAGCTGTATTTATCAAGAAAATCAATACCATATTATTCAAACTGATACAAAGCAAAATAGAGAAAAGCTCAATAGAAAAACAAGATGACTTAATCCAGCTTCAAAAGCAAGTTATTAGTAATGAAGAGTTGGTTATTGAATCCTTCAGGAAATCAAAGCCTCACTTTTTAGAGTCCACATTCAGCACGAAATTTCCTCAGACGTGGCAAAACAGAACAATTCGCTTGCCCGCAGAGGAGCAAAAGTATTACTTGCCATTAGGAGTATACTCTAGTTTACACGAAGTGATGAGACTTGAGGTTGCGATTATCGATGAATTTACTAAAAATTTTAATGTCAAGAACCCTCAAAGTGAGATTCAATATATGCTAAAGAGTGGATCCTTCTAATATACAAATGCTAATGAAATAAATTTAGACATTATTTGGTCCATAATTTTTTTCTTTTTTTCAATAATATAAATACTAGACCTTATATTATCTGTATTTTATGCATCAATGTCTTTTGCTTTGCTCTTCTTTTCCCCAGGTAAATACTTCTCTTTGTAAATCCAACTGTTACCGACCGATTTAGTACCCAATATTTCACTTAACCTCAACCATGCAGACGCTTGATACAAATCTTTTTTATGATGTTTTGTCTTCATACTCCAAATTTCTCCTAGCTGATTCATGGAACTGACGTTTCCCATTGAAGCTGATTTTGAAAGGAGTTTAATACCATCAATTTCATTCTTTGATGGTAAACCCCAGCCATTAAGTAAAGCATTTGCTAACTCATGGTACGCCATCGGTACAGCATTCAGTTGGCTCTTAGCCATGCTGATTACTTTTGCCAATTGTGCTTTTGGAAGACTAGAGTAGTAATCGTAAAGCTGAATTGGATCTACAGGATCGTCATTATCTAAATTTCTTAGAATTCGAGATAAGAGTTCCTCAGGTTGCGACGTGTTTAATTTTTCGATAACAGTATCGGTTTTGGAGCATGAGCTAGTTATAATGCATTTACAGAGCCAAGCTAGCGAGTTACGGTCACTTTGCTTAACCCCTTGACCATATCTTAGTGCCATGGAATACAAGAACATGGCTTTATAATAATTATGTGGCGGACTTGCAGCAATGTGAATTTGATATGACGCTTCTCTGTGCTTACCCATTCCTCTTAATTGGACAGCTAATTTCGTTCTTGATTCCGGAGTGAGGGAGCCAGAACTACCGAGAGTAGCAGTTGACGTATTGTCTGAAAGAACCCGTCTAGAAGATGGAGAAGATGTACCAGATCCTGAGCTATCAATGCTTATAGGTAAGGATGGAGTTCGCATGAGCGGCATAGGCACTCTAGGTGAGGAAGTTGCCGAGGATCTTGAAATCGATGGGGATTGGGTGAAATCTTCATTTGAGTTACCGGAATAATTCTCAAGATGCTGCCCAGGAGCGCAGGGACTCCCTGAATCAGTAAATGGCGAATAACTACTCTTTTGCGTCGAACTCTTAGGCGTCGAGGGCTGGAAAGCGACATTAGGTTGCGTTTCCACAGGTTTGCTGTTTTCTATCCTCAGAACATCAGCTTTTAATGAATCAATTGAAGCATTAGGATTTTGCAAGACTATGTTTTTTGGAATATTCTTGATGTTCATCTTTGCATTTGTACTACCTGGAGCACTAGATGATCCAGCCAGAGCATTAGATCTACTAGACAGGTATCTGTTGACACCAGCAGACGTTGTAATGGGAGAAAACTTGCTATTTTTAGTTTGAATGAATGTGACTGAGTTTCCTGGCTCAAGCTCATCGGGCTCATCCAATCCTAATCTGTCCAATAATCTTTCCGTAGTTTTGATTGACACCAAACTATTCCTTCGCGTCATATCATCGTCAGGATAATTGCTTTGCACCTCGTCATCAAGACCCAATCTATCAAGTAGCCTACCATTCGTACTGACAGAGTCGAACGAGTATAAACTTTCCTGATCTCCAACTGAGTTACTGACAGTCGCTAGAGAATCGCTCATTCTGGGACGCCTCACGAAATCAGAGCTATCGAGTTTGGCCCTTCCCATTTGGTTCTGAAGCTGTTGTAAGGGGGAGTCCTTAAGCTCATATCTCTTTGGCGGCGCCATCTTGATTTAACACTTCCTATCCAGGTTCTTTTACTTCACCTAGATCGAAGTTCCTGACGTAATTAGTCGATAGCTACGCCACTCAAGACCAGCTCTATCTTTCCTTTTATCAAGCAATACTAAAGGTGTCAAGAATTTCTCTCGTTCAAGCAGTTGTAAGCTATAGTATTATTATAACGTGCTTTCTACGTTTTCCCCAACACGCTAGTCCTATGTAAACATATTGATACAAAGACAACTGCACGTGACAGACCCACTATGGGAGGAGAGTGATCTATAAATAAAATGAATACTCTACAAGTAGAACTTTATAAGAGAGTGACTATTCTATTATTTTATACGAATAATGGTATGTTGAGTAAATGAGATAAAACCTAAACTTTTGTTGTATTACCTTAGCAATAGGAGCCGAAGTCCTACTTGGACATTCTTGACCGTTCTCTGGACTCGTTCCGACAGGTTGCAGAGATGTGCTTAAAATGCCGTTTAGGTGCTAGGGCCGTACAACCATATACTTCGATATTATTCTACTTTATATATTAAGATGCTATAAGGACCACTCCTATTTTGCAATAGGTTCAGAATAGCGCGCAGACTCTGGGCTCCTTTTACTGGTATTAGCTTCATGAGTAGCGAGTACAAATGGTATCAAGACTTCAGAGGGCATCACTGTAGTATCGCTAGCTGCCGCGTGACTAGAGTGACTCTAATCAAGTGGCACAAATTTGGTGCCCAACTCCACAAACGGCATTGTTACGCATATGTAACCGTTTCATGCCAACTTGTGTTGAGAACTGCATCAATTATCGTGCGGCTCGCCTTATATCAAGACCTAACTATAATATCCATGAAAAGAGAAGCGTAGCGAACTTTAAAATAACGTCCAAAGTTTTAACAATTACCAAAACGCAGTTTAACATGGATTCAATTGAATCATTTAGACCATCTGAATCTCCGGAATATGATCCATCGACGCTTTCTAACTATAAGTATTTCAAGGTTCTCGAGACGGACTTGAAGCTCAATATATTGTTCGACAAAAAGATTGTGGAAGGAAAAGTACATTACGAATTGGAGTATTTGAAGTCCACGAAGAACATAGATTTAGATATATCACATTTGAAAGTGATCTCTACTTCGGTAGACGGTAGCAAGGTAGATTTTGAAGTCATTAATAGCAACCATGAGTTAGGATCGATCTTAAGAATCAAATACGCCGATGAAACTGGATCGAAAGTCAGCTTATCGATAGAGTTCGAAACCACATCCAAATGTACAGCGCTACAGTTTTTGGAAAAAGAGGCCACTGATGGAAAAAAGAGCCCATACTTGTTCTCCCAATGTGCAAACATACACGCCAGGAGCTTGTTTCCCTGCTTTGATACTCCATCTGTAAAGTCGCCTTATAAGATGTCTGCAAGATCACCATACTTCACATTGATGTCTGGTTTACCCGCAGGTATTAAAGATGGCGTATACACGTTCAACCAACCTATATGTATTCCATCTTATGTTGTCGCAATTGCATCAGGAGATATAGTGAAGGCACCCATAGGTCCTAGATCTCACGTTTACTGTGAGCCACTTATGATTGAAGCCTGTAAAAGAGAATTCGAGCATGATATGGAAAATTTCATTAAGATAGCTGAGGCACTCATATTCACCTATCCGTGGGACCAATATGACGTGTTGGTTCTTCCGATGAGCTTTCCTTATGGTGGAATGGAAAACCCTAACATGACTTTTGCAACACCAACCTTGATTTCAGGAGACCGCCAAAATGTCGATGTAATTGCTCACGAGCTTGCGCATTCTTGGTCGGGGAATTTAGCTACTAACTGCTCATGGGAACACCTTTGGTTAAACGAAGGCTGGACAGTGTACTTAGAAAGACGCATAACAGGACGCCTTCACGGTAATGCCGCAAGGGACTTTAGCGCAATTATTGGTTGGAATGATCTTCAAAATGCTATCAAGGGAATGAAGAACGCTGATAGGTATTCTCCTTTAGTAGTCAATTTGAAAGACAGATGTAGCCCTGATGACGCTTTTTCTGTGGTCCCCTACGAAAAGGGTTTCACATTGTTGTACCATATCGAACAAACATTAGGAGGAACTGAAGTATTTGATCCATTCATTCCACATTATTTCAAAAGGTTTAAAAACAAATCTTTGGATACCTATCAGTTCTTGGATTTGCTCTACGAATTTTTCTCAGACAAAAAGAAAGAACTTGACTCTATTGATTGGAAAGCATGGATATTTAATCCAGGTATGCCTCCAGTAAAGCCAAATTTTGACACTAGCTTAGCGGATCAATGCTACAGCTTAGCAGATAAATGGTACAAAGAAATAACCGAAAATAATGACGATTACAAAAAGTATTTCGATAAAAAGGACATTACTTGCTTCAGTGCAAATCAATCGGTTGTATTTTTGGACAGTTTGATCTCATTTGAAAAGATTGGTACTTTTACATGGAAGTCTCACAAATCGGCATTAGAAGCTCTCAACGAAATATACACTGACTACTCTAAATCAAGCAATTGTGAAGTGCTCTCTAGATGGTTGATTCTTCAAGTCACCGGTGAGAATCAGCATTTTTACAAGAGGTTAGGAGAATTCTTGGGTACTGTTGGAAGAATGAAGTTTGTGAGACCAGGCTACGTCTTACTCAACAAAGTTGACCATGAATTAGCAATTCATTATTTCAAGCAGTTCGAATCTAGATATCATCCAATTTGTAGGTCAATGGTGAAAAAAGATTTAAACTTAATTTAGGGTGAACATGCATAGACTCAAATTTTGCCTTGCAAGAAATTCCTCTTGTACTAAACCTCACCTTACTTTTATTTATAGTTTTTACCTTTCTACACATTATTACGATAACACCTTGAAGGACAGTTTTGTGTAATATATTGATTTTATTCTTAAGATGCGCTAATAAACACGTAAACAGATATCCAACAGAGAGTCATCGAATCTACAACATGTCACTTTCCTTGTCTAATCTCTCTGTAAGTTGATAACTTAGAAGTGATCACTCAGCCAGATCCCATAAGAGGAGTGTTTCTATGCCGCTGCTTTTTTTTTTCACTGATTATACTAGCCAGATATGAAAGAGCTATTTATTAACAAGATATAGTTGTCACAAGTTTCCGATCATCTTAACCTTGAGAGGTTTCGTAATGACGTGCAAAGTCTACAGAAGTCACTTTCGAAGCTCCGTCCGCCACAGGAATTTTTTGATTTCAGAAGGATTTCTAAGCCAGCAAATTTCGGGGAGGCGCAAAGCAGGGCATCTTATAATTTGAAGTATTTTTCAGCTAACTATGTTGCCATCGTCATAATTTTAAGTATTTATGCTTTGATCAGTAATGCTTTGTTACTTTTCGTAATTTTTCTTGTGGCAGGCGGAATTTATGGAATTAATAGATTAGGAGGCGAAGATTTGGTCTTACCGATTGGTAGGTTCAACACTTCACAATTATACACAGGGTTATTAATTATTGCTATTCCATTAACGCTTTTTGCAAATCCACTTTCTACTCTGATGTGGTTGGTTGGCTCAAGCGGTGTTTCTGTTTTGTCTCATGCGTCATTGATGGAAAAACCTATTGAAACAGTATTTGAAGAAGAAGTTTGATTTGAAGTAAATAAAGTAGTGCTAGATAGTGAGTTGTATCTCAAAATGAATTGCCATACAGTTTTACAAGTTAAACAATATTTTAAGACTAATTTAATTTGTCTGACGTAAATTAAACATGCTATAATAGACCTACATTATACAAAGTAAAAGAACAAAGTTCTTCTTGTCGTATCTATCATAAGAACACTGTGAAAAACCTCGCAGAAAGCAGCTTAGAGGTTCAACTTCGTTCTTCTCCAGTGTCTTCTTTTAGCATTGTAGTTAATAGTGTTACCAGATCTTAATCTAATCCATTGAGGCAATGGTCTGTTTTGTTTCTTAGCCTTAGCTAATTTTTGCTTGATTCTGAATGATTTTTGAGACTAAAGTGGTGTTAGTATGAGTCCTATGTTGAGCTCGGATATGGAAGGCTGATCGATAGTATAAGGAGTATAAATATGTTTACAAAATTTCAACTTTCCTGACAAGCTTCTTTTGGAATTTATATCATCATTCTCAGGAAAGAAGGAGCTTTCAATCTTATAACGATGCTTTTGAGTATCATTCAAAGTTAACCAAATGGTTCAATCTTGAAAACTTTACTCAACTGGTTCCACACATCATTTTACCAAAATTTATTCAAATATATCCATAATATATTCAAAACTATCATAGTGCCCACTCCCTTTATCGTATGTACATACTGGCATCTTTATGTATTCTCTATCAATTAATTCAATCTAAGAATGACTGAGATAAAAATGTACTCTGAAGAATTTTTCACGAACAAGGGAAAGGTTTGGATCCGAAAAAATTTAAAATGACACAAAAGAGAAATTATTTACACAAAAACTACTAAAACTCTAGCAACGACATTAGGGCGACAAGTATACGACATACTCTCGCACACGACAAATTTTTTTTTCACTGTCTTCGCTCACTCAGGAAGTGAAAAATTTCGAACTGTTAGTTTGGACTTCAAAGATAAAGAACTGCGAATATACCATTAGATAGTCTATAGAGACCTACAGAAGATGACCAGAACTTCAGTACTCGCAGATGCGTTGAACTCCATTAACAATGCCGAAAAGACCGGTAAGCGTCAAGTCTTGATTAGACCATCATCCAAGGTCATCATTAAATTCTTGACTGTTATGCAAAAGCACGGCTACATTGGTGAATTCGAATATATTGACGACCACAGATCAGGAAAGATCGTCGTTCAGTTGAATGGTAGATTAAACAAATGTGGTGTTATTTCCCCAAGATTTAACGTCAAAATTGGTGACATCGAGAGATGGACTGATAACTTGTTACCAGCCAGACAGTTCGGTTACGTTATCTTGACCACATCCGCTGGTATCATGGACCACGAGGAGGCCAGAAGAAAGCATGTATCTGGTAAGATTTTGGGATTCGTTTACTAGATATCATTACATACACTAATACAGTTTGATAATAGTACCATGTATTAATGATCTTTCTTTGAGTTAGATCGAAGTAGAGTATGTTCAAGAGTATGCTCATGAGGGCATGGTGTAGTTCGATGCCATACAATGACTAGAGAAATGTTATGTATTTTAACTGGGGCTGTAGCCCCAGTTTGGTAAGTGCACGTGAGAGGGCGTGCAAAGATGCTCACTTTTTGTGTGAAAAAAATTCAATTTTTGGACTCCAATACTACTAGCGACATTTACCAAGTCTGAAAATTATTCAAGGTGTTCTCTAGTTGTAACTAGTAAAATCAGATTATAAGAATATCAAATATGTCTTCTGGTATGTGTTATTTCTATTAATTGGAAGTCAATAAGAGTTCGTTAGTTCTGTCTTTAGAGGAAATCATTGGGACGAAGAGCTAGGAGTACATCGATGATTAAAATTTTTTTGTAAATAAGATACTCTTCTTTGAAAGTGGATGGATATTAAAGCAAAGAGAGAATGTTCAGAATATTTCAGAGAAATAAGTTAAGAATGTCACTTGCTTTTAGATTTAGAAAAACTTGAAGGGAGACTACAAGTCCTCGTTTTAAGATCAGGATACAATATTTCCCTCTTTACCAGTATTCGATAGACTGAACTTTTAGTAGACTTTAAATTCTCCTGTTTACATGAGTTTTATTCTAACATAATTTTAGGTCCAGTTAGAGATGGCTCCCAAGTATTTGGTGTTGCCCGTATTTTTGCTTCATTCAACGATACTTTCGTTCACGTCACTGATTTATCTGGTAGAGAAACTATTGCCAGAGTTACTGGTGGTATGAAAGTCAAGGCTGATAGAGATGAGTCTTCTCCTTATGCCGCTATGTTGGCAGCTCAAGATGTTGCTCAGAAATGTAAAGAAGTTGGTATCACCGCTGTTCACGTTAAAATGAGAGCTACTGGTGGTACTAAGACCAAGACTCCAGGTCCAGGTGGTCAATCTGCCTTGAGAGCTTTGGCTAGATCCGGTTTAAGAATCGGTAGAATTGAAGATGTCACCCCAGTTCCATCTGATTCCACAAGAAGAAAGGGTGGTAGAAGAGGTAGAAGATTGTGATTGCGAAATCATGTCATCATTATTACGTCTAGTAACTACTCTTTAATTTTTTTATTAAGGGTCAGGGATTATATACTTGTTACCTTTTCTTTGAAGAGCTTCCCTTTAATCAACTTTCTGCATTTAATTGCAAGGTTAACCTTCTCCTTATATATGAAAAATGTACATTTATAAAAATTTAATCAGTATTTCAAATCTTCGCAAGTAACTTGAGTGAGATTCTCTCTGTTTATCAATTAATGTTGGTAGCTGGCGGTTTATACTTCAAGAAGTCTTGTAGTCGAGCAAGGTTTCTACAGAGAAGATGGAACTCTAGCGCTAACGATGTGAAAGCGTTAGTGGAGTCACTCATGCTGTCCTCTAAATTTAAATACGAGAAGACTCATCTCACTCGTCCTGTTAGAAGAAATATCCCCCTAATCCCCAATTACAGGCCCCTTAAATTCAAGGAAGGAGACAGAAAGCAAGCACTAGTGACGTCAAAAGTTATTTGGGATAATAATGATTCCAAGGACTTCGGGAAGCTCTTTATTTCGCATTTTATTCTCAGGCATTTGAATAGGACAAGGGCTTTTGTTACTTACCAAGACGGATTAAAAATAGCAAATTCTTTCATTGAGTCCATATCTAAAGCATTCAAATCATGGAATTTAAGAAACGATGAGTTAGGAGTATTACAGTTCTTGGGGCTCTACGCCTTATCTGATAGACAAAGTTGTGAGCGATTCGTAACCAGCTTTATTGATGAGGATATAACGACGGAGGAAGTCGTCTCAATCGAGCAATGTCTTGATTGTTATTCTCCCAGACTTCAAGGTGATAAGATTGACCTTGATATCGTTCAGTCAGAAAGATCATCACCACTCGAATTACCAATTATAAAAAAGATAGCAAATCTAAACCCTATTTACTTGATAGATACAAAGAAGTTAGAGGAATTTCATGACTACATAGAAGGAGAATACCAGGAAGATACTTTAAGATCTAAACTCAATGACTTGGAAAATTTTGGAAAGTTATCTTTCGAGTTCAATTTTTTGCTGGCAATGTTTAAGCTTCATAAAAAATCAGATACCCTTTTCTTAGAGGTCCATGAAAGACTAGATGTAAACATTTCAAACCTTTTACGATTTTCACTCTTTGATAGAATAATACCGGAATACGACCTTATTAAAAAGTTACCAAAAGAATCTATTAGAAAAGTGTTCTATCGATACGTGGCTCTACTTGACCTAGAGGGTGATTCTCTCGAGCCATGGTTAGAACATGTAACGTCACATTTATTACAACATACAGATTTATTCTCAAGCAATTTCTCAGCCTGGAAGAGTAATGATATCATGTTCATTGGCCCAAAGGTTCCAAACATTATTTTACCGACAGCATTGACTGATAAGATACTTCCAAGTGGTGATTTAAGTGGAGAAATGGAATTTCAAGTTGAAAAACTTGGGAAGGATCATTTACTTTCTGTGATCCAAGGTGCTATTATGACAAATGGCATCCCAACGGACGAAGAGAAGGGCATTCGAATCTATTATAAGACCGTGCTTAATCATGTAGATGCAAATATTAATAAGCAGGCAGTAGTTGATACAAGCTTTGGTAGAATTAAATGTTCATGTTTGACGTATATGGGTTTATTTGCCTTAGCTGACAGAGAACAATGCAGTACTTTTATTTTAAGTTTTTGGGAGAACGGGCCTACAAAACTTGATCTCAATTACTTGATGGAACAGACCAAATATTTAGTTTATGAAAAAGGAGTTCCCTCTCTCGGAATTAATCAAGATGTTACACAACAACCAAAATCAGCATTGGCTCTCCCAGCCCTCTCAAATAAATCATTGTATACGAGGTTCATACTTGTTAATTGTTCCATTATCTCGGGCCAAGACAGAGGGAGAGATAAAAATAAAAAGAATAGATGGCTTTATGATGAAGATATCAAACAATGTTTGCACTCGTGGTGTGAGTTGGGAGCTACCAGATATAGGCTCTTGGTTAGATATCACCTCATGAAAAAACTCAACTCAGAAAATATTGAGCTTATTCCAGACTTGATGAGATTGCTTACGTCAAATCAGTTTTATAACTTTTTATTATCAAGTGCCAATACATTCGATTTAATTGAGAATAGGAAATACAAAAGCTTGTTGATTAAACGGCGTTTCAACAATACGTTGCTTCATAGCCAGTTTTCGCAGTATGTATCCATATTGTATCTAAATGGTCAGCTTGAAAAATGGGTGGAACGATTAACTCTTCTTTTTTCAGATTTGGTCAATGATTTGAACTATCTAGATTCCAAAGATTTAATTCACTGTTTTAGAGAGGAGTTCGGCAAGTTGGAGCTTTCGTTGACTAGTTTGCTCAAAGAGCAAAGGTACAAGAAACTTAAAGATCAACACACTGATCTTCCTTTACCAGAAATTCAAGATGTCAAATATTCTCTCAATTCAGCTTTGGCCATAAAAGTTAGCCAACTGTACTTAAAATTCGCTATCGACTTACTGATCTTGAACCATGGTCTTGATAGCTTCATTAAATCTAAGATGGAAATGTTCGATATCATTTCTTTTTATTTAAAGCAAAACGATAATCAAGTCCAAAAATTAAGCAATGTGGCCAACACTTTCGAGTATCTCGGTTATTGGCTAGTTGACCAAAATACTATTGAAAGAAAACAGCTCATGACAAGTCTTTTAAACCATGCGCTCGACAAGCCTTTGATACCGTTCGACACTAAAAGGGTACCGATGCTTGATATGGTATTGAAAAACACCCCAAGGAACAATTTGCATTCTTTCTTCATTTGGGATTCCTCAGAAATCATGCTCCCTATAGTGAATCATAGTGACAGTTTGGCAAAATTACTTTCAGTTAACTATTTTATATCAAGATCATTCATGAGCCAGCTAAAGAATACTGGCGGAGAAAAGATTAACAGATTATCAGACATATGTACTAAGTTTAACTCTGTGGGTGCAGACTACTACAAGTTTGCGGTATACAGTAAAACTTTAAGTCTAAACCTAGGACCTAACATTGCAGAAAAACTTACCCTGTTGCTACTTGACAAGAAGTTCGAGTCTATCGTCGTACATTGTTCACTGATCTTGAATCCATTCAGTTCCTCCAAATACTCTCAATTGATATCTGAGCATAACAAAAATTCCTATTTATTTATGAAATTCAATCATCAATCATTCAGTCAGTATCTTGGCTATCTTGCATTCCGTGATGCCAATGTCATAGACCAATGGATTGATATGATATTCTCAAAGTTATCCCTTCGTATGAAAGACAAGCCTTCTCATCAACAAGAAACAGTTTTGGCACAATTCTCAGACGAAGTTGACCACTATTTCAAGGACATAATGCCTAGAAAGTTAGGTTCAACTAGGTAGTCGTTCTTCTAATTCTAGTAAATAAAATCGATTTTCCTGTATATACTGCATTCGTCTTACAGTGTTAGACACAGTCCTTGTAGTTGCATTACCCTAATAAGTAACACTATCCCGAGCGCTGATAAGATTTTTCGCAATCATACTGGAACCTAAATTGGATAAAATATTACAGACCACTGATCATAGGTAATCGGAATGTATAAATTTGAGAATATGTGCTTCTATTCGACATCACGTTAGTTAACTAAAGGTTCAATTGATTTGAAGAGATAACTATCGGGTGTGACAGAATGCTCGATTTTAGTCTAATTTTATTTGTTGCAGGATTGTCTTTGATCCTTGGGCTTTCTAAGATAGCCAGTAAGGGATCATTCGAGAAGTTTTACAAACAATACCTTAGCTTCTCAAACCCACCGTCACCACAGGCCTCGAGAAAACTGACATATTCAAATGATGAACTTCCAAAACCGACTCCTCTTATGATTACCCCTGAACAGGTGAAAAACTATGATGATAGACCTTGGAGGCCATTCAGATGGCCATACCACCAGACAATGTCTATTTTCAAACTAGACATAAACCATTGGTTGGATATGGATAAATATTACTGGCACTATATCCAAGAGAAGGAAAGAATAATAATGAAGTACGGCAATCAAAATATAGATTGCTTACCTGAAGGTTACGATGCAGCTGTTGAGTTAATGGAAATAGTTACAGATCACATGTTGATTCGATATCCCTTACTTTTTATTCTAGTCGAAGACCGTGGTTCAAAGGGAAAGATTGTGAAGAATCTTTTGACATCTGAGACTCTTGATATGACGTTGCCCTTGAAGGAGCAACCTTTGGTCTACGTTTCAAAAATGGCCAAGGAAGATTTCTATATCGTGAAAAAAAATCCAAAGGATGACTTGCATTACTTAGTTGCCGCAGCAGTCCCGTTCCCTGGAGGATCCTTTGGAGTTAACGAGAAAATTGGCAAACACATGGACGTCATCCACGAAGATGTCCCGTATTATAAAGAAAAATTGCAAAAGTCAATGGAAAGATGGATGAATAAAATGAGTGTTGGCGATCCTGTTGAAAGAGCTTCTTGGTATATTTCATGGGATCATAAACTAAAGATCAACAGTGTTTACCAAATTCCTAAGCTTAAAAAGGATATCGAAGCAGAGATGAAAAGCTCAGAGCCCATGGACTTTAATGTTAGAGTTGAAAGACAGACTTTAAGAAGATTGCCCAAATCAAGAGCAATTATATTCACTAATCATCCTGTCTTTTATTCTATTGAAGAAATGAAAGATGAGCCAATGATTCCGTCATTGCTCAAGAAAATAATTTACGAAGGTCCAAGGGACATTGTAAAGTACAAAAATTTTGAATTTTTTAGAGATCATATTTCTAATTATTTGGATGGTCTTATTAATCGTCAAATCAGCAAAGGAATTATAAAAGAGGATGACCCTGTGAAGACACAGCCATCTTATCCTTTTGCTTATTGGACCAAGACAAACTTTGATACATCAAATGGTTGGAACAATCCTTCTGAATCATACAGTAAAGAAAAATCAAATTATACTGAACGAGCTAAAAAGGAGCGTTACTATCATAATGATTAGAAAAAAATAATAGATGTACTTTGCGCTGCATTGAGAAATAAACAATAGCCTATATTTCAAAAATAAAATTGTAGTCTCTATGACATATGACTTATTTTCGTCTCCGAATCGATTGCTTATTACCTCTCGACTGCTTTAAAGGAGCCTTTTCATCTTGAGTATCTAATTTCTGAACCTTTTCTGGTATCTTGGCAATATCTCCATGCTGCTTTATCTCGTTCAAACTTTCTGCAAATTCAGGACTAACCCATGATAAGATATAAGGCGTTGCAACAATGGCCATACACACGGTGAAAAGAGTTGTGTATAAGGGACTCCTGAAAATAAATCCAAATGGGCTTCCGTCGATAATACTATAAAGAGAACCCTGTGACTGCTCGTAAAATTGTTTAACATCTCTGAATTGAATCTTCAAGGTCTTGTCATTCAATGACACCCCAGATGATTCATTATAGGAATTATGTCCTAAGAAATCCTCGTATGCTATTATTCCATCTTCATTGTCAATAATAATCCTAAAACGATTATGTGAAAGATAAAAGTCATAAGAATCAACTATCAATTCATAATCGCCCTTACTCAAGTCATTGAATTGGAACTTATAATCTTTATCTAACAACCCTTTTACTCCCTTAAATCTATCTGGCCCTCCACTTGGTAGCTTTGTCTCCTCTCGTGTGTTTAACAGTACTAGCTCAACATTGAACCTGGATTGGTAGTTGTGACCATTTAAGACCTTCTTATTTTTGATTTCATGAACTTCTTCAATTTTACTTGGAACGTCTTCAATCTGCCCCACAAATCCAATTGAAAGGCATGTGCCAATGGTATAGAAAATCCCGAGCAAAAACACCACTCTTCTGCTTATCATTTCTGTGTTCTGTCTCTTGTATTCTAATCGTTCTTATATATGAAGAAAGATCTTCTTCTAAGCGCCACATTACCCGTCTTTTGGAGTCCGAGTATAAAAGGGCAAAATCACCAGAAATTTTTCACTTCTCTCTTCTCACTATTGTACCATGTATGTGTATTATTGTAGGGCGCCAATTCGTAGATCTTTTGATCTAGAAACTCACGGTTGATGCTCTCTACAACACATTCTAGAGTATACTAGTCGTGCTGTGTCGATATGGGACTAAAATCTTATACGAAACAGTGAGGGTAGTCACGGAATTTACGGGCTCGGTTGCTCAGAGAGGTCTTTGATTCTATGGTTCTTTTAGATCCTAAGACTTAGGGATGTTTCGATTGCGGCTGAGCATTCTAGCTTTCCAAACATTTTCATTTCTATAATACAATTAACTACTTAATAAGTCAGAATACAATCAGACTATATGCGATCAGACTTGAGACTTTTTGACCCCCATTTATCGTAGCAATAGAGCCCTACTGCGATTAGAACTAATCCTTGAAGCTGTTCTCGGGTCATACTACCAAACTTCCCTTCCTGTGAAGAAGATGAGCCCATAACGAACACAATGCTAACCGTAATCAATACTATTCTTTTCATCATGGAGGCTATTGAATAAGACAATGCGGGAATCAGACTTAACAAATGAAGTGCCAACAAGGTTTGAAAAAAATGAGATATTGAATTCAATAGTATAAGAACAAAAATAGTAATTATATCGCTTGTCGTTTCAAGGACCCTGTGATCGTCGCCATCGTCAACATTTCGCAAGATTGGAGCTAACTCTTTGAATAAAAATCCCAAAAAGGATATAAGAAACCCTATTGATGAGCAGTATAATATTATGGTCATTTTATCGGGCTTGGAAATCGCTTCCGTTTTGAATAGTGATCTCCACAAACTAGTTACTTCTCTATTTTGCTCAGCCATCACACTGTAAGAAGAGTTCCTTAGGTTTACTTCTTCAGATTTTTCATCTAATTTCAAATCTGACGTAGAATATGGTAGCCTAACAGAGTTAGCTCTTTGGCGAATGAAATGTTTCTTCTTGTGCATAAATCTGTCATCTGGTTCAAACCTACCCTCATTACCTAAAGAAGGAGTACCAGGTCTACTAGGGTCTGTGTCTAGTACCAAAGATGTAGGATTCAATGAACTGACGTTCGAATCCCATGTTATCAATTGTTTTCCGTATATATTCTGAACTGCAAATATGATGGAACTGAATATGCAAAATATTATTCCTTTCATTTGCTTGTAATCAATGTCCTTGTTATCACTGTATAACAAGTTATCATTTGATTTTGGATTTTTCAATGAGTCTGAAGTAATTATCAAGATTACTCCCCCAACCAAAGGTGTCAATGATAGATATGTAACGAATGGAAACTTCACACCGTATATAATTCGATACCCACCAACAATTAACAACGGCGACAAGGCTTTAATACTAGAGACAGTTGACAATGGAATCAATGATGTTGCGCTTAATGATAGAAATTTTCCTGTGAACTGAAATAGCCCCAAAGGTAATATTTTGATTAAAATAGACTTATTGAAAATTGCTTTATCACTTTCTATAGGAACACTTCCTGAAGGAAAGTAGTCAGAAAGACCTGGAAACCTCTTGCATATCGTTATAACTATTAGGGCTAAAATTGCCCCCATAAGGAATTGAAACTGTCCCAAAAATAGTGGATACTGAAATTTAACAAGTATGACTTTTGTTAATTGTGAAGTGAGTGACGAAACCAGATACCAGAGAAAACATGTGAATATTGTTTTAACTGATAAAGGAGGTAATAATGCTCTTAATTGAGCCATTATGATTGCAATAGTTGTCCTTTATAAGACTTCTTTATTTTTGTTATTTGAGGTGGTGGAATATTTAAATTTCGAGAATATGATGCCAAAAATTAAAAAGTGTTGGACTTATTGATATTACTATACATGAACTATATATACATATTTCAGTCACCATTTATACACTTTTCCAGTCAGATCACCCATAACCAAAGTTAAGAATCCTCTACTCAATTTGTCATCTGGATCCATTTCGCTTCGTTTAAGCAACTCTAAAGCAGTAATTCTTCCATGTACTTTATCAGTTATATCTATGATATCAATCTCTACTAGATGCCAGTCTGGTTCAGACCTGAGCTCCAAGAGTCTGACAGTCTTCGTACTAGAGATTGCCACTATTTCACTTGACCAGTAAGTGTGGTTTATATGCATTGGCAGTTTACTGTGGTCCACCATTGGATCATTTATGCTACCGAAAGTGAAGCAAGTGATGGGTAGCTTCCCCATATTTTCTGTGTGAATAATATCCCCATTGACGGTATATATCTTCAAGATATTGAGGTCCTCTTTCGAATATATCAAGCCAATATTGCCAGTATCATTTGAAATAGATACATGAACTGTAAACCCTTCAAATCCTTGCGGATAAATCTTTCTGATGTATTTGAAACGTGATAAATCCCATACTATTATTATTCCATCTTTATCCAAAGAAATTCCAATTTTATAGCTCTTGCTAAATGTCATATGAGTGATAGGGGCGTAATGTCCTCTAAGGATACACTGAAATTGAAGATTTACCTGGTTCCCTAAATTGCATTTCCAAACATTGATTATACCATCTTTTGATCCCGTCAAAAACATTTTATAGCCAATTTGTAATATACATGTTATGTCAGACAGATGTATATTGAAGAAAGTAGTTTCATTCACAATCAACGATCCGCTTTGTAATTCTGCTCTCTTTGCCTTTCTTATAAGGAGCTCATCGCCAGAACTGATACAGGAGGGCCTGCCAATCCACCTTTTGTTCTTTGAATTTAGTTCTATCTTTACAATAGGAGACTTCAATTTCGATTCAAAAACGAGTTTAGGGTGATGAGACGAATCTATCAAAGTCAAGTATTCGTTTGAAATATTCAAAACTTCTTTTATCGGATGAGGCTTATGGAATATTTTGACAGGTGTTTGTCCAAAGTTGTTTATCATACCTATAACTGCTCTTTTTTCCACCTCGTCGCTTATGTTATCCAAGTTGATGGCCCCATTGTAGGACAAATGATGGAACACGTTAAGTGCTTCAACAGCCTCTGCACCGCTCTGCTTTGAGCCAAAAATGAGTTCAATCCAAGAATGTAGGTTGGCGGAAACATAAGGGCTCTCGAGAGCTTCTCGGTTTTTCATGATGAAAAGCTTTGGATCCCCCTTTGCCCAGGGTGGCAATTCAACATCGTTGGATGCCTGTCCATTTTGAAGTGTTCCGAATTCAAAATTGTTCGAATTCACGAGAAACTCTGAAAGATAGAAAAATTCAGGTATGAGCTCTCGAACATCAGTTGTATTATCTCTTGAAGCTGACAACCATGCTTTTTCGATTGAATTAAAAAGCCTATCCGCATGATCAAATTTACCTCCCTGTAATAGCAAATAAGATTGGACATAAGGCTTGAGCCGTATCAAGTAAGAACTAACGATCATAGCAGAAGAATAGTGTGTTCCATAATGAAATGGAGGAGAGTTTGCATCATTAAGGCTGTCTAACGCCTCAAATCTCTCCCTGAATTCCTGAGACCTCTGAGGCGTCTGAGCACCCATGGGCTTCGATAAATCTCTGAATGTCCTTGGGTTGGACAAGTCTAAGCTTTCACTTTGATAATCAGCTATAACCCATGGAAATACTGGGTACTGCGTTAAATCGTTAAAGGTCCTTCCTGCAAGGATATTTATGATCATTAAGTAATAGAAGTTCGACATTTCTCCCATTTTCCATTTCTTAGTCGCAGAAAGCATTGACAGACTAGAAGTTGGAGTGAATGCAGATGCTAACTTCGAAGTAAAATACGAAGTTCCATTTTGAAGAGCATGATTGGTTGCTAAAGATGACGATAATTGTAGAGCCTGAGTCAAGTCGTAGTCCAAACCCTTACCTGACGCTATCGAATATAGCTTGCTATAGATTGAATCACGTTCCTTGACTGAAAGACATGTAATTAAAATGCTTGCCCCATCGCTGAAAAACATTTCTAAACCTATGTCTCTCAACAAGAATTGACGTTTTGAGATACAACTCAACTTCTCTAAACCCCAGTTCTTATTTCTATGTGAAATCAGATCATTTTTGAGTATATTCTTAGATTGTGAATTTATTAATTGCAAGTAAGGATCTCTCAATTCCACAGGTGCGTCCTGAGCATCAATCACGTTTCCGTCGGGACAATGAAAGTAGTTTTCAATCAAGTAAAGATATCCCGTTCCTAAGATCATTAAGCTTTCAATCGGCACCAAGCCATTTATTTGACTGATATTCCATAATTCGACTATTTGATCACCCATGTATAAGCTCTTGATAACCTTTCGGTTTTTGTCCTCGTGCGCAGATACACTATCAGAATCATTACTTTCTGACGTGTCGTTGACCATCTCAAAGCTTTCGCTACCAACGTTTATAAAAGAGTCCTCTGCTGATAAATTCATTGTGTCAATTCCATGGCTAGCAAGAACGTAGTCAAAATCTTCAAGGTTTGACATTTCCATGGTACTAAAGGTATCTACTTGTTTGACAGGGATATTAATATGATAAGATAGTTTCTCTGATTCTGCTAGCTGATCTTCGATAACTAATCTCTTACGCATTGCATCAAGGTTCTCTATGTAATCAAGAACATATTGACCTCGTAAATCTGGCTCAGTCATTAGTCTAGAAATCTCAAATTTTAAAGCATTGTAAGAAGAAACAAAAAACTGAATATTCTCTTGTCTATCTTGGTTAGATCTGTTGAACTTTAAAGTCTCACCATGAATGATCTGAAGTTTCAACTGCTCGCAGTCCTTCTCGAAGCTCTTGATATATATATTATTCAAGAATCCCAACTTACCACCATTGTTCAACGTAACGGAGATCATATCAGATACATTCATGAACTCAATTTCTTTGAACTTTCCAACCAAATAGTAGAATTTTTGGTTAAATGCTCTATTGAGAGTCGGAAACTTTTGGAGCTTGATCAATGCCTCATCGTCATTTTTCGATAACAAGCCTTCAAAGAATTCCAAAATCACTTCAGATGCATCTGCATTTATATCCTTTACTATATTTGGAAAACGGCTTTGATTCATAATATAACAGGTTCTTAAAAAGTTCAAGACATATTCGAGATTCACTCGCTGCTCCTGGGGGGACAAAACAAAGAAGTTTCCTAACAAAAGCGTAATAAGCTCACCCAATCTTTCATCGTTCACATTCTGCTTTTGAAGAATTGTCATTTGCCGATAAAGCAATAACTTTACCGATTCATTCAAGTTATTGCTTAAATTACCATCATTCTCTAGTCTCAAGAATTTTATGACTAAAAGTTCCCCTAAGTTGCGGCTAAGTTTTATTTTGCCACTGCCCCGTTGGTTTAACTCTATGATAGATAAAACACAATTTATGTAAAGACTCAAGTTAGCTTGATTGATAAAATAGTGCTGTTGCAAAAAATGATCAAAATAGTAATTCATAATAGTAATGCAACTATTGAAGAAATCAGTCTCGTTGAAAATATAATTCGAAATACTTAGAATCTCATTTATATGTTCAAAAATCTTAGGAAATATTAACTCTAAAGTTAGTTTTTTTGTAAATTCATTAAGATCTTCGAACATTGCAAAGAAGTCGCCACCAATACATGAAATGAATATATTGGATAATGTATTAGTCAATTTCTCGAAGCACAACCTGAAATCTTTGAGAAGTTCGATATTCGACCATGCAAGCGAAAGCTTTAAATGACCTAATAATTCGAACACGCCATCTAGCCAGTCCTTAGTCTTATAAAACTGAGATAATATTCTGTTCTTGTTGAATCCTATGCTAATTGAATCAATATATTGATTTATCAAATGTAAAACATTCAAAGATGTATTCATGTTATCATCTGCAGACGATCTTGCTGGAGAATTTGGACTGCTGCTTAAAGATTTTCCATATTTCGAGCTCAAAATACACATCGAATTGAGCACCAAGTTATTTAATAAGATCAAGAACTCAGGGATAATGAGATTATTAAGTTTCACATCTTCAGATATGCATATCAAGTCACTTGCACCTTTGTGTGATGGATCAACACCAAATGCTGACAGATAGATGGAACAAAGGATCGCATCATCATCCCACCAACTAAGCATATAATAAGTTAAAACGTCTAGACCATGGTTCATCTGAAAGAACTTTTTAGTTACAGGATGGCCCAAAATTTTCAATAATCTCGTCAATAGTCTCATTCCACATTTTCTTACATCTCTGGATCCTTTAAATTGAAATATTAATAAAATCCAGTGTATTGTGATAGATCTTGAAAACTTTTTCAACACCTTAATCGATGAGCCTGTGTCACAAACGGTGTTTGTTAAAGCTTTCAACGCCCTTATTCCTATTTCAGTTGAACAATCTTCATTATACAATGCATATATTATGAATAATGATAATGCTCTTATTGCCTCTACTGTGGAATCAGCTTTGATAACGCACCTTAAAGTTGACTCTATTTGTTCGAAATTCATGTTACTCTTTTCGAGGAGAGATGGCGACTTCAAAAATTGGATAATTTTCTTCAACAATTTCATTTTGCTAAGCTCAAAAGAATTGAACAGACTGAATTTCGATATTTGAAGTAAGATCAGGAAATGATACATTAAATAGTCAAATGATTCACTTTCAAAGAAAAGTTCAAAGTTTAGAATAAGAAATCTGTAACAAGTGAAATTTGCAATCACTGATTCATATGGATTAATCAAATCGTAGCCAATGTGACTTAAGATCAAATTTAACAAATTAGAGCCATGGCAGCCAGTCAACTCATTTGTAGAATTATTTGAGAACGACTTGATTAATTCAAAGCTTAAACTCATGTTCAGTACCTCTTTATAATTGGTCAATAATATAGACAATATACCATATCCATTTATATTTTCAAACTCTTTGCTTAGTCTCCAGTTGTTATTGAGTACCGTGAATAGAATTTTCATTTCCTCATACAAAATCGTGTCTCTAAAGGACCTTTCGTCAATAGCAAGTGAAGATTCTATTAGTTTAAGCAACAAAGATGTTCCTCCAATTCCATAAAAAGCACCATGAATAGAACTGGAATCATGGACTAGTACCAGTTTCGGATTTCCATTGGCGATGGAATAGTGATACATACGTATGTCAAATAGAACATGATCGTACTTGAATTTTTTCGACGTTAGTGATTGAATTATAGTTTCTTTATTTATCAAATCAATATTTTGAAAATCGTTTCTAGTTTTATTCAAATTGTTCATGGCAGGTTTCAATAAGTCGTTGTTCTCATATTTCTTAGTTCTTTTTATTTCATTGATTCTTCCACCTACGTTTATTAGGCCTCTTGGACTCAAGTGATTCAACATATTGAGTATATGCTCCTTGGTAAATTCCTGGAAATCCCATTCATATCCTAGTCCTAGATTATATAATGTCGTAATCCATTCATAAGATAAAGCAACGCCCAATATCATGAAGCTTTTTAGGACGATTTCGTCTTTAATCGTTACTTTTCTATCCAGGATATCTCCTATATAAACTTTATTCCAAGTACTCAAAATTTTCCTAACACTGGGGCAAGGTATTGATTCACTGTATTCGCCATCAATAAATAAGTTCAAGTTTCCGTAAAAATCGTATGTTAAGGTGAAGTGAAAGAATCCTTGGTTGGACATGTCTCCAATGTTCAAAATTTGATTGAAAGAAAATTGACTCTTCGAATTGTTCAGGTCCTCATAAATTTCAATCATAAACTGCTCATAATTCACGAGACGTACCTTGAGCGTCGAGGATTCACTCGATGCTGAACTCGCGAGGACAAAAAGGGTCAAGGGCTCATCGCTCGACTGACTTAGCCTATTTACCTTCATCCAAGAACTTATACTCAAACGTTTTGCTGAATTTGAAAAAGGTAATGCTATAGGGTGTTTCAAGTTGAATAAATAAAAGTTAAAATGCGAAGGAAATTTAACAAAGATTTGGTCAAGCAAATGAAGTATTAGTAGTTTCATATGGTTTTCTGAGTGTTTATCAAATAACGGTTGAACCAATCTTCTGAGCGACTTCACATTGCATCCCATTTCAGACATCACTATTATCAAGCGAGTCAATTGACCCACAAGGGATGGCCGATTGAGTTCAATCTGGTTACTTAGATGTGCTTGTGTCAAGAAATTATCAATCAAGGTATCAATAAAATTCACCTTGAATAAATGTATAAGTGTTTTATACGAGGTTGAGCATATTGACAATATTATTTCTAAAACAATCAATTTAAAATCGCTGAACTCTTCACTCAAACAATTAACTTTTTCAATTAGCGCTTTCATTTCGCTACATGATGGTACTGGATCATCTGGGACATTCAATATCACATCTTGTTGAATTGAATTCGTCAAACTTGAATAGTCACCAATGCTTTCTGACAATTCAAGTTGCCAATTATTGAGCAATTCTCTGTTGATTGTATAATTTGGGACAACATCATCACATAAAAGGTTAATTACTTCAACATCAGACTCATCCACGCTATTGAAAAAGTCTGGGTCATTATATGTCTCAATCTCGTTACTCATCGTAGAGAAGTCTCTGAAGGCGCTAAAAAATCTACTTGGTATCTAAGGAGTAGACACCTTTTCAGCTTTAGCACTCCTTTGTGATTGCCTCAATGGATTCGCTCTCAACAATATCACACTAACAACTTTGTTTCGTCAAAATAGCTTAATAATATCAATCTATCAGTTCCTATACGTTTATATCGGGATAAAAGATTGGTTGTAAACTACGATAGAAAGGTTTTGTGTCACTTAAGTAGACCTTGATCTACGATACGAAACTACGAGAGTCAGTCGTATTAACCATATTCTAAGTCCAGCAAGATGTCCACTAGGAGCCTGAGAATAAATGCCTTAAGGGATTCAACTGTGATGTGCTCTAAAACAAATCGTAAAGATGCTGGATGTTGCTTTATTCAATATTATATATTTAGTACAATGACACGTAGCCATACTCTGTTTAACATCAATATGCTTATTCATATTAGATCTTATATCGTACCTCAAAGCTAATGCTATAGATTACTACGATAGAGCACATATCTTCTTTAAAGTTTTTTTTGTTACCAAAGGATATAGGTGAAGTTGGCTAGATCTTATCTTCGCAGACCCAGACCCTGTCGCAAACTATTCATCGCAGCAAGATTGGCTACATATCCCCTAAAGATACCGGAAAAAATGGAGCTTTCACCAAAACAACAAGCTAACAATGGTTACTTCCATTGGCTTACTTCACCTCTTATTTCTTACCTCTACCCTTCATGCAAAGCTGATTGAGCTGGCGTAAGATAGTACTGTGTCGCATCATCTGTAATAGATTTACGGTGCGCATCAAAATTTTTGAATGTGATTTAAAAAAAAAAAAGGATCCGATATCATAATCTGGAGACAGTTAAGACTACAATTAATGTTGAATACTTCTTACATATAAATAACTATAATCATTAGGCTAGTCGAAGAGATAGACGCCTTCAAAGTAGTATATAATAAGAATATGGCAGAAGAATTCACGTCTCGCAACATTGTCGACGAGTACGATGATTCCAGCGTGAAGCTGGACACAGAACTAAGTAGCGAAGAAGAAGTAACATCGGATGAATTATCAGAAAATAGGCAAGCTATCAAAAATCTTTTAGAAAAAGCCGGAAACGAAGGAGATATATGGTACATTATTCCTACAGAATATTTTAACAGCGTTATCAACATGCCTGCGAAGAGCCTTGAAGACTTAAAGCAAAAACTTGGGCCTTTAAATTGCAAATCTATAGTTGATGAGAATGGGGATTTATATCCGGAAGATGAGGAGCCTGTGGGCACTTACAATATACCTCCAGAGATATTCAATTTATTGGTTGAGTGGTTTGGCATAATTGGCGATCCTGTAGCTAGATGCATCATACTAAACGGCGAGAATGAAATAAAAGAGATAGAGAGGTATCCTCTAATGTTTCACGTCCATCAGCTAGGTAAAAGAGCTTCCCATTATCATCACCAGCAGCACACTATCCGGATATCGAGAACAAGAACGTTTGGTGATTTGTATGCCAGGGTAGCAAGGGAAGCCCTTGATTCAAAAAATATCAAGTTTCGTCTTTGGATTGCCAATTATTATAATGATTTCTCTTACGCTGTCAGTCTCAATGCATTCTTATTTGAAATCGAAGGAAAGCGTCTTCTTGACCCAGGTTTAAATTCGGAGACGTTAAAAAGTCATGGAATCATAGAAAACGAGTATCATATAATAATCGAGCAACAGACTTCGCTGACTTTCCCTGTGGATCAATATCTTGCCTCTATCGATATCTCGAAATTTGACAGTTTGTCAAAGTACTCAAAAGGCGGTACACTTGGTTTGCAAAATTTGGGAAACACATGTTATATGAACTCTGCTTTGCAATGCCTCGCACATATTCCAGAAGTCAATCTATATTTTCTTTTCAACATATTCAAAAGAGAATTGAATGTTGAAAATCCGTTGGGGAACCATGGTAACGTTGCTAATTCTTTTGGGTCCCTATTGAAACAACTTTTTGACCCCTCAAATAAGGCGTCTAGTGTTGCACCAAGAGAATTCAAATCAACTATCGGTCATTATTCTTCGATGTTCCTGGGTTATCTACAACAAGATTCACAAGAACTCTTGAGCTGGCTCTTGGATGCTTTGCATGAAGACTTGAATAGAATACATAATAAACCGTACTATGAGAAACCAGAATTGAAGGATGAAGAAATCGGAGATCCAAGTGCCATAAGCAGGCTAGCTACAACATCCTGGAACCAATATAAACTTAGGAATGATTCTGTTATCACTGATTTGTTTACTGGTATGTACCAATCAACGTTAGTTTGCCCTGACTGCATGAAAACATCGGTTACTTTTGATCCCTTTAATGATTTGACATTGCCGCTTCCGATTAGTAAAAAATGGTATCATTCATTTACAATCGTTGATCTTTCTGAAGACTACAAACTAGAGTCTTCAATAATGAGACTAGAGGTAGAGCTTAATAAAACTTCAAATTTTGATGATTTACTTCATTACTTGAGCAGTTTTTTGTCTGTCCAACGAAAGGATTTGTTCCTTTTTGAATTATTCAGGAATTTTTTTTATACTGATTTTCAAGCAGATCAAAGGGGAAATAAATTCCTACCTATAGGAGATATAATCAGAGACTCTGACGAAGTTGTTGTATATATAATTCCTCACAATTCTGATACAGACATAATAGTACCAGTTTTAAATTGTGCTGATGATTCGGACAAGTCTTATCAAGTAGCGGATTTGTTTGGAATTCCACTCTTTATTGTTTTGAATAAGGAGACAGAGACTCACAGCTTTGGGACCATAAGACGAAAATTGGAGAAGAAATATCAACGCTTAACTAACGCCGATTTAGATGACATTTCGATTTATACGGATCGTCATTTCAATTCGAAAGACTTTCCTCATATTTTGCTGAACGACATGGTTTTACTTGATAATAAATCAGGAAAACCGAACGATAATCTTTCAGATTCTGATGAATACGACTCTGATATTTCTCTTGCAAATCCTAACATAAGTGCTAATTCTGGCTTTGAAATATTATTTTATAATGATGACGGAATGAGCTACAAGAATGTTCATCATAGAGGTCACTTTGGAAACAGGAATCATAACAGAAAATCTCAAGAAGATAGTCTATTGCACGTCCCGTTGCATAGGCCTAGTCTCAATAACTTTCTGCCTTTGGTAGACGAACTCCCTGATCCGAAAAAGAATCATTACTATTATTCTGATTTTGTAAAGAATTTAAATGAAAACAGAAATAATGACAACCCTGAGGAAATTGGAACTGATGATGCTCACCTGTCGAGCTCCAGTACTGAAGAGGGCTTTATCATGATAAATGAGAGTGATGGTGAAACTGCTGTCAGAAGCTCTCAACACTCACTGCTGGATGATGATACCGAAAGTGAACCGAGATTGGGTACTTTGTATGAGTCGGGGCCAGTTCCTCCACCTGCAACGTATCTGGAATCATTGAAACCCTCAAATGAGAATTCTCCCGCGGTTTCGCCCACTCCGCACAAGGATAGCAATAATCCTCTTCTAGTCAAGAAGGGCACGATTCTCCTTTGCAAGTGGTCTGCAGAAATGTATCAGAAGTATTTTGGTGAAGAGAAATTTCAGAGGTGGATTAACATACCAACGATTCCAAATCCTGAACTAGAGAAAAGTAAAGCTCAGTTTGAAAGACAGAAAAACTCAACTATCTCATTATATGACTGCTTGAACAATTTCAGCACTCCAGAAGTTTTAGGTGAACAAGATTTGTGGTATTGTCCTAGGTGTAAGGATCATAAACAAGCCACTAAAACGATTCTGATATGGTCGACTGGCGATATTTTGACTATTCATTTGAAGCGGTTTCATAGTGCAAGAGCGTTCAGTGACAAGATTGACATGCTCGTTGATTTCCCTATTGAAGGACTTGAAATCAACAAATTTATCTCTAACCCTTCTCAAGAAAATCTAGTTTACGACTTAATGGCTGTTGATAATCATTACGGCGGCTTAGGTGGCGGTCACTACACTGCATCAGTCTTCAATTACGGGGATGGGCAATGGTACTACTTCAATGACAGTAGGGTTACAAAGATAGATAATCCTCGGGAATGCGTTACATCTGCTGCTTATCTTTTATTCTATCGTAAAAGGTCTTCGAATGAATATTTAGGAGGTCAAAAAATCGACCAATTAATCAAAGCTGGAATGGAAACTTGCCATAGGTCTTTGAGCGCAAAAAAGCTAATTATGGAACAGTTGAAAGATCAAATTGTAAAATTCGGGGAAACAGAAGATAGACTCAAAGGAGAACAAGAAGATTCTGAAGAAGATGATCAGGATGATAGCCCGTCTGAAATATTCCCCTCCAAGAAACCTCATTCACTTACAAATAAAGCAAACTTCTTAAACGAGGACGACAATAACATCAGAAAGCAACGTTTAATCTCGAAAGAAAACAATAACAATAAACTCATCCAAATCAAAAGCAATGGGAAAGAAGAAGTATCATCCTCATCGATTCTGAACTCGGGATCAGAAGAATAATGGTCTAATAAATAGTTACAAATCTCGCAAGGCTGTTAAGTCAAATAATCTAGTTTATTTCTTCGTCTAAAATTTTTGTTATGATATTTCATTAAATTTTTCAAAATCTTTTGCTCTTAGTTTAGCGATCTTAATTGCGTCTTTTAATGACTTCAAAGTAATAGTTTCACCGCCTCCTACTAGACTAACATTTTTCAAATATTTCTCATTCGCAATTAAGTCAATTTTGGAATGAATTGAATTCTCCTCACATTCACCATCAATATCTGCCAATAAAATAGGATCATCGTCAACTTCCATCCCATCTTGATCTGTGTTATGCATCCCTGAAACACCAAAATTGGAGCTGATGCCCAATTCATCCCTATTAATTGTAAGAGCATATTTCAATTTTTCATTTTGGTCGATATTAAAAGTAGTTTGTTTAGCTTTACCTTGGCTAAATCTTCCCCTTTTGTTGATTGGGATTCGAAGAGGATTAAAATCAGATATATATATACGGGGTAAAATGGTGGAACTTAGAGCATGAGTTAACGCAAGATAGCACAAATCAAAGAGTGGCCCCGTCCTCGAAAACACCTTAATGTGACTACTCAAAACAAATGAATACTTCTTAGATGCTTTGCCGCTCCTCAAGATATCAAATTCTTCACTGTGTGAGTCAGGGTAGTAAATATTCATTTTTTGATCATCAACCACGGATATTCCATGTTCAATATTCAACGAACTTGACGGAATTAATTTAGAATGCAAGATTGTTTCATAAAGTCTTTGAGAAAGAATCATCTCCTCGTCAGTGGGGGCACCAGATCTACCTCTTGATATTTCCACTACAGGATATACTGTACTGAATTCCTGTCTTTTTTGCTCACTTAAAAGTGCATCACTTTTAGCATCTTCTATAACACCAGCCGTAATTGAGCACATAATCATCGTACTACCTGATCTCACTACTGAAGATCCTACCACATTTCCATTTCTCGTAATATCTCCGTTGGAAACACTAACTGCTTTAAACTCATGAAAGTTTCTCAAATTTGGCCGTATGCCTATTGCCAAGTGTCTACTTAAGGCGACTTCAGGAGCGATTCTGGCCAATACATCCGGTGGGAAGGACACCAGCTGTAATTCTGTCATTTTAGGTCAGTTTGAGTGTCTTAGCTGGAATGTATAGCCTTATTTCGTAGGAAATTATGTCATAATAGCATTAGCTTTCAGTGTAAAACTCTAACCGCATCGCAAAACTTAAAGCATATCACGTGCCCTTTCCCGTGATACATTTGATGTGCGCACCTTTTGACTGAACGTGGAAATATCAGCCGCGTCACATGCTGAGGCACATCATGTTTCGGCGGGCCGATGTAGCGCCCCGTGCAGGTAATTGAGTCATCCTCCTCCCTTTTCGACGGGCCGAGTCTAATCCCCAGGGCACCACCCACCCACCTGATAATCAGAAATCATTATTTCCGAATCTAAGGTCTTAAGAACTAGTCGGGGAGAGCCGATCCCCCTCTACAGATAGAGCTGCCCGCCTATGTCAATACTGAAAAGCATTTTGTATTGCTTCAAGTGAATTTGTATGTCTATTCTTATAAAGATGCTTCAAACACTGGGTTCTCTTCAGTGGATAATTTTACCCCTTTAGTCTCGATTTCTCTATTGTTGTTGGCCCACTTCCTTCTTGCCCTCCCTCGCTCCTTTCCCTCAGTCCGCTAGTCTCACTTCTCACCATGATTTAGCTGATACTGCAGCTTGCAAAAGGAGTTGCCCGCCAATCACTCTCACTGAAAGTAAGCACCGATTTGACCGGTACTGCATCGCTGACTTCTCGCTACAGTGCGATTCTCCACGTACCTTATCAGTAGCTCCGATATGAATTTTTATTGGCTGAGGGGACTCAAATCTCGGTGGCTGTCAGCCATCAGCGCAGCGTACTTAGGTGACAGTAACAAAAAGTCGTTCTCTGACCTGATCGTAAAATTTTTGCTGCTTGCATATTTTCTTGTTTAATTACATGGGATTGCTCAAGAATTTATTTTTTTTTACTCTTCTTATTAGTACTCAACGCTAGTTCCAAGCTCTTCAGATCGCATCGTTAGCAAGGATACAACTGTTACATTCAACTATCACATTCAGATAACGAAGATTATAGAGGACATTCTCTCCCACAGCGATAGTTGTAAGGAGGTGAAAGGAACGTTAGATAAGTGTAAGTATACTTTGAAAAAAAATTTTTGAAAAAAAAATTTATCATTATAGATATAATGACAAGATGTTTCTACAATACTCTAGATGAGCTTCATGAATGTGTCATACCACTAGTGGATGATGTATCTGTTTAAATTCTTTATTCAGCCGTGGGATTAGTATTGGCTGAAGCTTTATTGGTGAACTCGCCGATTCCGGAACCTGGGGTTTTTCGAGGTCCCCCTCATGGCTGAAATAAATTTTTCTACCTAGTGAAATTTAAAGCCCTAGGCTTCAGCTTTGAAAAGGATTTGTTACCGTATCAAAGCTAAAGTCCAAGACAAGGGGGGTTGGAGTTAAAAAATAGGACGAGACAAAAGCGAAACGTAGCCAACAGAGAATATTTTGCCATACTAAAAAGACGTATTCTTAGCTGTACAGAGATTGTAGTTTGAAATTTGACAGGAAAGAAACTAACTTAAATTTAGCTTTAGTAGAGTAGCAGTGAAATATGACTTCCTATTTACCACAAGAAGAGTTTGAGACTAAGATCTATGACTACGATGAGACCCCAGAAAACAAGTCGTGGGCATCTACTTTACCCACTGCTAAGGGTTTATACAACCCAGAGTTAGAGAAGGATGCTTGTGGTGTTGGTTTCACTTGTCATATCAAAGGGCAAGCATCTCATAAGATTGTTTCTGATTGTAGAAACTTGTTGTGTAATATGACTCACAGAGGTGGTGAGTTAAACCCCAAAGATGGTGATGGTGCAGGTTTATTAAGTGCTTTACCAGATAAATTGTTGGTAAAGGAATTTGAATATCACTGTAAAGTAATCTTGCCACCATTAGGACAGTATGGTATCGGTAACTTTTTCTTCAAAAAAGATGAGGTTGTTTTTGAAAAATCAAAGCAGACAGTAGAGAGCATTGCTTCTTCTTTAGGCTTGAGAATCTTGGGCTGGAGAAAAGTTCCACATGATTCATCTATCTTGGGACCGGCTTCATTATCAAGAGAGCCTCTTATTTTGCAACCGGCTATAGTTTTGGCAGAGGCCTATGGCTCTACCGGTAACATGCCATCTAAAAACATAACACCAGAAGAATTCGAAAAGAAGTATCAACAGGACTTTGAGAAAAAGCTATTCATATTAAGAAAGCAGGCATCGCACACAATCGGATTGCATAACTGGTTTTATATTTGTTCATTATCTAATAAGACAATTGTTTATAAGGGTCAATTGGCACCTAATCAAGTTTATGCTTATTATCATGATTTGGTAAATGCTGATTACGAAGCACACTTTGCTTTGGTTCATTCTAGATTTTCAACTAACACATTCCCATCATGGGACAGAGCCCAGCCTTTAAGATGGGCAGCTCACAATGGTGAAATTAATACTTTAAGAGGTAACAAAAACTGGATGAGAGCAAAGGAAGGTGTGATGTCTTCAGAATTGTTTGGCGACGAATTGGATAAATTATACCCCATCATCGAAGAAGGCGGTTCTGATTCCGCTGCTTTTGATAATGTTTTGGAATTATTGGTTATAAACGGTGTCCTCTCCTTGCCGGAGGCAGTTATGCTCTTGATCCCAGAAGCTTGGCAGAACGACAAAAATATCGATCCTAAAAAGAAAGCATTTTATGAATGGGCAGCATGTTTAATGGAACCATGGGACGGACCTGCTCTTTTCACATTTGCAGATGGTAGATATTGTGGTGCAAACTTAGATCGTAATGGTTTGAGACCTTGTAGATACTATGTCACTGATGATGACAGAATGATTTGTGCCTCAGAAGTTGGTGTCGTTGAAATCGAACCAGAAAGAGTTTTACAAAAAGGTAGATTACAACCAGGAAGAATGTTGTTGGTAGATACCAAGGAAGGTAGAATTGTTGATGATCGTGAATTGAAACAAAATGTTGCCTCAAGGTTCGACTTCAAGTCATGGGTTTTGGCTAACATGATCACCATGGATGATTTATTCTCTAAATTGGATACAAGGAGCATTGACTACAAAGCTGCTGAAGTAAGCTCGAATATAAGAGTGCAAGCAGATGCAAGATTGGTTGCATTCGGCTATTCACATGAGCAAGTCTCTGCAGTTTTGGCGCCAATGGCTGAAGGTAAGGAAGCTCTTGGCTCAATGGGTAACGACAATGCCTTAGCTTGTATTTCAGAACAACCAAAATTATTGTATGACTACTTCCGTCAACTATTTGCCCAAGTTACAAACCCACCAATTGATCCGATTAGAGAAGAGATTGTGATGTCATTGGACTGTTATGTTGGTCCCCAAGGTAACTTGTTGGAAATAAAATCTGATCAATGTAACAGGTTATTGTTAAAGTCTCCAATTTTGACAAGTACCGAGTTATCTGCAATCAAAAATATGCAAAAGGTTTATCCAAAATGGTCAGTTGCTACCATCGACATCACATTTGACAAACATGAAGGTATTCAGGGTTACATCAACACTATCGATCAAGTCTGTCAAGCTGCTTCGAGAGCTATAGCTGATGATCGTCAAGTACTTGTTTTGAGTGATCGTGAAACCTCTAAATCTAGAGTCCCCATTTCTGCCTTGATTGCAGTTGGTTCAGTTCATCATCATTTAGTTAGACAAAAACAGCGTTCAAAGGTGGCCATTATCATTGAAACTGCAGAAGCAAGGGAAGTTCACCATGCTTGTTGTTTGGTTGGTTATGGTGCTGATGGTATTAATCCATATTTAGCTATTGATACTTTACTTAGGATGAAGGAAGAACACTTGTTGAAGAAATCAGACTTGACTGAGGAGCAAATCATTGAAAACTATAAGCATGCTGTTGATTCTGGTATTTTGAAAGTCATGTCTAAAATGGGTATTTCAACCTTGGCCTCCTACAAAGGAGCTCAAATTTTTGAAGCTTTAGGTGTTGATAACTCCGTCATTGACAGATGTTTCGCTGGGACTGCTTCCAGAATCAAAGGTATTACTTTTGAATATATCGCTCAAGACGCTTTTACCATGCATGAAAGAGGTTACCCATCAAGAGAAACTATTAAGCCAGTGGCATTACCAGAGACTGGTGAATACCACTGGAGAGATGGTGGTGATTCCCATATCAATGAGCCGGCTGCCATTGCTTCCATGCAAGATGCTGTTAGAAACAAAAATGAAAAAGCATATGATGCGTATTCAAAGAAGGAGTACGAAGCAATCAAGAACTGTACCTTGAGGGGTTTGTTGGACTTCGACTATGAGAATTCTACACCTGTTCCAATTGATCAAGTGGAGCCCTGGACGGAAATTGTACGCAGATTTTTTACTGGTGCAATGTCCTATGGTTCTATCTCTATGGAAGCACATTCAACTTTAGCGGTTGCAATGAACAGATTGGGAGGTAAATCCAATACTGGTGAAGGTGGTGAAGACGCAGCAAGATCAACTGTTCGTGAAAATGGAGACACCATGAGATCAGCCATCAAGCAGATCGCTTCAGGAAGATTTGGTGTCACATCTTATTATTTAGCAGATGCCGATGAGTTGCAAATTAAAATGGCCCAAGGTGCCAAGCCTGGTGAAGGTGGTGAATTGCCAGGCCATAAGGTTTCTGAACAGATTGGAAAAACAAGACACTCTACACCTGGTGTTGGTTTGATTTCTCCTCCTCCCCATCATGATATCTACTCCATTGAGGATTTGAAGCAGTTATTATACGACTTGAAATGCTCTAACCCCAGAGCAAGAACATCTGTTAAGTTGGTCTCTGAGGTCGGTGTTGGTATCGTCGCTGCCGGTGTCGCAAAAGCAGGTTCTGAAAATATTTTAGTTTCTGGTGGTGATGGTGGTACAGGTGCAGCTAAATTAACTTCCATCAAGTATGCTGGTTTACCATGGGAATTGGGTCTTGCAGAGTCACACCAGACCTTGGTGTTGAACGACTTAAGAGGAAGAGTTGTCTTGCAAACTGATGGCCAAATTAGAACTGGTCGTGATATCGCAGTCGCATGTTTGCTTGGAGCTGAAGAATGGGGTTTCGCTACAACTCCTTTGATTGCTTTGGGTTGTATCATGATGCGCAGGTGTCACTTGAACACATGTCCTGTTGGTATAGCTACTCAGGATCCTGAGTTAAGAAAGAAATTTGAAGGTACTCCAGAACATGTTATCAACTTTTTCTATTATTTGTCAAACGAATTAAGAGGAATTATGGCGCAATTAGGTTTCCGCACGATCAACGAGATGATTGGTAGAGCCGAGAAGTTGAAGGTAAGAGATGACTTGAGGAATACTAAGAATGCTAACCTTGATTTATCTCCTATCTTAACACCTGCTCATACAATTAGGCCTGGAGTCGCGACTTATTGTGTAAGAAAACAAGATCATAGGTTGCACGTGAGAATCGACAATAAGTTAATTGATGAATCAGAATTGACTTTGGCCAAGGGATTGCCAGTCACTATCGACTGTGACGTTGTCAATACAGACAGAACTTTGGGTACTACTTTATCTTACAGAGTATCAAAGATTTTTGGAGAACAAGGATTACCTCATGACACTATTCACGTGAATGTAAATGGTTCCGCAGGTCAATCATTCGGTGCTTTCTTAGCTCCAGGTATAACTTTGGAGTTAGAAGGTGATGCAAATGATTATGTTGGTAAAGGGTTATCAGGAGGTAGAGTTATTATTTACCCACCAAAGGAGTCTAGGTTTAAAGCCGAAGATCAAATCATTGCTGGTAACACTGCTTTCTTTGGTGCAACATCTGGTACCGCTTTTATAAGAGGTGTTGCCGCAGAGAGATTTGCTGTTAGAAACTCTGGTGCTACTATTGTCACTGAAGGTACTGGTGATCATGGATGTGAGTACATGTCTGGTGGTAGAGTCATTGTTTTAGGGGGCACGGGTAGAAACTTTGCAGCCGGTATGTGCGGTGGTATTGCCTATGTCTTAGATATGGCACAAGACTTTAATGTTAAGGTCAACTCACAGACGGTTGAATTGTCACAAGTTACTGAACCCTCTGAGATTGCTTTCTTGAGAGGAGTAATTGAGGATCATCGTCATTACACTGGCTCAGAAGTTGCTGATAACATCTTGAATGATTTTAACAGAATCTTACCTCGTTTCGTCAAGGTTTTACCATACGATTATAAGAAGGTTTTGGAAAAAGAAAAGAAGAAGCAGGAAGAGGCCAAGAAAAACGAATTGAATACCTTTTTGAAAGCAATCAAAGAAGATCCAGAGTGTGATGTCACTAACGGTGAAGCTGCTAAGATCAAAAAGGGACATGTTCATCGCGTTGAAAAGGCTTCTGTCTCTGCGAAGGATGGACATAGTGAACCAAAGGTCTTGGATGTCGAAGATACAATTTTGGACACCGAGAACGAAAAGAAGACTATTGCAAAGTTGGATAAGGTTAAAGGTTTCATGAAGTACAAGCGTCGTAATGAAAAATACAGACCTGCAAAACAGAGAACTTCTGATTGGAACGAAATGACATCGAGATTATCTAAAGATGAATTGAAACATGAAACCGCAAGATGTATGGACTGTGGTGTCCCATTCTGTACATCGGATACTGGATGTCCAATTTCCAACGTTATTCCTAAATGGAATGAATTAGTTTTCCAAGATAGGTGGTACGATGCCTTGCAAAGATTGATGATGACTAACAACTTCCCTGAATTCACTGGTAGAATTTGTCCAGCTCCATGTAACGGAGCCTGTGTGTTGGGTATCAACAACGATCCTGTCAATATCAAATCTGTTGAATGTGCAATCATTGATCACGGCTTTGAACAAGGCTGGATTAAACCTAATCCCCCGACCCACAGAACTGGTAAGACTGTTGCGGTTATTGGTTCTGGTCCTGCTGGGTTATCTGCAGCTGATCAATTGAACAAAGCTGGTCATTCCGTTACTGTTTATGAGAGAAGCGATAGACCTGGTGGACTTATGATGTACGGTATCCCAAATATGAAGTTAGATAAGAGGATCGTCAAAAGAAGAACAGATCTATTGGCAGCAGAAGGTATTCAATTTGTTTGCAGTACTTCTGTTGGCGAAGACATAACCGTTGATGAATTGAAGAGTGCTAATGATGCTGTCGTCTTTGCTGTCGGTTCTACTATCCCAAGGGACTTGAAGATACCTGGTCGTGAATTGAACAACATTAACTTCGCTATGCTGTTGTTATCAAGCAACACCAAAGCATTGTTGGATGATAACTTAGAGGAAATCAGGAAAACTGTTGAAGGTAAACATGTGGTTGTCATTGGTGGTGGTGATACCGGTAATGATTGTTTGGGTACATCAACCAGACATGGCGCTAAGTCTGTAACAAACTTTGAGTTATTGCCTCATCCACCAAGCGCAAGACCTAAGGATAACCCATGGCCACAATGGCCAAGAGTCTTCAGAGTTGATTACGGTCATACTGAGGTTGCGGAACACTATGGTAAGGATCCAAGAGAATACTCTATTTTGTCTAAGGAATTCGTTGATGATGGTGAAGGTAATGTCAAGGGTATTAAGACAGTTAATGTAGAGTGGAAACGCTCTGATTCTGGTGCTTGGCAGATGGCTGAGGTTCCAGGAAGTGACAATTACTTCCCAGCTGACGTTGTCTTATTATCAATGGGTTTCGTTGGTCCAGAAACTGACAAGCTCCAAGTCGAAAAAACGAAGAGAGGCACTATCACTACCATTGATCCAAACAACTATAGAGTTGGACAAGATAACTTGTTTGCAGCAGGTGACTGTAGAAGAGGTCAATCTTTGGTTGTTTGGGGTATCCAAGAAGGTAGACAATGTGCAAGAGAAGTTGACGTTTACTTGATGGGCTCTACGAGATTGCCTGGTAATGGTTCAATCGAGCAAAGAAACTACAATCTCTTAGAAGAGTTAGCGGAGAAGGTATGAGCAATCTGGGAACCTATTTTTCTTATGAAAATGAAAAACATTCTTTTTATCAATATTTAGTGTATTTTACTCGTTTTGTATAATTTTTTAATATATTTGAGTGATAATTGAAAAATTCTGTCATTTAGCTTACAACCAGTAAACAATTTTTTCCGAATTTTTGTTGCTGTCTGTCAAAAATCTCGACTACTTGCGACAGTCAATAATTGACATTTGCCGACTGACCCGCGTTCGCCGCTACTATGATAAACAATTTAGTAACAAAATTGACTTATCGAGGGACAACTGCAGTTACTCAATATGAACTAATTGTATCCCTTTTTGCACCTTATGGTGCGTAAGAGTCTTCAGTTTTGTTTACATACACTGTTTACATAATATGATGTTGTTTACCTTTACTACTCTAGTGATATTAAGATGTCAATTTGGACGCGACACTTAGCATTACAAGAAGAGGAGCAACAATAAAGTTGCGCAGAAAAAACTGCTCGTCAGGTAATTATGACAACCATATTTAATTCCTAACCTTGCGAAATCATATGAAGCTTAACAAAAAATGACGAGCTCGACGATGGTGGCAGACATTTTTCAGTCGGATCTGGGTCGTAGACGGGCGAATCCCGTCAGATAGAGAAATTTTCCTTAAAGTGCGTTAACTAGCATGAAGCTACGTGATCTGCCGACCAGTGAGAACAAGAAATCTTAGTTCGACGTCCCGACAACCGGTTTCGTGATTGATGCAAGATAGCAGTGGGGGAAGTAGACACCGACCAAAAAAGTGTCGATCTTAAGTAAACTAGTTACCCTCGAACATCTAACCATTACTCTACTAGATACCCTCGTTTACCATAATAGGCTGACGGCCGCAGTTGCTCGTAATATTAACGCATCCTTCTTCTACCGCCTCAACTATTATGATTGTAGACTCTCAATCATAGCCTCGTGGCACGTTGACCGGTATTATTAACATTTCTATTTATAACAATATCCCCCTCGGTGGGTTGACGGGCTACTTGCAAGGTCTGTTATTATTTTGCCAAATCAGGAAATAAATCTTATTTGTACACAGTGCTAAATTGTACATCTTCTCCAAACTGAAAAGTAATTGATCCAGTGCTAATTGACATTTGATATGCTAGATCGCAAGCCAAAGGTTTGTTGCTAGGCCCCCTTTCTCGATAGAGTTCAAACAATCACAAATAAGAACTCATAAATAGATAACATCACTTTCTATCGCTTTCCGGCACTTCATAGCATGTCAAAATTGCAGACATTCGAGCATTTATATGCTATTAGCATAATAACCGTGATGTAAAAACTAACATAATACTTTTTGTAGTCAGGAAGTCGTACTTGTTTCCAGTCGTAGTTCCGCTTTGATGCTGCGGACTGCTGGTCCCCTGCCGTTCTATTACCTCAGATTGTCATCAGGTGGCTTGCTTGAGTCCCAATTTATCTATTGTAGCACCCTCGGAATGTCGGGCCAGTCAAATTTATGCCTTGTCTCAAAAATTTTCGACTGAATTCTCGAGGCGGAATCAGCCAGACCTTTATAAATGAGAAGCGAACCCTCTTTTGCTTCGCCGAACACTCCCAGCGAATTCACTTAGTTAGTAAAATCTTTAATAAGGATGCAATTTAAGAAGATTTTGGCTGTCTCTGCCTTTGCAGGAATCGCATTAGGTGCCAACAGTAAGTATTGAATATCAAGATCAAGGGTGGACGAAAACGGATCACGGTCAGATCAGAAATAAGAATTTTAGTTTTGAAGACAAGAAAGTACTTTTTTATCTTCAGGCTTGTATCCGAAAGGTACTATTTGGCATTCAGACTTGATTCACCGAGACAGAGGTCTTGGAAGTATCTCTGACAACAACGTTGAGCGCGTTCACCTTACAATCCTTCTTATGAGGCTTAGACTATAGTTTTTGTCCTTTTGAATTATAAACTGAATACTAACATCTACAGACTCCACTTTAACAAGTGCCACTCCATCTGTTGGCAAGTCTTGTTCTTTCAAGCTGTACACAGCTACCAACACACAACAAATAGCTGAAGTCGCTGCTTGTGCTACTGCTGTAGGTGACATTACAATTAACGGTGACGGATTTTCCGACATTGAATTAAGTGGTGTCGAGCAAATTTACGGTAACTTGGTTGTTAACAATGCAAGTGATGTTCAAACTTTCAATGCTCCAACCTTACAATTGGTTTCTGAATCATTTGAACTTAACCAGAACACCATTTTGTCCACCTTGAACTTGGCTCAATTGACCACTGTTGGTTCTTTGACTCTTAATGCTTTACCAAACTTGGAAAAGGCCGGTTTAACTTCTGGTATCACTACTGCTGATTCAGTTATCATTTCAAACACTGGTTTGACTTCCTTGGAAGGTATCAACGTTTACAAGTTGAAGACTTTTAATGTTAACAACAACGATGACATTGAAAGTATTGATTCTGGTTTACGTTCTGTTACTGATGAATTATACATCTCTTACAATGCTGATAAAGTTGATCTTAAATTCGACCAATTGACTTCCGCAAAGTCGATCAGTTTGCAATCTGTCAGCTCTTTCTCAGCTCCAAACTTGACTGAAGTCAGTGGTTCCCTTTACCTTATTTCATCAACTGTTGACAAGTTTGAACTTGAGAATTTGAAATCTGTCGGTAATTCTTTGGTTATCAACAAGAACGATGACTTGGAAGAAATAGATTTCCCTAAGTTGACTAAGATTGGTGGTGCTCTTCAGATTTCTGACAACGAGAAGTTCGAGTCTCTCGATGGTCTTGACAAGCTTCAAACCGTCGGTGGTTCATTAGTTGTCAACGGTTCGTTTAACAACGGTAGTCTCGATTCCTTACAAAAGGTTTCTGGTGGATTTAACTTTAAGACTGATGGTGATTTGTCATGTAAAGCATTCGACAAGTTGCACCTGAACGGTGACATCAAGGGTAAATACTCATGTTCAACCAACTTCAAGTCCTCATCTTCTAAGAAGGGTCTGTCTAGCTCTTCATCTGGAAGTTCATCATCATCTGAAACTGGTTCATCCGCAGATAGCTCTAGCTCTAGCTCCAGCTCCAGCTCTTCAAGCAAGAGCAACGGTGCTACTTCTGCAGCTTCCGTTAAGTTCGGTACTATTGTTTTGGGATTGATCACAGTTGGTGTTGCTTTGTATTAAATATAACTTCCAGAGCAGGCAACAATTTGGTTATGGGAAAAGAATAATATATCAAGTTGTTACTACTGCTAGCACCAATGCTAATATTATTAACATTTGTTACTCTAGAACATTCAGAGCTTTCTTATCGTTTAATTTTTAATAATTCTTGTCGTCCTTGAGTAACGTCATATAGACGGATTTTGACTGGAAAGTAGTTTTTTATTTCAGATCTCTTTAAAAAATTTAAAAAATTTTAAAAAAAATAGTTAAATCGATCATCTCTTACTATTTGAATACATTCCTTAGTGGATTGTATGATAAGAATATATAATTAATGAAATTATTCTATTCAGTCAACTCTATATTCTATTTTTTTCTAGTCATGTGCCAAGATCTCTAAGCAACTTTGTGTCAGTTACTTCTATTATTATTAAAAAGTAAAGGAGTCCTTCGAATCTAAACAGAAGCACAAAACGATACAACAAATTAAGACATTTATAATGAAGTTGTCTCTGTTAGCACTTCTTACTATTGCGGGTGCTGCAATGGCCAAAAACGTTGTGGACTTAAATAAGTTTAAAATAAGTGCGCAAAATGAGAAGAGGTCACCCAAGAATGTTATTGACTTGAGTTCTCTTTTAAAACTGGGTGGAAAGTCGAAAAGAGAAGCTAAGAATATCATTAGCTTAGAGGATTTCAAGGTAGAACTCGACCGTGGAAGTAATATTAAAAGAGATCCAAAAAATCTCTTTGATTTAGAACAGTTTGAAAATGCGGCTACTGATGATGGAAATAAGAGGAGAAGCGAGTATGGGGATAACGAGGATGAAATAGTGTTCATTTTGAATGAAGAAGATAGCTCGAAGAACCTCTTGCAATCCACTTTACCTCAAATCCGTGAAATTTCTGTCTTTGCTGGTTATCTCAGGGATAATGTTGAGTTATATGAGAAAACGGAGAAAACGGACGAAGTAATGGTCATTATATCTCCAACAGATGAGGCTCTTGCAAACAAGTTGAATGGATTAAAGCCGTGGCAATTTCCGGCTCCGTTGGACGATAATGCAAGCCCTGAAGAGAACGAAAAGACTGTTAGAAATAATCTCAATAGCTTTTTGAGTGGTCATATTGTTATAAACTTTGAGTCAACGATGACTTTCGAGGAAGACAATACTGTCGTTAGTAGGTTATTGAACGGTGAACTTGTTAAAATTAGACAGAACCTCGAAACAGAAGAATATCACATATCTACAGGAGAAGAGTGGATTAATGTCAGCAGTATGAAGCAAGTTGATAATGGGTTTATTTTCGTGATCGACGATGTGTTGGTGAAACCAGAGTGATTGCTTTAATATTGGAGATTTGGATGCCGATCATGGGCGGCGGCATGAGATAATAGTTGAGTAGGATTCCCATTTCATTTCGATTGTTTGTTTTTAATTCTTTCTTTTTGCACACTTCTACATAAACAACGTTTATTGTGATAATTATTAAAATCTGTAGTAGACGTAACATAGTTTCTAATGATCCTGATATTATACAGAATTTGATTCTATACAATAATCTATTCGTCGCTCAAGACAGCAACACCAGTCTCCTCTTTCGGTTCGTTTCCAATTTTATATTCTACTTTCCACTTGACTTTCAATTGCTTGTCAAGATTATTCTCAATTGAAAATTCTTGATTGATACCTTGGTTACTGAATCCATAGAGCGAATCGCCAGATTGAGGCTTTAGGTTCAATTTACAAGACTTTGGGACAGCCAACAAAAATTTGAAGTTAGTCAAAGATGATGGCAGTGGGTTACTAAAGATCACCTTTCCATTGAACAATTTCTTAGTCGAAGTGCTGAACACACCAATTTCAATCTTCAAGTTAGGAGATTGGTTAATAAGAATAGTAGATTTGATTTGATTAGTTCCTCCTTGAATTTGACTTGGGGTAGAAGTTGGGAAGTTAAAACCAAATGGATCTAACTGATTGGGTGCATTTGATTGGAGCTGCGGCGAAGGAGACTGCAAACCTGACAAAAGGTCATACCTGGATGAGGAATTAGTAGAACCTATTTGTGGCTCAGGTTGCTGTATGGTAGACTGACCGGCAACTTGGGCACCAGCTCCTCCTAAGGCAATTGAACCTCCAGAGCCAAATAAGTTATTCGAGGACGTGTCAGTAAAAGCCAAATTCGATAAATCACTCAACAAATCATTATAACCTTTGTCATCGCGGCCAGTTTGGTCGTTACTAATAGGAGCGTCGTCATCGAAATCAATCAAATTCAAATCGTTATCATTGGCACCTGAGGTCCCAGAGACTTTGATCTGGGAAGCTTGGTCTAATTTACCATCTTTAAGAAGTTGAAACTTATTGATGACATCGTTGATCGACTCGTTGAAGTTTAATAACTCGCGGACGTTCTCCTCGTTGTCATTTTCTTCTTCGATAATCTTTGTAATATTGGGCTGAGAACTTTTCACAGAAGAATATAATTCAAGAACAGCCTCATTAGAGTCATCAATTTTCCCATTTGAGGACTCAATGCTGTTAAGCATCTGACCCAAAATCTCAACTTTTCTTCTCAATCTTGCTATATCATCCTTGATTTGTTTCTTATTTTCTTCAACATTGTCTTCCTTGAATCCAGCCATGATCTTCATCAATTTGTTAGCCTCCTGCAAGTCCAGAGGCTTACCTCTTCTAATTAATTCTTGTAATTTAGCACTGTGAACAACAGCTTCTTCCTTTTGTAAGTCCTCTAATGACTTTAAGTTATCCGAAGGGTTTAAGACAGCTGCATCTTCGACCTTGATCTCAGGGAAGATATAGCCCTTATTAACAAGCAATCTATGCATATCTCTGATATAGCCAAAATCATCTTTATACTTGGAGGTTTTGCAAATTGTTTGATACCATTCTTCAACTTGCGCTAAGGTCAATCTCTGGACTCGTGAATAACGTAACGGAGGTGACTCAGGAAACCGTTTAACAAGCTCATTTAAAAACTCTTTGCGGCTGATCTGCAACTGGAATGGATATCCACAATTCTTGACTAGATTGTCTAAGAGAGCTAATGCTAATTCCGATGTTTGAGGGTCCTTTTGCCCAATTAACTTGACCACCGCAATAGCTGCTTCACGGGGAATTGACCCTTGCTTGGCATTCACATAATCACAGATTTCGAAGTTCAATGCTAGATTCGGTTCATTTAACGTTGGCCGACAAGCACGGTCTGAAGCTGTTAGTACCTTCCAAAATACTCGTCATTTCTCTTTCAATACTTACAAATTCTTCTTAATAACTTAGGATTTATCTTTGAAAGCGAATAGCCAGAACTAGAGCTGGACGACATTTCTTCTATCGCTCCGAATTTGATAACTTTTGGTTGTTTCAAAGGTAAACTATGAGTGAGCCTTTATGTGATTTTGAGATAAAAGAGGGCGGAAGAGAGCACGAATTAATTAATTTCGATTTTGAGGTTCGACCTAGCGTCTACCACTAAACTACGGATATATAGACTTACGTATGGAAGAAGACGACCCATTAGAGCTAAGAAATCTCGCAGTTAGTTATGATTATCTTCTTTTTAAAATAAAGGACCAAGTATCTACTCTTACGGAGATAACACAGCAATCTGTTCAAAACAAGCAAATGCTTATTGAAGAAAAGTATTTTAAGGAGGAGTTGAATTTAGAGAATGAGTTCAAGGAGATAGATGCCCTCTTTAGAATGTGTGATGAAATCCAATTGAACTTTTTGAAGCTAGATCAGTTGGTAGACTTTGTAGCAGATTTCAGGTCTCGATTGGAGCATCTAGAGGAAGAGTTTGATAAATTAAGGTAAAACAAAGATTATCTATATTGAAATCCATATTCCTACGCTAGTGCATGAGCTGTCTTGTTATATCCAGATTTTTCGGGTCGATTACTGGTCGTTGGATGCTTACTTTGCTCTTTAGGCCCAACTTTCGATTGACGCGAATACTTTTCCATCAAATGCTTCTCCAAGATAATGAAATTTCGAGAATTGCACTTGTATAATACGTTTATGAAGTCGCCTACGAGCGGTATCAAGCCAATTGCGAAATCAAAGGTAATATTCGCCATCATTCGCAGTCTTAAGTTGGGAGGGAGTCCTCCTTCAATTTTGGAGGCTTTCTTCAATAAGTTCATGGCCAATGCAAATGCAATGAGATCGCCAATCCATGGTAATAGACCAATGATGGCTGACCATCCAATACGTAACCCACAGCAACTTAATTGTAAATCTAATCTGTATGCTTTTCTTTTAACTGATTTTAAAATCTTTAAATCATGAGATGGGATATAATTTGGTAGCTTTCGCTTCCTTTTGGATCCTTTGTGTTGGTAAAAATGTAGGTCTTCATCAGGAATCTCTTCAAAATAAGGATCGTTGTCGGGCCCGACAGCAATGACACTATCTAGCTGAGTCTAGTTTATTGTAAGTATTAAGAAATGGACAAGTAATGGACCCCAGAATATTTATGTAACGTACTTTTTTCAAGAAATACTGGTAAAGTAACTGAGACATTTTGTCATAAACTTTTCAATTGATCTATGAGAGGTTCAATACTTTAAATAAACGAATTCATGTTTGATGATAGTTTTAGATGACGATAGCAATGTTGCACGGTTGGAATTCCAGGCGCTGCGAAAAATTCTTAGTGAATTCTTAGTGTCTACAGAGATGATCTGAATAAGATACTGGCTACACTCGAAGGCTCCTCATTACAAAGATATGAAGATTCTAAGGTATATATCAGTAATTTTCATATTATTAAGTTATGTAGATGATTAGTTTGGTCTTTTAGGTATTAACCTTTTTTTTCTCTTTAAGTTTCTTAAAGAACTCTCTTCGAAGATTTCTCAAGTCTGGAGGTTGTTCAATTCCCATTTCAGCTCTAAACTCGTCGACATCTTTAGTCAATATCTTTTCCCAATAAACATTGATCAATGGCTTTGAGTTTAGACCACTTTTGAAGGCCCATGGATAGTATATGTTGTAGAGTCTTTCTTTTTGGCTCTTTTTTAATCTCAAGGGAGCAAAGAGGGCACCCAATCCAGACATAGGTATTCCTATATTCATAAATTCCAAGAGCTTAACAGCGATTTCTCCTTCAATTATAATAGGTAAGCCAGTGATAGAGTGATAAAAGTCGTGACACTCTCTATATCTTTGGAATATATATGCTAATTCATCGTCGTCAATGTATCTTACGGGAACCCTTGTATCAGGACTCACTCCTTCTCTGTCTAGCCACTTGATATAAGTGTGGCCAATTGTGTTTGTGGGAAGCAGTCTTAAATAGTCTAGATCTAAGGAAGTGGATGTCATTCTCGGTCTTTCTTTCAAAATTTGACGACCAACCGGGTCACTGAGCATCTGCTTCTGGAGTTTTTTCAAAACTGGAGATATTGCAGTAGATTCTCCTAACGCAACAATGAATTCGTTTCTTTCTGGATGAAAATATGAACCAATAGATGATCCAAGAAACATTAATAATTTCTCAAAATTATATAATGAGACATGGCCAGGATAACTAGGCGTACTTCTTTTGAATATGAATCTATTGAGTTTCTCGTTGTGTTTTTTATTGGGATCATCATAATGGAGTAAACCTTTCTCCATTTTATTTGCAAGACTGTTGCTTTCACTGAAAAGCATAGACCCAATCAATGCTGAAAATGCTGGTACAATGAAACATCTCAGCTGGTTCAATTGACCACTTCTCGGTACAAGCCGATGTTTCAGGATATTCATGGATGCGTTATACATTTACCTTCACTCCCGTAAAAGTCTATTTTAAGATAAAAGACTTAAGCCAAAATGAAGTGTATCTACCAGTATATACTGAATAAAATAATGCTCATATTAAATACACCAATATATGCTAATTAGAGAGTTTTTGAAAGATAAAAACGAGTAAGACAATGGAGATCCCTAAGGCCAATGATTGGCTTTTAATGTTATTAACATCATCGGGTCTCGTGCCTCTTTCGAGTTTAGATTTGCTCCCAATAGTATTTGTGTCTGAGTCCGCGAGTTCGGTGGAATCACTGCTTTCTCTATTTTCATTCCTATTTTCTTCGTTATCGGATACCGGAGGAGTTAATGCATTGGAGTTTTTACCCCTTGAATCTCTAGATTGCAGCTGACACTGGCGGAAGTCATTTTGTAGCCCAATACTATGATTTTCATTACTGGGTAAATCGGTGGATCCATTTTCACTAGGAGATTGAGATTGAGTTGAGTTTTCTTTCTCAAAAGAACCGTTTTTATCTTGAGATTCTTCCCTTTGAGGAGATATGATATCGAAATTGAAGTCATCCGCGTTGTCTTCATTTATGCTCTTCTGCTCCTTATTAATGAATGTAGAGTACAACGTCTTCATTTCATTATGAAGAGACTTTTTCTCATCTTCTAAATCTTTCAATCGCCTCGTCAAGTTCTCCACCTTTCCCGCACTTTGTTCCTTGTATTCTTTGAGTTCATCCTTGAGCCTTTGAGAGATCTTTTTTTCATTGCTTACTTGTTCCTCAACGGTAGAAATGCCTTTCTTTAGCTCTTGGTTCAAGTATGAAGAGTTCAAGTCATTAACGTTCGCTTGGTAATTAATCAAAAATTGCTCTATCGTGGCTAATGTACAATTCTGTTGCTTAACCTTAGCAAAATTCACTGATAAAACATTAATCAAGCTCTCCATATTTCCCGTGCTAGTTATATGTGAATTATTGAAGATTCCTGTACTGGTCTTCGTATATAGCCCTAGGAGGTCGTCCTCGATGGAGGGGTTAATATCACCATAAAGAGCACTATCAAACAGTAACCGTTCTTCAGATTTTGTGCCATAAGTATGCTTGGAATTCGATCCCTGGACTTTGTTGTATATATCCTGTACAAAATCAATGTACTTTCCTTCAACTGTATCGCTCTTATAAGAGCCTTCTGGTGGTTGTAAAAAGTTAGATATAACATTTATGTTTTCCACACGTGCAGTAATTTGTTTATGATTCGTGTCAACTTGTATATTGAAGCCCAAGTATATTATATCTCCGATTTTGATTTCCACTGGCTCTGTACCAATTCTCTCTTCGTTTACGTATGTACCGTTTGATGACCCCAAATCTTTCAACATTAATTTCCCTGTAGATGGATCCATAAACATAGCGGCATGGTTTCTGCTAAGCACTCTTGAATCAAAGTACCCGTTTGTCGTATCAGGTTTGATTTTGGCTCCCGCTGGCCGTCCCAATTTCCTGGTATCTGGATAGTATGGAACAGATAGTTGCTTTTTTGTAAAAGTATCATTCAAAGGTATTAAAGTAACAATAGATTGAAACTGTCCTCGCTTAGGAGGCTGCTTTTTCTGGGAAGTGGTCACCGTGGTTGGTATTTGAACAACATTGGATTGTGAGTTAGATCTCTTTCGTTTCCCGTCTAGTACAGACGATGTAGTTGCGTGATGTTTCCTGACAGGAGTATGACGATTAGACACCTCGAGATGAAGAGGGATATCAGTACTACTCATGTGAATAAACTATCCGTATCCCCTTCTTTTCTTTCTAGTCGTTGATTAACGCTTTATATATGTTATATCCTTAACTAAAATAAGTTAAGGTACTGTAACTGATCTCCCACTTTAGACGCGCACAAAGTGAACACAACTGACAAAAATATTCCATCAAAACAAACGTTTCGTACCATAAATATTACGATGCCACAACAATACAGTAGTATAAATAATTGTCTTATATCCCTTAGAGAGTCAGTAGGGCTATTGGGAGAGTGTGTTAAAATTTTGGGTGATACAACGGAAGATGCACCGAGATTGAAGAAGGTTCTCATGACTCGTAAAGTGTTTGGATTGGTCCCAGAAATGGATTTGATCAACGCAAAAAAGAACTTCAAGAACGGTATAGAACCCCAGATTGAAGAGGCTATAGTCAGGATAGAAAAGGAGATGGCACGTTTAAAACGAAGAAAGATAAATTTGCATAATAAATATGACTTGCAGGCGGTAAGGCTAGCAAGCTCTACAAAGAGAGATCTTGTCGCGGGGGTTTCTTTGAATAAAATCAACAAAAGCAGTATCGATGAACTGAAATTAGCAAGGTTGAACCTATTAAGGAACAAGAAGGAGAGGTTAAAGTACAGTTTGTCAAAATTAGATTTACAAGACCAGAAGGCTAGATTGAGTATCATACCATCGCTTCCACATCATAATAACGTGGACACAAGCTAAGTGATATGATTTCTATAAATGAACATAATACCTATATTTCGATACCTTCGCCATCCATATGTTGCACATTGTTGATGTGAAGGAGCTTTGCAACTTCGATGGCATATTGATGACCCACCTCTTGCACTGTGGGGGTCAAATCAGGTCTTAGTTTTGCAATTGAAGTTGCAGAAGTACCCGCAAGACCACACATGACAAACTTATTCAAGAATTTCAAGTCCGGATTGACATTGAGACTTATGCCGTACGATGTGATTGCTCTTTGTATGTTACAGCCAACAGAGGCAATTTTTTGATCATTTGGAGCCATCCAGACGCCTGGATTTTCATTTCGAAAACTGTTTAAGCCATAATATTTCTTGAGGACATTCTGAATCGCTTGAAGTAAGATCGAATCAACAAAGCACTTCACGGTTAAACTTTTAAATTGCTTCAAGTCAAGAATAGTATATGCAGTTAATTGTCCATGTCCATGCCACGTTGTTTTCCCTCCTCTTTTCAACTGATGGTATTTGCAACCCATGGCTTCATATTCTTTGATTTTTTTGGGTAAGTCGGGATCTTGTTTTTCCTTTCTGCCTCCAGTGTATACGTCTTCGAATTCAAATGTTAATAGAGTTGGCAATGGTTTCATATCAAAGATTTTCTTCAATAAACCCTGCTCATAATCGTTAAGCTGTAGCATTTGTGACTCTGCTACCTTCATCTGTTTAGTAATTCTGCTTTCCATCTTCTTGAAGTCCAAGTTTGCATTAACTATGGCATCTTGAATTTTTTGGCCCTTCTCAAACAGTGTGATACCAGGGAAATGAATATGCCTTAACGTGCCATAGCTTTCTTTCAAAGGGTAAAACTTCGCTTTGCAAGCTTCGCTATAAGCCCTCTTACTTATAATGGTTTTCATTGACATTATATAAGGTCGAATCCTAAAAAAGTCAGATTATGAAACTTCGGTTCGGTTATCGAATGGACCTGTAGATAACACAATAATTTGGTTTAGTTATGTTTCTTAAAATCAATGCATAAGTGAAACAGAGATCTATCTTGGAGACTCTATTATTCTTATATGAAGAATTTCGTAGTGTCTGCCTATGCCAGTCTCAAAGACGAATCTCTTTAGGACTTCTTCCTCAACGGACCAGTCCTTCTCCAAGTATATCAAGAATAATAAATACAAGGTTCTTCCTGAAACAAAGACTAGAAATAAGAGGACAAAGGATGACGAGTCAAAATATACACAAGAAATCGAGTTATTATACAAGTTGTTTGTTCCGACTAATTTTTTGGTGAAGAATGACAAGCTCTCTGTGAAACAATTAATGAACCATCTACCAAATTTAATACCAAGTGACTCAACATTAAATTACAGACAGTTGAATTTTGAACTTCATATGTTTTTGAGCTCGATAATGACCAATTTTGTACTCTCATGGTATTTTGGCAAACTTAATACAGAAAATATGGAGTTTGTGCTGGCGGTTTACCAGCAATTGATAGTTGTAGTGAAAGATATGAATGAAAGAATACTGCTAGCACTCAAGGATTCAAATCTCGTAATACTCATCGATGAGCTTTCAGAAATACTTAACCAACACTTGATAGATATCATGAGTCCAATAGATGACGAATATGATATAAGAATAATTTCAATCAATAGAGACCGCTTGATTCATGACATGGAAAATGAGAGAGCCATTATAGGAGACTTTCTTTCCAGAGGACATATAATATTTCGAGATTCAAGCATCAGAGATGATGAACAAAGTGATTCAGGAGATACAAAGAGGCCCGATAACTTAGTGGTATATTTCAGAGCTCTTTCACAGAGTATTTTAGAAGCAACCTTTGTGAGTTCTATGCTGGATTCTTCTTTTGGACCACTAAATTCTGAAATTCTGCAGAATTTCATCATAGCTATATTAAGTGACTTAGTCTTTCAGAAAGTCTTTCAAAAGATTTCAAGTCCTGACTTTGTATGTACTTCTGTGGTAGAGAGCTTAGCGGCCAAGTTTAGTGATCAAAAAACAAATGCTGCGCCTTCAACATCCACCGGTATGCTTGGATCATTCTCTAGTATTAAAGGGTTTGTCAAGAATATAACAGGAGTTATTTCTGCATTATTATCACCAACAGACCATCTTCCCTCGATAAACATACTTGATAATTCGTTTTTTAACTTGTGTGACACACTTTTGGGGTTCTCAAATAAAAAGCCATTATTATATGGCATTATAATGTTCACTCATAGACGCATATTAGCAAACCTGACTTTTGCGAATAAGCTTGATTCCTTTTTCAGGGTTTTCACTTCCAATTTAATTACGGAGTCTCTGGTAGTCTCCGATGCATCTCTAGCAGAATCTTTAAAACTGTTACGTCAATCAATATTTCAAGAAACCGAATCAACTCCGCAAGAACAATCCCAAAAGAAGTCGTTAGAGGAATTGTCAAAGAGTATTCAATCTGGCTTTCAAGAGGGTATACTGTCCTCTTGGGTAATTAATTACATGCTGAATGTAGTTTTGAGATATGAAAATGAATCCAATGACAGCATCCAGAAAGCAATTTACAAGTTTTTGATGGTATTCAACTACAATCCTGACTCCCCAAATAATGATATGATTAACGACTCAAGCGACTTGAATAAGCTATTACTAATTAAGGTTTTGGATTGTGTTATAGCAGCACTCTACCCAGAGCTTGACTACAAATAGAATATATATGCGTAATATACAGGGTTATCTTAATGTATGTAACACTAAGAGAAATATAAGAACGAGTTTCTTTAAACGGAGTCTACTGCTGGAGTTGGTTTAGATACTAGAATTACATCTCTTAGATAGAGCGTCGGCTTGCTTTTGATAAGCACAACGGCATAAATGGAGCAATCTATAATTAATAGATTGAAAAATGAATATGAGTATTGCTTCTCAAGATACCTAAAAGAAATAGCAGATCAATATGACGAAAAGCTGATCCCACAAAAATGGGTAAATACATTGGAGCTTTTCACTTTTGGAAGTTACTCGCACTATTTGAAGTACCGGGATGAATATGCTGATTTGGATAATGATCTTACTTTGAAGTTACTCGAATTAACGATTTTATCGATAACGAACGACTTTGAGAACTGCAATATTAGCATTGATGATATACTTAACGATCATGATTATGGGTTGAAAGAGGCACTTAAATCCTACAGCTCAAAAGCGTCGAATAATAAAATGGACGGTGATGAACTTCTATTTAACAAAATCCTAATTGCAATGGCCGATAAAAAGATACTTGATGTACTCGTCGACGATGAGACCAGAAGTTTATATACTGGAAAGCCACTAATCCTCAGAGACGTCTACGACTCAAGAACTATGAATTTGAGGGTATTGAAGGAATCAGATATCCCAAACAGGTCCTTGGATACTGCAAGAATAAAACTAAAATCGTGGTTGGATAATAGTATATCTCCATTGGTTCCTGAACTTAACTCAAACAAGGAAGAATCTTCAACTAAAATCACAAGAAAGAGAAAGCAATCAGAAAATCTGATATAAATTGTAATAAAAAATCATGTATTCACACATACTTTAAATGCCATCACTCGAGAGTAAACAATTATCAAAGGAGTTAAATCAAACAATCCCAGCTCCACAAAAATGAATACTTCCTTGTGAAAAATAATACTAAATAGTTATCCTAACAATTGTTAACCACAGTTACTTATGCTTTCCAAACCTTAGAGATAATACCTGAGAGTCCATCCTCCTTCTTCTCAATTTGGTACAAACCATATCCAGCAACACCGGTACCAAAAGTCAATAACCACATGGCATAGCTGTGGTATGGTCCGTAAACCCTTGCAGGGATATAGTCATAAATACATGCTTGAAATCCAATATAACAATGAGCCAACAAAAGTGCAGACAATGTAGAGTCTACCATCGTTGAAGTTCCAGTCAAAAATGGAGCCAAGGTAAGGGGAACCAATCCAACTGCTACAAGTCTTTCAGCTGTCCAATGTAACGACCCTTCAAGCTTATGAGGTGGTGGTGTAACATATGCATCATTGACGGTTCCGACAATGTTTCCCGGGGGTTGAGGAATAGTCTTAATACCACGAATTAATGCTGGTCTAAATAAAACTGGCCTGGTTGCTGATAATCCAACACGAGTATACAACGATAACATCTTAATCTCTGAACTACTTTGTTAAGTACCTTTTAGAATATTTATCTATATAGTTTTAATATCTAATTACCGGGACACAAAAATTAAGGGAAGTCTCGGACAGTATTACAGTTGCCGACATTTTTATTGGCTGGTGATGATTCGACCCAGAAAAGGCTAGTGTATGTTGAGACATGAATTACAGCAAATGTAGCGAATCACATAGAACTTAGAGCCAGGCAATGCCAAATAGATCGATTGTAGAAAAGTCTTATATTAGCTATATACATGAATATTAATCCTTAAGCGTAGGGTCAATAGTTGGTCTCGAGATCGATACTAGTTACTGCGAAACTGAGTTCGGTTGCGATAAGAGCTGACAGAGACATCAAGATTTATTCTACATCTTCCAGATCAAAGTCTTGGATCTGAGGGAGTGGTGTTGGGCGACCGAACCGTTCTAAAAGCGGCTTCTCTATAATACCTAGCGGTCCTCGGCTGTAGATGATTCTGCTGAACCTGTCTACGATGCTGTCATACCACGAAGGAGGATCTGTTTCGTAGATTTGAAGGTTATTCTTTAAGTCCTGACATCTCTTCTTTGACCTAACGTCTTTGAGCCTGCCGTACATGAGGATAAGATTCAGCAACGCGTCATCTAGAATAGGTCCTGCTCTCGCTGTATTTGAAGCATAGAAATATATCTCATCTACAACATCTTCGGCCCACGAAATAGCACTCTTGCGGTAACCTTTTGCCCACATTATTTCACTTATATGCGCTTTCATATCGGCATCTAGCATGATTAAGTTCGTTGGATCACAATTGAACAAAGGGAAGTTAACTTGAGATGCTGCACCAGATTTTATATCATCACGAATACGAGTAAGAGTCTTTAAGTTAGCAAGATAAATATTCATTGCATGTGTAAGATCCTTGTCTTTATTATTGCCTTTAATCGTAGACATTTTTGCGAAGATGAATGCTAAAGCGTTCAAGCAAGACATGAACTCATCAGTGATCTGTGATCCATCTTGAAGTAAAAAGTTCTTATCTACTCTCAAAGATGGAAAACTTAGACTGTGCATGTTGATTGCTCTTTCTAGATAATATACCTTCTGCTGGTAATCCGGTGAAACCTTGCTCAACAAGCGACAACACTGGGAGAGTCTCTCTGAATCACCCAATTTGAAGAACAAAATGTCATCGTCTATTATTCTCTGTAGGGTTTTGATGGAACTATCTAGTTGACCCTTCGCCAATAGAGCCTTAGCGTACCTCAACACAATATCGATGTAAAAATTTGCAAAAGCATCTGATTTCTCATACACTAGCACTGACGACAGAATTATAGGGAATTTGTATTCATTAGAAGGATCATTCTCGTCAAAAACCAACTTCGGATCTTCTTCCTTAGCTAGATCAATAAGCAATCTCCTATAGTGCTTTAAAGCGAAAGTTGGACTTTTCAATACATCGTCCTTATTGATGGCTTTCACAGCAGTAATCTGATCCTTGAAGCTTAATTCAAAAGGAATACTTTGCCTCTCATCTGCATCATGATACAAGAAATACAACAGCCCAAGAGAGACCATTAATCCACCTATGTATGCTCCAGCGAATATGTTTATTATTGTTCCCCATCCTTTAACAGCCCTAATTTGAGGAGCTGAGAGTTGCAACGATCTGAGTTGAAACACTGGTCTCTTGGGAGTAGCATATCTTAAACAGGTTGGCTTACCACCAAATCGTAATAGCCCTCGATTCAAGCAATAAATCATGGTTTCTATGGGATCAGTTGGTCCTCTTTGTTCAGGTTATATACTAATTAGTGCGGTACCAGAAAAGTGAATCTAATAAAAATAAGGCTTTTACAAGGAATGACTAATGCTTTAAGGCAAAAGAGAAGCAAGCAAAGCGATGCTAACAAGGATACCATAAGAACGAATGTTACGAAGGATAGAAATGGCACTTTCATTGGAAGGTTCATTGTCAACTGGTTGATAATGGACCCCACTTTATTGAATATTGATGATGCAAAAAGTTTGAAGAACTACGAAGTTCAGAAACATGAGCAAATGAGGTATATCTATCTATTAGGAGGCCGACTTAGGACAGTTAGGAAGAAACCGTTACAAATTTTGACGTTTTCTGCAATCTTGGTTGCCGGTATTTTATATTGGATTTTCGAAGCTAAATGGCAATGGCACAACATTAACCCTTCGTTAGTGATACTATTCACTTACTTTTGGCTCCTATCATTTACTTTCTTCTTAAAATCGGCGACATCTGATCCCGGTATTCTTCCTAGGAATTTACATATTCCATGTTCGATACATGATTCTAAATTGGTCGTTGCGCCCCAAGAGTACTTTAATAGTATATCGCTACCATATTACAATGACACTTCCCACGGGGTTTCGATAAGATACTGTCCAACATGTCACATATGGAGACCCCCTCGTGCGAGCCATTGCAGAGTCTGCAATTCATGCATTGCAAACCATGACCATCATTGCATCTACATAAATAATTGTGTGGGCCGGAGGAATTACAAATATTTCTTATGGTTCTTACTAAGCTCTGTCATTTCTTGCATATTTCTAATAGTGACAGCATTTATCCATGTTTACCACTACAGAATATCGTCACGTTCGAAAGAATCGACGTTTGACGAATCAATTGCTAAATATCCTGTATCTTTTCTTCTAGTGATATACGGGTTCATTGCTTTGGTTTATCCAGTATTATTGTTATCATTCCATATCTACCTCACGTCATTGAACATTTCAACCAGGGAGTATTTGAATAATGTCTTCCTAAAGGGTGATGTCGAATTAATTACTGTCTACAAGACGCATTCAATATTTCATAACCTATTTATAAATTGGATCGGTACACCAGATGCTCCTTCGCTTTTGAGACCACGAGACCGCTACGAGGAAGGAGATTTAAGAATGGAAAGGATAGAGCCTTTGCTGTCGTCACCTTCTTCATAATCATACTTTTTGCAATCTCATATATTCCTGTATATACTGTATTAGCTAATATATCAAAGTTTCTCAAATATGAGGACCTAAGCTAATTTAATGAATGAGAGGCCAAGCTAAATACTACGAATGACATGCTGATCAGTTTCGACAGACATGGGTCCCGAGATTTATCTCGTACGTTATCCAATTTTGGGGAACATGATTTAATACAGTCGCTTACCAGAAGAGACTCGGCAACTTTGAATCCACAAGAGCAAAATACTAGAGTAATAGAATACAATGAGAGGCGAGGATCTTTCAAAATATTTAACTTGCCAAAGAGAATGCTATGGTGGATATACTCTATATCTTTAGTTCTTCTCATAATTTTAATGTTGGCATTTGTTGCGGTCACCCCCATAGATGTTATTGTTCGAACATCAGGTGCATCTTACTCAGGTATCAAAATGTTTATTGTTATTATCGTATGTGTTGTCTTTTTCATCTTATCGATAGTTCTGTATTTTGTGAGGATTTTTCATAATCGTGTTGCTTTGGGTGATATACCATCAAAATCAGTTTACATTCCTGGTAAAGGTGACATGCCAAAAAGCGTATATAATGCCATAAACAAAAGGTTGAAAGAATGTTTAGAAATTAGGGAAAGAATCAGCCCCTTGGAGAATTCAAAAGTAATAATAAACCATGCTGGTGTGTCACCTCCGGAATATGTTCAAGAAAGAAACCATAGCCATACTAATGAGGGAACGTTGTTACCACCAGATTCTAACTATGAAGATATCATACGAAGCTTAGGAGATAATTTCAGGCATGGCAAGTTCTTCACCTATCAATTTCCTCAGACTTACTCCTTCAAGGAAATCATCGTTCACTTATCTGAATTATATGCAAAGAGTGGGATGCAGCTGCGAAAACCCATCAATTGCCATAGAATTATTGAATTGTATGAGAAGTTCAGATATGGGCCTGATCTTATAGAAGAAAAAGATATGCTAGAATTTATGATAGAATTCGAAAGACTCACTCAATTATTTCAAAGTCACTATGGAGCACCATTTACAAATGAAGCGCAAAGCGACTTTCAAAATCCGTATCCAGTACTGGACAGGGACAATTTAGCAAAGACCTTAAATGATCAGGAGAGGTCATCCTGGCAGTCACAAACACCTTATCACGGAATTCATTTTAGACAGCCATTTGCTCAATCTAAGCAACTGAGTATTGGCATTCCTGCTGACACTCAATCATCCACGTCTGTTATAAGGCCCACAATTTCTAAAAGGTCATATTCAGAGGAGTCTCCCTACTGGTACTCCTCAGGCCTGAATGTGATGTACAGAAAATTGAGCTCAGCAAGTAGCTCCAAGTCAGTAATTAGAAGTCGTCCTAGACGCAAAAGCTCTGCTGTCTCGAGTAGTTTTCCAAATATGGCATACAGTGGAGAGGCAGATCTGTTTAGAAGAAGAAACAGTGGGTATGTTACAGATTCAGAGAACGAAGATGATAGTGATAGTAGCGATTTCGAAAATGATGATGATGATGATGATGATGATGATGATGATAATGATGATGAGGATGATGATGATGATGATGAAGAAGACGAGGATTTAAAAGTATACAGCTTTCGCCGAATGCCATGAAATCATGACTTTTCGGTGGAGGTTCTTAATATAACCATAGAATATTAGGTAGCATATAGAGTACATATTAAGTTATTTATTTGATTCATCCTTTACCAGAAAGAAATGTCATTTACTTATAATCAACGATTTTTAATTTTGTCTAGGCTTTACAATACCATCATGAATAAAGTAGTAGACTACTGTTCCATCGTCATTAAGTAATCCAAGTGTTATGCGTTGGGGCCGTTTTTGATGAGGTAAGGTAGCGATCCTATCGAACCAACTACTGATGGTTCCCACATCTAGGTCCCTATTATGTGTAATCAGTCGTGGGATAACCCACTCCACATCAACATTGTCCAGAGCAACTAGTTTCGTTGGTGGTCTACCAGAAAGGATTGAGGTTACTCCGCCAGCACAGTCAACGTCATGGAATCGAACATCGCTCCATAAATTGTAATGCACGAGATTTTGTTGCACTATTCTACTTGTTGCTCCAGCATCAGATGGCATATGCGAATCTTAAAACCTCCTATTATATTAGTTGGGATATTCGAGAATTGCTTCACTGCAAGATCAAAGATGTCTATGTAATAATTTATCCTATAGAAGAAGTCGCAAGTATACGATGAGATGAATCCGTGCACGTGATTTCACACATAAACGAAAACATGACAAACATCAAGGTCACAAAACCAGTAAAGTTATAGTGGTGTGCACGTAAAAGTGTGCTGAAGTGAGTTGCAGCACCAACAACAATAAGAAGACTTCCCTAGTGCCACTCGGTCAACGACTTTACAGGAGAGGAATCGTCTTTGGTGCAGGATTCGGAACTATTCCTGATGGCGTACAGGAAAGGTCAGAAACGTAATCTTTCTGCTATTTCAAGATTCAGATCTAGACCGTTGGTACACAAAAATAAAAATTTTTCAGTGTGTTCACAAATATGTTCGTGGGCACATAATACGCCACTAACAATTTTACTAGATCTAGTGAATACGCACTTTGCCACCGATCTCTTCATCTCTTTTGCTGCGAGTCTGGAAGTCTCGCACCGAACCGAAGTCGTTATTACCAGACACAGTACGGGGCAAAACTGGAATTGCGGTAGCGAGATCTGAGTTCAAGATTTGGTATGTAATTCTAAGAAATTCTCAGATTTGTCTAGTACCATAATCCAGATCAAATATCTAATATCTCCTTATCACTGTTAATGTGGTATGTGTCAATGAAGTCTTTAAACACATTTAATTTGCATCCATAGGAGGGTCGGTGCCACTATAGCCCCACAAATTTTGACGCATGAAAATTTTTAAGCCTTCTCTTCGAAGTCCATATTGCATATAGTAAATAAATTGCATGTGTTTAACCTGTTTCTAAGCACTCCTAAACGTTAAGTGCAGTCAAATCTGTTATATATGCATTTGAACGGATTTCAAATGCAAGTATTCTATCGAATCGGGCAACGATGACTTACTGATCCCAAGGATTATGTTGAATTTGGTTCGTCACTTGTGTGACAGAGTTGTGAACTTTTGAACGTACTACATCTAGTGCTTTTTTTTTCTCTTCGTTTTGCAACACTAGCTGTCAAGTCTAGATCGTCCATTGTACCCAATGACCTGAAGTGAACACATTAGAAGAACTATATAAATGGGTTTACTTTTCCACTTTGATAAGTTCTGATCTGTTCATCATTAAACCTTTACATTCACTACAAAGAAGATACTAGTAAGCTAATAGCTCTTTCGTTTTAAAACAGCTATAGTATTCATTCATTCATTCATTCATTCATTTATTATTTCATACATTCATTAATTGAAATAGAATATTCATTCTTTAAAAAAAATATGTTGTTTTCACAATTAGCAGTTAGTATCACTTTGGCAACAGCAGTCTTTGCCGCCCCAATGAATAAGAGAGGAGGCAATACTTGCTCTTTTCCATCCAACGATGGAATGGTTCTGATCACACCAAAATCCGACAACGCAGGTTGGGCAATGAGTCCTGATCAAAAGTGCACATCTGGAAACTACTGTCCTTATGCTTGTCCACCAGGTAAATTGATGGCACAGTGGGACAAGAGTGCAAAATCATACACTTATCCTGAGTCTCAAAACGGAGGATTGTACTGTAATGATGACGGTACAGTCTCTAAACCATTTTCCAACAAAGGTTACTGTGTTGATGGTGAGGGAACAGTTCTGGCCTCCAACAGCGCTGGCGGAGGTAATGTTGCCTTCTGTCAAACCGTGTTGCCAGGTAACGAAGCTATGTTGATCCCAACAAGTGTTGGTAGTGGTCTGACTACTCTTGCCGTTCCAGGACCAGACTACTTTGCTAGCACCGCAGCACACTACTACATCAACGCACCAGGTATTAGCACTTCTGATGCCTGTTCCTGGGGAACGAGTAGTAAACCACAAGGTAACTGGGCTCCTTATGTTGCTGGTGCTAACGTTGATGACAGTGGTAAGACTTTCGTCAAGATTGGCTGGAACCCGAAGCACATCGATGACTTCAGCGGACAAAAACCTGACTTTGGTGTTAGAGTAACATGTGAAAATGAAAGTGACTGTAATGGTCTCGACTGTGAACTTAATCCAAAGAACGGTTACAACAGTGTCAAGGGTTCGTCAGGTGATAAGCAAGAGGGTGCTTCTTTCTGTGTTGTTACTGTCAATAAAGGCTCAAAGGCTAACATTGAAGTCTTCGATGTCTAAGGCTCTGACTCTGAAATGGTTTTATCGTGTATATTAGTTTTCTTATCTTGTATTTAGTTCGAATTTATATTTGGTTTTATACGGCGATGATGTAGTTTTCTACGTAATACCCGTTTCAGTATGCAGTACTGCCGCATTGACTCAGATAAAGAGCTCTAATTTCATGACATTCAATAATAGTTACTGTTAATCGAACAAACTAATACTTTATCAGCAGTATGGGTGTAGGTAGTATTGGAAAGCCCAAGCCTATAAAGGTATTTGGCAGGAATCATTATGCGTGTAAGCGATGTAAAATGTCCAAGATAAAATGCTCAGGACAATTGCCATGCTCCAACTGCAAGAGTGTCAACAAAGAAGACGCTTGCGTATATCCAGTGAAAGACAGAAAGATTGTTATTATGGAAAGCGAATTGAATACCTTGTATATGAAAGTGGAAGAGTTAGAGAATAAGGTGGCGTCGACGCAGATGGATCTGCAGAAACACTTGCATCAGGCAAATCAGCAAAATGAGACTGCAGTGAACCTGCGTCAGTTCCGCCATCAAAGTACCCAAGATCCAGCAGCCTCGGGAACATCCAGCCA